ATCATTAATACACTATACAAGTCTAAAAATCAACCTTTAAACATCAAGATTTAGTCATAAAAATAACATTCTAACTACTTAACAATCAATACAACCTCTGCCAATTTCCACCTTATTTTCTATTTTTCTAACTAAACTTTCCTAATGTGACTTTCAAGTCACGTCATAAAATTCCAAAGTTTCAAATTCATAACAAAAAGTTCAAATTTCAAAAATCAACTCACGATATTTTTCATAAACTAAAATCCAAAAATTACAACAGAAAAAATTATATCAGACATAAATTAAAACAGGAAAATTATATCGGACATAAATCCGACCGGTTCCGGAATCCGAATCCGAAAAATGCGGTTTTTATAAAGATCACAGTAACCGCTTATCAAAAAAATTTATATGACTATTACGACTACTTTTCTGACATTAGTATCGCTGAGTATTCGCGAGTATTGACAGTTGATGTTTTAGCGTCAGATTGTACGGTAACTCTACGATTATAGACTACATTACAGTACTTTACCGTCATGTCATAAATCCCCTTTCTCTAAGGATAGGGTTTTGTTACTAAGTCAAATTCCTTTACAATTTGAATAGACGATCAAACCCCCTTTCTTTAGGTTAGGCAATTGCTCTCGGACAATTTCTATAGTAATCTATATAATACCTTGTAAAATAATGAAGAAGAAAAGATGGCGACATGATGATTTGGCAGGGTAAAACTTAAAGACACTATCACTTTCTAGGTATTTTCTATAGTAAAATAATATTGCATACTAAAAGCTACAAAGGACTCTAATTTTTAGTCCTTTACTACAATTAATATCATAATAAAATGAAAATAACAACATATTATCACCACGATACATAACGTAAGTTAAGTTACACAATTGCAACTTCATTCTTTATAATTTTGCAATAATACGTATGAGTACATGAAGATAATTAATATTATAATAAAATGAAAGTAACAATGTATTGATTGTTACCGACGATATATAATGCAAAATAAAGTTACGTAACTGTAACTTTAGAAGATATTACTTTTTGCTAGCTACTGTAAAATCGATGAACACAATGAGTAAATGATAATATCAATATAATAGTCTTATAACATTTTGTATAAGCTATTAAAAGTTACCTCATAACTCAACGGTATAATGTAAATATAAAAACATGTATAGCATAATGGTTATTACTATAAGTATCGTAGCTTTCTATATATTATCGTGGTCTATAAAAACTTGTTCTCTAGTTAAGCGAGAATCATCCCAATACAAATCAATATATGATTTGCTTGTACTCGTTTTACTATGAATTTCTTTCTTATGTAGTAGAAAAACTATCTATAGTTTTCGATTCCATATTGTCAATAAAATCTGATTCTTGACGTTTGCCCTGTACTATTTCGTTACACGCGTACAGTAAATCGTAATTAATCTTTTCAGAGACGACAGAATCTTTTTTATAGTCCGGATGACTAGCTACAAAATCTCTCATCCACTTAGCTGTTGTCTTTAGCTCGCCTATAATATAATACATAAATAAATCCAAATTAATTCAAGATACTTAGTACATAATTTATATATAAAATAAATAATAATAATTATTATCCCATAACTAACCAGAAGCTCTCTTTTGAATTAACGATAAATATCTATATAATGAGTACCGAGTATCAACATCAATAGATAAACTAGCCAAATAGTCATTTATCAAAGGAACAAGACCAGGAAAGCCGTCAGCCTGTAAAATATGTTCAAAATTTTATATTTATTACTCTATTAACGAAAATACTAGTTTGTAATTACTACTATAACCAATCTGACTGAAATCGACATACCTTCCCGTTAATAATCGTATTAATCGACATAAGTTCATATTCGCTTTCGTCTGGTGGGCTACTAGTTGATGGTGCTAGATGTTATTTCAGAAAGGTATCTCTATTAATATTATCTCCAATGATAATTATGATAAATCTATTATTACTTATTTAAATATGTCGTAATTCGAAATCGTTTACCTTTTCCAAGATCTTTCCTGAAATAAAACATGCCATTACGAACTGCATCTCTCTTTTGTGCTGTTTGCATATTTTCATCGACCTATCGATTAGATCAAATCGTTCGATACATTTTCACGTTCAATTAATTACATCTACTGATAAGAAGTGAGACAGTACAATAGTATTTAGGAACACTTAAAAAAGATTTAGTATTCACTTTACCTTTGATATTGGCATATAAAAATTTAGTCCATATGTTAGAATTACTCGAGTCAGTAATATGATAAACGCTGCAAAAGCAGCATTCTCGAATTCCGTTAGCTGAACCTTGAGTTTAAAATAGAATTAATTATCTAACTCCCCTTTTAGATTGAAATTAACTTCACTCTACCAATTACTAGTTTATACTATTTGTCTATCTAAATTACTTACTTCACACGGTCTGAATTCTACTCTCCAACCAATATCAGCATCTAGCGGCGGAGGCTTAAAGCGCATCGTTTGCCAATTTGTAGATTGTATATTCTAGCGAAGGTGTAAAAAATACATAAAATAAGTACTGTACAGTTATAATGTTATAATTATCATTATTTATACGACGTAAGAATTAGATTATTCGCTATAATAATCTTAATATGCATACATTATTTATCTTAAACTTAATATGATCTTATAAAGTGCTATTTTACTTTATTATGAATTATTACCTCAAAGTGATCTGAATCTTTTAAATCATCTTGTTCTAGTAATTCTTTAAAGACTGATATAGGCTCCCGGATAAATAAATGAGCAATATGACGAGCTAATATTGAGTCCACGCCAGCCTTCTCTAGCTGTTCACAAAATTCTTTATCGTAAACTAATTCAATATCGTTATACGCTTGTCCTTCTGGAGACAGATAATAGTCTACAGAATCATATCGAGATTTCGGTATTCGATGTTTATTATTTTTAAGTGGCTATTATATGCAATAAAAAAATTCAATATAAGTAATTATGGTATCACTCAATATTACAGTTGTTTTTTTAATTATGATAAGCCGATAAGATATTTTTAAAAATATGACTTTGTTCTTACTTCTAAACCGCGTTCTTCTTTAGTTCTATCATCAACGGATTGCGAAATGATATTCCATCTACAATCTACATCAGACAAGAAGCCACGATATATAGGCGATGCAGCTGATAATGCCAACTATAAATATATTATTAAGTAATACATGACTATCATTCTTAATTTTACGTGCACATGATTACCTATGTTTATGAGTATATCACCAATAGCAAATTTAATTTTTCAATATTTTACCACAATTGGGCATATAGGACAAAGTTGATCATATAACAGTCTTGCCTCATCAACATTGTAAGCCTGGAGAGTCACCTAGTTAGTACCATAAATCAGTAAATAACGTTGATTAAAAAAGATACCGAAATGAATAGTAGCTACAATACTTTTCATTAATCTACATAACTAGATACGAGTATTTACTACCTGCAGACAAGAGTTGCCATGTCCATGTCCTGTTGCATCTAAATATATGTGATCTTCTTTGCCATCAATAGCCTCTTCGCCATATTGGAGATGTTCTACGAAAGGTTTTGGTGTATTGACGTCACGGAATACTGAAATTTGAAAAATCACGTTTATTATCAACGTATAGTGGGGATTTTGCCTGAACTAATCAAAAAGTACGATATATTTTTATTGAAATTTACCCGGTACATTGATAGCTACTTTAGATCCCCGACGGAGATATATATTTTGAGAAAAGGACCTAATTTAAGAAAGTAAAAGTTCTTCTTCACCGAATTTAAGATCAATTCCATAATTCTACAATTACTTTCTTACTTAAATCGAGGATGTGAGCCAACAACCTCCCACGGAAAAAAGAGAGATGGAGCTGAAGACCTCTTATTTGTATCAGGTTCGTAAGCAGGATATGTAAAATTTGGACAACCCAACCTAATTCATAACAAATTAATCAATTAGTATTTGAGATCCAGCTTGATATACTTTTATGAATAATCACTAAGAAAACAATTTTAAATATAATTACATGCGTATTGCAATACAATAGTTTGAAGAGACCTGGGAAAGGCAGTTAGAGTAATAGGTACAATGTCTTCATCAAGCAAATCAATAACTTCACGACGTCTTCGCTTCATATTAGCTTCAACGCTATTGATTTGTGCTAAATCACCTAAATATGGTTGTCCTGGTGAAGCTAAGAATTAAAAAGGGAGAAATGACATCGTTAGTTTCATATGCACATTTTGCATTGAACTATGCATCTTCCAAAGATAGACTTTGGCTTTTCTTGTTCTTGTTCTTATTCTTGTCTATGCTTAACATTGATTGATGCCCAATATGTTAGAATAAGTCATCTTAGATGTAGCATAAATTAAATTATCACCTTCCAACATATAACTAGTAAACTCAGGCTTCCATGAGGTAGGACTGGCGCTATTTTAATATTAAGTAAAGTAATAAAAATGAGTTAACTTTTTCAATCAGTTTCAACCAATTAAATAATGTTGAGGTTAATAATCATATCCATTTAAAATAAACTTTCAATCATAGAAAGATCGAATTATTATTGTAGTAAGATATTGATGTAAATTTTATGTGATTAGGGCTTGAATAGTTTAATCTTGCATTACATCTTAGCTTATACTTATAGTAAGTATTGATCCTACGGTTGATTTAATACACTATTGTGATGTGAAGAGTAAGTTTAGAATAGAATCGATTAATGATGCAATATTTGATTAGCTGACATTATAGTATATTGGATTGGCGTTAAGAATACAGTTTATGTTGTAAAGGGCGTTGACAAGAGCGCAATGAGGAATAGGCGATTACTAGACGAATTTTGTTATAATTACATCTTGTTTTATATTTTGTTTATCATTATCAAGTCTGAAAGAGATTCCGTCTTCTCTCATCTATCTATTACGTTGCGTAATATATCTACTAGTGTTTATTAGTTCATTTTCATGTTACTGTAATCGCTAAGGCTAGAAAAGATTGCATCGTTTCCTATTTATCGTTTGAAATGGACAAAATATCTAGTAATGTTTATTTAATTATTTTTAATCTGTTATAAAATATTCAGTGATAATGTAAGCGCAATATCTAAATTTTTGTATCTTTCAGTATGTAACATCAACAATTCAATGTTGAGACATGTATTACTTATTTACTATGAATATTTATCATCATATGATCATAATTTTTGACTAGTTCCATAGTACATTTAATATTTATACAAATAAACTATATGATACAATTAGCAGAAGAATATGCATTACCCGGGATTTTCTCTTTCGAAGTTTTGTAATATATCAAGATATTGATCGACCTCACAGTACAGTCTTGCAGTTTTATTTTCGTGATCAAATTTGACAACCATGTATTCCAGCTACAAGACAATATCAAATTGAAAAAAATAGCAGACTTTCAAAACGATATAATGAAGAAAATTGATAACAATAGAATAATTTAATTTAACTGTGATCGTAATTACGGTAATACTATTGCGTTACTAGTGGACTACAATCATCAGTATATTTTATTAGATTAAGTAATTGTATATTAAATAAAATTAGATGACTAAAATCAAGCAAATTGATACACAACTGATAATTGACAACTGTTCTCTTTGTTTAGATAGACCGTTGCGATTAGGTTGTCATGAATGATATTCTGTATAATAGATTATGATCGTGGACTTTCTCAATCTTTATTTACTTACGACGTTCATCAATTAATCGATGATGTTAAAGGTTAACTGAAATGTTTTAATATCAGTTGAGACAGCGTCATGAATTGGTAATGCTCTTATGAATGACATTGTATATATAGTAGATTGTTTGATATTAGTTGTTGCTAAAACGCTACTGTATTATATTGATTATCTATCTATTTATCTACCTGTTAACGCAGGCTAATATGTACGCGTATAGTTACCCATTACAGTAATAATAGTGACCTTAAATTTTCTCGATCATTATTTACAGATAACATTAATTTATTTATTAAAATTAACATTTAGTAAATGTTTGGCTTCGGTTACGACTATATAAAACGCCAATGAGACGATACTATGTATAGAACATTTGATACTGGATGTTGCTAAATTATTACTGTAATCCATTGATTATCTATCCACTAATTTTTGGATTTTAATTTTTGGAAAATGTTGTAAGAGTTGATTTTTGAAATTTGAACTTTTTGTTGTGAATTTGAAACTTTGAAATTTTATGACGTGACATGAAAGTTATATTAGGAAAGTTTAGCTCAGAAAATAGAAAATAAGATGGCAAATAGCAGAGGTTGTGTTGATTGTTAAGTAGTTAGACTGTTATTTTTATGACTAAATCTTGATGTTTAAAGGTTAATTTTTAGACTTTTATAATGTATGAATGATTAAGAATTATGTTAGAAGTGAAGCTTGATGTATTTTATAGTTAATTTGTTGGTTTTATAGTGTTTTGTAAGGGAATCATAAGGTAAATTGTGTCTGAACTTTGAATGATTTTGTTTCCTAAGTGGTACAAAGTAGTTCTCTAAAATGGATCTTAAGAGTGATTACTTAATAAATGTTTAGTTTTAAATACCACTGAGGGCTCTGCGAAGCTTATAAATAATAGTGCAATCAGAAAATTTAGAGTAGAGAGTAAAAGAAGATTCTTTTAAAGAACTTGTTGAATTTTAAAGGCCTTCGGGGTCGAACTGTTGTAAGTGAAAAAGTTCTTCTTTTTGTTGGGTTGTTGATACTTTCAGTTCTGTCGCTTTTTTTTATTTCTTTACTTATAATACTTAGAATTAAGTATTTGGAAGGTTGTTTGACCTGTCTCTCTCACGTTTTCTTAATAAATTGTTAATCGGTTGTTTCTTCAATTTTTATTTGATGTCAAAGTTTCGTTAAGTCTACCAGAGTGCCAAGAAAGTAGAATCAAAGTTTGTTAGAAGTTTTGTAGCTTGATTTCTACATATTTCATTTCACTACACTATTAATTAATGATGTTAACGCTAGATAACTGTTTGATTTCAGTTAGTAATTTGTACAGCATCCTGATACATGATTCTTTTGCAGTGTGAAATGGGATATTTTACAATTTAAACTGTGGGAAATCTATAAAAATCGATGTTCTACTTGTTTTACATAAGTACCGTTTACAGCAAGAGACATCAAAGTGCTGTAATTAACCATCAATCCATTTCATTCCATCGATAAGAGTATTATAAAATCTTAAAGAATAATTAAATATTAATCCATTACCATACGCCTGTATCAATAATATAATTTTACCTCATCGCCCCATTTTAATATGTCATTTGGACGGTTTGATAATCGATGATAAAGTGAAATAAACTGGCGAATTCCTTGACTTTTAATAAGAGTTATATACTCTTTAATTTCATCCCAAGTTAAGGGTGTTCCGTTAGTTAATATACCCATCTTATTTTTAAACTAAATCTACTACGGCTTTTCACGTTCAAGTTCAATTTTAATGTTCTATACGATAGAATGTACGTATCAAGCAATGTTATCGATCCAGTCCGATGCAGAACTTCTACAGGCTTAGGAGGCGTTGACTAATTTAAACTCTAGTCACTGATTTTACAGAGAGTAGAGAACAAGCATTATGGCGCAGCCCGATTAGACTGCTACATGGTATTTTAGTGATTCTACACTAGAAATAAATATTGAATTAGGTCGGAGAGACCCAAGGGAATAATAAAAATATGCCTTAGTGTATACAATAGGATATATGAACCAAATATATAAATACAAGTAAGAAAGTGTATACTAACCTAGATTGAATTTGTCAGCCTATTATCTAGCTCTCTATAGAAACAGACACAACAAGTTTTGAAGATTGATACGAAATAAAGCAGTCAGTTCCACACAATAACAACTGTGTTTATATTTGATAAAACTGTTGCTCTGTGCGCTTATTATTTTAAATCCAAGTCTAGACGTTTAGGCTCGTATAGGTTGTATAAAGATAAATGCCTGGGGTGCAACAACGATGTACAAGTCAGGTAAGATATAATTTGATCGACCCTCCGACACTTGTGCTAAACTAATATCCGAATGTAAATTTGTTATCCGACAGATTTATGTTATTGATAGAATGAAGTAACCAGTACCTTTGGTAAGACTTAAGATTATTATTTACATCATAATTACTAATCATCCTTTCCAATCAACCTCCATTCCAATTTCAAAACCCAGTCTACTTGCAGTACATGGTCAGCTTTTGTATTACATATTAGCCTTAAGTAGTTTTATAACAATAATGCATGTATATTGCTAAAGTCCTGTACTGATGAATATAATTGCAAAGTGCCGGTGGCTATTAGGCACAATGTGGCTTTTTACTGTTGTATATGACAATCGAAACCTATTGTTGCACAATTGCTATCAAAACTACATCGCATTACGCAGTAGAAATTAATGACAAAGCCTCATTAGAATATACTATAAAATTAATCCGTTTAAAGCAGCAAGCTTTTAGCCTAGCGTTTTATTGCCTTATAGCTGTGACTTATTTATTTTTTGATCATTTTTCGAATTAAATATATTATACGGATTTACTTTACACTGCCTTATCAGAATATACTATAATACTATTCTGTTCAAAGTAGCAAGCTTTTAATCTTGTATCTTATTCTTTTATAGCTGTGATTTATTCATTTTTTGATCATTTTTCGTACTAAATACGTTATATGCGTCCAGTTTACACTGCATCAAAACCAAATATTGTCATTATAGGGTATTGAACTCGATAAAGGCTTTTACTCTGCCAGGTATAAAAGTTATCTTTTAGGTGCCGATTTAAATACAGTGCCATTCCCTATTTTATTCAAGAAATAAAGAAACTAAATCCATACAACCGATAAAAAATGTCTAAAGCACTACCAATAAGTGCCATACGCTTACGATAGAGAACTATTCCCTTTGTTAGTGATTACCTAAGCGAGTGCTTCTCTCTAACCAATCACAAATTCACAATTAACGAACCCGTAGCGAATCAATTTAATCTAGTGTTACACCACCATCAAGTCAAAGCGACTATCGCTCATCCAATTTTAAGCCGAAACATCGACATTTCTAAGATTGTTGATAAAAATGATAAGAATGAATAGCTCTAGCTCCAACCATAGCTATTATAACTTTAATTATATAATTATAGAATGAATGTTCTATAACATATATATTAAATGCCGATGGGTATCGATTTATACATTTATTGTTTTATTAACCCCAAGTGATGGCTGGTTCTTAACTAACTGGTGGCAGCATACGATAGAATGAGTTCAACTGCTAGTTCATCTTGTGTAGCTACAGTCACATTAGAGCCCTTGATGATTAACTGTTCCTACTTAGTTATAGCAACAGGTATCGATCAGCTTAAGAATAAGTAATTTAAAAGCGACTGTGGCATGCAATAGAATATAGGATATTACGCTTAAGTGATAGCTAATGTGCAGCTAACTGCATGTGACAGAACTTAACTATAATATCATTTTGTGTAGTTACGCTCAGACAACACCGTTGAAGGCTAACTATACCTACGTAGTTAGAGCAACAGCCAACGATTTGCTTAAGAATAAGCGATCTGAGTGTATTATATTCACTGAAAAATTGGGTAATACTACCATAGTTTCGTTTAAGTGATAGTATGTAGTTAACTGCATATGGCAGGATGACTTCAGCTACAATTTAATCTTGTGGAGTTACACACATGCTAGAGCATTTATGCATCTATAATCCTTATTTCAAACATAATGTAATAATAAAAGTTAAATGCCCTTAACGATTTAATTCATTATTAATACTATCATCTCACCATTAATTTTCAACATTCCTAACTATTGAAATTTCAGTTTTTACTGACTTATATTGAAGTGGTAATTTAATAAGGTGACATCCATTCATTGTAAAAAACGCTAATTATAAATCACTAAGCATTAGTAAATTAAAACATTATATGACTATAATGGACACTAGACAGCAATCTAATATACGAGTATATATCCTACAGACGTTAAGATTAACACGTAATAGGCAATACTAAGCAAAGAAAGATATATTACGGAAAAGTAGATACGAGCGTATACTCCTGAGATTTTCAACGGCTAAATACGAGCTGAGCAACTTATAGTACGAAGATATACGTATATGTAATCAATACTAAATCTAAATTAACAATAAAGGTACGATTTCAAATGTACTGTGTAAATTTGCAATAATACGTATGAGTACATGAAGATAATTAATATTATAATAAAATGAAAGTAACAATGTATTGATTGTTACCGACGATATATAATGCAAAATAAAGTTACGTAACTGTAACTTTAGAAGATATTACTTTTTGCTAGCTACTGTAAAATCGATGAACACAATGAGTAAATGATAATATCAATATAATAGTCTTATAACATTTTGTATAAGCTATTAAAAGTTACCTCATAACTCAACGGTATAATGTAAATATAAAAACATGTATAGCATAATGGTTATTACTATAAGTATCGTAGCTTTCTATATATTATCGTGATCTATAAAAACTTGTTCTCTAGTTAAGCGAGAACCATCCCAATACAAATCAATATATGATTTGCTTGTACCCGTTTTACTATGAATTTCTTTCTTATGTAGTAGAAAAACTATCTATAGTTTTCGATTCCATATTGTCAATAAAATCTGATTCTTGACGTTTGCCCTGTACTATTTCGTTACACGCGTACAGTAAATCGTAATTAATCTTTTCAGAGACGACAGAATCTTTTTTATAGTCCGGATGACTAGCTACAAAATCTCTCATCCACTTAGCTGTTGTCTTTAGCTCACCTATAATATAATATATAAATAAATCCAAATTAATTCAAGATACTTAGTACATAATTTATATATAAAATAAATAATAATAATTATTATCCCATAACTAACCAGAAGCTCTCTTTTGAATTAACGATAAATATCTATATAATGAGCACCGAGTGTTAAAATCAATAGATAAACTAGCCAAATAGTCATTTATCAAAGGAACAAGACCAGGAAAGCCGTCAGCCTGTAAAATATGTTCAAAATTTTATATTTATTACTCTATTAACGAAAATACTAGTTTGTAATTACTACTATAACCAATCTGACTGAAATCGACATACCTTCCCGTTAATAATCGTATTAATCGACATAAGTTCATATTCGCTTTCGTCTGGTGGGCTACTAGTTGATGGTGCTAGATGTTATTTCAGAAAGGTATCTCTATTAATATTATCTCCAATGATAATTATGATAAATCTATTATTACTTATTTAAATATGTCGTAATTCGAAATCGTTTACCTTTTCCAAGATCTTTCCTGAAATAAAACATGCCATTACGAACTGCATCTCTCTTTTGTGCTGTTTGCATATTTTCATCGACCTATCGATTAAATTATCATTTAATACATTTTTGGCGATTAATTGGATCAATTGATAAGAAGTGAGACAGTATAGTAGTATTTAGGAACAGTTAAAAGATGTAGCATGGACTACGAAAAATTACTAGTAGTTCATTGATGTAATAATAACTTTACCTTTGACATTGGCATATAAAAATTTAGTCCATATGTTAGGATAACTCGGGTTAGTAAAACAATAAACGCTGCAAAAGCAGCATTCTCGAATTCCGTTAGCTGAACCTTGAGTTTAAAATAGAATTAATTATTTTTTTTTAGGTTAAAATTATTTCTACTCTATTATTTACTGGTTTACATTATCTATTTTATCTAAGTTTCTTACTTCACATGGTCTAAATTCTACTCTCCAACCGATATCAGAATTTGGTGGTGGAGGCTTAAAGCGCATCGTTTGCCAATTTGTAGATTGTATATTCTAGCGAAGGTGTAAAAAATATATATAAAATAAGTACTGTACACTTAAAATATTGTAATCATTATATTTATATGACCTGAGAATTAGATTACTTTCTATAATCTTTAATACTCATTTAATATATATTATTTATCTTAATATTAATATGATATCATACAGTGTTATTTAACTGTAGTCTATTATAAAATATTACCTCAAAGTGATCGGAATCTTTTACATCATCTTGTTCTAGTAATTCTTTGAAGACCGAGACAGGTTCGCGGATAAATAAGTGAGCAACATGATGAGCTAATATTGAGTCCACACCAGCCTTCTCTAGCTGCTCACAAAATTCTTTATCGTAAACTAATTCAATGTCGTTATACGCTTGTCCTTCTGGACACAGATAATAATCTACAGAATCATATCGAGACTTCGGTATTCGATGTTTGTTATTTTTAAGTGGCTATTATATGCAATGAAAAAATTCAACATAAGTAATTGTAGTATCATCCAATATTGCGGTAGTAGTTTAATTAAGAAAGATCATAAGATAGATAATTTTAGAAATATGACTTCGTTCTTACTTCTAAACCGCGTTCTTCTTTAGTTCTATCATCGACAGAACCTACAATGATATTCCATCTACAATCTACATCAGCCAAGAAGCCACGATATATAGGTGATGCAGCTGATAATGCCAACTACAAAAGTATTATTAAATAAATATATGACCATCATATTTATGTATTAACTTTTCTTGTGTTCTTCCGTATATCAGTTACAGCAATGTTTAATTTACCACAATTGGGCATATAGGACAAAGTTGATCATACAACAGTCTAGCCTCATCAATACTACAAGCTTGGAATGTCACCTAGTCAATAGCATGAATGAATGAATGATACGATTAAAAAATTTTACAGAAATTAAGAATAGCGGACGATAATGGCTACTATATTATCCATCATTTTCACATATTCTGAACATTTACATACTTGCAGACAAGAACATCCCATACCATGCCCCATTGCATCTAAGTATATATGATCTTCTTTACCATCAACAGCCTCTTCACCATACTGGAGATGTTCTACGAAAGGTTTCGGAGTATTAACGTCATGAAACACTGAAATTATTGAAAATACATGGTTATTATCAACAGGGATATAGGGCTTTGCTTCAGCTAATCAATAAGTACGATGCTACATTTATCGAAATCTACCTGGCACATTGATAGCTATTTTAGATCCCCGACGGAGACGTATATTTCGAGTTAAGTACCTAATTTTAAAAAAATAAAAACTTCTACTTCGCCGAAATTAAAGTCATTTCTACAATTAGACTTTCTTACTTAAACCGAGGGTGTGAGTTAATAGCTTTCTCTGGGAAAAAGAGAGATCGAGAAGAAGAATTTTCAGTTATGTCAGGTTTGTAAACAGGATGAGTAAAATCTGGGCAACCCAATCTAGTGAATGATAAATTAATTAAACAGTGTTTAAGCAAAGATTACTAAATCAATCCGCCAATCTGATACCTTGATAATCATTAAGAAAAATTTACTTAATTAAATATGGCTGTATATTATATAATATTGTGATAGCAAAAAAAGACCTGGGAAAGGCAGTTAGAGTCATAGGGATAATATCTTCATGGAGTAATTCGGTAATTTCACGACGTCTTCGTTTCATATTAGCTTCAACGGTATTAATTTGTGTTAGCTCATTTAAATACGGTTGCCCAGGTGTAGCTAATAAATTAAAAAAAAGTGCAATATCATTTAAACGGTGATATCTACATCAACTTATGTACTGATACGCTTCGTATTAAGCTGTTGAGTATCCAATAATAGACTTTAGCAACTCCAGTTCTATGCTAAACACTAACGGCGGCCTACATGTTAGAATATTATCATCTCAGATGTACCATAAATTAGATAAATTACCTTCCAGCATATAGCTAGCATACTCCGGTCTCCACGCGGTAGGATTGGCGCTATTTTATATATTTATGTAAGGTAACAAAAATGCGTCAATTATTGAATTAATTTCTATCAAACAGATAGCGAGATTAACAACGTTCAACGTAATAAGAGTAAAGCTGTCAATTGCATAAAGATAGTAATAGCTATAGTCAAAGAAATTATAATTGCAACGGAAAATAATTAAACAATTTTTTGTGCAAATGGTTGAATACGAGTTTAATCTAGCATTGCATCTTAACCTACATTTATGGTAGGCGTAGAAATACATCGTTAATTGAGCACTTTAATATAATGTAAAGCAAGCTTGAAACAGAATCAACTAATGATGCAATGCTTGATTAGTTAACGATACAGTACTGTACACCTATGATATCTACAGTAGGCTAGATTACTATTAGCAATACAATTTACGATCTGAAGCTGACGAATAGTCCAACATTATTGAGAAATTTCGACAGAAGTATATTTTGCTACAACCACAAACACTAGAAGAGATTACATCATTTCGTATCTATCTCTGTACGAGGATAAATTGATCTACTGATATTTATTAACTCATTTCCGATTTGTTATAAAAAAAAAATTCAAAAATAAAAATTAGTACACATGTGATTTACATACTATCATCAACATACGAATACATACCATATCATCCTATTGAATACTGTAGTATAGGCGATTATCACTACGAATTTAGATATCATTATATACGTTATCTTCCATTTTACTATAAACACTAATGCTCGAAGAGGTGGGAAAAAAATGACCTGCTAAAGTATGCCAACTCAATTTGTTGAAAAATATTCAGAGATAATAAAATTAATGAAAACTGCAACGTGCAATTTTCTCTACCTCAATGCAGTATATGTGATATTAACAATTGCTGCGATACGTATGTACTGTACTTCCATACACTTTTATCAATATACAGTACAACATCAAAATCATCATATAGTCCAACCTTTGAAAGGGGTTTACTGTATAATGTATTGAACATTTGCACAAATCAACTGTATTTATTATTCGTGCTAATAGAAAAATATCCATTACCTGGGATTTTCTCTTTCCAATTCTTGTAATACATCAAGATATTGATCGGCTTCGCAGTACAATCTTGCAGTATTATTTTTATGATCAAATTTAACAACCATATATTCAATCTACAAGATACCAAATTTGGGCAAAAAATTGAGAGACATTTTAAAAACGATGTAATAAAAGAAAAGTTGATAACAATCCTACAATTTCATTTAAAAGCGATCAATAAGAATATAGTTACAGGAATACAATTGTGTTACTAGCGGATTCTACCATTCGTATTGTTTATTGTTCTTAATTTATTTATTGTACAGTGGACGTGCAAATTAATACACGATTGACTCAAGTTTTCTTTTTTAATCAATTTGATGAGCAGTTTTGTATGTAGATCAAGGCTGTACGATCTTGCGTCTACAGCATTGGATTATTGGATACTAAACTATTGCTCTAATATTGCTGCAACCTACTGTATGTACTGTATATTGGGTGGGTGAATTATTTTATCCATCTATCTGCATGACTGACTACACAATACAGTATTGGCGATAAACGAGAAGGTAAAAACAACAATGTCATTGAACTTCTGCGATCTTCATTTAAGCGTGCGTATGAGATTAATATATTAATTAAATTAATGGAGGGTATTAAATCTAGATGATGCTCTCCATTCTTATTTGATATTAATTAAAATATGGCAAGAATACTATCGTAATCTGGAAATTAATTTATTCTCAATCCAATGGAGCGATAACCGCTAAAGTACAAAAAAACAATAGCATAGGAATTTGATCGATCTTCATTTACATATATACATACAGTATTATTAATATATTAATTACTCCTATGAACGTTAACGAAATGTTTGATTTGAGTTACAGTAAAGTATGTTAAGTTGATATCCTGATCCACTCTCCGCTATCACGATGAAGTGTGTGTTGGGGAGGAGGGTTCTATTTTTCGACTGAATCATCCGCATGCAAGTCTATACGCGTGTTTTCTTTTACCGGTAGTCCATTTTCAAGCAGTTTTGTAACCTTAATATACCCATGACTATCAAAACGCTACGTCCATGATAAGTGTAGACTACAGTGTATTTTATACCAATGAATCTATTTCATTGGATGAATAAAAGTATCATGAAACTTTATCAATTTCCATTTGTGGCAGAATAACGACATGAATCGTATACATCTGTATCCCAACAAGATCATTTTTTTTTTACCTCATCGCCCCATTTTAGCATGTCATTTTGACGCTTGAGCAATCGATGATAGATTGCAATAAACTGGCGAATTCCTTGGCTTTTAATAGAAGCAACATACTCTTTAATCTCATCCCAAGTTAATGGTGTTCCGTTGGATAATAGGCCCATATCTTGGAATATAAATCTGCAAACTTTGCAAGGTGGATGTGGCGTTGGAAAGATTGCAAAGATGAACTTCAAGCGAGCTCTAGACTAGTTCAGTCCACTAGTACTTCTGTCGCTACAAGCGCCGATTGCTTTCTATATATACCCTACTATACTGTACTATACGTACTATAGCCACTCAGTTACCGGGCGGCGGCGCAGGGGTATCGTCGACACAGTGCACAGTAGCTGGAGCTACAGTACAGGGTACTGTACACTGTAGTCTCAAGGGTTGGACTATCCTCTGCTTGAGACGTGCCTAAGGAGGAAGTGCTAAATCAATGGACAGCGGATGGCCAGCGCGCTACCATACTCACAGTACAAGTTGCCTAGTCATCGTGACATGACAACAAGCGCCAAGAAGAAAGCGAGCCACTGCAGTCTAGCAAAATTATGATGGAGTGGTGAATAAGCCGCAGTAGGGTGCCACTTTGATCGATGGGCTTCTCCATCGTACAGATCTATCATTACTAAATCGATTAGGCAAGATGTCGTACTGTACAGTTGCTTGTAAAATAGGTACGTTGATTATATTGTTGATGTCTAATGAGGAATGACTAAGGAAACAGTCAAGAGGAAGGGAGCACGAATGCTAAATCGATTAGGCAAGATGTCCACACAGTACTGTACAGTTGCTTGTAAAATAGGTACGTTTATTATATCGTTGATGTCTAATGAGGAATGACTAAGGAAACAGTCAAGAGGAAGGGAGCACGAATGATCCTTTTAGTATGTTAAAACATCCGGTGCTACTAGTTTACTGGTCGTTTCAGCTATACACTAGCACATGGCTGTAAGCATACGTAGTTCATGCATGATTAATCATCGTCCAAATAAGCTAGACGTTTCATGGTATAAAATAATTATGCGTGCTCTTAGAAATAATAAATACTGAATACTCATTGTACGTGTATAAGTAAACAAGAAACACTTGCTGTCCTGTACTGAGAACTACAGTAGTAGTACTGTATGTGAACTATCGTACAAGAGATCAATCTAGTCGTCTAGTAATTCATGCTACACAAGTAAAACCAACTGTTCGATCCCAACTATGGTAGCTGCGTATACGATCATCGATTCATAGCTGTAGTTCTATGAAGCGATCTAGACAACCACAACTATATGCATTTTATACGAGCAAAAATGGCGACTGTGCAATCGTAGTTTAGGAACTTTACTCGACAGTTTTGAGTAACAAAGTTCATGTTTCTGTTTGTCTAGTGGGCATCGAGTAAAGAGAAAGCTCAAGTGTTTTCAACTACCTTGCAAAGTGACAAAGTGACAAGCTATGTTCTAGTAAATCATGCATTGCTGCCATACTTCAATACTATCGTACTACACTGTAGAAAGAAATCGATACAAGTTCCGAATGAATATCATGCGAACTTGATAGATCAAATAAAACTTCCAAACGTTAAATAGTTTGCAGTTTGCTCGACAGTGATCACTGTCAAAGTGTTCATCAGGGTTCCACATTCGATTAAAGTCCACTTGTAAAATAAAATTTAATTTACAAGCAACCGTATGGACAGAAGCAAGGACTACTCGAGGAGAACCATGGACTACAGTATAGTACTGTATATGCACTGCGGCTACTCCATGCTAGAACCAATGAAAATCCGGATACGGTGCCCGCCATAGCTTACGTCATCAGAGGTCACATGACCGATATGGACGAATGAATACACTCACTTCGCTTGCCTCTACTGCTTCAAACAAACTCATCAGAGCCTGCAGTGAGTCAACCTTGTGTCACATCAACATCAAGTCATCGTTTGTCAAACGTCAAGCCAAAACATTTCTTTAGACCACTGGTGAAAATGGTAGGAATGGATAGCTTTAATTTTCAATCATGGCTAATGTTATTGAACGTTAATTATAGAATGAATAGTCTATGTACTGAATGCCAGCTAGGCATAGATTGTTCATGTTTTGAATTACTGTAAGCTTAAGGGATGATGGCTGGCTATTCACTCACTAGCTATTGGCTAGTATCCAGCTAGCTGCATATGGCAGGATGAGTTCAGCTTCAATTTTACTTTGTGTCGTGACGCTTATACTCGACCATTCCAGAGCTAACTATCTCTGCGTAGCTATAGCAACAGGCAACGATCAGCTTAAGAAGAAATAATTTCAAATTGAGTATATACGCAATAAAATATTGAGTAGCACCTTCTAATCTTATTTGCTTTTGCAAGAGTCCAGGAATTGAATAATAACATGGATAGTACGTGGACAAAGATTGTTGGTGTTTTGTAGCAAAGTAATCACACATAGACACCGACCAGCTCAGTCAAGAAGAAGTAACCTCAAACTGAGCGTATCAGATGCAATAAAATATTGAGTAATACCTACTTGCTTTTGCAAGAGTGACAAGGCTTAATAATATTGATAGTACGCATACATGGACAAAGGTTACGGGCTTTGGTAGCTTTGCAATCAATGCAGTAGATCCACATGTCAGCACAGATCCGTTGAAGGAGTTATTTTATGCCTATTGCCATGCAGTCTGGATGACTTGAGACATCAGACCGGAATAGTTTAACTTAACAGTAGGAAAGGATCAATCTGATGACAAAGGATTCCCAAACATCTGTAAAGTGACAGTAATTCTACTTCTGTTGTCGATTAAATTTATTTTTATTCGGTGCCTATTCAAGGCCCAATCCTGGTAGAGTGATAGCTCAGTGCTTACCTCCTACAGTATCATTTTTTCATGTACTGTAGTTAAATATCAATCAATCATAACGGAAAATTGCTTTCCAACAGTAAAACACATACTATATATGTACAGTATACGTTAGTTTGCTGTGATATAGTTGCAATGTATATCAATCAAGATACATGCAATAGTGGTACTTTTTTGCCTATAATTTATTATCAAATATCTTTTATAACTCTGATCAAAAGGGCCAAATCGACATTATCGGTTCCTTGCGACCATCGTAGATTTCAAATCCGATTGATGATAAATACACTTTTAAAGGCATGATCATAAACAACTACTTCATTGAAAGCTAAGATAAAGCAATTTACTCATTAAATCTATATTATCAATTCCTTACAGTCATCTTAGATTTCAATTCCGATTGCTGATAAATATCATTTTACAAGCATGACCGTAAACAAATACATCATTGAAAGGTAGATACAAACAATCAACTTGCTCATCATTCTATTATTCACCCACTGGTGGAGCAACCATTTCTACACAATATTGTATCTACTAATGTATCGTGAAAAATGATTATACGGTAACACTATATCAACTACATACGTTGTATACGCGTATATCAGGATAATCTCACTCTGCTATAGCTCTGCCAATTTCCGATATAACATTAATTTTAATTACAAATTATACTAAAGCTAACTAGTCAATGATTTATTTATGTCGAGCACATCTATACTATTATAATAGGATATTAGAAAATACTTTGGTGGTAAGGCTTCCACATCAAAACAATCTACGCATAAGAAAGCGAAAGCCCCTGAGAAGGTATATAATCATAATGTAATACGCCGATAACAATAATTATAATCACCTCTTAGATCTTTCACTAGCCTGCAATAAGTAACAAGAATGCTTATGCAGATAGCTATTGTGCTTGCATCGATTGTGTAGATACTATAGATGTTAATTATGCCAAAATACGAGATTATAAAACAACCTCCAATTCAAGATTGTAATTAATTGCAAGAGCACTCTACAGTAATTAATAAATAATTACTTCCTGAATCAAGTTTCTACTCATATTTCGATCAATTGCATCATATTAGCGCTGTACCTGTAGTTGATATCGGCCGTTTACGATTTTTATGATTTAATAATATTCACTATTAGCATATATAGTAGTAGTAATGCTAGGATATTATTAATTTATAAGTATTTTATAAGTATGTTAAATATATTATTATATTATTAGAAAAATAAACAAGGGGAAAAAGATGCCTTAAAAAAAAACAAAAATGACGGTAAATTATATATAAATTATAATTTCTTAGTCTATAAAAGCCCACATACTGTATATAAACCTAGGACATCATAGTAGGATGATGATTTAATGTGTAGATATATTATTATTCTAAGATTGGTTGCTATAACACGATACTATAGATATAGAAACTTACAGTATTTGCACTGCACTATTACTAAATCCCAATTTCATTGCTAATTAGACGACGATGACGACTTTGTGGATAACCCTAGATTTAGGTATGAAAATTTATTTTTGCGATATTTTCAAAAAGAACAATTGTACATTTCACTCTAAAATTGATAGTCTATGAGCAGGATATTATTGTGACGTACTGAAAGGTGTGCTAGTTCTACTGCCATTATTTGTAATGTTGATTTCTGATATTGCATTAATATGCTGTAGCAATTAAACGATTAATCATAACTAATTGGTAGATAGATATATATAAAACCAAACGTATGGAAAACTAAAAATTTGAAATTTTTTGTGGATTATTTTACAAAACAACTATACCAACAACCGCTATTGTAGAAGAGCACCAAGATCTGGCAAGAAACGCACCGCTACTACTAGTATACTATCTGATTCAGGTATCCAATTTATTACCTTATTTTGTATACTTATTACGTTATGTATGTAGTAAAGCATTATTCAATGTTAATTTGACTTTATGATTAACCCTATATGCTTGCAACTATTATTTAAGATTCAGCTGATGAAGTCAAGAAGAAAGTGCCCAAAGTTAGCAGTAGTAAATCATCAAAGTCGGCTAACCAGGACAAATCGCGGCACGTTAAAGATGTTGACGTCCAAGATTTCTTTGGAAGTAAACCTGTGCAACAAACAGATAGATCAGTTTGCGTAGAGAAAAAAAAAGTTAGTTAAAAATTTGGCATGACCTGCATCATATGCGCCACTTATCAAATACATATTAAATTCATATTTAATAAAGCAAACGTTATTGCACATGTATTGTTCAATTTTGATATATGTTGTATGCTAATTAAATTCTGTTAAATTTTCATCTTATCTAGGATGGACAACTCCCTCAACCAAAAAATAGTGATCAAGCAAGCAGAAAGGTAAGATTTCTTTTGCTAATCTAATATCTAGTATAAAGTTTCACTTTAAGCAAGTACTGATGGTTTTCTTTTACTATCTTTAGCGGAAGACATATTTCGATGACGACTTTGATGAACCCCCTTCTGAAAAGGTAATTTTAAGTTTTTAAAAGTTATGTTATATATATATATGTATATATTGTGTTAGCACGAAATTTTTGTTCTTGTTTACCATTTATTTTATATTACTGTATACCTTTGTAGGCCCAGATCTCAACGGTTGATATAGATCCACCGAAAGAAAAATCTAATAAATTATCTAAAGTTCAAACACCTACCAAAACGGAAAGTAAGCAGACGAAATAATGGTTATCTATTTTAAAACGATTTAGTGTAAGTTGATAGGAATGAATATCAGTAAGTATGATATATTATCACTAGAAATATCACAAAGTACATCGAAAGAAAAATCTAATAAATTATCTAAAGTTCAAACTCCTGTCAAAACGGAAAGTAAGCAAACTAAATAATGGTAATCTATATTAAAATAGTTTAGTGTAACTTAATAGGAATAAATGTCAATAAAAGTATCCTATGCTAATTGTCACTAGAAACATCACAAAGTACACCCCGTAAAAATCAGCCAGATGCCAACAGTTCCAAAATCGAAACTAGTCAAAAACCAGATCCTGAGGCAACCAACATTGGTGCCAAAAATTTAGGTAATAAAGCCGCTTATCGTGACTTTGTTGCACGTGATGGACCTCGGGCTCTTGGATCTAGAGAAATTCCAAAGGTCTGTTCACCGTTTCTTTAAAATTCATTTTATATTACTTAGTAATGGAAAGAAGTGCTGCTAACTTTAAATTTTTATTCATAAATTTAATATTAGGGTCAAGAAAACTGTCTCTCAGGATTGGTATTTGTTATCACTGGTGTTCTAGATACCATTGAAAGAGAGACCGCTATAGAACTAATTCAAAGCCTTGGTGGTAAAGTCAATGTGTCCGGCTCAATTAGTAAAAAAACAAATTACTTAGTTGTTGGACGGGACCCTGGATTAACCAAATTGGAAAAAGCGAAAAACTTTAGTACAAAACAGTTAGATGAAAATAGTTTTTATGATCTCATTTCTACTATGCCTGCCAAGCCATTAGTAACAAGTAAAACAGACAAAAAGAAAACAACGGTCAATAAGACGCCTGTAAAGGTTAACACACCGAAGACTAGTATCGGAGATGACAAAAACATAGATAGCAAGCCCACTGCAAATATAACACCTACGAAGAAAAATGTGACTGAGAATACTTTTGAAAGCAGCTCTTCTTCGATAGCAAATATCAAGCCAGAAAATCTTAATACACAATCAGCATCTAAAAAGTCTTCAAACTCGGTGACCGAGATGTGGGTTGATAAATATAAACCTTCAAGTATAAAAGCGATTGTTGGCCAACAAGGTGCAAAAAGTTGCGTTAATAAACTTCTGTTATGGTTGAAGAAATGGCACGAAAATAATAGTACAGCAACACATAAGCACGTTTTAAGTCGTGAGATGGGATTTACGTTCAAAGCTGCCTTACTATCCGGTCCCCCTGGCATAGGAAAAACCACTAGTGCTCTATTAGTTTGCCGTGAATGCAATTACGACGTTGTAGAGCTAAATGCGAGCGATGCGAGAGGGAAAAAAGGTCTAGAAGCTGTAATCTCTGAAATTTTTAATAATAAATCTATCGCTGGTTTCACTGCAATGAATAACAACAAAAGCAAAAGGTTAGCTTTAGTTATGGATGAAGTTGACGGAATGTCCGGAAATGATGATAGAGGCGGAATGCAAGAATTAATATCAATCATCAAAAAGACGAAGATACCCATTATCTGCATGTGTAATGATAGAAATCATCCAAAGATTCGATCTCTAGCCAACTACTGCTTCGACCTTAGATTTCAACGTCCTAGAAGTGAACAAATATGTAGTACATTAATGTCTATAGCATTTAAAGAAGGAGTAAAAATCACCCCACAAATTGCTCAACAAATTGTGACAGCAACAAATCAAGATATTCGTCAAAGTATTCATAATCTTAATATGTGGTGTGCTAATTCCTCGGGTAAAAGTAGCAAAGCAGTAATACAAACGAAGAATATCAAACTGGTAAGATACCGTATAGAAATATACATTTTCATCCTCCGTAATGACGTACAATTATATGAAAAAACCCCTTTTCCACTATCCAGGGTCCATTTGAAGCTATTCGTAAAGTATTTGATTCAAGCTCTGAAGCATCCAAAATGACCTATAACGATAAAGCTGAGCTTTTTTTTACCGATTATTCCTTAATGCCTTTATTTGTACAAGAGAATTATCCACGCGTCGTCCCTGTTAAATCCAAGTAAGTACATAGCGTGATTATTAACGGAAAGTTAACGTCTTAGTTTTCGTTAATCCATCATATTTTGATTTACGTATTGATAATGTGTTGATGTTATATTAGCGGTGATCTACAAAAAACGTTGGATCAACTAAGTGAAGCTGCTGACTCAATTTCCTGTGGAGATCTTGTAAATAAAATACTGTACTCAACCAATCGATGGGGACTATTACCAACACTAGCAGCATTCGGAAGTGTTATACCTGGTGCAGCAATGCAAGGTTATTTTGGCAGTCGGATAGACTTTCCATCGTGGCTTGGCAAGAATTCTAGACAAGGGAAGTATGATCGAATTTTACAGGAATTGGCACTTCATATGAGGATAAGGTACAGTTTTCGAAAACAACGTCGCTACTACTTCATTAATATAAATTTTTGACTAAACAATTCTTACACGATGAATTTTTTGGCACGTAGGAGTTCAGCTAATCATATTCAACTGGGTATGGAATATGTCCCCCAATTACGCTACTTGCTATCTGGGCCTTTAACTGAAAGGGTTAGATTATTTATTACTCCCCTTTAGATCTTCACCCATTTTAACTTTAAAAATTGAACGTTTTATTATAGGAAAGTGAAGGAGTAACCGACGTCATCGACGTCATGGACGCTTACTTTCTAACTCGAGATGATTGGTCCAACATTATGGATATAGGGCTATATCCGGGCCGGCTGGATCCTACTACGAAATTAAGTAGCAAGGTATGCTTCGTATCATTAAGTACATTCTGTAAATATTTTGTTACAAATTTTATCGGTCTTAATCGATCTGAAAGCTAATCGCAAGCTTTCCCAGGATTCAATAGCTATCTTTTTTATTTACAATAGGTTAAATCTGCATTCTCCAGAGCATATAATAAAATGCCTCATCTAATGCCTTACGCTAGTCAGAGCAAAGTTAAGCGTGTAAGCGATGAAGGAGTAGATGAAGAAACTGAAGAAAGTGCAGAAACCGAGAATACAGAGGAAGAAACTAAAATTGAATCTGATCCTATGATTAAATCAAAGAAAGCTGCTTCTAAGGCAAAACAACAAAGCTCAACAAAGAATACTTCCAAACGAGGGAAATCCTCGAATAGGAAATAATTATTTCGTAATCGGAATGTCTCCATACATAAGATTGAGTTAAAGAAACTGTATTTAAATGAATAACTGCATTCAGTTGTCCGTATTAAATACTTTTATTATAGAAAAAAGTAAATCCTGATCAAATCTAATATCAACGTGCATATTACGTTCCATAATTTATAAATTAAATTTTGGGCAAACTGTAATATTGAATAAATTTTAATTTTATTAAGTAATTATGAGAGGTTTTACAAACTCCTATATATTACAAATTTTGATTCCTGCATTATTTAGCCAGGAGGAAGAGCATTTATAAATATGTAATTAATAGTTCACATTAGTTTAAGTAAACGATATAATAAAATCGGTTTTGTTTTATCATAAAAATGGCGACAATGTAGATTTAATAAGGTAAATTTTTCTCCTGTGGATCAGATTGCAGGTAAACAAATTCCTCGTAAGGTTGGTTATCATCGTTCCAACAGCTGTTGTCACATGTATAGACAAATACAGTACCGAACTCCGGTACGGATGATGAGGGACTAATTTCTTTCAGTTCATATATAAGAGTTGGCATCAGCTGAAATTCAAATACTCTCTTAGAGCTACACCTTGGACAATCAGGTACAGCAATAATATCTGTTTCGGTTGCTGTCATCAATAAGGGAGATCCACCACGATTGTATCTAAATAATAAAAGCGAATAGATATATCTAAAATTTAAACGCGATACTGCACACTCATTCTTTTACGGTTAGCAGCTTACTTCTTAATTTGTTACCTCAGAACTTGCTTAGGATATCGTTGTAGTCTCTTCATAAATTTTTCAAAAGTTCGATTGCCATGTTTAGCGGACGTTTTCTCATACAACTCCATCTTAACTTCATCATCAGTAATTTGTTCAGTTACGGCTCCTAATAACATGAAATGAGAAGTATGACATATCTGGGCATCCCAATTACTAAAAAGCGAGCAATGTACAATAGAATAACAACAGAAAATGGTTAGAGTTTATGAAAATCCGTCCGTGAAGAAGATATGGTACATTTGGTGATAAACTAACCATGCTGCTGTTCATAAGCCTGTAGTAACTTTTGCTCATATTTGAAAGATTTTTGGCTAATATTCGGTTCATCAAATACCACAAGAATGACCGGAGTTATGAATGGAACATCAGCTATCGTATTTCTTTGATGATGAATAGATACTTGATTTGCTGATTCTATAACAGTCTCCATATCTACTTTATTATCTTCTCGTAACACAGCTTCTATGTCTAGATTATTTTTTTCACGTTCTCCTTCATTTCTGTTTAGAAATTTAATTTCAAAAAGTTAAATCATACTGAAGGCATATTGTGTCTGTATTATACGTTTATTTGTACACTCATCTTAAGCTTTTACCCGTCATTCCAATCATCATCACCAGAACAACTCCAAATATTGCTGGAATTTTCGATTTTCGTCTTTGCTACATCTTGTTTGATCTCCACTACTTGTGATCTTATTATAGACCAACTATAATAATTCATATGATTTACGTAATTAACATTAGAAAAATTGGTGAATATTCTTATCATAACGTATGACATTAGTGTACATTGCAATATTTGCCTGTCTGATTTATTCCAGCAATCCTTATTAATACAAGAAAATAGATATAACGTCCTGTGATATGAGGAACCAGTAAGAGGGCAATAAATTTGAACCATAAGCATTTGCGTTTTATTGCACAACTTGCAAGAAGGATGATTTGAATTATGCATCCAGTTCTATATATCGAAAGTTAAAAAAATTTGTGCGTATAAAAAAATACGATAATTTCAATTAGATAATTATTATCCTTGGTATTCTCTTCAGATCATAGAAAATTTTATAGAGAATGCATATACTCGTAAAAAATGCAAATGCACAACTATCATTATGATTGAAAGAGTCTATTCGCAGCTGTACCCCCTTGAAGGGGCTAAAATTAATGATACTTGCTATTCTATACTTAATAAAGATAATATAATAAATTCTTTAAGACATTCGTTTCAGAACTCCATCTAGTTCTATACAGAAGTACTAATCATTACGACAACTTATTTTATGAATGCATTGCGAAGATAGAAACTGTATGATATCAGTATTTAACTCGACATTGATCTCAACATTTCATGTAGATAAAATTCATATATAAAATAAGATAGATATAAAATCAAATCAATACCGGTCTTCCTCCAATCTTATTAGTCATCCAGTCACATGCATTATCTTCAGATGAGGTTATGCAGGTATCCAATGCTGCAAGCTGAACGTAGGCCATGCTTTAGCAGAGAAATTATGCCCTAATAAGCTGTCAATGATTACAGCAAGTATATACAGCATATGTAGGTATGCACCTTGTATAGCAATTAAATATTTCTCACTGCTTTAAATGTTTTGGATAATATTAATCCATCTACTGTACTTAGATATGAACAAAAACGGAAGAAATGATACCAAGATTATCCTGCAGGTTGCAAGACTTTGCAGATAGCAGCTCAGGTTGAATGGTTGGCTGGTAAGGTACCGTACGCTACTAGTGCGCAACTTGCTATCTAGTGTATAATACAATACCTGCGAATACTAGTATTTCTCTGCCTCCTAGCTCTAGACCTATTGGTAGACTAATATATCTGAAATGTTAAGCATGCGCACCATTATCATTACCGGTTGATATGGAAACCGAACATGAACTAAAACCATCGTCCGCCTTCAACATATTCTATAGTATTAAAAAGGATTTCATCGAAGATTTCATTAACGCACTATAACGTATAGTATATGCTCGAGTACTTGCATCAAAACCCGAAGCATTGAACGATTTTACTATATAGCAAATTAATTACAAGAGATACAATCGATCAATCAAATAGGCTGAGTGCTAGTGTATTTTAAAATATTCTTAAAATTATTAAACGTTTTATTGAATCTTATGAGAATCCCCTATTGGCAATAAGATGTTTATCTATTTAAGCAAAAAAGTAAGTGTAAACTTATATAAGTTGTTTTAGAGAAAAAATAGAGCGAAGATGTATAGAGTTATGGATAATCTTATGTTTATGTTAGATATGATCTCTTAATTTTACATTTAAGAGTATATCACGATTAATCGCTAGTTGAAGCGCTACTTAAGGAACTGGCTTATATTCATGCTATTTAATTGCAGATTGCCATTCCAAACAACACAAATCTGCGATGCTTATCCTGGAATCATGAACAAGGATACATTGCGTGTGGAGGCGAAGATGGATTACTCAAGGTCCTTAAATTGGATATACAGTCCGGTAATGATCAAACGTACAACATTTTATTAAGAGTTCATTCTGTTTTGCTTCTTACCATTCTCTTATTCGTATTATACCGTAAGTCGAAAGTTATTTCGTACATAATTTTTAATTCTATCGTAATAGATAACAAAGTTAAGGGATTAGCTGCACCAAGTAATTTGTCCATGAATCAAACACTTGAAGGCCATGGAGGTTAATAAAGCTAATACAGAGTACTATTATAATTGGATATGTTGTCTAGTACTAATACAGTATACATATGTATCTTGAAAAGTGAAACATTCTTCACGTAAATTTTTCGCTTCTCAGGTTCAGTAGAAGTAGTAGTATGGAATATGGAACATATGAAGCTGACAAGTAGCGATCAATTTGGGTTAATTATTGTTTGGACACTATACAAAGGTTGAAGCGATAACTTTATATTTCAGTATTACATCTAAAATCCATATTATTCTTGGAAATCACAAGATTACAGTTTCTTTCATTTACATAATTTTTTTATCATGCTAAGACAAATTTATACAAATTATAACTCAATAACTATCTACAGGCCAGTGGTATGAAGAAATGGTTAACAATCGCAATAAAAGTGTTGTTAAAGACATGAAGTGGAATTTCGATGGAGGGAAAATCTGTATTATATACGAAGATGGTAAGATTAAGTTTTAACTTGTCTCTAATTGAGAATTACAGAATTAAAATATAACAATGATTACATAGTTATCTCACATATTTATTATTTTACAGGTGCTGTCATTGTAGGTTCAGTTGACGGTAACAGAATTTGGGGAAAAGAGCTAAAAATCCAGCTTTCATGGGTTGAGGTGCGAAGTAAAGTGTTCATAGTTATAGAAAATTCATTTTAGTCTTATGATATAGAATCTTTATATCTTTTCATAATCATATATTAGCGTAAGATTTTATATTCGTTACAAATTTGTCTACAGTTTATAACCGAATAAATCTTGGATTTTTTAGTGGTCACCTGATGGAAAAAGCATTTTATTTGGCTTAGTTAATGGAGAGATCCATATTTATGACAACAATGGAAATTTTACAGTATGATACATTCCATATAATATCTTAATTAAGGATCTTTCCACTATATATGCTTAGTATGTTAACACATATACTTTTTCCTTGCTTAGTCTAAACTAGTTAATTACTGCTGCTCGGATACTTCTTGCGTTATAGCTGGTCTTAATTGGTAATAAGTTACAACATCAAAATATTTTTGGTGAAATTTTCAATGATCTTACTGTTGGATAAATACTATTTATCGAAAATTAATATGGAAAATTAGGTATAATGGTTCCGAAGGATATATAGAGCAAGAATGTCATTCTCTTGTTGCATGTTATGATAATGGAAAGATGCAGCTAATGAAATCGGAAACGGATGAAAGTATATACAAAAATTTAAAGACTATATAAAATTTTTAACCTAATTACCAGGAATCAATAAAAACAATGCGTTTAAATTTTTAAACTAAGATCCGATTATCATTGATACTGGCTTGTCTATCTCCACTGTTCAGTGGAATCATACTGGCTCTGTTCTTGCTGTAGGTGGTTTGCAACAAAATCAGGTACCTTATAGAAATATAAACTTTCGTTTATTAGACTAAAAGTTCTTCCCTGGCTCTATTTATACCAATAATGTCTTTTAGATGGCTAACTTTGACTATTTTCTTATATTAATGCAGGAAAAGGAAACAAATGTTGTACTATTTTATACCCCATTTGGAGATGTAATAATTTATATAATTTATTTCAATTAATACGTATTAATTGGATGAAAAAGTGTTTTAAATGGATAAATATTTAATTTGAATATAGCACTTGAGAACATTACGAATACCAGGGAAGAAATTAGCCGATTTATCTTGGGATGGTGATGGCTTAAGACTGTCATTAGCTATTGACAGCTATATTTATTTCGCTAACATTCGGCCTGATTATAAGGTTCATTTGCTAATACACTGTCTATTAAGCTATTTGATTAATATTAAGTGTATAAATATTTATTACATATTTCTTGTATTATATTTCCAGTGGGGTTATTGTGGTAATACGGTAGTATATGCCTTCAATAAACCCGATCGACAAGATTCTAGTGTTGTTTTCTGGGAAACTAAAAATAAGGAGGTAAGTCATTTCTATCTAAATCATCAAGATAGGTACGGTAATTCTCTAATACGATCATGTATATTCAATATTATAAGAATTATTTTTGTATCCTCAAATTGATGTTTTCGCAATTTCTAATCTTCACATTCCATTTGATTTTCAATAGTGCATTGTCAAATATATAAAAAATCTCTTGGGTATAACTGCATATGGTGATTACTGTCTAATAAGCACTAAAGCACCTGATGGTAGTGGTCAGGTATCTTTTAATTCATTTTTATGTAATTTCTACTAAAATTCATCTTTCAATAATACTATGACATTTTGTACTTGATTTAGTACGTTTTAATTTTAAGTAATGCTATTGGCACGCCGCTAGAAACTAAATACATCGATATTAGTAAGTTTAACTGTAAACACAGATAAAATAGCAGTTTATGCTTTAGCATACGTAAAAAAAATATCAGAGAATTAATTTTTATGCAATGTTCCAACCAGATAATTTAAGATTATATTAATTTTATGCCAATCTGTTATGAGCTTTTTTAATTGTATATTGACTTTGCTACTACGTTTATTACGGTATACGTATATTACCTTACTATTCAATTAATACAGCAGTACTAATGCAATTATTTTAATGACAAAACTTAACTACCGAGAAAATTCTTCTGATCAGCTATATGACCTTGTAGTATAGACCACTATTACAGGGCGTGGCGAGTCCTCTAAAATGGTTGACAGATGTTCAGCTATAGTGTTGCCTTAAATTATTCTTTAAATTGTGAAGAAATATACTTTAAATGTGGCTCAAATTCCATGCAGATAGATCAGTACAACCTTGAGCAATTGGCTCTTGATATTTTTATTACTTTTTATCGCAGTATAGAATAATTTGTATTTCTTTCAAGTTTCTAATACAAACTATCAGTCACTGTTACATGTTCGGTCACTCCAAGCTTTTTACAAGTCACGTCGTAATACCGGTCTATAGCCAGGGACCCCTAAGACAAAATTGTCTTAAGAGTTCCTGCTAGAGCCTTTTTATATATATAATTAGTCACAATACAACCGAACATAGGCATACTTAGATACCTGAAAGTTTGCATTAATGGTCAAAAAATTGTCTCACCTTGCGATTGTCCTACGCTCTACAGAGCCCGAATACGCAGCTATAACAGATACTCATATCATTGTTGCATCAAAAGAAGCTTTTTACTCCTGGCAATTTAAAACGCCTAAAAAGTTAACGTCGCTTGATTTAGCTGGTACAAGTAATAAGCGAAAAGATAATAGAGAAAGGTAAAATGACAAACCAAACCTACTCTTACTTAACTACTGTTATGAAGAATATGTTCCTAGCAATTGAATTAAGAAGTTAATATGCATTACCCTCTACGATTTTTCTAAATTATGTCGTATTACCATTATATCATGTGTACCGAAGACTCTATCACATCGACGATGTTCCATCTGGTACTGGAGAGCGGCAGTCGGATAGCAAGAGAGCTCGTGAGGTAGTATAACAAATAAATAGCAGTACTTGATGCTATCTGTATTTGCAATTATAGCTATATTTACGCTAATTTCAATTTGATAGAAATTTATATGGGTATAAATTTTAAATAAATTGAGGGAGGTAGGATCATAATCGATTTACATTTTGGTCATTACAGAAAACTAAAGATCCTATTTGCTGTATATGCGCTTCTAGTGAATTGTTGATTGTGGTAAGCAAGCTATAGCAAATTGCATATCCTTTGTCTTATAGGACTAAGATACTAACTGACTCTAACTTCTATCCTTTTGGGAATGTTTTAAATAAAACTAGAGACTATAATTATCTCACTCATTAATTAAATATTTTAGGGACGCGAGTCTGGCACAATTCATCGCTATTCACTACCACATCTTGCACTAGAAATGAAAAATATGTTAAAATGTCGACCATATAGACTATCGTTGAACTGTAACTCAACGCGATTAGCATTTATTGATATTTCTGGTATCTTATCATTCTTTGATTTGGTAAGTTGTTATAAATGGAATTTCAAGCGGAATGAAAGCAATCTTAAAAATTACCTAAATATTTACATTTTATTTAAATGGTTACGCTTAGGATATTGTATCATCTGATGGCGAAAAAGGAGAACAACTCTCCTTTGAAAGGAAAGATGTTTGGGATATGAAATGGGCCGAAGTAGGCAAAATATTAATTTTCATAAGAGATTCTATCGATAAAGAATATTGCTTGTATACTTTTTCATGCCTTATTTATTTCGCAGGATTCTAAATAATATTCTTAACTAATAGGATCGACCTGACCTATTCGCTATGACAGAGAAGACAAGAATGTATATTTTTCGCAATATGGATCCAGAGGTATTGTTACCAAAACAATAGTGATTATAGCTCTTTAATATCATTACTAGCTGCGAGTAACGTACTTCCGGGGAAATAGTTATATTTATCAATAGATTTTTAATTGCAAGACCTAGAATTTTCGACATAATCTAACCTAATATAAATAAGTTAAAATTCAATTTTACAAAAATATTTTATCGATGTTTTGTGATAAGCTTACACTTTTATTACAAATAAAGGAACCGATTACAAGTTCTGGTTACATTTGTAAATTCAACGATTTGGAAGTTCGATCCGTTTTACTTGATGAAGTATTTAAGGTATGGATTTCTCATGGTCAAAAGATTGTATTGAAATTATTTAGACTATTTAAATAGCGCAAATTTACAACTATGATAATTAAAGTGGATAATTTGCATAATTTATATTTAGGATCCTGACAATCCGACTAATAACTTAATTTTGGATATTGAAACACGAGTAAGTTAATACTGCGTAAAATGCGGCAAAATCCTAATAAATTTGAAGTATACAAGTTTTTTGCATTCTATATCAAAATAGCACGTTATCATCATATAAAATTATATGTTGTGCTAGTTACAGTACAATTATACAAATTAGTGGATTTTGCCCTATTTCATCTACAGTGCAGCTAATATACTAAATTGTATTTGTTTTAGTCTTTACGTGATACTCGAGAGCTTCTTGCACAAAGTGAAGTTGGTATAGGCGATTCCTATCAATTTATTGAAGAAAATCCTCATCCTCGATTATGGAGACTCTTAGCAGAGTATTCCCTTAGCAATTTGGATTTAAAAATTGCTGAAAAGGCATTTGTAAGATACTTGGATTATCAGGGTATTCAGTTTGTGAAGAGTTTGCATAAATTGGACGTAAGTTGTTAGCTGAAAGATAAATCTTTAATTTTATTTCCATAGTGGTTCCTGTAGTAGCATACGCGTATATGTCCTATCTCTGGATAATGATAGGCTAATCTGTCATAATCATGAAGCGCCATTACTTAAAAACGAAATATGACCTAGTATTTTCCCATATTTTAGAGTGAAAAAAAGAAGTTAGCCGAAATTTCTGCTTACTTTAAAAGATTTGATGAAGCAGAAAGTTACTATTTTGATATGGATAGAAGGTATCGTCTAATGCACTAAATTAACTTTTAATTATCTAGCATCAAATAAGTAATTATAGTCTTTCTTTGATTTTTTAAATACTGATACCTAATAGATTTCTTACAGTTTTGTGAATTTATTGAAGATTTTATCATATAATTGCTTTAATACAGAGACCTTGCTATCGATATGCGTGTTAAACTTGGTGACTGGTTCCGTGTATCTCAATTACTTAAAACCGAAGGGGGTGGAGGTGATGATAATTTGGTGAGGCAATCACATAACGCAATCGGCGATTACTATGCAGATCGGCATCGTTGGTTAGTACTATAAATAAGGTTTAGAATAGATCTTCTAAGCACTTGTAAAGATTTTTATCATAAATATTTTTTCGATAAGTATAAATGCAAATGATATTAGTTTCATATTACCTTGCTTGTAGATAAATTTTTATGATATACTCGTATATGATGCCTTATACTTGTAACAGATCGTTAAACCTTGTACTATATAATGAAATTAACAATGATAATATTTGTACTACTTTGTTGAAAAAATTTCACTAGAATTCAAATATAAATATACTCATAACATAGCATTCATTCAATTATCAGCTATATTTATTCGATTGGTCTTTTAATCTAAAATTGTTATGTTCTTTCATTGGTGTTGGGCTTAATTGATATCAGGCGCGATGCAATTCGACAATATGTAGTGGGACATAATCAGAATCGTTTAGCGGAATGTTACTACATGTTAGAAGATTTTGAAGGTTTAGATAATTTAATGAATTCTGTACCTGAAAATCATCCTCTACTAGCTGTAAGTAATTCTAGGATACTCTTCTATTAGTATTACAAGTTAATGGCATTAAATTTTCATTAATGTATTTTATTCAATCTATCTATAATGTTGTTTGTTATAATTAAGAATTGTCTATTCCTTACAGGAAATAGGGAATATGTTTTTCACCGTTGGGATGTGTGAACCAGCTGTTCGATCTTACATGAAGGTATATATTGTATTTTTAATAAATAAAATTGATTAAATCCATATTAAGTGGTGTTTGTTAACTCCATTTTAGTGTGGTAAAATAAAGATGGCAATTGATACATGCGTAAATTTAAATCAATGGGATCAAGCGGTTAATTTAGCTCGTGCCAATAATATGAAGGAAATTGATAATTTATTAGCAAAGTATGCTTCTCACTTGCTTGAAAAGAGCAAAGTATTAAATGCCATCGAATTATATCGTAAAGCAAGTCGCCACGTCCAAGCTGCTAAATTGTTATACCAGGTACTATACATATGCGATATTGTGGGAAAAAATTTGACCTGAAAAATTCTTGTGATGATATTAAATTAAAATAACTCCAGCCAAATATTATAAACACTAAAAATTAATTTACTATCATTGCTTAATTTAATTTCGACAGTTGGCTAAAGAAAGTGCTGCAGTTGGCAATAAACCAATGCGAACTAAGAAATTATACGTATTAGCCGCATTGATGGTATGATATCTACCTTATATTATAAGACTATACTATGTATTACGGTACTTCAAGTGAAATATAATAATTCATTGAAGTTTATTTCAAATAATTCTTAATTAGAAATTGCTTGAATTAAAATTCTTTAGGTGGAGAATCATGTTTCTTATATGAAACAACGTGTACAAGGAACATCTGGACAAGACAATGTAAATTTTAGATTGCCAATTATCAATTACTTTATTACTTCTTTAATAGTATATCTAACTGCATGCTATAATATCTGGTAGACAACTGCAACTCTGACCAGCCTTTTTGTAGATGGAGATAGCATGGATGGAGATACCAAGACAATGGACAATGCATGGCGTGGAGCTGAGGTAATATTATGAAATCAATGGTTATTTCACGGAATGATGTTACCTATTTGTAGTGATTTTTACAAGATTATTTCGCAGAAACTTGCTTATTAATAGTAATGTATGATTAGTTAAAATTGACCTGTTATAAAACAAGAGATGTTTAAGGACATTTTGTCAAAGTACTGTATGTAGACGATAATAAGGCCTACAATAATTTGTATAATTATAAAAGCCGGAATAGAATATCATTACTATCTTATTTTAATTACAGAGAAGATTAGTAACACTCATACCTATGAGCTATAGATGCTTGGATAGGCCAAGTCATGAAATTTTTATCATAATTTCCGTAGGCATTCCACTTCTATTTATTGGCTCAGAGACAACTCTATGATGGCCAATTTGATGCAGCAATGAAAACGGTAATGATAAGTTTTGACCTCAATTTGCTATTGAAGATTTTTCCACTTAATCATTATCATATCATTAGATATTTGCTATGTAACAGTAGATTGATTACCTCTAGGCTTTACACTTACGCGATTTTGAAGACTTCATTGACTCCGAGAGAGTTTATTCGCTTTTGGTCTTGGCTAGCATTTCTAATAAATGCTACGGAATAGCATCCAAGGTTTGCTACAGCATTATTACACGAGCATTATAGTAAAATGTAATTAATTGATACATTATGTTCCATGATCAGAAAGAAATACTATAACGATTGCATTGATTTTATTATAGGCCTTTATAAAGTTAGAGAGTATGGAAAGTTTTACTGATAGTCAGAGGCAGAGTTATGAAGATCTTGCATTAGATATCTTTAGCAGGTTAGTCAAGACTAGAATGGTTATCCCTTGCGTTACTCCCTTGTATATCGTAGATTAAGTACTCTAAGTTAGTATTTCTACGAAGATCTAATTTATATTCATCCGCCGATTGTAATTGCTTATTTCAGGCATCCACCCAAAGATATCCGAAATAATAAGGCGGAATGTTCCCATTGCGAGACTCTTATCCCAGATTACTTACCAGTTTGTCCGAACTGTGAGAACAATTTTCCAATTTGCATTGTCACAGGTCGGCCAGTAATGAGTTATCATTTCTGGATGTGTAACGTTTGTAAGCATAAGGCTTTTGAGCAGGAAATTATTCGCTTACAAAATTGCCCGTTATGTCATACGCCCCTCTATAATAAATCGCAATCTAATTTAAACGATAGCTATTACTAGATACTCCTGGGTCAATTTAGCAGTTTGAATGGATCATTTATATTTCTCGTACGATAATTCTATTCTGATTGATTAAGCTGATTCATGATCTTTCCTACTGTAATAAGATATTCGACGATTTCTACGATGATTGCAGTTTTATCCTTAATTAGCTGTATGTGCTGGTATAATGTAAATGAAGACTGTCTTTGTTGGATTCGCTAATGTACGTAGATCTTATTAGCAATGGATTTCACGTAAATGATCCATTCTTGAGAACACGATTCCTGTTTGGGAAAAACAAAAATTTGTGAAGGGATTAATTGAATTGAATTTATTAAGCAACTTCGTATCACTTTATAATAGTCCAATGGAACTTAAAATGGAATAAAATAGAAATATACTTGCAATTCTATATCGAGAGTGATGAATGCAATTTTTTAATTTGGGGTCGATTTGCATGTACGACTCATCTATCAGTTTTTTAGAACTAGATACCCTTATCATCAGTTTATAGTATTCTACCCTTAAGATGTTACTACTATCTATATTACTCATTTTATTATACTACTTGCTGAATTCGCACACTATGGCGTGCGAATAAGATTTCTGATTATTGTTATTAATTAATTGAAATATTTATTTGTGTTTTACTCACTATCAGTACGCACTATCTGATCTAAATTAGTCGATTCTTTAATTAAACTAGCTCTAAATATTATTCTAGCTAGTATCACATAGTAGTCAAGTCTAAAAGCTTTCTATACTGTACTAGAGTCTTTCCATATTGTATCATGACCACTATACTGCTCTTTGCTGCTTGCTCATACTACAGTAGACATAGAGATTAGGTGAAATCTCTTCTCTGCTTTGCCTTTTTCTAGTCCTAATAGAAATTGTGAAGAAATCCCATTTTGACGCGTACTATAAGAGTATTATACTAGTGTACAGTATACTACAATGACTGCACGCTGAGTCCAAGTGGGCCAACGTTTGTATTTCGCTATAGGTTAAGACAAAATATAGAATATTTTATTCAATATGTATGTAGGGCTATTCGTAATTATAGAGACTAAGGGAAGATCTTTGATATTTCTAGTTCTAATAGAAATTGTGAAAAATCACATTTCGACGCGTACTATATTATACACTGCAATGACTGCAGACTGAGTCCATAATAGGCCAACGTAAATATTTCACTATAGATTTTTGACATAGAAATATTTTATTTATAATATGTAGGTAAAGTTATTCGTAATGTATAGAGATCAGAAGAAAATCTCTTCTCCTCTTGACATTTCTAGTCCTAATAGAAATTGTGAAGGAATCCCATTTTGACGCATACTACAGTATATTACAGTATAGTGGTATTCTGCAGTGACTGCACACTAAGTCTACAATGGGCCAACGCTGTCGATTTTTACGGTAAAATATAGAATATTTTATTCAGTATGTAGGTAGTTATTCGTAATGTATAGAGGTCAGAGGAAAATCTCTTCTCCACTTGGCATTTGTAGTCCTAATCGAAATTGTGAAGGAATCCCATTTTGACGCGTACTATATTGCAGTATAGACGTACACTGCCGTGACTTCACAGTACTGCACACTGAGTACACAGTAGGCCAACGTTAGTATCTCACTATAGATTTTTTAGGCAAAATATGGAATATTTTATTCAATATATACGCTGGGTTATTCGTCATTTATAGAGATCAGAGAAAAATCTCTTCTCCGCTTGACATTTGTAGTCCTAATAGAAATTCTACAGGAATGATATTTTGACAAGGTTATGGCCGGGTAGTATACTGTATATTGCCGGGTGTGTGATACAGTCTACCATGTGTATGGGACGGACGGAAGAGCCTACAGTATATTACCCAGGTAACCTAGTCACAAGTCACAAGTGCCAGTGGACGTCTTACAGTTGTTGAGCGAAGATTAGTATTACTAACGCGAAACTCGACTGTGGCTTATAAAATCCACTTGATTATGACTTTATATTTAATAACAATCTAAAAACAAGGGAGAAATAGTATTATTTATTGCGCAAATTAGCATCATGGCGACATCCGTTGGCAGCCGTCAGAACGATAACGATTTAAAACAAAGAAACCAAAAGGAGGAGAACGATCAAGGGGGAAAAGATACGCCAGACAATCAAAATGAAGCCAAAAATAATGGCGGTGATCATAATCACGGTGTAAATAAAAACGATATCCACACGTTGACTAGGATATGGCAATATTATTTCTACTACTACTATTACTACAATCATTATATGGCATTATTACATTATAATAATTATTACAAAAACAACCAAATAAACAGAAATCAGCCCAATAGCAATCAATCACCAAGTACAACCAATACCAATTCGTCAACTCACATCAGGCGCACAACTCGTCTCCTCAATAGACAGCAAGGTTTGGAAATTGCTCTCATTTAGCTAAAGACTGACTTGTAGATTGAATCATTAGTCACTACATGCATTTTATCTAATGGAGCACTGTACTGTACCAGTGTACCTGTTAACGATATACATCTAATGTAGATATTCGTACATGAAGAAAATTGTTACACGTCTACATCAATATTTTAGTGCATGTTTACAGCGAATAGCTTGGATTGAATACTTGTTTTTATTGAATAGGAGTTAAACCTGCAAGTCTTGCAAAAAGGGTATTTGCTGAAATGATTGACTTTCTCATAATCTTCACAGTTAAAACCATGATATTGTCTTATCACGGGTGAGTTTTCATATTGATAATTCCAAACAATTCAGTAATTACTTTTGTCAAACTGATTTGATTTTAGTATCTAATATCAATCACAATGAAATTGGTTATTCGTCAGCATTGATCACCTTGCTTATCTTCAAGCCATAAAGCTAGTGCTGCAATTGCTATTGTATTGTAGTTGATAGTAAATTAGATACAGTCCAATAATTTGATATTGCAAACGTCTACTGTATACGACCTATTTTTAAGATTCATTCAGTAATGTATTGCCAATCAATTTCAGAAAGTCATTTCTTTTCACTATCCTCAGAATAGTTACTATACTGTATACTTGTACTGTAGCTTTAAAGACTACTTTTTTTTAAATGTATCTTTATTTTTCGGGTCTAAACAGGATCGAAGCTAAATTCTCTCAAGCACAATTGCGTGTTTTAATAGAAGATAGATACAACGCCGAAGATTTACAATTGATTATCGTTTACGCGATATTTTATAGAATATTTGTCTTCATTATTGAGGTATGTAAGGTAACATAAAATGTCTACTGTATATTTTAGGATAGTTATGCTAGAAATTACGTGTTTTAGTAGTCCCTGTTAGTGCTAAGTTATTACTAATGGTTACTTCTAGAGAAGCTTTAACAAATAGAGCTTTTACAATGTACTGTACTGTTAAATGGTATTTACTATATGCTAACATAAATTAATCTATAGGATAAGCAGCTATGTTACGTATTAGGTTTGATTAGACTCTTGTGTGCTCACAGACTCGTAGTTACTGTATTTTAACCTACTGTATGGTATCGATAAAGAGTTATAATTGCTATTTTCTGCTGGATTATTCCAATATGTACGACCTGGATTATTATGCAGTCTTTATTATACTGTATCTATGGCATATAGACTTACAGTGTACAGCTAAGCAGCAGTAGCAATGCAACTTTGCCGTAATTCTATTCTCTAACAAGCGTTATCGTGGGGTTTACTTACTCTTAATATAACATTAATCAATCACGTAACTTTATTGGCTGATACAATTGTGCATAGCCCTAATATACTTGAAAGTTTTTAAAATTATATGACGTGTAAATATTACTCTTCATTGAAGACTATTTGCCTGTACAAAGGCGTTGGTAACGGTATGACAATTGGGAAGTTAATTGTTGGTATACAGGTAATTGCATGTGATGCTATTATCGATGATGGCAATACAGGAAACAATCACGGATACGTACAAGTATTTCCAGGAGATAGTTTAAACTGGCAAAGGTTTGATAAATTAAATTTGAATATGTATACTGATTCTGTTTACATTAACATAGAACTAGGTAACATTTAACCAAGAATACTTCTAGTCTTAGCAATGTGTTATTACTACTGAATAATGAAAGCCCTATCTCCTTATAATTCATTGTCCTCTCATAGTTGTATGTCACGCTCAAACTTAACACCGTATCGCTTTTTCAATATAGGTCTATCATGAGGTCTGTGATAAAGAACTTTTCTACCATGTTTTTCTTTCCTGTTATTTTAACAATTATGTTATTCAAGCATGGAAGAACCGCATATGACATTATTAGTGGGACTATCGTTATTGAACGTCAAATTAATCGTTTACCTGGTAGAAATTAGACTTAAAAAATGTCAATCTGGATAGTTCACTTTACGATTAGCATTACTGCAATGTCGCTAGCTAAGCGTAACGTAATTTATTATATCCCAGTAACTAGTGCTTGCTTTACGAAACATTTTTTTTAAGTGATTCGGGCTCAGTTATTTTGCGTTCTATTTCGTAAACCCAATCCGGTATGTTAAACAAGAATTCGTTATACAATTAAAAAATGACAAACAGAGATTTATGTCGTTAATCTTATTATATTGAAAATCTTTTTAAATAAACTATTTAAATAAAATTACGAACATTTATGCAACGACTTATATTGTCAGATCAAAAGGCTGGGGTGATTAATTCATACAGGCATTTTGGAAAGACCTAATCCTAACAGTCTTGATTATTATGATTCGATTTGTAATCAATAATGCATCAGTTACATTTATCATAAACTTCATTTAAATACCATAAATTATGCTATAGTGTTAACTTTGATCAGAAATCATTTTAATTTTCAAGTAGTAAAGCATCTGATTTATCTCGTAATAAGTATTATTTGATAGATAGAATGACTCGGCTTACAACATTTAGTAATCTATTCTCAATTTTAAGTAGCTAAAAAAATTGATCATTTGTTAGTGATGGGTAATATGATGATATTTTAGCTGAGCAGTGTATCAAATTATAAAGATGCTTGTGGGCTTTTGTTAGTTAATGGCTTATCTTCCCATAATGTTTTCCCATCACAAGCACAAAACTTCTTGGAATTTTCAAATAATCCAGCAGATCTTGCAATAATTCCACATGTGATTCTGCGACAATGCAAAAATTAAAGTCAAAAAATCATACACAGGCCTTACGTGCAAATCCAACACATAACCTAATGTACCTAGAAGCCAAAGATTTACCACTGGATTCTACTTGTTTATCATGAATAATAACCGAACGACCAATGACGTCCCAGACTTTGACTGTGTCATCTTCAATTCTGAACATTGCGCGACCGTTCTTATTTGCAGTCATGCTACCAATATCACCCAATTTCTGATATAGTAAAGATAGGTTAGAGCAAAATTCAGCATCTACTTAATATTGTTCGGAAAGCTAGAAGTTGATTTTCTCATAATTGGCTAATTTTAAAGCTATAACTGTAGCTTACTCTAGCAGAAGTATTGTTGTTGCCATGAGGATATTCATATGGATTAAAAATATCTCCACAACTATAACCATATGAATAAATGAACTTAATGATAGGTATTTTGTAGGACATTGTTAGTCTAAATCATAGTGTCTATTACACTTTTGTACGTTTACTTACTTATTGCAACCATCCGATAAATCACCGTATTCATGAATTTTGATATCATAATTACCAGGTCTTAGATTGTCTACGGTACCCTCTATCATGCATTTATCAGCTGATAACTAGAAATAGCAAAGGAAGGAATATAGATCTATGATAATACTGTACAATTACTATCTTAAATAGTTGCTAGGTATTCTTACTAGCTGCAATTGTAGCTACCGTAGATACCTGTGTAAATCGTACTAATCCCTTAACACTTGTGCCAGATAATATTGAAACAGCAGCTCCTAGATGTGAGGCACCTATAATATTAATATGCAACAGGCGATATGATGTCATATACGAACCAAGTACTAAATGACAGTCCATCCGACTGCTGTGTAATTCTATCCATTATGTCAGGATTGATCGTGCGAGTAGCGACAGCAAGTGATGCACATGTATAAGTAAATTTACTTTTAAATTACTTTGGTTAACCTATTCATTTCGTCATAGACCACATTAGTAGCAATTAGAGATTAATCGTAGACTATTATTACCTTCGGTTGCAGCTCCTTGACCTCTCATTATAACTGTTAATCCGGTTGTAACAAGTAGATTATGTAGTTGTGCCATTGGTAGAGCGCTATCAATTATGACTTGCTCTTCAGCTAAACTTATCATGTAGTTGTCTATACCTGCAACAATCAACAAACAATCGTTAGCTAGGTGGTTACGTATCTTTACAGGTTGCAACTCTTGTTATTTGAAAGTTTATGTGTAAGCAGTAAATATACAGCACTGCCATTAGCTGAGACTTTGCTAGATACTGTACGGGTTAATTTAAAAATAGTTATTACTACGGCGACGAAGCATTTAAGCTAAAGCGGTAAACAGTATTAAAGTTCACCATTGTACTATCGATTATTCAATTAAACTGATAGATGACTTACTTTGAGTAGAAAGAAATTTAAATGTATTCGCATAGCTACAAATCAATTCATAATCCTGATGTAGTATACAGTCATGGACTACGAAATACTTCCCTTGGGGAGTATTTCATAGACCATGATACAGTATACAAATATTGTAACAAGTATAGGGTAATGTTTGGACCACTACTTATTATTATGGTTGCATTACAACTACGTATTATTATGATTGCATTACATACTAAACAAACAATATATGGTTTAAGCGATTACAGTTATCCTGTAAGAGGGCGTACTGTACAGTAAGAGATTAGCAAAGAAAGATTGGACTATGGACTATACATTGACTAAAATTCAGCCTTGAATTACAATACCCATGGTGCGGTGCTGTAGCGAATTGTTGTCGACGCGACCTGTGCATTTTGTGATGAGCAAGATCATGGCTCAATTTTGAAACAGTGTTTGATATGGAGAGTAATAATAACTTCTGCTTATTCATTTGTCACTTTAAAATATTATTCAGTTTACGAAAATGATGTTGCGGTGTTTAATAAGCATGCATATATACGCCTATGTCATTTATTGGGATAGTACCGGACGAGCTAGTGTAATATTCTGAAGCTTTTAAATGTAACATGTACCATGATTACAGGTACAGCAGACAACGGCAGAGGGTCTAGTGCCCAATTTTTCTTCTAACACAGTGTAATGGTGTGGTTTTATAGACAGTTGCAAGGATCGTTAACACTCTAATTCGTAGGATGATACAAGCTATGGATATGATAGAATTCAAAACGTATGCAAGTATGACTACTATCGACACCAAGAGCTCACCTTCAACACCATTGAGAGCATCCTTAACCTTGTCGACGCAAGTGTTGCATGTCATGTGTACTGCAAATTCCATCTATGAACAATTAGAAACCGTGTTAGTCCTATTCTAGAATGCAACATCCTTTTGAATCAGTGTAAAGACTTTTTACTTGCAAGTTACCCTCTCTACTCTATCCTATAGTTACAAATTGTATTTAATTCTATCTGTTTTATTTACCCGAGTAGGAGTAGCCATTTTGGTTCGCTGAGGACAGAATTACCGATGGAGTGACTGATTGGCTAGCTTACGGATTTTATCATAAGATTGCACTAGATTACACTAGATTAGACACTAGATAACACTAGAGACCATGCTCATACAGTATGTCAGTATGAGCCTGGTCTGTAGTGTTCTCGAGTACAGTCCATAGTACTGTAGTCGAGAGTCCAAGTACTGTACACTGTACACTGTACGGCAGAGCTCACTGAGTGTACAGTACAGTACATTGTACACTGTACTGTACTGTACTGTACAGCAGAGCCCATTGAGTCACTGTAAGGCTACTAGAAAAGAAAAATCCAGCTCAGAGAATCATATTCAGAGTACAGTACTGTACTGTACAGTCTACAGTACTGAAGTTGATACGAGTACTGTACAGTGTACACTGTACAGCAGAGCTCACTGTGTACAGTACAGTATAGGGCTATTAGGGCTACTAGAAAAGAAAAATCCAGCTCTGTCGGTCGTCTCTGTCAGTCTGTAGGGCTACTAGAAAAGAAAATCCAGCTCAGAGAATCATGTTTAGAGTACAGTACAGTACAGTACAGTACAGTCTACAGTACTGAAGTCGATGCGAGTACTGTACACTGTACACTGTACAGCAGAGCTCACTGAGTATAGGGCTACTACTGTAGAAAAGAAAAATCCAGCTCTGTCGGTCGACTCTGTCAGTCTGTAGGGCTACTAGAAAAGAAAATCCAGCTCAGAGAATCATGCGTGTAACCCATGATCCGCTGGCGGAAGAAAAAGCGAGTCAACCTCTTTTATGTTTCTTACAGTACAGTACTGTACTGTACTGTACAGTATGGTGTGGGTGTGGTCATGTATTGTACAGTACGACACACTGTACACTGTACGACATCGGACTGCTGAGTGTCAGCATGTCCAATCGTCCATGGGATATTTTATGACGCAATAGTGTATGACACTAGTACTAGTGTGTAATAGTGTATGACACTAGCACTAGGGTGGAGTACGGTGTCGATGGACCATGTCAGTGATGTCACAACGCCGAATGGTATCGTACGCAACTGCAGATGCTGTAGAAAAAAAAAAAAATACACAACTACCAATTTCTGCATAGTATTTGCTTTCAACGAACAACATCACAGCCAAGGAGGATTACCTAGCTGGATTTGCTTTCTTGCCTTGTTTCCTTTACTTTTCAATCGTTCAACGTCAAGAAGAAAGACAATCGATCGATAGACAGCCACTCAGTTGTTGTGTCTCCATTGGATTCTGTTATGGTTGGTATACAAATGTATTTGTACTGTACTACAGGTTACGATAGCTGCTGCTTAGGTCAATATTGGTAGTCACTGTCAATAAATACAATCATGGAGGAGGATGACAGCATTGGTTCATCATCCATTGACTACATATTGCCCAAGATGATATTGCTTCTTCATGTCTTATAACACTAAACCACAATATATTGATGTGTCTATTCACTATTTAGAGAGGCATATGTAGGCTAGCAAGTGTCCAATGGAATCAATTGCATTTTTCTACAAGTTCAGATCCCACAACGCATAGTGTATTCATCGACTAAATGCGATGCTACTGAAACGGTAGAGTGGATGGCGCATCTTCTTGCCCTAGATCGCATGTATCGTTAATTCTTGTACTGTAGAAGATTTATTGATGCCATGGTCTCCATTGATAAAACTCGCAAGACCTTCGTAAATGCATTCATTGTCTATTGACCGTGAAACAGTTCATCAACTAGCCTGCTTGAATCATACATATCATCTCAGCTTCGTATTCCTTGCAAATAGCGCCCCCTCTTCCAATCAGTGCAGTAGTCGTATACTGACGAGAGTAAGACCATACTACTGTATAGATTAGATTGTTAAGCCATGAGTTATATGCCTAAAATGTTCCATTATCACCAATCGTTGTATAGGTGATATAACTCATGGCTTACAGAAGATAGTAAACGCCAAATTTCTAGCAAATAATAACCCCAATCATATTTACTGATTACTAAACAGATATCTATTGGCTTATTTATTTTTCTATTACTATTGTGCATTCTTGAAAGGGGGTCAAATAACATTGATACTTTTACAAATTGAAATATTCCATCAACGCTTTGCACTGAAAAATGAATTAGTCTTCCACACGCGTATTTTCCATTGCCTGCCGTCATCAATCACTATAATACACCCTACAGTAATTACCTTTCTTGCCCACTTTGCCCCAAAATCATAAGATATACGATATACAGCTCTGCACTACATACAGTACAAATATACAACAACAGATATACTTTCAACATTTATTGTCCAAAATAACCGATAGGCTTGTATCCGTTAGTAGAATCAATGTGCGATAGACTCTAGTCATGTGAACTTATAAAGTTACACAGTTTTATCGGTCAAGTGGTATAGAGAAGATCCTATCCTTAAAATCGAATAGCTTCATTGATTTATAGCACTGAAAGTAAATGCATCTTTCAGTATTATACTGTACAGTAGTTAAATTATTTATGCAAGAAAAGAAAACTGCTATACGCGAAAATTACCAACATGTCTCTATCTTTGAGTATAATAAATATACTGCAGACTCTAGCCATACCAACTTATGTTATACAGTTTTATCGGTAGAGTGCTATACGAGGTACAAGATCAAATCAGATAATTTCACTGTTTTTTATAGCATTTACGTTGAACCCATGTTATCATATTTACTGTATATTCACATTTTACGATTATGCATAGCCTTGATTTAATCTTAAAATCATGGATATGAAGGACACACACAAACACACTATCCAGTACCCATCCTTATTGTCTTCTTGATAGAATAAATATCATTTTGGCCCATTACGTTATTTACTGTTAGTAATTTAGTAATAGATAGTGCGATATATGGGTATGCATAACATTGTATGTATATACTCGTCTACTCGTACATAAAATAATATCTATACGCGTTTACACGCGTAATGACAAACTGACGGTTGTTGATCTTTTACATAATACTAAAAAAAGTTAATATTTCTGCTAGGCTAATATTGCAGCAAAAAAAGAATACCTGTACAAGATCCTAGTTATTGGTGATCTAGGAGTGGGTAAAACAAGTATTATCAAGCGATATGTTCATCAGTTTTTCTCCACTCAATATAGAGCTACGGTATGATTGACGTCACACTTTTAATATTTAAATGATAGTATGATGCTAATGAAAAATATTGAAAAAAAATAACACCTTCTAATTCACTACAAGTATTAGTTATTACTGCATCTTATATTCGTTGTGATAAATGTTTCATTAGGTAAGTGGCAGTAAATGGAATGCTGTATTTTATACAAATTGTTTCGTGCAATCGTAACAGAATTAGATCAATCCTTATTGTTGCTAAGCTGTACGATACACAATATAGCTTATGATGACAGTATGTATGAATCTATTGACAGGTAGATATAATCGCGCCAACATTTTTGATATCAAGCATTCTTAAATTTTTAGATTGGTGTAGATTTTGCTCTAAAAGTCATTGATTGGAAAGATTCCAATTCGGTAGTAAGGTTACAACTATGGGATATAGCAGGTATGCTGTGTATGTTGTACCATCGCTCTCATATTTTTTGTAGATACAGAATCTGTAATAATTCTCATTTTTAGTAACTGATAATTATTGTACACCATTATACGCCAATATATGTTGTATGCCATAATTAGTCAAATAGCAGTTATTGGTAACTTATTAGTTAACCATCGATACTATTAATTTCAGGTCAAGAGAGATTCGGAAATATGACGAGGGTAAATTTTGCTAAAATATCATTTTAATTAGCCATACTATTCGTAAAATTTGAATGTATTTTCAAGTGATAATGAGTAACTGTATTTCAAACTGCATTTAAGGTCTGCTAGATTTATTGCTTTTGTTGCTGTTTTACTATTTATCTCTGTCCGTAGATTTGATAATTTTATGGTACATTTGGTTAAATTCAGGTTTACTATCGGGAAGCGGTTGGAGCTTTTATAGTTTTCGATATTTCGAGGGCATCAACATTTGATGCTGTGCAAAAGTGGAAGAGCGACTTGGACAGTAAAGTTACCATCGGAGAAGATATGGCTATACCAGTAGTATTGTTGGCAAATAAAGTAAGTTTCAAACATTGAGCAACTACTGTATAGTTTACGATTCTTAATGTTTGACACATAACTTTGTCAATGACAACGGTTGGGCCTTTTTGTTCTCACTATACCTGAAAATCTGTCTTTCAGTGTGATATAGATATGGAAAGTCTCGCAAATTTTCGAGGAACTTTAGATAATTATTGTAAAGAGAAAGGGTTTGCTGGCTGGTTTGAAACGTCTGCGAAAGAGAATATCAACATCGATGAGGCTGCAAATTTTTTAGTATCGAAGGTATTTAGTTTTATAAATTAATCAATATTATCACCAATGGACATTCTTCACGCTCATCCATTAATAATAACTATGATGTATTGACTTACATTTATTGTATTTACAGATTATGAATAATGATGATAAATGTGTGGCAGATGAAGCTAAAGATAAGGACACAGTTAATCTAAATGCAACATCTAATACTTCAGTTACTAAAGAATCTGGTAGATGTTGTTAAAATTCAGTATGTACATACCTTGTTGCTGATAGTATTTAAAGCCTATCGCATAATTTCTTTCTGCTAATCAATCAATCAATTACTGTTTGATTGATAAAAGCAGTATTGACTCAATGATATTTTCTGTAAATTTATGCTTACGAAATAAGATCATTATAATGATTTATGATGCTTAGTAATGCTACATTCGATTCTACACTATCGAACCAATGATATGATAATTTTACAAAGTCTTTTAAAAATCGTAAAATATACTATATGATATTGTTGCAATTCTTACAACTTTCAATATTTCGATCTAAAAATGTCTAGTTAGCTTGTATCTAGTGCATTTCTTACATTTTTTAAAAGTCATATTCGTACTCTGTCATAATGTTCGCAATTACGGATGGATATACTGCCACTGAATACGTTCTTTAATTTCTAGAGATGAAATTGATTTGAAATTTTTTATCTTGTCTTTGTTAGAGTAATCAGTTTGTAAGTATTAAGTTAATAATTTACTATCAGACTAAGAATATACCTACTTAGTTTTAATCGTAAAAATTAAAAATTTTTTATTATTCTAGAAAGAGAAATTTAGCAATTGATTTGACGGTGCAATCGTTGCAGCATGTGACTTATTTTTTATATTCATATTATTGATTAATTTGAAAGTCAGACTTTTCAAATAAACGCTGTATTGTACAACATTAATGTCCTTCCAGGCATTAAATTAAAATGCAACATTGACTGTATAAACTGCGCATTACTTGGTAGTTTGTTAATCTCATTTACTACAATATTAGCTGCAGGAATTTCTGACCGTATACCTTGTACACTGCTCCATAAAATGAGGCCTATTATCAACATTTTGGTTGAATCTTATTACGAATCTGAGTTTTATTTTGAGCTTCGGATTGTAAAGTAATATCGTAAAGGATATTCTTAGTCGGCGTATTTAGATGAACATGTTGGCTGTCATGCAACTTTACAGACGAAGCTTTTCAAAGTTTATACTTGTAATCTGTTATTGGAATTTCTTTTATCAGACTTTCCTTCATTTACTAACATATATGTAGGGTACAAATACTCTTATTAATGCCATGGTCAAAATGATTGTAATGAAACCTTAATATAACCAAAAAAGAGGATACTGTGTCTAATGTCAGTAGTCTAGATTGGAAATATTCTAGCTTTTATTTATTATTTTTCATTGATTATTTGCGAGAAAAGTCAGCGTTCGATTTATAACATTATAACCCTAGTTTTCATATTAAGGTGCTACAATAAATTAATTAAATAAGATCTAACAGTAATTGCAATACTATGTGCAGTATAGATGACATTACAGCTCTTTTGCAAAATGATAGCAATTTATGATGGATTATCTAATTCATTCTATAATTCAATTTCGACTTAATTTCATTCCCTATCAATTTAATTACTATAGTCACCTGCAGAATAACGTAGTTCTTAATTTTCACTGCAGTACAAAGCGTAATCTCATTGCCTGCTTCATTTACTGTCGATTTAGTAATCATGTCATAAGAAGAGTAATTTATTATTTAATTTTGCTCCTATATTATCATTAATAATTTGGCCAATGAAAGATATTATACGGGTTATACGAGTACTGTACATGAATTAATATCAGAAACTATCACCCTACGGAGCATTAATAAGCTATACAATGTTACAGTATCCTCTATCATTCACCGTACACCAAATTAAGTAATTTTTTCATATTTCCTGTACTTTCTAAGCTAATTCTATTCCTATAGAAATAGTTGATAAAAGCTAGGGAATATTTATTACTATGGTACAGTGAATAATAGTCCATATGTTGGCATACACGTACTATAGGCGCCGTTCAGCTAAATAGCTAAATACGTATATTTTAGATCGATTATAATTATCATATCTAGTAAATTTTCCATTACTTTTATTAGGACTTTGAAGAGAAAGTTCTCTTAGCCTCGGTTATTATTTTCTTTTTTGATCCTATATAGAAGTATAAATGTATAGTAACAAATACATATTCAAAGATCTAAAATTCAATATGGAGTATGGATGCTATTGCTATACAACGTCTAGTATACTGCGTCATACTGTACTAGAGTTATTCAGTAGTCCTTTAGGCTATACAGCACCATGGTAATGAATACGTTACTAGACAACCGCTGCCAGAACTGGTCCTTGTCGCTTCCTAGCAATCCAGAACTGATTTTTTCGTCCTACATTAGTCGTACAACACTTGCCAATCATTGAATTGGATACAATCTATTGGCCATAGAGCATTCCAATAACCTCAATTTCACACATTATCAACATTGAAAATTTTCAAGAGTTGAATTTGACGCGCCTTGGCAGCAGAAATTGTGAAAAGAGCTAAAATTTCGTCCTGTGATCATCATGTCTGACGCCGAGAACAGCACCCAGTCTAGAATTCATTATCCCAAAATCCATCGACAAGAGAATGTTTTTGATTCATATCATGGAAAACAAGTAGCTGATCCTTATCAATGGTTAGAAGATCCAGACAGTGAGGAGACAAGGGAATTTGTTAAGGCACAAAATGACATTACCAATGCATATCTGAAAAAATGCAAAATTCGCCAACAGTATCAAAGCAGGTACAGTAATACCAAGTCGTAGATGACAATGAAGAACTTTTAGTTTCTAGTATACCCTGAATGGGTAGATTCTAAAGGATGCAAATCGACCATTTGAATACTTCAGTAGGATGTAGAAATTTCATTATTCTTGTGTAAGACTGCTATGACAAGCTTGAGCCATTTAAATGGAGTATACTAGTCGCGTATTGAAATATATGAATTGAAATGTAGAATTTCGTTATTCTGATACTATCAGACTGGGTAGGACAAGGTTGAATGATTTAAAGTATACAAGTCCAGTTGTTGAATACTTTAATAGTATGTATGTAGAATGTCATTATTCTTATACTACAAAATTGGTATGATAACGTTGAACGATTTAAAGTATACAAGTCCAATATTTGAATGCTTTAATAGGATGTAGAATCTCATTATTCTTGTAGGACTGCTATAACAAAGACAAGATTTAAAAGTACGTACAGTATACAAGTTGAGCATTGAAATACTCTTTAATAGGATGTAGAATTTCATTATACTTGTAAGACTGGTAGGACAAGGTTGAACGATTGAAAGTAATACAAGTCGAGCATTGAAATACTTTCATAAGATATACAATCTCATCATTCTTGTACTGTAAGACTAGTATTGACAAAGTTGAACGATTTAAAACCAGTCAAGCATTACAGTAACTTCAGTAAGACTGCTATGATAAGGTTGAACGATTTAAAGTCGACTAGTCGAGCATTTTAATAAGATGTAGAATTTTATTATTCTTGGAAGACTGGTATGATAAAGTTGAACGATTCTTATCGAATGACTGCTTTGTTTATTCGCTTTTAGATTGACAGAGTTGTACGATTATCCTAAATATGGATGCCCTTTTAAACGCGGCAACAGATACTTTTACTTTTATAATTCTGGATTACAAAATCAAAGGTTAGCTTAATTACTCGTGTAGAATTATATTAACTTGAAAGGATGATGTTTTACTCTAACATACGGGTATGTAGTAACGATCAATTTTTAATTCATGGTTGATGCAAGATATAAAATTAGATCTACTGTATAAATGCATGACTTAGATGAATCATAAATGATGTACCAGATTAAGAAAATATTACAAAAGAACGTCAATTAATATTTTACGAGCAATAAGTATTAAGTATTATACATAATATCGATAGTACACTTATTTCGCAGTCATCATGTACTTTACGGAGACGATAATCTATTCAGCCAAGATATTGCTAGGTGACTATGGGAGTACAGCTAGCATTAAAGAACAAATTAATCCTGTAATCCTGTCACTAGTTCCAATAATATTGTACAGTGTAGCGCAGCTCACCATAATCTATCTACTGTATTGTAGTAGTGGTATACTTGTTACGGTACTATATATAAGCATGCGAAATATATCAATTAGGTCATGAATTCACACTTTGCATGTGGGTACATACTTAGCACATGCCTAATGGCTTATATTTCATAATTATCCAGTGTCCTCTACACCAAGGACTCTCTCAATGGAGAAGGAACTGTGTTTTTCGATCCCAATAAATTATCAGATGATGGTACAATTGCTCTATCAAGACATGCTTTTACTAAGGATGGACAATACTTTGCTTATACTCTATCGAAGAGTGGATCAGATTGGAAAACCATTCATGTTAGTGTCATAGTTTAAATTATCTGTAATTAGTAAGGGAACTACTGAATACAGTGTCATTCAACTAGGTTGACATAATGTTTTAGGGTATACTTAAATTGCGTTCATCAATATTTGTGAAATGATATCAAATATGCACATTTGCTTATACATTCCGCTATCCAAACGTTTCATTGTGCGAAACTAGTACAATATTACGAATACAAAGTCTATCAATTTACCGCTATTTTTATGCAGTAATATTCTTATATTCATGTACGTATACAGTTCATGGAAGTTGATAGCCAAAAGACGTTGCCCGATGAATTAAAAGATGTAAAGTTCAGTTCGTTGTCATGGACCCATGATAACAAAGGAGTTTTTTATAATCGTTATCATGTTGATAGCAAATCTGATGGAACTGAAACTTCGCAGAATCTTCATCAAAAGCTATATTACCACTATTTGGGAACACAACAATCGGAAGATGTTCTTTGTGCAGAATTTCCCAATGAGCCAAAGTGGATTTGGTACGTTTACGTATCTTAGAACATAATCTTATTTGAAAGGACAGTGATAATTACAATTCTAAAAATATTATACAAACTTTATGTCAGTAGTAGGCAGTAACGAATTCTACGAATCGTTAAGAATGTTTGCAAGCTGTTATTAATCATTGCAGCAATGTTTCATTAGACCATAAATTCTGCAGTTTTTAAAACAAACGATATTTTCTATACATTGGAGTTACAAAAAAAATGTTAATCGATATAAAATTTTGCAGTGAAGCAACTGTTACCGACGACGGTCGATACGTAGTCTTGGAGGCATGTGAAGGATGTGATCCAGTTAATCGACTTTATTATTGCGATTTGGCTGAATTAACTGATGGTATAAAGGGTAAGAAGCTTAGAATTTCTTGCGTCATGCGTTAATATGTTATCTATTAATTAAATGTGCATGTTCGTATAAAGCTTCGTTAATGTTTAATCCAACACTATGTAAAAGTACTAGTGTTCGTATAAATATTAATTATTATATAAATAACGATCTTTCCAACTACGATCTCGCTCGTTTTAGTCAGTTACGGTAAAAGTTATTAAATTAAGCAAAGAAGCATGATTGCAGTCCTAGAATTTAGGAAACATAGCGGCTATGTTAACATTCTAGTATGAATAAAAAAGTAGCTTTACGATATGTTATTTAGCCTGTTAAAAATTAAAAATTGCGATTGAACTGTACAGTGCACACCTACACTGCATAAGTATGGATATAAGATTTTATAACTGCAAGTCATAAAGAGACGTTTAATCCCTCCACTGTGAACGGTTATCGATAGCTAGTATTCTATAAACATAAAAAATATATCTAAATCTTTAAATTTAAAATTACAGAAAGATTGCCATATATTAAAGTCGTGGACAACTTTGACGCAAAGTACGAATACGTTACCAATTTTGGAAATATTTTTACGTTTTTGACGAATTTGAACGCTCCCAACTATAAGCTTATTAACATTGATCTTACTAATCCTGATATGGTAAGAGTTAATGATATGAATATACTTTAATACTTGCACTACAATAACAGAGATTCAAGCCTATGCGTACGGCGAAATCTGACTTTTATAAATCTTCTTAATGATAGCAGTAGATAATTTATTGATTAAGGGATATTTGTAAAGTTCGTAATATTGTTTTATGACGATAACAGAATAACTGGACAACTCTTGTACCGGAACATTCAAAAGATGTACTTGAATGGGCAACATGTATAGCAGAAAATAAATTATTTGTTTGCTATCTTCAGGATGTCAAGGTATAAATCTAGCATAATTAAAATGTTATTTCCATCGTATAGTACAGTTGACTCAGTAAATCGTCATTCTAGCTTTTCTGTTCTAGAATGTTATTCTAATATTTGACGCTATTTCGGGCGATTCAATTGCAACTCTTCCTTTGGATGTGGGGACTATAGCTGGCTTCTCTGGCCGCAAAACGCAATTTGAGGTATATTTATGTGAATAAGATCTATATTTCCAGCGCAAATTCTTTTCTTCAATAATGTCTTCTATTTTTTGCAAACTCACAGATCTTCTATCAGTTCAAATCCTTTCTCACACCCGGAACAATTTATTACTGTGATCTTCGAAAAGACAACATTCAGTCTGAAGTAAAAGTCATATTAATGGTTAATAAATCGAAAATGATATAATTTCTGTTTATCAACAATGGTATTAATTATTTTTATAGATATTTATGAAAACTGACCTGAAGGACATTGATATATCTGAGTTAGTAACAAGTCAAGTTTTCTTTAAAAGCAAGGATGGAACTACAATCCCAATGTTTATTGTTCACAAAAAGGTAAAAATATTTCACTATTATCAAAAATTGCCTTTTATCTTCCTATAATTACATATCTTATAATTCTATGAATATTTAGGGAATTGAACTAAATGGTAGCCACCCTACACTTTTGTACGGCTATGGTGGTTTTAATATTTCCTTGACTCCGTTTTTTAGTGTTTCCAGATTGATGTTTATCTATCATTTGGGAGGTATTCTAGCTGTGCCAAATATCAGAGGAGGAGGGTATACACAATCTAATTTATATTTATAGTAAATAAAAATCATCTGTATAGAGCTTATACAATATTTAGATATTTTAATCTTCATATTGATTTTGAAATGACGTAAAATTAGTGAATATGGAGAAAAGTGGCATAAAGCTGGTGTAAAAGACAAAAAACAGAACGTTTTTGATGATTTCATTGGGGCTGCGGAATTTCTAATTGATAATAAATATACCTCTTCAAGATTAATCGCAATCAATGGCGGTTCGAACGGCGGACTTTTGGTATGCGCCTGCATGAATCAACGACCAGATTTATTCCGTTGTGTCATAAGTCAAGTCGGGTATATATTTGTATAATGCTGTTATCGGAATATTATTTATGAATGTCCATAATATGAACTAATTCACAATAATAGAAGTTTTACGCTAATCTATTTATTATTTCTAATCCAGAGTCCTCGATATGCTGAAGTTTCACAAATTCACTATTGGTCATGCTTGGTACATTTAATTAAGCAGCATTTGAGATTTAAATTATTCAATACAGACGCTCATGTAATCATCTAATAATCCTAATTATTTATAGGACCACTGATTATGGTTGTGCCAGTGATAGCGAAGAAGAGTTTAATTATCTTATAAAGTAAGATTAACTTACGGTTCACGTTTTAATTGTATCATTGAATTGTCTCTCTAATATTACCAATTGCCATTGTGTAATACTTGTAGATATTCGCCTCTCCACAGCATTAAGGCCTCTTCAAACCCTAATATACAGTATCCAGCATTACTATTAATGACAGCTGACCATGATGATAGAGTTGTTCCCCTGCATTCGTATAAGTTTATAGCTGCTATACAACATGAACTTGGCTCTTTACCGCACCAAGTAAGCGGTTAATTGTTTATTTAAGTAACTTAATTTCATAATAATATGCTCTCTTTCTCTCCTGCTCATAATGATATTTTTGGCTCATTTACAGATCAATCCTTTGCTCATTCGAATTGAGACAAAAGCTGGACATGGTGCTGGAAAGCCTACGGCCAAAATTGTTAGTTATCTACATTTTAATGATCCAAATTTTTAATTTAGTAAAAACCTAATTGCCTAACTTGATTTAATGATTGTTTCAATCTATAAGATCGAAGAAGCTGCTGATATGTATGCAGTTATTGCCGAGAATTTGAACTTGTCATGGCGTTGTGGTGTTTCAGCGAACTAATCTTAATGTGCGAAGTTTCCTTCTGTCTTGTACCATGCTATAGGGCATCTTTCGAGAATGTGACACAATAAAAGAGGCTAATTACAATTAAAGTAGAAGTTTATATTATTAGTAATAACTGTTTGATCTATTCCTGAATATGAGAACATAATCACTCCATATACTTATCGATATGTGAGCGGTCTATGCAGTAATAGTATACCATAAGAAATGCATAAGGTTTTCTATTTTCCTGGGTTCGAGTGTGTGTTGCAATTAATTCTGTTCGGTGAGAGTGAGTACGCCTCAACTGTCAAATGTTATATTTAGGTTAGCGTATGCTTTAAAATGCAAGGACATCAAATGTGTCATTCTACAATTTCATAGATAGTAGTCTAATAAATTAACGTACAGTTCGTACATATGCTGAATACTGATTTCCAAGAGGATCGGCAAAATGCTAATACAAGCAAGTCTTAAACATAGTAATGAAAATCAGTTAATACCCAATAAAACCATTTCATTTCTTTATCTTAGTAGAGAAGATATATAATCTACATCAATCAAATGAATAAGAAAGATTTTACTGAGAATCATGATGAATGAACTTATAACATGGTGAATAACTCGGATAAGAATCACGATTATTCATCTTAAGCGTGATAAGGATCTCTATTGCGCTATATTGTGCATACAGTAAATATCTATACAGATTTAAAACACTAGATATTTAACGTTTAGGTAATATACATATGTCGAAAACTAACGATCGTATAGCATTTCCATAATTGATTGCTAATGCAGTATAAGTAAACAGTATAGTAGTGGTATTGAGGTATATTGTGCAAAATCAAGTTTAATTGTCGTTAGGTCAAAATACTATACCTCATGCACGGTAATCATGACCTACGTAAGTACACTTGCTTGGAATGATCAAATTTGGTCAATCTTCGCAATAGAAGAGATTTAAAACACTATACATTTCACATTTATACTCTGCTGACGCAGATTAAGACAATAGTATACTAGCGCTGAGGTACATTGTGCAAAATCAATTTACTCGTCTTGAAGTCAATGCCCAAAGTATGGTAATTATAAGCTAAGTATATTTTGTCTAGAATGATCAAATTGGCCAATCTTTGTAATAAAAGGAGGTTTAAAACACTGTGTATTTAACGTTTATACTTTACATAAGGAAAAATTTCTATCGGACGCTTTATTTCTGATCACTTTTGCATCAGAAAATAGCACGATTACTTTACTATAATCTATGTCAATTTTACGTTGTTCGTAGTGTGTTTTTATGCCATTATTGTCTCTTATTTGGTAATTAGCTGACTATATTTTATTTCTACAGAACATATTCAGTTTATTTCGGCTGACACTGTTAAAATTAAAAACTCTTAATACCATATAATCTGTAAAATTATTATAGCATTGACTTATCGCTAATATCTGCTATATCCTGTTAATCACACTAGTAAAATGCCTGTGTTTTAAACTAATTTTATTTCAATATGACAATAATAGTAACGCGTAGTATATAATGTAACATTCATATTCTATATCTAACTGTAACAAAATAATATGAATGTAGAGGTTACATACAAAGGTACAGTATCGTATATTTTATGGTGTGCTATATGAGGATAATTACGTCATTTATTGCCATATTTACGCGTATGGCTACACAATCTACGCACATTGTACTACATATTGGTTTCCAATTTGCAATATACTCGTAACTTGTATTCAAAGTCAACATTTAAAAAAATTTTTAAAACCAATCATAAAAAGCCCTTTATTTATTCACGTCTCGTTAGTCAGTCAGAATATATAATACACAGTAATCAGACAAATAAGACTTTAAATGTATCTCTATTAATGAAATTTGGCTTTCTGTAATAAAATATGGCAGATTCATAATTATCTGATTCCAATAACAAGGAATCAGAAAAAAGATAATAAAGCTAATATTTACTAAAGTTTACGATATCGTTATTTACAATAACCATTATTTCCTTCTGATACCAAAGCAACTAATGAATAAGAGAGTACATATAAATAGTATACATATAAAATTGTATAGTTTTACATTTATTTTGTGATAGCAGTAAATTAACAAAATTAAAAAATACAAAAATTAAACATCAGTCGCTCTTTCTCGTTAGTATCGTTAGAATCATTAAGATCGACAGCTCCAGAATCTGCTATTTTCTTTTTATTGAGTTTATCAGACTCTTTCATAGATCTGTTATATATTACATATCAGTAAAATTGTTATTATGTATTTAATTTGCAAAATATAAAGAATAATATAATGTCAAAAACTAGAAAGAGGAATAAAGATAAGCAAAAAGATTGTAAATTAATAGAAATATAAATCACCAACGTACGCATATATACAGTAACTGTAGTTGTTTCTAACGATTTACAAAGCTACGGTGGCAGTTGCATATTTTCATTATTAAATGATCCTTTTAATTATAAAGCATTGATAGTACTGTAGATTTAGATATTGTGTGATCATTAAATTTATTTCTAAATACTATCCTATCTGTATATAAAAAGAATTAATACAATGATCATAGCAACATTTCATTATAATGAAGGTTGGCTTTTAGAATTCTCATCCAAAATTTTGTGTTTTAATTGGCACTGTTGCTTTAAAAGTAACTAATAGTTTAGTGTAATTACAATGAATTTCATTTAGTACGGTATCGTAGTAAACTGTAAATCCGATTATTTTATTCAGGTAATATCTTAGTAATATTGAACGGTATACTTTTTCTTAAATCTTACGTAATTTAACCTATATGTTTAATTACTATAATATTTGCGCTTTTAATTCGGATAAAACTTGTACCTAATCTTGTTTATAATGTATAGTAAAAGTTGTATTACTTTGTTCTGCAATATAATGTGAACCTGAAGGTTTTGATTTGGGTTCTAGTTTAAGAATGCAGCTTTATCTTAGGTTTTTGGTTATATTGTACTTATAGTTGAAGTATGATTATATTAATTTAGTAATTTTTGGATTCTAGGGTAGAATTGATTTTAACATATGCGATTAATTGTTAGTTTAGTTTAGAATACTTTAGAGTGATATATCGATCGTCCTATACAATCAACTACTACACCTAGCATATAAAAGTACCGTAGTTTAGTAGTTAAATAGCTCAATCGGTACTGAATTAAGAAGGTAAGTAGGATAATCCTAAATTGTAAGTAAATCTAATTTTTGATACATTAATTCGGTTGGTTTAGTCAATAATTCTGCCGTTATTGTAATTCTCTTTAAGTAATTTTTTATAAGTCTGTTATTGAAATTATAATAAATTGATGTTTTCCGCCAAGCTTAGCTTAAGTTGGAATTCAAAGTGGTTACAAATTTTAATATATGCACATCCATTATTATTTTACCTCTTCTGCTAAACTTCTGAACGCCTTGTCAATATTTAGATTAGTCTTAGCTGATGTTTCAAACCATTTTATATAACCGTTGTCTTGGATAAATAAATCAAGATATTCTGGATCGTTGTGATCTCTAACTTTCATTTGATCGCACCATCGTAATATAGATTAAGTAATATAGATATTTATATCAGCGATCATTACCATTATCTATTTTCATATACCGAAACTGTACTTCACACTATTTATAGAATGTTAACTTAACTTTTACATTGTTATAGAGACTTATAAACTTATAAGATCATATAAACATTGTCTATTTATAGTTACCTTATTTGCTAATAAAATTGCAGAAATTGAGGAACCATCGGGAAGAGAGACTTTGCTATCAATGTCCCTTTTCCACCTTTTAGTAATTTCAAAAGTTTTTTTCTCGATTACACTATAAACGCCAATAGCACCCATAGCTTCTCTATAGTAAACCATCTACGCAGTGTTTCAATTATCGAATTAGAGTTCCATATTAGAGAAAAATTGTGAGTCTGACAGATGAAAAAAATTTGTAGGAATTTATTTAGTTATACAATATTCGTATTGTTATGATGTTTACTCTTTCTATATTCCCATAAATTTGTCCGGCTTTTTAAATATATGAGTGAAAAGAATCATAATGATTTAAAGTTAGCTATAACTCTGTATGTTGAAATGATAATGCTACCATTGTATTCTCATAGTCAAGACATGTTAAAATAATAAATACGTATGTGTCTGTGTATATGATATAAGAATCGATTAAAAGATATAGTGCAGGAACTTGCACGAAGCTCCTAATTTCTACTGAATGAAATATATAAAATATGAAAATTTTATCTAGCAGTTGAATAATTAATTCTGTGATACCACTGATATCCCATAGCTATAATTTCATTTCATTCTTCGTATCCAAATTAATAGCTTTCAAACCAAAGTTAACTCCTATCTATAAATTGAAGATGATTTTGCATTTGTTATTAAACGTCACTAGTTGTACTGTGCAAGTAGTAGAGTGAAAATAAAGGATCTTTTAGTGGTCAATGGTTTTAGATAATATGAATAAATCTATATTATTAGTTTTACTCATTAAGTATATTATAGTTGATCTTCAATGATTAGTCATAAATAGCGTATATTAAAAGTTACTATAATTATTCAATAAATGAAGATCGATAACTAATTTATGTTGTAATTTTACCGTAGTTTTGTAACTCTCACGAAAATATCCGTATGTATATCTTCGCCTGATGCTAATTGTTCCCACAGAATAACCTCCAACCATGATAACTTTAATAAATAATCTTCCTTCTCTAAAGTGTTGTTTTGCATCTTTAATTATGCGAATTAAATCCAAGTAATATATAAAGTAGCACTTAGTGTTAGGGCTAGAGTTAGATTTTTAAAAATCGATGATTGTGTACGTCAAGCTGTATAACAATCATTGTATCATGTCTGTTCACACTCTTAATAGACCGCTTGCAAGAAAGAGTGCTAACAGTAAAGAATAAGATATTGCGACAGTCCGCTTACTATTGATTATAATCTCAAACTTTACCATTATGATCGTAATTATTAACATACTAAAGTACGTTTTTACGTTTGTGATAAAATATTAGCAAAGTTAAGTAATTCCTTAGAACCTTATATCCATATGATAGAATAGTATTATTACGATTTACAGTCAAATAGCTCAGAGATAATGACTCGTATGTATATAAAGTGATCCAATTTTTACTCTATCGCAAATTATTACAATCATTACTACAATATATCACTATTGTATCAAGTCATCGGTGACGATAAGGTCTACATATTGAATGAGCTATTACTACAATTACATTATTGCTATTATCCGAATACCGATTTTGCATATTGATTGCTTTAAATAGCTCACAGTATAGATAACTTTTTTATAACTCTTAGGTCAATAAATTTTGTAATAATTATACCTCTACAAATTATAACTGATTAATTTTTAGCGTATATTATTTCGAGCATATTGTCGGAAAGTAGTAAAACATCTTTACTAATCACATCTATTTCAGTAGAGAGAGGAAAGAAAAGTAGTAAGCGGTTCATAGCAATCCAGATGTTTAGTTTAAGTAGTATTTAACAAACTACTAGTAAAAGAATCTATTATACTTAAATATTATCTACTGTCTATAAGTATGGGCTACTGTAGTAAAAGAAAGCGACTTTTTTAGTAGTCACCGTTATAACAGGGATTACCGTTCTTACTAAGTAGTCCCTGCTTCAAGCACCGTGGCACCTGATTTTACTGGTAATTACTAGCCCGTATACTATATACGCATATATACTCACTTGTACAGGTTAAACTAACTAATAACAGCATAATATTTCCTATAGTGTGATTGCTAATGCAGTATAGGGCAGCAGTATTCATAACTACACTTATACTGAGGTCAGGGACATTAGTAGTCCCTACTGAGGTATGCCAATAATCATAATAATGATATAATAGCTGTACAAAGGAACGTAATGCAAAATCAAGTTCGCCCATCTTACGGTAAAAAAACACAAAGTGTATGACCTAAGTGTACTTTGCTTGCAATTATCTACTTGGTTAATCTTCGTAACAAAAGAAGATTTTATAGTAGGAGTTTTCCCCTGATATTAGTGGATAAAAGTATCCAATTATTAGTGCATTTAATGTTACTTGATTTTCCAATACAAAGGTTAATTTTTGTTCGATATAAAGTCTTAATCATAATTCTCGACGGAATTTAGTCTATTAATTTAATGGTATGCATCGACTGTAAATATGTTACATTATTGTTTAAGATCCTAAAATTATAGTAATTGCTTTAATGATATCAACTATCGTCGAGTTTATTGTTAAACCGTTCACAGATGTTAGGATGTACACTAATCTTAAATAGCAATATTGTAATTCGTATATAAATGCGATGATTTCTTAATGTATGGAGAAAATTAGCTATATCAAAAAAGCTTATTTATTTATATTCATTTAGTCAATCAGGTTATAGCATACATCAACCAAAGAAAGAAATTTTTTTTGAGATTACGATGAGTGAGTTCATGATGCAGTAAATATATATATATGTATGAACTAGATAAGCGATATGATTGTTAACTATAAAGTTTATGGATCTTTAAAATGTTCTACAGTAGATATTTAAGATCTAGATTACAAACCTCATTATATGATTTTGCTAATCATAAAATATATTCTTTTGTAAACGAAATTAATTTAGTTTTTCAGTAATTAGTGTGATAGATATATCACTATTTGATAGCTAGGAATCGAATAGATATCAAAGTTGCTAATCATTAAGGTTTTCAATATTCTTATTTATAATAAAAGATTATTTCATTCTACTATTACAAATTAATTCAGTATTTAAAATAACTAGTAAAGAAAAATATATGTTAATATATGAAAACAATTTTTAAGTTATAATGTAATTAACGCTAAAAATGTAAATATCGTCATTACTACGAGATATAACCCATTGCGCAATTTTTAATCAATTCTGTAATACTATACTAGCAAATTAATAAAGTTTAAAAACAGCAACTGGATTTAGTTACGTCTTTCTCGCTAGTATCATTAAGTTTGATATTCTCAGTATCTGTTGTTTCTTTTTTATCGGATTTATCAGAACTTTCATAGACCTATTACAAGCAAATAACATATTAGTGAATTTTTGATCCTTCATTATAACTTTATCACTACGTATAGAGGTAACGCAGTATTATATAATAAGAAACACAAACAGAAATAAGTAATTGCCATTGAAAATTAATAAAAATTTAAATCATCTTCGTATGTATGAGTGTACCCCTAGTTACATATAAAGGTATAGTGTCACATATTTTTATTAAGTACCATTTCTAGGATTTGCATTACGAGATTTAGGTAATATATTTAAAAGTTGTTATTATTTCTAGGCAATTGCTACAAATAAGTAGAATTGATAGAATGACTGTAATGATGTTTTACCTCTTCTACTAAGCTTCTAAAGGCTTTATCAATATTTATACCAGTCTTTGCTGATGTTTCGAACCATTTTATATAACCATTGTCTTGGATATAATTGTCGAGATATTCCGGACTGTTATGATTTCCAACCTTCGCTTTATCACACTATCACAGTAAAATTAAGAAATATTCATACATGTATAAATATTTCGATACTCATTTAAATAATTTCTTTTTTAATCCTGAAATAGCTTTGCAATGCTTTTAGAATATAAGTTTAATTATTGTAATACAGAGATTAATAAACTCATCAGATTGTATGAATATACTCCTATTTGTGATAACCTTGTTTGCCAATAAAACTACTGGGATCTTACAACCATCAGGAAGGAAAACTTTCTTATCAATATCTTCTTTCCACATTTTGGTACTTTCAAAAGTTTTTACATCAGTTACGTCATAAACAACAAAGGCACCTACAGCATCCTTGAAGTAAACCTATACAGTTGTTGAATTAGAAGTCTACATTAGAGAAACACTGTGGACTTAATAGGTGAAATTAGTAGCATTTATTCAGAATGATGCTACGTTCGTATTGCTATGATGATATTTACATGTGTCATCTTTTCGTTGAAGTCTTGTCCTTTTTGAATATCATAGATGAAAAATAAAGGCGATTTCAATCAGTTATAGCTCTTGTAAACTTATGCTTTTAACTGTTAACATTGCTAATGTAGTATTCGCTGTTAATGTACCTATGCATTCCAAAGCTAATGAATAAGATTCTATATAATATATGAACTGTCGTAAAAGTTGTATTTCATACTTGGTAAGTATTGTCAATATGAGCATTAAAATGAATGTTTCAATAGCTTAATAATGAATCTTGTATTACCTTGGACATCCCATAACTGTAATTTTATTGTAGTCTTCGCGTCCCAATTAATAACTTTCAGAGCAAAATCAACTCCCATCTATGAATTTTAGATAATTCAACATTTAGTATTGAGCGCTACGTCTAGAAGACTACATCGTGTAACTAACGGAATGTGACTAAAGGATCTATTGGTGATTGGAAATACCAGAAAGTATGAACAAGTTTATTTAATTGATTTTACTAATTAAGTATGTTTAGATGATCTTTCTTCACTGATTAATTTCAGTTAGCGTATAAAACTTACCGTAATTTTGTAGTAGTCAGTAAATAATCCATCAACATATCTTCGTATGATGCTACTTTTTCCTGTATGGTTTTTCCCGACAATGATAAATTTAAATGAATGTTCTTTCGTCTCCACGGGATTATTTTTTTGTGCCTTTAATAGTTTAAGATATATCCAAGCATATGTAATTATAATGTAGCATTTAGTTTTTAAATTGATTGTTAACGATAAGTAAATAAAATAAAATAAATACGCACGTAATTAGATTGTACAAAGAAGGATATCTATTTACTTATAAATTTTAAAAATCCATAAGTTAGCGACTCTATTATTGATTGTCATCTTTAACTTTTTCCATTTTACTGTGATCAATGATTCATGTAGCATGATAAATTGCATCTTAACATATGTTTGAGTAATAAATATAACGAAGAATAAGTAGTGGATGTTCATAAAAGTGCAATATCATCACAATTTATAAGCTATAGTTGTGTACCTATGATTTCTTGTAAATGCCGTAAAGTACTTATAGATGAAATGAAGGTTTTCAGTTATAAGTAAAGCTGTAGTAAAATACGCGTATATCAGCATGAGAAAGGATTATGTTTGTTATGTAACATACATATGATGTACTTGTATGATTACTGTCTTGCTGAAACCGAGTTAGGATGAGAGTCTAATTAATTATAATTATATGCATGATAAAGTTTGATATAGAAATCATCTGCAAAATATCACTAAGATGAGTATGAAATATGGCGTTCGATATAGTATTTAAGGTACTGTATAAACAGTAAACATGTAGTTAAAACTGTTTGCTTGGGTGCTAGTAAATTAATCTTTATTGCTTCTATTGCAGTACTTGGCCTAAATACTAAACTATTAGTTGACTATTGACTTTTTGGATAGTACATAAGACGAGTAAAGGAGTTTATTACCATTGAAACCCGCAAACATTTGGCTTACTGTACTTATATTTTATTAAGGAAGTATATTGCATCATTTGATTGGTATTCTTACATTGTAATAAGGAAGTATATCAAGTCAATCTCTTTTTCTATTCATTAATTATAATTAGCTGTATAAGCCTATTATTATAATCTGATCGAGATACTTTCACTAGCTAACCACACTGTATATCGACGAGGATCAGATATTTTTACAGTGTCAGAAATTACTACTATCTTTTTTTACTTCATCGAATAATCAGTGATAGTTAATTTTTACTCGTATACCGCAAAATCACTACGCGAATACTTCATCGGAACGATGAATTGCCACAGATTGATTACTTAAAGTTAGTATATAGTTAATATAGATTAATTATTTACGTATGTAAACCGTCTCAATTCAATCATTATTAGAATTATTGTTTGGCAGAAATCGCTTATACCGTCCTACGTAACAAATCACAAGTTCGTTAACTTGTAGTTAATTTCATTTCGTAGTTTATACCATTTCGTTTATACTAAGTGGGCAAAGATATCATATTGGATCGTGTTATTGACAGCGTAGCGATTATAGAGTCAGGCTTTTCTTGTATAATCTTTTCAGCAAATTATATAAAATTGCTCATCAACGATCATGCAGATATCGATTACACGAGTATAAATTCGGTTGACGAAACAAGTCAGCGACAACTTTATAATTACTTACCATCTTTATTTCTTATGGAGAGAGGAAGATAATATGGCGAACACGTAGTTGTAATAGGCCAACAGCTAGTTAAATATGTAACATATCTCATACAACTGATGGTAAAGGGAATTTGTTTACTACTGTATACGCACCATAATTCCTGACGTCACTGGTAAACACTAGCCTGTACAATGTATAATTGTAAATCTATGTCAAGTACTAGCAACAGTATGCGATAGCCAATGCAGTATAGAACATCAATGCAGTAGCTATACTATAGTATACTGTGCAAAATCAAATCTACTAACTCTCTTAAGGTCAAAATGACTGCAAGTAGCACAGTAATTATGACCAAAGTATACTTTGCATAAATTATTCAAATTGGTCATTTCGTCATAATATAGAAGAGTTATTAGACTATATATTGATACCTTATATAAAATAAGATTGTAATTAAACGATTTTATGTCGATCTATGTATCGGATACATTGGGTCTGCAAGTGACACGTAAAATGATGGCCCTAGTATACTTTGCATAAATTATTCAAATCGGTTATTTCGTCGTAATATAGAAGAATTATGATACTATATATATTGACACCTTATATAAAGAAGTTTGTAAGTAAATGATTTTATGTCCATTTATAGATCGGATACATTGGGTCTGCAAGTACGGTAATGATAACTTCAGTATATTTTGCATAAATTATTCAAATCGGTCATTTCGTTGTAATATAGAAGAGTTATTATACTATATATTGATGCATTATATAAAAAATTGTAAGTAAACGGTTTTATGTCGATCTATGCATTGGATATATCAGGTCTGTAAGTAGCACAGTAAGGATGACCCTAGTATACTTTGCGTAGATTATTCAAATCGATCATTTCATCGCAACTATTACTGTATAGGAGTTATCAACTATATGTTGACACTTTATATAAAAAGAAATTGCAAGTAATGATTTTGTGTTGATATATGCATTGGATACATCGGATCTGACTATAACTCGATGTTACTGTATTACCGTATATTTGCAATCTATTTTTGGTCGTTTTATCCCTTACTTGCTAATTAGCGAATTTGATCTTATTCCCTGTATCATGTATTGTATCAGTTTATTTGATATGAGGTAAATCGTTATTATACTCCGTATAGTATTAAACGCATCCACTTGTAGTTACCGGCTTGTTACTGTTGGGCAATTAACACACCTGTTAATGGCACTAGTAATGATATAAACAGTATTAATGATCTACTTCATGGTCATATACAGCATACAGTATTACAAACATTATTCATGACCTACTGAATGGCAATGTACTGTATATTATAATTATAAGTGGTAGATACAAAGAAATCAATTTTTCGATATATTGATGATAGTAAGGTATAACATTTAAATTCTACGATCAATTACAACGGGCAAGATTAATATACCTATAGACAAGTTTGCAATCTATCTTCATGCGTAATTAAAGAATTTCAGTAATATGTCGAGTTTTATGCTGTAGTGTATCGTAATACTGTATATCTAAAGATATGCTTACTGCATATACACATGCAAATTATATCTACTTGTAATGAGAGCCTTTATTAACGATTTATGTAATGTCATGGTTTTACACATATTTGAAGGCTTTAATGCATAATTATAATATAATAATCGTCATTGTTATCTAATCAAAGTCTCCCTGGATAAGGAATTGATGTATTTCTTTATGAGCAAAGCACTTTAAATTGTTGGCAAGATCTGCTTTTACCTACTATGAGAGAACAATACTTTGCTTATACAGTATAAACTATTGAATAGCGGATCTGATTTCAAAAATATTCATACTAGTCTGAGCACTCTGACTAGCATACAACGATCTCCATTATAATCAATTACTATATTTATCAATGGGATATATCGATTACATTTTGCCGTTAAGGTCATAAAATTGTAGTAATTGTTGTAATTATCCCACTTATCCTCGTATTTATTGTTGTTGTACTGTTCACAAAAGCTAGATCGCATAGTGTATACTGATTGCCAACCATAAGGATTCGCTATCTAATGCAAATATTTCCTAAACTTTCTAATGGAAGCAATCAATTACGTATATCAATAAAAAAATTTTGTTTATTTGTATCAGTTTAGTCAATCAGGATACAATATACATCAATCAAACAAATAAGATCATGATGAGGAAGTCATGATACAATGAATAATGCTGACAAGCATCACATTTATTAACTATACAATTTAAAGATCGCTAATACGTTATACAGTAAAATACCTAGAATTTCAATTATAAATTGGATTTTAAAATTTTGTTCAATTGCAACATGTGCTCTAGAAACGAAATTAACTTAACTTCTGTGATAAAATGTGGTAGATACATCGTTATCTGATACCGGTACTAAGAATTTGAAAAAGATATCAGAATTGACAGTAATCGTGTTTTCAGTATTATGTATAAAAAAAAGTTATTTCTATCAAGTATTACAGGTTCCTAATATTTTATGTTTAAGGTAACTAATGACTAAGCAGGTCAACACTGATGGTATATGTATACAATTTTAATGTTATACTATAATTATTGGCTAAACACGTATGCATCATTATCAGTGAGCAATATATTCCATTATACAACTTCATTTTGTTTTGTTTTTTCTTAGTAGCAGTAAATTAATAAAATTAGAAACAGCATGAACTAGATTTAGTTCCTTCTTTCTCGTTAGTATTATTAAGATTGACCCGTTCAGGATCTGCAGTCTCTTTCCCGTCAAATTTAGTCGATTTTTCGTAGATCTATCATTATACATTAAAGGATTTTGTTAATTTTTTGATCCCTAGTTATTATAGTGTATATTCAATTGCAATGTACAAAATATGTGAAATAACGTAATTCTACGAGTATGTATGAGAAAAAGGAATAGAAAATATAAGCAATTACTATTACAGATAGATAAAAATATAAATTAACAGCGCATCTATGGGGACATATTTAGTTACGTAAATATACAGTGTTACTCTATATTCTTAATAGGTAACGTAGATTATTCTTAGGATCATGAGATATAGGAGAACATTTAAAAATTCTATATGGTATTATTTCTAAATAATATCGTGCTATAGAATAGAGAAAGGAAATTTATGAAACAGCTATAAAAATGCTTTACCTCTTCTACTAAACTTCTAAAGGCTTTGTCAATATTTACGTTAGTTTTAGCTGAGGTTTCGAACCATTTTATATAACCATTGTCCTGGATAAATTTGTCGAGATACTCTGGATCATTATGATCTCCGATCTTTGCTTTATCACACTATCATTGTAAAATTAAAGAATGTTTATATGCATATTAAAGGGTATTAAAATAATTTATTCTATGTTACGGAGTTACGCTCAAATAATTTCTTGCAATATTTTATGAAAGATAAACTTAATTGCTATGCAACAGATGATAATATAGTATACTCATCAGCTCGTATTAATGTTGTCTTATTTTAACAACCTTGTTTGCTAATAAAACGACAGGGACGGTGGAACCATCGGGAAGAAAAACTTTATTATCGACATCATCTTTCCACTTTTTAGTACTTTCAAAAGTTTTCGTATCGGTTATGTCATAAACAACAACGGCACCGACAGCGTCTTTAAAGTAAACCTATAAAGTATTATGTTATTAAATCAAAATTTAAGTAAGAGAAATATTGCGAGTCTAGTTAGTGAAATTATTCCTAATTGAGTAATGGTAATATACACGTATATACCCTTGTCATTTTTTCGTAATTATCTTGTCCTTTGTCGTATATCGTAAAAGTAAAAGAGAAAAACAAGACAGATTGAGTCAGATATAATTCTATTTTCTGGAACGTATTTTAAATAAGCGCACGACTCAGTAGTTCATAAAAAGATATATACGTGTAATGTTATAATACTGTAGGTTTCGTTGAGTATTAATGTTACAAATATGAGTTCTAAATTTTAGTAATTGAATGGTTAGACTAATCTTACCTGCGATATCCCATAGTTGTAGTTTTATTACAGTCTCTGCGTCCCAATTAATAACTTTCAGTGCAAAGTCCACGCCAATCTATGAATTCATGATTGTTTAAGCATTTAGTATTGAACACTTCTTGTACCGTAATACAGCTAACAGAAAGCACGTGAATAAAAAAGGATCTACTATAATATAATTAGAGGTATTGGAAGGTATAGATCAGGGGTGCTGAAATTGTTTAATTAATAAAGATTAGTAGCTAGTCTTTGTTGTAATATTACCGTGGCTTTGTAGTTTTCACTGAAGTATTGGTGAACATATCTTCGGATGATACTGGTTTTTCCGGTAAATTTGCTTCCCACAACGATAATTTTAAATAAGTGTTCTTTCTTCTCTGTACTATTGTTTTGAGCCTTTCATTGCATGAGATAAATTAAAGGGTATATAAAATTAGTTTTTAGTATTTAAAAAGGGAATAAAATGGTAAAAACTGTATCCAGGATCGGGTACACATATTACTGTTTTAATTGGTAGAACGCTAACTATACTTTTATAATCCTTGGTAGGTTATAGATTACAGTATAAGTAAAACAGTCTGTATTATATATTGTTTATAATTATCTTTTACTTTAACATGATCATTAACATGGTAAATCATACGTATCTTAATGTTTCTATTCTATTATACATTGAATATCATTTTAAACTTTATCATCATCATTGATATAACATAACGTTTCTATACCATATTAAATATTATCTTAAACTTTAGCTTGATCGTAACGTTTCTATTACTCACTGATTCATTATCATCTTAAACTTTGTCAATATCCTTGACATGATAAATTCTTATCTTACACGTATGTGAGTGATCCATAGCATCAAGTGTAGAATACGCATACGATACAAATACACGTAAATAATATTATACGACAAGCACGCTCCAGTGATAAATAGCTCCATTAAACTGTAATAGAGTATACTCTACCACTATAGTGCATAATCAAGAGAGAATCATTGCATAGAAATTCTACAGCAGAATACTGGGTATATGCGTCATTGCGATCAGTATAAAGTATGATATATGATATAGTATGTAAAAAAAATAGTAATTGTCAATGCTCAGCATGTATAGTAAGTATTTTGCTTTTGCTAGCGGGTTGATCAGCGACTATTCTTGACTATATTTAGAACAGTAGTTAGGTCGTTTCTGATATTTGTAGTTCAGTGTCACGTTGATGAATTTCTAAAGTAGCTAGATTGCTATCCTTCCATGTAACGGCTATACCTTATTAAAAGAAAAAGGTATAATAAAGCAATATTTAGCTGTTTATGAGACAGTAATTATCATGATTATCTATTAGGGGTAGCTCTTGGTTAGGCATAGAATAAGGTGTATTTTGCTGCTGATCCATTAATCCAACATACAGCATTTTGTATTTTCCTGTCATGAGTAATGATACAAATTGAAAGCTCATCCATCCTCTACTTTGGTATGCTCCATTGCTACTCCTATCGCGGTGAATTCAATGGTTGATTACTGCATACTGTACTAATTGCATCTATATTTGTCTCTTGTAGAAAGATATTTATACTGTAACTCTTCTAGTTCATCATCAGTGTACTGGTCGGAAAATAATTGGACTAGCATCCTACGTTAGGGATAATTTTATGAGCAGAAGTTCATTAATTGGTAGTTCATAATACGAATCATGTCATTTGCCTTACTCCTGTATTAGTACAGTACGAATGCTATTTATTTACAGAGGGAGAAATTTTGAAGTCAAGCTTTTCTTGTAATAACTTTCATGTCATTTTTACGCCAACTATAAAAGATTTCTCATAAGTAGTGATGGATGGTATCGATTATATATATATATTAATGGATTTAATAAGCTTATTAAAACATAAAGTACTCACCATCTTCGGTTTATGGGGAAAAAACCAAGAGAAGTGGCAGAAATTTTCCAACAGTTTGTATACGTAGTTCCTGACCAGGATAGTAAAACAACTGACAAGCACGGGGTACTGCGTCTCCAGGTACTGGAAACATTATGTCATGACGCTGGTCTACAGTACGCTTCCATCGTACAGTACAGTACCGTGTTGCAAAATACAGTACTGTACACTGTACCGTACCGTACACTGGTGGGTTATTGATCAAGTCATTTAGTATGACAATCCATGGTACTGTACTTGGTACTTTAAAGTACAGTACGGTACTGTACACCGTAGTGACGATGCTACCGTCAGTCTCTCTGTCAATCTGTTGGTTATTGACTGGAATTTGCTGTTGTGTAGGACTGCAGGGGGAGAAACGCGGAGTCGACGATGTTCAAATTTAGGTTTCATTGTATTATATCACCAGAAAGAAAGCTACTGGGAGTCTAAAAGAAACCTAATGATGTGGCTAAATAACTAGGGGAAACAGTAGCTTTTCTATTACCTTTCTATTTGCTACCAGCTAATAATGCAAGCCGATAGAACTGAGCGATATAGAACATCGCTCAGCGTAGGCAGTGTCACAGCGCACACAGGAAAAATAAATAAACAGCTGGAACTATTATTTTGATTCTATTCTCGTGACTTTGTCAGCTATACAGTACAGCACTGTACCAAACCATTGAAAATGGCTTTTATTGCAGCTTACGATTTCATTAAGTGAACTATAAATAATTTAAGGTCAAAAAGTCGCCTACTACTGCCTGAAATAAAAAAGAGAGCTAGGTATCACGCCAATTAGGTAATGACGCTTGTGCTCTATTTCATGCATCACTAAAAATGAAATAATTATATTCTGATCTCTTCTCAGTGAAATACACAGTAATTTATGGAAAAAAAAAGATTGAGTTTTTTTTTCTTTTTACCTGTACTGTATGTGGCCCACTGAATGGTAGCCTGTTGTCTACATGTCGGTTGCTTTAGTACATATTCGCAGCTGAGCAAGTAGGCATGTGCTGCGAAAGGAATCTCTTTTATACTAATATTACTTGCAATAGCGTCGATTGATCAATGAGATTCCATTACTGTGCAATACAACTGGGCGCTTATATCAGTATTGTACTGTACACTATACAATAATTTAACATTCCTCAATATTTGGGATCAGATTGGTCCTATCACAATTCAAACTTCAGATTTTGGATATTATTTGGATTGGGATCAAGCGTGCAGAGATATTGTCAGTAAGTTGATTAGCTGCTAGCCTGCTACAGCAGACTTGCACTTTGCACAGTCGACTATCTGCCTTGTCTACCCATCGTGTCTGTGGTTGGTTTGACGGCACAGGCCAATCACTTTCAACTGAATACAGAACTGTACTGTGCCGTCTGTCTATCCAACGCATACGGTGCAGATTAGTCCGAATCCTGTAGATAGTCGATGACATCGTATGCAAAAGAGAAGAAAAAAAAAAATCTTTTTTTTTATTATTATTATCATGATTGTTAATTATGAATGATATTAATAAATCAATTAATATCACGGCCTAATTGGAAGTACAGTAAGCAGTAGTTCACTGTACTTTACAGTTATTCCTTGAGGTCGGGAACGACAGTGTACAATACCTACAGTACAGTAGTGTTTCAGTCCACTCGTCATGGCCTACAGTACATTGTACTGTACTGTAGAGTACAGTACTGTACAGTGTACAGTACACTGTATGGTTCTGACCTGGCTGTACTGTACACTGTACACTGTACCCTGTGGACACTGCACGGTATGGGTATTTATAAAGATTCAAGCAATCCCAAAGCATCAACCAGTTCATAGTGTCTTCTACTGTAGTATACGGTGTTACGTCGACATAGAGCCAATCGCCAATTTTGAAAGCATCCACTACTGATACTGACAATTAATTAATTTATACCTCAATCGGAAAAGGCTGTTGATCCTATGTCGATTTTAAAGCGCTAAATTTCCTCCTTTTGAACTGCTATTCATACAACATCGAGAAGATGACTTCGTTGCATGTAGCAGTCTGTCCTTTACCTTTATCGCGAAATCAATTATATCAACGGTAAGTTGGTGGAGAGCTCTTTTTACCTTGGTCTAGCCTATTTCTTTGCTTCTTCTTTCCATCCTATACTGTACAATAGATTCAGGTCGGTGGTCTAGGGCAGTATGTCTCGTGGTTGATGTCGGAGCTATTTTCAACGTCAGCTTGCAATACTCTTGTCAGTGAAAAAATTGGAATGCATTTCAAAGAAATGGACCAAAAACTTCTGAGACAACTAGAATAGAGTTGGTCTTTCCTTAGCTAGTTTAGTAGATTCATAACTTACTGCTGTCTTACCCAGTACCGTAGATTATCAGCGCCACTCAAGCCAATACAATTCATCCCAACCTTGCCCATACTTTTTTTTTTCACTGTAATTATAATAATGATGTTCATTCTCGTCTTTGTAGACGAGAATGTCCAAAGAGACAATCAACAACAGCCCTGATGGATTACAACTAGTTAACACTGATTTTTATTAAGTTCACTATCTTTTTCATTTTAGATTAAAAGAAATCTCTCGTAAAGTCAATACGAATCGTGGAAATGGTAGCATTAATAGGTACGATAGCAATACGCTAGCTTGATTGCAGTTGGCTAAAATGACGTCTTACCAACTTAATTTAGCGTCACTTTGTTCGTCAATGATAGCAATGGATTGCCTGGATACTCATCAAGTAGTCAGACTAGACTCTTTTTTTCACTAAAAATGGTTTTAATTTGTTGATTTCGTAAAGCGAGCAGCCGTTCACTGCAGATGAAATAAAAAATGAACCGAGTACAGTAGTAATACTGGTGGACGGACATTCAATTGGATGACTTGATCATCTTGTCCATCAGATTAATTTCATTTTTTTGGACCATGTGCAATGGCTGATGTAATGAACCATGATACCCGTTCAACAAACTTTTTTTATTTCCATCCTAGATGCCTCGATTTTACCCACTAGCTCTTACTTACAGTAGACTGAATCAAGTAGGATCAAATGATGATGCTACTGATTGTTAGACAATACTCTATCAGCCATTTGAATAGCTAGTCATCTCCTTACATCGTATTTCCATCAATAAGGGAGAAATGAGAATATAACCGTAATTTACACTCATGATTTGCATTGTCAATTTAGTGTTCCACGAGTGTATCTCATCCATGCTATAGGGCATTAATATTGTACCGTAACAGAGTTATCAATTGGACTGTTGCCTACAACAGTCCAAATGAATAACTGATATCTTCAAAGTAGGCTTGTCGTTTTATCGTAAAGTAAAAATTTCCAATGCTTAGGCTACTCCAATGGAACGACGACGCGTATCACTTATTTTCTATACTTACCAATATGATCATCTGCTTTAGCTTAAAGTTACTGCCTGGATTAGAAGATGCCAAGATTCGCGACTGCGTAATCGGACCCAAGCATATTGGACTGTTATTTGAGGTTAGAGATTTTTGTAGTGAAAATTTGTTACAAATAATAATGAATTCAACTCAATTCAATACATATACCGATGCTAAATCAGCTGGATAACATATTATTATAAAACGTCATGCCTATTGTTATAACTGTATATTGATAAAATTGGAGTAAAAGATGTACGTTAGAATGAACATTCATATTGAAAATACATACTATACGAATTATTGGAAGATGTGAACAACACTTCAGTCAAATTTTGAGTTAGTACTGTCTAATATCTTATACTACATGAGATTATTATTACTATCATTTGGATTCAGTACCAAAGGACTACTGTAGTTGTATCATACTCCCGATATCATTTCTCATGTTGCACCAATAATATCATATCAACAGTCTTGAAAGAATCGCGTCAAAATTGTTTGAACATGGAGTAATGAAATGAATTTTGATACTAAGACGCATTTCTATTTTGATTTTATAGCGCTGCTAGCTATCTTTTTATATTATATACTTTACTATGCGATGCTATTAAATAATATTAAAAACTATTGCAAGTAAAATTTCATGAATGTATAGGACGACATCGATCTAATGTTATCAATGTTGTTTAGTAAACAGTTTACCGTCTCATTGATATGACGTATTATTGCGTTGGAATATAAATTTCTAGTTCTACTCGAATCTTACTTGGTTTTTATTATTTTTTTCACAATTTTTCTGTTTTGCTACACCTTATAGGATGGAAGTATTTGTCGCGTTAGTTATATAATCCATGCTGAACTTTTACGTGAAGATTGTCCAAGGTATTGAACGCTTCCTTATTATTAATACCGAGCATACAAACGATGAATGAATTGTACGGTGTCCTGTTTTACTGATACTGTACTCTAGCAGGTGAAATTAAACCGCTTATTATCAATTCTTAGTATTAACACTTCTTACTGTATTTGCAGTCGCAACGCATCTCATCTTGGTTCAGATACAAAAGCGACAACTAGTAAGTAGAATAACATTTGCCATTGCTGTATGGCTGTATCGACTCATCATTAATCTTCTAGGGAAGTTTTAGAGTATTGATAAAATTATCCTTAAGGCATATGTAATATGTAGATCTATTGACATGTATTGTGAAAGTATTTTTATTGTCTTAATCGATTTTAAATGAAGATTTTACATTGCACTATATCTTTTATTAAATTAGTGAATAATAATCTACCTTCTTTATGCGCTTTTCATAAAAGTACCTAGTCATTAACTCCAAGAATAGTTTAGACATTAGTAATTATTAGTACTTGGCGGACATTATGTCAAAGAAATGTATCAGGCAATTTTTATTAGTACTTACTTACTTACTATTTCAGCTTTTTGACTTTATATATTTCGATCACTTACAGTAACTAAACGTTTTGCGTAGATAAAAGTTTTCAAATGTAGCATGTTACTTATTTAGTGTTATAGCTACATATGTTAGTATAGAAAGAAATACATAGCTGTTACGCACGCTAATAAGTATTAATTTTTTTTGTATCTTACTTGAATTATTCCAGGTACAGTATTAACCCGTTTCATATTTTAATACAATAAAGTGTAGTATATTATCTACTATACATCAGTTAAAAGTTTAAGATGAAATGGTGCTGTATTATCAAGGCTAATCTTATGCTTCATTCTATCGTAAGGCTATAAAAAGTAGTATGCGCTATTAGTATTTGTCCATATTTGAGATGATTATTACTGCACATGTTGTGATTGTTTGTTTTCACGTTTAGTCTATAAAGATTTATAATCTGGACTGTTACGATAGTAATTAGTAATGTATTAGGCGACTGTGTTGTAGTAGCTTTCAGTAATCAATTAGTAACTCGCAGTTAACGTAATATTGTGATAGTCGAGTTATAACAATTTTAAGAATTTCTGAGTCTGATTTTCGTTGCTATCTGTGTTCGTGATCATCAGGTGGAACGACAGAAACTGGAGGATCTTCAAGGTAAAATTTTTACGTACAGTATCACTGCAAATAAGAAAAGCAGTTATGCTATTGTATTATATAAGTTCGCAGTTGTGCTTACAGATATGATTAACGAATAAAAATGTTCCTATTCATTAAACTTTTTATAAAATTTGAAGTCTTGAAAAATTTTTTTTGGATTTATATAATCACTGTTTATTACTGATATTATGGTCATACGGTTAGATCGTCAACGTCTTCTCGAAATACAGCTAGCGTTAATGTATGGCCTTCCAGTGGTGTAAGAGCTAGAGTAATGAGACGCAATCGTGATAGTCTTTTAAGGCGGCCTTTCCTTGCGTCTTATCGGAACGTATTACCAGTTAATTTAGTCCCTGATGACTTAATTGAGCAGGTCAATAATTAAATAATTTGGAAAGCAAAATGAAGTACTAATTTCGCAGTAGTCATTGCGTACACTAGAATAGTTCGATACCTTATAATCTTTTGTAATAACTCCGATCTATATAAATATTGGAATGATTTTAATAAATAGGTCCAAGGTGTATTGCAAGACAAATCTCGGCAGGTGATAATAAGAGAACTACAACGAAGTGTAAGTAGATTCTTAAATATGAATAATCAATTTATGTGGTACGATATTTATATAGGTAATTAAAATTTAGTTCACTAATTGGTAACACACTTTGTAATGTTTGTTCCTAGAATTTGGATGTAAACGTTGCAGTTAATAATCTTTTAAGTCGCGATGATGATGATGATACTGGAGAACCAGAGGATAGTACAGAGTATACCTTAGCAGGTAAGATAACCAATGAACATAATTAGCATTGATATTAAGATGGAAATATTACAACTTACCAATACAGAGGAATTGTGTATTTGCTACATATTCATCTCCTCCAATATGCGATGTTACATTAATAGCTTGTATAGGTGATTTAACTTTGAGAATTATGTTATATTTACTGAGGGGCAATGTGTAATAAAAAAAAAAAAATAATTTGGTTACTATGGTAGCACTATGTAATACAGTAAAGTTAATACGGAATATTTTTAGATTGATTGCTATACTTTATATTTAGAGGACGTATAAAAAGTACCGTAACATGTTTCTAATAACGAATAACGTGTATAGTAAAATTTTATACTAATTCGATCTTAATAGTATCTCTTTGTTCAAGTAAGCTTACTGTTTGATTATATATATACACTATATATACACCTCTTATGAATGATGCTAATGTATGAATTTTTTTTACGATTAGACGAAATGCTATCAGATAATGCATCCTTTTTCGATGATGGTGGATTTATATTTGATAGTGATTTTGGTGATGATAATCTAACTAATAATGTACATATACGCCCAAGTACTAGTCGCGGTGGAAGTTACCGACAGAGCTTACGTCGCGATCCTAGTAATACCGCTGAAAGGGAAGAATCCTCCAAGTTAATGCGTTCCTTTGATGATTTAAGTGATGCGACGTCGTCCAACAATTTAACCGATAGGTAATAAAGTTTCTATTAAAAAGTTATAGGCCTAAATTTTTCGATTTATAACTGTCTTCTAACTGTATATTTTCTTTTCATTACAGAAATATAGACGATATATCTGATCTAGTCCAATTCAATCATGTTCAATGGTGGTTAGCTGCTGACAATACAAAAGAAAAAGACTTTACTCACATAGCCGCTCTGCATTCCGAATTAATAGCTGTAAATTCTTCTGGTAAATTATTCCAATGGAAATGGTCGGACAAGCATCCTTACAAAGGCCAAACTGTAAGAATAATGTATTTACTAACTGTATTCCGTCACATTCACTTCATTGGAAATACTTGTTCTTACAGGATGAAAATATGAGGCATCCACGTACAGCTGACCTAGACTTAAAAAATGAAGTTATTGTTCTAGTAGCTGCCAATTCTATCCGAGCTTCTGTTGCTACCCTTTCTGGAAAGGTGAAAATTTATTAAAAATCTGTCTATTTACTTGACTTTGTTCGAGAACTTACTGTAAAGCATTATTTAGGTTGCAACATGGGTAGACGATTGTGTTCACTATTTTGCCAATAAAATTGAACATCCTGCAAGAAAATTTAGAGAATTTGAAGATAATCCTATAAAATCTTTACAAGTGTGTCCTTTATACACTTGTGTACAACTATCATCTGATGTAGTGATGTGGTGGTAAGTAGCTATAGCTTCTATCTCTATTTTTTTATTGGACTGCGTATATGTCATAGTTCTTTGAAACAACTGTACATTTTTAACTAAGAGAAATAATATACTGTGTATGAACAGCTAAAAATAATTTCTATATCAATTAGGGGAATTCCACCTTTTGCTGTACGTAAGAAGATAATTGAGAAAGCTAAACTTAGGTTAAAGAAGGCTAAGTCATCATGCGAGCCTTCATCTATAACTGTTGGGTCTATGGTATGTATGCGCTGTACGGTATCTTAAATTTTATTATATATGTCTTGCCACATTTTCAGTTAAAATTGTTATCTTCTTATAGGTTCGTTTCTCTGGTAATCCAATTTATAATCATGGAGCTATTGCTATCAATATTTCATCTGGAAAGCCAAAAATTGGTCAACTGCTCGAAAGCGCTTGGAATATGGATGATAAACGTCGATTCAGGATACTACCGTACAATTTTGTTGATGCAGATCTAGAAAATGATGATTCACACGCTCAGTTTAAATCAGAATCTTCAAGTAATACAAAACAGGACAGATCGTATATTGTAGTCTTAATCTGACATTACAGAAAATTTCATTTTAAATATTTATTTATCTGAGTTTAGAGAAAATCTCTGATATTTACTTATTGTTGAAAATAGAACGTTATCGTGATGATAGTGAATTTATGGAGGAAATATGGGATATTAAGAATGCTATATTCGTAGAAGCTTCAATGGAGCCACCAGTTGGTCAAGTTATGAAGATCGATGGAGGATTTGCCATAGTGAAAGTTAATTCACGGCAAGATGACAGTAAAAGTGCAGATGATGGCGATACTCAATTATATTTAGAGACTATGCTTCTTAGAAGTTGTCGTCTATTGCCACTTGGCGATTTACAGGTAAAACTGGTTCATTTCTTATGTAATCAACCAAAAATACTATAATAATACGTTAACGGGATCGATCTCTATACTTTTACGCAGCTTACCAAAACACCGTATAGCTGTAGGTGTGTTGATAAAATTCAACGAGTTCCTAAATTACTTCCTCCGTCTAAGGGTCGAATAGTTGCGTTAAGTGCTAATTGTAACGGTTAGTTATGATTGTACTCTATGGTTGTACCTGCTCTTTTACACGCTCTAATAATCTAATACTGTTTCACTAGGCATTTTACAAGTTACAAGAAGTGATGGAAAATTAACTTATAGCCGATTCAACTTGGACAACGGACGAAGTCATACTCTTTGTACTATACCAACGGATATGATTCAAGTTGAAGAGCACAAAGAAAAAGCAACCATGCTCAGTATCGATCAGGTAGACGTTGAGTATTATTTTGTACTAGCATTAATGTTCAATCGTGTAATTTTGCTCGTTATTTCACGCATAGGAATGGAACTGTGTCTTACGAGATAGCCTTGGTGCCCTATTTCCTTTATCTGTTGTTGCTGGACAGAACATTAAAGATAGTGATTGGCTGGTTAGTAAACACGTTACTTCTTGCAGCGTAGTGATAATGAATATGATTCAGAAAGAGTGTAGCACCAACTGTTGAATTTTTTTATTATAATATTCAATTATTATATTTAGAACTTACCGCCAACCCGTTCTATTGCTGTTGGAGTAAATTTCATGGAACGAAGCATTCATAGCATCAATAACCCCATTGCTTTAATTGCCATGGTAATGGATAACCAGAAACTGATGTCTTATATATTAGAATCCGATTATCGCAGTGTAAGGCAATTATTAGATGAAGTTGACCGCATATCAGGTAACTCTACGCCCATTGCAATGCTCAGCTTGATTAGGTGTTGATGATTAGAATGGACTTTGTAAACCGTAATTGTCCATTTGATCAATTTTAGACCCGGAAAGCAAGCAAAATTACATCAAAAGTTTGCTACTGGAGCATTGTGATGGGAAACGTAATATATTGCATATGTGTGCGAGTATGTGTAAAGCAACCGCCGAAGAAGATAGACGTCAAGGTCAGTCTAATTTCTAAAATTTACTATTTAACTACTTACTGTATATAAAAATATATATTACATTAATAGTAACTACAATTTCTTACTGTAGCTGATCAAAGTACACCTGTAAATCCTTCCTCATCTTATTCTGGACCTTATTTACTTGCCAATCTGCATCGATCGACTTCATTTCCATCATCTCGAACTGATAGTGTTGATAGACTCATTTCGTCTCATATGGATGAAGATATGTTCGTATCAAGCAGGCATGAAACTATTTCAAGCCATCGCGACGAAATTTCTTCACTTCTTGGATTTATGAATGAATCTTCGTCGTTACCGGGTGAGTATAACATGTAATGAGCTACTTTGTAGTTCTATTATAGTTATGACTAAAATGTTTATAATTAAAATTAGGACCGTCAGTCAGAGAAGGTATGAAAAGTCAAGGTAGTTCTAAAACTAGCGATTACAGTCGTAGAGAACAAGAAATGGTAACTTCGAACTCCTTTGAAAGTAGCAAGGAATTTAATACTTCTGCTGCCATTAAATGCTTGTCGTTAATTTGCAAAAACGATGCTTTAAAACCGTATCTTGGGCTATTGTTATTAACGAGGTAAAATTTGTCATTATGAGAATTATTATTTACGAGATAAGTGCAAATTTTAACATTAGTAATTTTTTTGTAACATTTTTTTTGAATGTTAGAGATGCACATGGTTATACACCGTTTATGTTGGCAGTACATCTACGTGCGTACAAAGCAGCCCTTATCTTGTTCGACTTAGCTAAGGAATTAGCTGAAAAACAGGATGATAGCAAGGAAGTTTTACGACAGATCATTTGCCCTTCGGAAACTACTACAGATTGCTCACCTATTTATAACATATGCCTAAATGATTGCTGCTCTTTTACTTGGACTGGTACAGAACATATCAATCAGGTAGGCGAAATAAACATCTATTGATAATTTAATTGTTTCGTTGTAAGATTAGAAGTTAAATTGATGTTTCAATTCTTTCGATTAGGACGTTTACGAATGTCGCACATGCGGACTCGTAGATACTCATTGTTGTTGTACTGAGTGTGCTCTCATTTGTCATAAAGGACATAACTGCGTGTAAGTATAAAAAACTTCAATTACGTTGCTATCTTTGCGTTTATTTCTAGTATGCTTTTATGAATTTGATGTTAAAAAATTTATATCATACAGATTGAAGAGTTCTCCGTCGTCTGCTTACTGCGACTGCTTAGAGAAATGTAATTGTCAAATTCAAGTTGCCGGTAGCCAAGGAGATCGCTTAAGACTTTTACAGAGATTAATTGCTGAAACAGACCTAGTGCGATTGCCAAATGAAAGGTTAATAAAGCTAACAGATCTATGTTATTATTTGTATAAATGAAATTTCTTTAATTGCAAATTATGTATAACCATCATCTAATATTATAATTTTAGGGGAGAGCATATTCTTTTATTTGTTCTTCATACTGCTGTAAGACAGGCTAATTCTCACCATCAGTTCCGCAACCGCCCTCATGATAGACGGCTTAGACATAGTAAAAGTTTACGATCTCTCTCGGGTACAGTTGTAAATAAGGATATGGGTCCTTTATTAGAACCACCAAAATTCGCTGCCAAAGCACTAGAGCTACTATTACAGGATTGGACGTCTGTTATGTCATTAATCATGCCAGAAGCAGTCAATGTCATTTTTGATGAAGGTACGAAGATGAATAAGCCTCACTCCACGGATTACCCTTTTCTCGCAAGAGACGAACAAAAAGCTTTTCTTTCAAGTCAAGATAATTCTGTTCGTTTGGACTGTTTTACTTACTATCTGACTGTAAAGTATAATACGAACGAATGCAAGGTAACTTATCTATATAGTGTAAACGCTTGTAATATTTTAACCTTTCTTTTAACATACAATTACTTCCTACTTAAGGCATTAGAACATCTACTACGAACGATTATCAAATCAATTGAGAATCCTATAACTACTGTTGAGGCTGAGATAGTTGCTAAAAGGTTTGTCAGATCCGTTGCCCGTATTTTCGTTGTATTGTCAGCGACACCGGATGCCGCAAATGTCTTTAGGTACGTACTATTTGATGAACCTCAATCATTCATAAGTTCGGTTTGATACATTTCAGAGTAATTTTTGTGTTCCATTGTTTTAGAATTCCTTTACGAAAGTGCCGTAGCGTTTTTCAATCGCTGCATATCTTTGCAGTAACAGAGCTAGCTAAGGCTGCAGACTCATTGATAGCACCAGTTCGATTAGGAATTGCTCAACCTGCTTGGTTAACGGTTTTAACTAGCCATGTTGACGCTGCTCAATTTATCGAAAATTTGTTCGTAACTGAGCCTTTCACAGAGGGTTCTACAGCTGGTGGTAGTCGTACTGATGGTAATGATACTTCAAATCCCTCATTTAATGATAGTCTCAATAATGATCAACATGCATCTCAAGAAATAAGAGATCCAGTCATTGAAATAGACCATGCAAATATACGGTCAGATGCAGATAATACTGAAAGAAGAAATACTCATGATCTGACATCTAGGTATTGTATACTACTGAATTATTTTCTGTATTAGTAATTATATCGTTTTCATCTCATTACGATAGTTCATAATGCTTGTTCACTATATTCAAAAATCTAGCGTCAGTAATGATACATTAGCATCACGAGCTCCTATGGCTGTGGAAGAACTTATTGATACAGATAGCGACGCAAGTAGTCCACATGAACAATCTAGGGAGTTAAGTAGGGTAGGTGTATTGTAGAAAACGCTTCAATGAAGTCCATACTATAGCATGTAAATTATTATTCCCTTTCTATCAGAGTGCTGATATAGCGAACGAAGGGATTCAAGTTGATAACAGTTCTAATAATGAATCTGAAATGGATCTTGGTATGCTTGAAGAGATTGATAGTGATAGTAGTGACAGTGTTGTCCTCCGGATTGAATCCGCGTCAGCAACAACTTCGCGGATGCATGTTCAAAATGATATCGGTACAGTAGGAATTATTGCATTTGTATGGCATTTTAGTTAAAGACTAATCTCTTGCACTATTTGTTATACCAGATTCCAATATGGTTTATTATTCTGACGAGGAGGACGAATCTTCTTCGTCAGAAGCATTTGAAGAGCCTGATGAGTTACCAGGACGGCCTCAAAGTCGACGAATGATGAGAGGCAATACTGATGCGCCTATTTACAATATTTCTAGATCGATTAGAGAGCCTCATGTATTACAATGGGCTGTAAATGCAACGGCTCATCCTCAACAAGGTGGTCACATAATTACACCAAATTCTATATTATATCCTGATTCTATTCGTACCGGCAATTCTGGCAATTCAAATAATAGTAACCGTGATAGTATCTCTTCTATAGCCAACTCAAATTCTAGTTATATAGCAAAGATGTTCGCTGTGACTGTTCGTGAGGTCACAGATCTGCTGGTTACATTAACGAATTTGAAGAAAACAAAGTGCATTAAATCTAGATCAAATACTATATTACCTGTTGATGAAGTAAACTTAGTAGATTTACAAGAAAAAGTTAAGGGGTGTCTATCACAATCATGGCGTTGGATTGTAGATGTGATGGATAACACAGAATCACAATTAAGGTTTGGAGTTTCTTTACTGTTAGCAACTGATAAAAAGCATCCAATGCATCCATTAAATCCAGATTATCAACAAAAGTTGATAGCATCTAGTCGACGTGATCGAGCTTCAAACAGAGATACAGGTCATCTATGGGAGTCTAGCTATCGGAGGGCGAGACTTGAAGCTAGTAATTTGTTTGCCTCAAGCCGTCATGACGTTTTGATATATGCGCTCTCCTTGATGCGTTCCAATAATTATGAACATAGAGATACCATTCCTTTCATGGATATTTCTTCTATGAAGCATGTAGCTTATGTTTTCGACGCTATAATGTATTTTCTTCGCCATGATATTAGAAGTTTATCTACAGAGGATGAAAATAATACTCGTGTTAGTTATGAAGTAAGCAACCGTACCAGTTCTTCTGGGGCTACAATTAATGTGAAAGAAGTATCCGGTAAGTGGTCTATGTAAAAATATATATTTAACAGTAACGTCAGTTATCGGATTCTTACGATGGCAAAAATTGTTATTTTTTTGTTATTATTAATTATAGATACATCTAAAGTTTACGAAAGCCGCGTACGAAAGAATAAACGTTTTTTCCGAAGAACGAACTCCACGTTGCACTTAGGATCGGAACCGGCAGATCCTTTCAAGACACCTATGAACATTGCATTGCCATTAGCTGAGAAACCTCATTTACTCAGTCCTTCAGTATTAAAACAGGACTTATTCAGTTCAAGCATTGATACTAGAGATTGCTTTAACTCTAACCGTAGTGTGTCTGTGGATCTTAATTTATCTACAAGATTACAAAATCAACATGGTTAGTATCGTTACGTTCTTCTTTGATTTGTACTACATACTTTGAAGAGATTATCGAATGATGATCGCCATTTTCTTTTAGGCGATTGTGGCACTGATTTTAACGAAATGAAGCCTGAATGCTGGCTCGGACGATGGAAGCTTACAGTTGAATTATTTAGTCGTGCTTTTATGGAAGATATTGGTTGTCAGCCAGATTCTGTCTTGACGGAATTAGTTTCTTTCGATATCAAAGAAGCTGCTTTTAGACGCGAAATGGAAAAACATAAAAATTTACAAACACGAGATTTAGTCATTGAGGTACTACATATAGTATAATTGCATGATACAAATTAGCATTCTATTTTTTAATTCTAACGTTTGTTACATTTAGGTTGAAAGAGACGGAGCGGCAATGATAAAGCAAACCGTTATAAGTTTAAACGACTTCTATAAGAAGCATCAAACACTAGATCAACCGTTGGCAGTCCATAGAGTTAAGGCCTCGTTTAAAAACGAACCGGGAGAAGGAAGCGGTGTCGCTCGCAGCTTTTATTCTGGCATTGCTGAAGTAAGTTCTAGATTATCGTGCTGTAATACTAACTAAGCTCGCAGTAACGTCGGTTCTTAAAACAGGCATTCCTATCAAATGAAAAATTACCTGTATTGAATGCAGGGTCAAGTAGTAGCAGGGGTAAGAATTGGTGTTGTACTATACGAGTAATAGTTAATCGTAATGGAATAGTTAATTACATGATGATGTCTCGGACAGATGTAAATCTTGGTAACGATCGGCGTAGAGGCAGGAATTATTTCGTATCCACGAACAGAATTAGAGATGTACAAAGCTATCCGTTATCTTACGATGCTCCCTCATTCGATCCAACGAAGTATAGTCATCTTGAGAGTGTAATATATAACTCTAGTGAAAAACAGGTCCTCGGTAAAAGACTTTTTGAGAAGATTAGAGCTTTTCATCCTGTAAGATAACGCTTTCGTTCAAGTAACAGTTAGTTAAAAGTAGGTAATGACAGTAAGCATGCTATATTTTGTTTTCAGGAACATGCTGCTAAGATTACGGGCATGCTTTTGGAACATGCTCCTACTCAAAATTTATTGGCATTATTTTCTGACGAAAATTATCTACGTCAACGTATTGATGAAGCTATATCCATTATATGTTCTCATCAAAGGTTATAATACTAAATGTGCATGGAATTTTATATCTTAAATAGTTGCATTAATCATATCGTAACGGTCTCGTATTCATTATTGTGAGCTAGTGAAACTGAAGATAACAGCTCTCATCAAAATAGCAAAGACAATGAACCTCTATTTTATCAACCGGGCAAGGTCGGTTTCTATTCGCCTCGCCCTGGATCTAATAGCCTTACGAGGTTGAATCTTTTCAGAAACATAGGAAGGTTGGCTAAAATTTTACTTTTTGTAACGCCTCGATGTTCTTAGATCTATTTTATCTAATTATTCAACTTCAACTTTATTATCTAACCGTAAAGTTTGTCGTAATTATGGCTTTTTCTTTGTATATTTGTGTAGAATTATTGGCTTGTGCTTGCTTCAAAATGAAGTCTCAACGCTAACATTTAACCGTCACGTTCTAAAAGTATTGCTGAATAGAGACGTATGTGGCCGCATATGAAATAAAGTCTTTCCATTTCATATATATTGCGTTTAATCTTTATTCTAAAATTAGTAAATTCATTTCCGTCATAGGTACAATGGCATGATCTAGCATTTTTCAATGCCTCGCTATATGAAAACTTACGGCAATTGATAATGGCTGGCAATAAAGATAATGCGGAGCAGTATTTCAAAGAAATGGATTTACGATTTGTTATCAATTTATCTCAGGAAGAAGGTGGAAAAGAAGTTGAATTAATTGAGGGTGGTTCCGGAATTTCTGTTACACCAGAAAACGTTTACGAATATGTTGAATTATATGCTATGCAAAAAATGTACTTTTGTATGCAGAAACCTTTGGATGTAAGTTTTTTTGAAAGTACTAGGTAATAGATGTTGACGACATGTTCGTGATCACTTACTGTAATGATTTATTATTGAAAGGCGATGCGAAAAGGAATATTTGATGTGATTCCGCAAAATGCGTTTAAAAATTTAAATACCGAGGATTTGCGCTTACTTTTGAACGGTATCGGAGAAGTTGATGTAAAGTGGGTTAAGAGACATACTTCCTTCAATGATGAAAGCAGTAAGAATTATATCAGATTTTTTATTTTATTTCATTTATATTTTCAGAACTTTTCTAATATTGTAACTAATTTTCAGAAGGATCCTCTGGTAATGTGGAAAGGCTTAAGCGGTGGTTTTGGTCTATTTTTGAGAAAATGAGTACTGAAGAAAAGAGAGAACTGGTAGTTTTCTTGATTCTTTTATTTTCTGTTTATCCTCGTGTAAATTTTAACTAGTCAACACTTTGCAAATTTAGTTGTATTTTTGGACCTCCAGTCCCGCATTACCTGTAAGCGGAGAAGGTTTTCAACCGTTACCGACAATAACGATAAGGCCATCAGATGATCAACATTTACCGACTGCTAATACTTGTATTTCTCGATTATATCTTCCGTTATATTCAAGCAAAGCTATACTGAAATCTAAACTGCTTATGGCTATTAAAATCAAAGTTTTTGGCTTTGTATAAATTATATTTTATAGTAAAATCTTCGAAAGTAAAAAGATTATGATTTTCGTTATGCATCCGGATAGGTACCGTTTTTGATTATCAAAATTATTTAATGTTGAAATTGCAAACTTTTAATGAATGCAATCTGTTGTTTTTCAAAAACATTTAATGTTAAGATGAATTTAATACCAGTTTACAAAATTTCAATATAAAAATAGTAAAATCTTAGCAAACTTTATCTATCTGTAACACAAAATGTGTCATAAATACATGTAACCCATTATCGTTTAAATATTTAGATATATAAAACAAAAAAGCCGCACAGGATTGTAAGATTATGGTGTACGAAGCACTATCTACAATCGAAATAAATTTCATTTCCTAAGAATTTTGATCTTTCAGTGCTTATCCTTAGGATACTTTCGAGGGTTGGTCCTGCAATAAGAGTAAGGAGATACAATTACGGAATTAAATGGGATGTGTTATCTATCTTTAAGTCCTATACAAGATCGCACTTTTAAAATAAACTACCGCTGAGTAGCAGGACGCATGGGTATACCGTATACGTACAATTGTACTTTAATGCGCACATTAGCAGTTTAGTACCTATCATTGATTGATCCGTTTGTTAGATTGAGTGTCACTCCTGTGAGATTGGCTATTCCCGATGTCTGATGGAAATGTCGATTAGTCACACTTCGCACGTTCGGTGGTTGGTTTCCGCGATGACCAGACACAAACATATTTGTGCTGTCATTTACATTTACGTTCACGGAACGTCGGGTCCCTTATCATTTGAAATTGGCATATGAATGCAAAGTTAGGTAACGGTGGTACATGAGTTACAGTTCTGGGAAATTATAAATAATTATATCCTACGGACAAAGGATGAGTAAACCATGTAAAATATTAATAAAAATATAATTACCGTGCTCTGATCGATCATTCCGTTGATAGTGTTCACTGTAATGTGGATTACTGTATTCTACACATTATTAAGAAGATCAAATGCATTTATCATCTTAAGTATCAAGAGCAGGTAGCGATGTGTATCAGTTAGGTATTATTACTCATGCACCATTGACATGAAGTATGCTGAAATTTACACCTAATACAGTACATCAACAATTATTGTAGTAATTACCGCTTGTTTGTTTTTCGCCAGGATTGGACTTTGATACAAAAGGACCAGAATACTAAGGTGTTATAAAGGTAGCGTAATCGCAGTGCGAAAGTATGTATGTATGTCAAAATACCAAACGAATCAGCAATGAGTAATAACATCCAAATCTACTTAACTAATATCTACTCATGAAAAGACTAGTAAAATGTTACAGCATTGGTTTACTAACCTTAGCTACATTAGAACGAGTAGGATTTGTCGAAGGAGCACCTACAAGTGTTGCAAGCCCAGGTAAGTTGCTATCAAATGATAGAGTTGCCTAAAATAGAAATAGATGATTAAAAAAGTGATTGAATACCGTTTATGATGTTCGTAAATTATATTATTATTAATCACTTGAATACGATATTAAATACAAACTTGTTGTTGCAGCTGTTGAGATAGTTGCGCTTGCTGTTGCTCATAAAAGTATAGCTCAGCCTTAGTTCTCTCTTCTGGTAATACGGGAATTCCATCTAACGATATTAAATTTTGATATTGAAAAATTAACAGCGGTCTATGCATCATTCGCCTTGTGACCTATAAGTAGGTAAGTCATAAGAAATCAGGTTCTAAGATGGAGTCTTGAAGAATAATAGTAATTATCATAGAACCTACCTGATTACCAATCAAAGATAATTCAACTAAATTTTTCAAGTAGCTAAGATTTTCAAGTTCAGATAATTCCTAATTTGGTTAATGACAATTGTAAAATTAACTTTATGAATGATCACAAACGAATGTACATGTTATTCTATTTACATCATTCATAGCAATCACGGACAACCGGAACTTGGCTAGCTGAAATGATTACCTGTATTTTATTTGAGCTTAGATACAGTCTCTGAAGTGAGTCAAGGCCATGAAAATTGGACAAATCTCGTATCCTTCAGAAGATGAATATTATTAACTTGTTAATGTGATGCAGATAAAGCGTTGAAAGTTGGCATGTTAAACCTAACTTGGGCTACGATAATATAAATCTTACCTATTTTCTTCAAGATGAAGTTCCATTAAACGCCATTGATTGACGAAAGAATTTTCCGAGATAGTCTTAATTGAAAAAAATGTTAAATTAATTTAAAGATAGGGTACTTCTTCTAAGATACTATTATTAGGTTTAATTGATGATTTTATTATGTAAGAAGTATTAAAGTTAAATTGAATTATCGCCGCTTTACTTTGATTTTGTTTCTATCGAGTACGAGTTCACGTAATTCGCTAAGGCCTTCAAGACCTTCAATCTTAGCAATTTCATTTCCTTAAAACACGTCAATAATTATAGTCATTAGTGCTAATTGTACTATATATTTTATGGGATCTTGTCATCTAAGAGCACATGTGTTTACCTTGTAAGAATAATGCTTTTAGTGATTTTAGTCGAAACAATTGTAACGCAGCCATATTTGCTATTCCATTGTACCTAAAATGTGTAAAAAATTTTAATTCCTACGGCTTCATCTTGATCAGTCTTATTGATACTTAGAGCATTAAAAGACAGTAAAGGCAGTTACCCTAAGTGTAAAACCTCCAGCTTATCTAGAATTGGCGAGTAATCTTCATAGGAATAGTTCTGGCTCGGATTTTTACCCTTTGCATTTGCAGCTGAGGTCTTCATTCTTGGAATTATACTTTCTATGCGGTTATGATTCAAACATAAAACCTAAATAGTTTAAAAAAGTATTTCAAGAAATTTAAAATCTGTTTTTAATTGTATCGGAATAAATTTAAGTCCTAATACTCTACAGACCTTCAAGTTAATTAGACGAACCAGACCGCTAAAGGACGTTAGATTATTGTGCTCTAAATTGACACTGTAATGCGATCAGATCAAAATATTTAGAAATATGACGATGATATAGTAGTAATTATATGTCAATATACAGTATGATAAATAACAGTGGATCATAATCAATAAAATTTTTCATGAACCTTCTGAGATTAAGAAATTCTACGCCATCACCGAAGTCAACATGACGAATGGAGCACTTCTGATAATCTAGTTCACGTAATTCGTGAAAGTTAGAATGACCAACGCGTTCGACAATAAAGTCTTTGGTTAACCTTCGAAAAATGCAAGAGAAAAATAAAATTAATAAAACAGCTTGATAACTAAGATCCTACAAAGGTAAACAATTACCTGCCCCCGAAAATTTCTTTAGCAGCTGTTTGTTCTGATACATCCTTTATTAATAGAGTAACAAATTATAAATAATATGCTTTAGAAAATGATTATAATTCGTGATAATGCTAATAGTTGAGATATCGGAAATTTTGTTCTTACTATATTTTTTCCGTCTAAGGCTTTTAAATTTCTAAGGTGATAAATAACGAAGGTCCTGTAATTATCGGATTCTTCCAGTGAATTGCCAGATAGATCTAAGATTATTAGCTGCGACAGTGTCTACAATTTTATAAAATTGTCATGGATCAATTTGACAAAGAAAAAACGAACATGGAAATGATGAACGAGTTACATGTATTCTTACTTTAAGAAGAAATATCTCTCTGATATTTTTTAAAGCATTGTGAGAAATGTATAATTCAGACAGCGATTTTAAATCCTAAAATCGGGCAGAATTTAAAAACTTTTATCATAAAGAGGTAAACATTACGTGCCTAAAAGACCTAGGATTATTACTGATTTACCTGCAATCCAAGAAGCGATGTAATATTATTATTTTCAAGAGATAAAAATTCTAAATGGGTTAGATAACTAATGCTGTTAATAGAACTAATGAAGTTATCACGAAGATGAAGGCGTCGCAAATTTCGCATTGATGATAGCCCATCAAGTCTATATATGGAATTATTCTCCAATGATAACTCCTCTACCTTTACACAAGATTCTAAATTCTATACAGAAAAGGAAAAGTTAATATAAAATGTGAAAAATTTTATTGCATTTTAGACGAATTAAATTCATACCTCAATTTTAGTAAGATAGTTGCTATTAAACGAAGCCCATCTCAAATTTTCCAGCTTTGCCAAATTAGAGATTTTTGTTAAATGTTGGTTATCCAAATTCAATGCCGTAATCTATTACGGTTGAAACAAAAATAACGATACTTGTAAATTATGGTTAAAAAATACTGATATTTTTAAATGCCATTATTAACTTATTTAATATACATACGGTTAATGGCCATTCGCTGTCATCATCGCATAATCTTGTAGGCCAATTTCTTCGAATATTAGAACGCATACACAAGTATGATTAGGAAAATTAGTGCTTTAAATAATTCAGCATTTAATAAAATCTTTGTAACGTCACAGTTTTGATTTATTTATAACAAAACCGTGGCTACCCTTGTTCTCATTACCTGCTAATTGAACAAAGGGCTTCAGCTACTGATGCAAGCTTAAAAGTGTGAGGAGCCACGTTATCAGTTCTTGAATGAGCCAAAAGCATAGTCTGTGATATTCTAGAACTGGTGACTAAGCGAAGGGCATTGGCTGATTCTTCTTCACTAACTGGTATCCCATCTAACAGTCGTAACGATTTTAGACGCCCAATCACACGTAGTCGGAGATTTACCGGCTATCAAAAAGGAATTAATTAATCTTATATGCTATATCTAATATTTTATCATTAGTTATAATAGAATCGACTTAATTGTACCTTTTGCCAAGGGTTGTGGCTGATATCTAATGTATTGACTCCCGGTGTATGTTTCCGTAGTACAGCCAAGTTGTCTCTTGTGTTCGATAACTGATTCCAACTTAAGTTTAGTTGCTTCAGTCGAGGTAGTGACTACAAACATAGTAAAGTAATTACATGCAATATAGATTTGATGGGTAAGTTAGTTAGAGATTGCGTAAAGCAAGTGCCAGAAATCTCGACCTAGGACTCTAATCAGCATACTGTAGCTCTTTCAATAACACGTACCTTTAATCCTTCCAAACTGGTAATTTTATTGAACATTAAATTCAGCTTCTCTAAAAATTGCTTAAGAGAAAGTATACAGTATATGTTATTATCGATATACTGTATTATATTGTATTTCTTAGTACGATACTGTGTGAATAGACGAGCTAACTCAGAGTATGAAATTTAAGAATTGCGCATATCGAGAAATAAGTAAATACCGTACCATGTTAGCTATATCATCAACTCGACTTAATTCGTTAAAACTGACGGTGAGCTCCTTTAAACACGGCATGCTATTAAGGTGTTTAAGTCTCGCTAGGCCATTGCCATGTAGATTTAAAACCTAAAAATATTAGTGTGCAACGATTCATAGTATATCAGTTTGATGGTTTCGCTGCGTGTACCAGAATTCACTGATTGAAGTTACTGGATATACACACATCGATACATTCGAAAATGATTTTGATAAGAAGAAAATAAAATTATTAATGAGAAAGTCACCTGGACAGCAGTTAGGGATGAAGCTGAGGTTAACTGGAGGATACCTTCCTCTGACATAGTTATAATTCTGACAGTTATCGGAAAAAAAGATCGTTAGAAAACTTTATTCAAAGTTATTTATCGTAATTATGGCAGCATCACAATTAGACTGTGCTACATGCATAGATAGAATAGCATACAAATCTCTTAACTGGGTTCAATGTAATTTTAAACGTTTACAGTACATAGTCAATCATTATCAGTAAGCATGAAATTATGACAGCTACTGATTCCGCTAATGGACAACGATCTAATCTTAAGAAAGAAGTACCTTAAAGGGCTAAGGTTAACATTGCCAAATAAGAATACATTACCGTAATTGTTACAGGATGAACGTAAACTATACGGCTATTAACATGTAACACCATGACTGATTATCTTGAAAATTGATGTATTGAAAGCAATTTAATACTTGATATGTGTATGTGTGTGATAGCCTTGAACTGAATAAACAAAGGGTGTTGGTATGAGAAAGTGTACGTTCAATTATTATACTTACTTCTGCAAAATTACAGGATTAGGTTGTTATACTATACGCGTATTTGCTAACGCAAGCAATGTCATTATCTGATATTGCAATATTAATAGGATAAATGCGACAACTACAGTATCAAAGCTTACAGTATGATGATTAAGGACTATTTGTGGTGGATATAACATCAGTTACTAAGTATAAATAATTATGAAATTGTTGTATATTGGGCATAAACAATTCTAGGATAAAATAAGCTCGTAATTATGCCATAACAGTAACAACTACTTTCGTTATTAGGTGCATTTAGTGAAGATCAAAAACATCGAATTAAAGATCTTACGACAGTCTAAACTATTAGTTTAAAAATAAACTAACCTCGGTCTTTTCCTAATCTTAGGAGAGCTTTGAAGAATATCATTATCGCATTCTGCGTCATGACTAAACTCAGACGAGTTAATAGCCAAGGAAGAGCTACTTAAAAAGCCAGGGTTAAGACAACTGAATGGTGATTTATCTTTGATCTACAATGCACAACATACGTATTATAGCATTAATTACCTTAAGAAGCACTTTTCGATATTTAATTAGTCTTAATCAACAAACTTAGTTTACAGCATAGTGTTTCATGAATGAAGTATGTACTGTAGCACATAAACTTGAGCTTAGCATCAATTAAGTAGTATAGAATTAGTGGTACTAAAGGCCATAGATAGTCATGAAGTATCTAGATAAACTTTCAAAGTAACAGATGTCAGCACTAGAATTTACCATTGGCAGATTTATAATAAACTAGTATACATGACTGTTTCAAGAGCATGATCAGAATGGATCTTTGTCATATTAGAAAAATGTTATAATGTACTATCGAAACCACTTTATGAGACTATAATACAGTATCTGTATAGTAATAACGGAGAAATTGCTATAAACTGTATACATGATATCAGTTCATTTACTGTACTTTGTCTGCGTAGTCTATGATTTATTTTAAAGTCGACTTTTTCTGTATCCTGTATCTTAATTGACTTGGCAAATTCGATAAAGCATCCATAGTTATCATCACAGTAGTCTTAATAACCATTTGAAAGGAACAGAGAATATGTATTGTATAATATATTACGTAGGTCTATCTAAGTCTATTTATAGCTAATCTACTTTCATTTACCTGGGTAACATATTCAAAATCAACGATGTATTCAGGTACGATGATTTCGTTATCGAAGAAAAACCATTCACATTGGCGAGCATTGCAATCACAGGAATTTGTAGTTTGACTTCCATTGATGAGATCGCCAGAAGATGCAGAAGATAAATGCCTATCATGGGATCGCGGTCGAAATACGCAATCGAATTTTGACCAGTCACTCTGACAGATACTAATCAAAATGAGTCAAGAAAGATTGTATAACATGATTAGTAAGCAAGGTCAAAAACATGTACAGTAGGTAGCAAATAGGAGTGTCTGCAGTCGAGAATCATCTTGTGATGAGAGAAATATATTCCTAACATTGACCAATATGTATGACTATCATGAAATCATTCTATACCTATACAAGATTGATAAACTTCATTTTTACTTTTACTGTGGTATATATTGACTTGGATCAAATACATAATACAGTTGTAGCAAGTTTAATCTTCTCAGTGGATAGTTTCCCGCTCATCAAGATCCAAGACGATATCGACAGTTGATTCAATCTAAACCAAATCATGGTAAGATTGCAACTATTTCGTCTGATCTTTCGGCATTAGCATGACACTATCTCATCATTGAAGAATGATTCGAGGCTACATATTTCTAATCATACGCCATAGTACTGCATTAGCTATTGTAAGTATAGCATTTAGTAACCTGATGGAATGTTGATCTACCTGTTGATGCTACCCTGCAATGGGCTGGCAATCTCAAGCAATAATGACCTTTGTGAATGGCTATAGCACTATACGTAAGACATACTGTATCGAGCTTTAAAATATGCTGGCATAACGAAATAGGCTACCTTGTTGCTGACATGCACTATGCTGTATCATGCACTACTAGATCTCTAAACTTTGCCTAGTAAGATTTAGTAGTCCATGGCTTTACATTACAAGACGAGTATTTATTTACAATCTCCTACATTTCAGCAATCTTTCTAAATCGAAGTCTTCACATTCCCTAGTGAATGGCTACTTATGATAAAACTACAAGATAAATTGAGGCTTAAATTGTGCAGTAATAACAAGATAATGCCTATTACAAAACGAGTATTGCAATCTCATACAGTTCAGGTATCCTTCTAAATCGAAATCGAAATTTCAAAATTGATTGGTGGATGGCTACTTACTGTAGTACTTACTACAAGACAAACTGAACCTTAAATTGTGCTGTAATAACGAGATAGGCTAGCATATTTACTGATATCTACTGTACTGTGTATTACAAAACGACTACTTGCAATCTCATATGGTTTAGTAATCTTTCTAAATGGAGATCTCCAAATTGCCTTGTACTTGATTACTGATAATAGCACTATAAGACATGTTAAGCATATAAACGTGTTGCAATAACGAGATAGGATACCCATATTACTATTCTGTACTTATAGTATCACCTAGTAAAAATATTTGCAATCTCATACGTTTCAGCTACTTTTCCGAGTTGCAATTTTAAATTGACCTTCTAAACGACTACTTATTCTAGCACTTCATGATATATTGAATATAACTGTATTGCAATAACGATAGGCTAGCTACCAATATTAGATTGCAATACGAGTATTAACAATCGCATACGTTTCAAATTACCTTTTTGAATCGCTGACGGCGGCGCTTTTACCCAAAAATACCTTTGCAATGACAATTTGGCCTAGATAGTAGGAAATAAGTTATAGTAGTCAAATAAAAGTAATAATGATGCTCTCATTGATTAACACCATTGCTGGTCAAGTGCGATACAGATTTGATCCTAAACTTGAAGTTGTCTACCGTATTACTTTAGTCCATACTCTAGTATACTGCTGAGGACTTGGAAAACACTTTTAGCTAAAAGTAGGGTAGAGAGAGATTTGAGAATACTGCGGCGGGAGAAACAGGCGGACAGAGGACATGTGGACAGTAAAAAAAATACGATTTAAAAGTCAGTGATTTATCGTTGGCGATAATGCTTTCATACTGCACTGTATTGAGCAATGTACCGTATGGAACCCAGGACTAACTCCTATTCTGCTACAAGATCCAACTATCCACAGCAGCCTATTTTACACTCAATAATGGCTCCCTTAGCAATCCAAACTACTATAGTACAAAACTTGTGCGTGTATTTATTTAGGCTGCCTTACCCATACCCTTTTCGGATGTTGGAGGTATTTTTACTCCAGATTTTGGAGTCAAAATTGAAGTTTCACAGAGCTTTATATATTTATTTAGCCTGTCTTACCCATACCCTTTTCGGATGTTGGAGGTATTTTTACCTCAGATTTTGGAGTCAAAATTGAAGTTTCACAGAGCTTTACATATTTATTTAGCCTGTCTTACCCATACACTTTTTGGATGTTGGAGGTATTTTTACCTCAGATTTTGGAGTCAAAATTGAAGTTTCACAGAGCTTTACATATTTATTTAGCCTGTCTTACCCATACACTTTTCGGATGTTGGAGGTATTTTTACCTCAGATTTTGGAGTCAAAATTGAAGTTTTACAGAGCTTTACGTATTTATTTACGCTGCCTTACCCATACCCGTTTTTCATATTTTAGAGGTATTTTACACCAAATTTTGGAGTCAAAATTGAAATTTCATAGAGCTTTACATATTTATTTAGGCTGCCTTTTACCCATACCCTTTTTCGGATTTTAGAGGTATTTTTACAGCAGACTTCGGAGTCAAAATTAAAATTTCACAGAGCTTTACATATTTATTTAGACTGTCTTACCCATTTCCTTTTTCGGATGTTGGAGGTATTTTTACCCCAGATTTCGAAGTCAAAATTGAAATTTCACAGAGCTTTACATGTTCACTTAGGCTGTCTTACCTACAGTATACCCTTTTCGGATTTTAGAGGTATTTTTACACCAGATTTCGGAGTCAAAATTGAAATTTCACTGAGCTTTTACATATTTATTTAGGCTGCCTTATCCATATCCTTTTCGGGTGTTAAAGGTATTTTTACCCCAGATTTCGGAGTCAAAATTGAAATTTCACAGAGCTTTACATGCTTATTTAGGCTACCTATACCCTTTTTCGGATTTTGGAGGTATTTTACACCAAATTTCGGAGTCAAAATTTGAAATTTTACAGAACTTTTACTAAATAGCTTAGCCATTTCCTGTACGATGTATAATTTATCTAATAATTACCAACTCCTGCTGATACTGTTGCATAAGTGTACTTAGATGTGTCTACTGTATAGTGCCATGGACCTTTAGTTCCCATGCTAGTGTGGACTATTGCAAAGGCAAGTGCAATAGAACTTGGAGTGTTCTCCGCTTCAAAATAAATTATTAATCCATTGTAGAGATGTTATCCGAGATATCTGCGTTTATCCAGCTGTTTACGATTCTTTACCATAAGCGATTCTGCCATTTACTTTCTATCCACTGTGGTACTACTATAAGGATATTTGTTATATTTATCGACGATAACTGACACTTCCTCAATACTAGTCGGATAGGCAGTATTCTACATGCGATATTTCAGTGATACACTTGTATAGCTATATGAGTGATTTGACCACCATAATCACAAGTGCTCTTTCCTCGTAGCAAAAATAACTCATATTTCTTACTTGTAGATTTTTGAATACGGTATATTAATTTATGCTCCTTTCGTGGGATAAGTACATGTCAGGATGAAGTTATTACTTGACAAACTTACCTGTACGAAATGGGCATCCGTAATCCTTTGATGATCTCTCTTGCAAGTAATGAATACGAGGAGTATCGCATAGGTTTAAGCTATTGGTGAATGGAACCGCTTCTATCTTAGTTTGCTTCTATCAGATTCCGGTAATAATAGAACCATTTTAAAATTGTTAGAAATAATAATGAAATTGGACAAGGGAACCTTATTGTAAATTCAGTTAATACACTAATACTGTACGGTATGATAGTTACTTTCTAGAACTCATATCTATCTTTAGGAAATACATTCATTGCAATCGCTTTTTTAAATACAGTGCATCACAATTGAAATAGATAATCAACCACGGATACCAAATGAATATACAATATTTCCTTTTAATAATTTTAACCGTTATATGCCTTTACGGCGTGCAATGAAATTAAGATACTTACCTTATGCATTGAAGCATCTGGAAACCCTTGCTGTGCAATAGACACGATGTCATTTCCAGCTACCGTTGGATGCTTTATATAAAATAAAAATTCTAATAGCTGCTTATAGGAACTTCCTCTACACAAATTGGAAAAATAATAAATTCCATCATTGCTTTGTGGGCTAGCTTGCAGCGATCAATTACTAGGGTATCTAGATACCACACAATGTTATATTTGTAAAATTACTTTGATAACTCTGGGATTTCCCCTCGCTCTGAAACTTTAGTCAATCTTTGGTCGAATCGAGACTGTAAGAAGCGGTTATGAATCCTTGTTACGCGGTGTACAATCAAGCCATTGATGCCATGTCGCTAAATTAATAATTTACTATCGTTAGACTATCATTGTACAGAAATAGAAGGAGAAAGTCACAGTCATGCCTACCATATAGTCGGAAGCACAAAATCTCGACAATAATAAATCACGACAGGACGAATACCTAGGATAATGATTAATCAAGATTAAAGTTATTATTTCTTAATCAGTTTGTGAATCTTTTGGATTGCTAACGGAAGATAATCAATCGATAGTAATATACCAGATATCGGATGGACTCCCTTCTTCGAATCGAATATTGCCGCCTGTTTCGAACTCGATCATTTGCGTTTTAATTTTCTCATCCCTCTCGTGATCGATTGATTGGCAAACTCTGTTGTAATATTTTTCTAACCTACAAATATGTAATAGATATGAAAGTGTTCTGCTTGAGTATATTTTACATATTAGCATTAGTACTCTGTCAGCGATGAAGTAGATATTCTTTACTCTTTGATCTGATTTCCTATTAGCGTTTACGCCTTACTAAATACGATACACTATAGTTATTTTGATTCAGGCTAATCTTTTATGAAGTGCTATTACATCATTTTTTGATTTAGCAAATCAAACACAGTAAATTATACCAACGCTTTATCTCATACTATGACATTAGTACTTACTGATTAATCTTATCGTCCCACCATTCGATTCTTTCGGTTACCTTTGCGCGTTTATGTCTTAGTCGTTGTGTCCATGAGAGCTCGATCGATGGCGAGTCCTCTTTTCTTTCTGACTTGCTAGACTCGTTATCTTCCTCAGTTTCACTGGCGCTTCCTTTGTTGCTGCTATCTCGGCTTTCGATATCCTTCTTACCATCAACTTCTTCATCGTTTTCGTCCTCACCTTTACATAGAAAAAGCGGTAGAGAAAATAGCAAATATTAATAAGATAGTGTTTACCAATCACATTATTCAGGTTTTGCTTGCTTTTAGTAATATAAACAAGTTAGGCCTTAAAATAAATATATGGAGAATATAATTCAATTTCTTATGTAAACGCTTACTATAACCGCTTTTAGTTGGTGGATTGTTTTCATCAATTTCTCTATCAATCTACGTAAGAAATGATTCAGCATCCAGTTATAAATCTAAACCGCAAGAGTATATTGTATGCCATCTATAATATCAATATGCACAATTTCGATACGGTGAATTGCTCAACATACATCACTTAAATGGTGACTTAGAGTCCGTATTCTTTGATATAGATCAATTGCCAATTTTTCTTTTTCTTTCTTTAGAAGTGATAGTAGAGTATAAGACTTCCGCTGTATGGTTTTAATACACATATTGTAATATATTTTCTTTTTGGTGACAGCAGCCTATAGACATTGTGGTTAAATAGGTTAGTACTATACTTCTAAATATATTTACGATACTGAAAGACGTTCTAAAGTTATTACGGTAATCAAATACTGAAAATTTTAAATAGTCTACCTCCACCATTTCTTGCAATTGCTTGGATGATACATCTAGAAGATCGAGGCGTTTAACTTGGGGTAGATGATATAGTATATGTGTACTATAATTGCACAAGCTACAGACTGGATTTGCTGCATACTGTGGGTCTTTTAGGCTAAGGACTCGCAATTTTTTCAGATGGCTTAAATTAGTTATGTCCTATAGATCAAAAATGTGATTTATTTATTGCGACAAAAATCACAATTATCTTTGAGCTATTGTATTTGCTATACTGCTTTATACCTGAAGAGACCTTATAAGATTACCAGATAGATTTAAATTTTCAATCATGGTGTTGCTTGCTAGCGTATCGCCTAAAATGTATGAGTATTTTTAAAGCAAAAAATGAAAAGAATGATTTTAAGATTTCTTTTTAATATTGCTACTGTTATTTAGAGTAAACTAACCAATTTCGGTTATCCTATTTTGAGCAACATTGAACTCTTTCAAGTGTTCTAGTGCAGTAATTCCCTAGAATATTTTTCGGTTTTTATTAAAAGTATATACCTCAGTTTTGTATGATATTGTTTTGCTAATAATCTGTCGCTTGCCGCATAAAAATTATATTTTGGACGGTTTTTGTTGCTAGTAATTGATAGAATTGATATTTGAAATCAAAATACCTCAATTTTTGTGATTAGATTCTCATTTAACCACAAAACTTCCAATCTAGTCAATTTGTTAAGATTTTCAATCTTTCCAATTTGATTACCGTGTAAATATAATTTTTGCAAATTTACACAGTCTTGGAGACCGTTAATGATCTAGAAGTAAATAAAATTTTGTGTTAAACTTAATTTGTTGCAGACAATTTTGTCTAAAGGCTATAAATTATGTAGAAGCTGTTCATCATATTATTCGACTACTGTACGTGCACACTGAGCTACACTTGCTCTTGGTTGCTAACATTTATGTTGATGATTGCAATCGTAGATCGATTTCAGTGACTGAGTTGTTATAACACATAATGATGAGTATAGATTGAAGATGCAGCTTTTATTCATCTTGAATGAAATATTTAATTTAATGATGCCCAACCGAGTACAACTTACTTTTAAATTACATTCACAAATCCAAAGAGTCTTTAAATTACTTAGTCCTTGCAATCCTTCGATAACTTCCACTAGTTGACCAGTGATACATAATGTCTGTAAATTTGGCATGTGGAGAGAAAAAGGAATGAGTCTTGGTACGCCGAAAAAGAACATTTCAACTTCTTTAACAGTTGGATCGCCTTGCTCGACATTTTTCAGCGATAAACCATTGCATATACACTATAATAAAGAAAGTGATGGTAACAATAATATTAGTCCATGGTGATAGTGCTGTGAATATAAATGTATGCAAAATCTATATCTATAAATGAGTATAGTGAGCGATTTTCAAATTACTTTATAACAGTTTCATTATAAAATAAAAAAGCACTGATATCAGTTTTCAAGATCTTGTAGTGGTCGATGTTATGTCATATCGATGGGTCAATAATTCCTATCATGCGAGCTATGATCCTATACCTACAACTGCACTACTTTCAATCTTGTATACATATTTCAAAAACAATATTTAATATGATATCATACATATCGTAAAGTACGCGATGCAAAATTTCTACTCTACACGATATCCTAAATACGCGAGCTAATCCCCTTCATCATTAAGCTAAACTAATGAGAAGGCATACCATTTCACGTAAGATTTCTCTAATTTCATTCGTAGCCATCCTTGTATTGAATTAATTCTCGGAATCGAATACAAATTTTATAAGTTTTAATGGCGCAATTATGTACACAGCTATACACAGGGGTAGAATAATTAATTATTGCCTTTTACTACGCTCTCATTACTCGAGAAGGTTGATACAGTACGCTTAAATAATCAACATAGTTCTATAACAACATCAATTATTAGATTTGCTACTGAATTTCGATCCCTTTGCATTTATTAGGCTGCATCTAAAGTTCTAGTTAGTTATTAGTTGGCTGTTACATATTATCATAGTAGTCGTTGCTATTGCAACCGTTAAGTCAGATTGGTTGACGTCGATTCGTTACCCGTAACCATGTTAACGTCGGAGTTGATTGGTTCTACTTAATACCGGTCCCGTGACAGTAATAGTGACTCAAACATCCATTGTCACCCATACTGACTACAGTGCGAATTCTGATTGCACGGATCAGTATGGTTTGCAGCATTAAAGCACACGGTAGGGGGTGGGGGTGGATGGGTGGGCTCTAGGCACTTGAGCATCATTCAGTAAATTACTGGTCTATTGGCAGTACTTCTACCGTACTGTGGCATTCGTGCTAGTATGATACACTAAAGTACACTATACGCAATTGCTGTTAAGTGGAATAGTTAATGATAAAAATATTGATGAATATGAAATAGTAATTAATCTTAATAAGGCAGTAGTAAAATTGTCATCCACTCAATACTGCTGTACAGTATATAGCTAATACAGCTACATACAACTATAATCTCCTCTTCTGACATGGTATGATACCAGTGTTATATAAGCACGCGTTCTTTATTTGTTTACTGATACAGTATAGTCAACTTCAGACAATCATAAAATTAAGGATGTACTATACTTCTGTAATAATGATCGCGATAGCTAATTCCACGTTTATTAGTAGATTTGAATTTACAAAAAATTATTTACTGATCTGATTTAAGTCCTTGTTACTGGAGCATATTTTCACCGCATAAGTCGTATTTTAAACAAGAGTTAGAAGTTAATTTTATTTTATAATATTATAACTTAAAAATCGCAGTATAACGTGAAATATATTTCATGTTTTAAATTGTTTTATGCTCATAAAGTGATGCTGATATATCCAGAGATAATTATTTTCTCTTTCCTCTAAGGCTAGTTCAATTAAAATTAATTTTATGTCGATGTTTTTTGCAATTGTTGTTGCCAAGCCTCGTCTAATGATTACATAGATGATTTATCCAGACATAACTATTTCCTCTTTCCTTGAAGGCTAGTTTAATCGAAATCAATACAATACCAACATTTTTATATGGTATCTTCGGCAATTGCTGTTGCTAAGCCCAGACAAATGATTACATGTCAGAGGCCCATCGTAATGACTACATTTTTTACGTGTCTGGTTTGTACTGAGAATCCCTTAAACTGGACAGCTTCTAATTAGGATTAATAATTATCTTCTTCATCATCAATACATAAATCTTCTAGCATCTCTTCTAATCCGATCGAAGGGAGTTGTTCGTCAGGGTCTGGTCTAGAATCCTTATTACCTTTAAATTTAGGATCTATAAAATTTTTAAGATTAATTTTTAAAACCATATTAAGTGCAAGTGCAGCCTACTTTGAGTATAAAGTAAATACATCATTATCATTTCGGCTGCTATAGATAAATTATCATGGCATAATATCCAAAATACGGTACCTTTATAGATATTAACGTTTTGACGATAAGTAGGATCTTCCTCTAAATCCTCCAAAAAGTTATCATAATCCCTGAAATATATGGCAGTTAATTATTGTTTAGGTATTTACTGGCAAGTAATAAATCTCTAATTTCCAGTACTACTATTTCTTTCCATCTAGCCTGGCACCATTGTGCAATAATCTCAACTGTAAAAGGATTACTACCATACAAGACGTACATATCGTCCGTTTCCATATCAATATTGGCACCCGTTTCTTTCTTCAACGATTTTAACTTCCAATTTCGCTTACTATGGCGTTTACGCTTGTCGCCAAAATGCTTCTTAACTAGAATCTAATAAAAACTATAATTAAAATCTTAAACTTTTCCTGATGCAGTTAATATCAAGTAGCATTGTATACCACATCAGGGACTTTTCTGGAAGGCATTTTATAAAAATTGTCATTGTTAACGTTGCTTCCGTTGATGTCAAAGCTGAGGTATTCAATGTTAAACGTTAGGGGAATTTGAAAATCTTTGTTTGAATATTATAGCAAACATTATACCCTAAGATTGTGTCTCCTGGACTTATAATGTTACCAAGGTGGGTACGACAGTGAAATTGTGTGTCACTTATTCCCAAATCTTTACTTTTTACGATCCAGACGTCCGCAAGTTTATACTAATAATAAAACCACAGTCACTTATGTCTTGATCTAATTTAGTTAACCTTCACATATCATTAGACGTATTATGGCGGTAGATACCTTTTCTGAGGAATATCTAGCGTCTTTCTGTTCAATAAATTCTATCTCCAAGATTGTATACTCAATTAATTGTTTCTGAGTGCATATCGTATGGAACGGTTGCTTCCAAAATACATCCGGTTGTACAGAAACAGCTACATCAGATATTTTAGAATAGGGTTATATCGTAAGTACGTGTATGCAATACCTAGTAGATTAATACTTGCAAAATGAATTATTACAGGAAAAATATAAACTTCTTTTAAACGAAGATAACTAACTTTGTAGTGTTGTTGGGTCTGTTAAATGAATGGTATTTGTGATCTGTGTGCAAATCAATAGCTGCCTAGAAAATCAATAAAATTTATAAGCACGTTGTAGATATGTGAACTGATTACCTAGGCGATCAAATTGAATCCAATTCTATTACATCATTGTAATGACTAGAGTTTCAGAACTTACCCTATATTCCCTAATGAATTGGCTACTTTTAATGGTAGACAAACGACGTCATCCTACAATTATAATTAAAGTGGCAAAATTGGGATTGTAGCTACTGCGTTATAATAAGGATACAGTTAGGAAATAATAAAGTATTACCTTACAAATAGGCACAATTTCAACGGAAAAAGTATATTTATAATTGTAGATATTACTATGGCAATCGTGAGACACTAAATGTTGAGAAGTTTTGTATCTAAAATAAAAGAAGCAGTTTCAGTAGTAATTTTATAAGTTTATGGTAAAGCCGATTAGGGTGCATGCAACAACAAAAGCTGTACAGCATTACAAGAAACTAACCTACAAGGGACTACTGATTGTAAAAAATCAACTAGCTTCCGGGAATCGTCTTTAGACGCGAAGAAAAAGTCCAGACCATCTATTCAATAGTAACAAAATTTTAGTTATTTTATCCAATTGCTGTTATATATAACCCTACACCAAAGAAAGGTAAATGATTGTTTACGAACTGGCTTCATCTACTATCTTGACAGCATTAGAATGAGCTTGATGCTTTATTAAAAGTTGTTCCAGGTAGAAGAAAGTTTTCTTATGAGAAGTCTATAGTTTAAAGGTTGACGTTTAGACCACGTTCATTGATTTTTAAATAAGATTTTTTATAAGAATTGATTTACTAATGTATATCCAAATGTATAGCATCCTACCCTTTGGCGAACTTGGCACACTGCCTTCCAATAATCTTTGGCTTCACGTCTTTGGCATTCATCGCACATTTGATGATGCACTACATATTCAACGACAAACTGTTGCTGCAAAATGGTGCAATTTAAAACCTGTAGGAAACAAAATAACTTTACTGGTCATATCTTAGCACGCCGTCATGATATCAACTACTTTTAATCATGAGTAATTTATAATCGAATAGGGTCTTCGTAGTGGTAGTGGAATAAATGCGTATTGAGCACGTATCGCATATCCTCACTTGAGTTTATGCTTGATAGAATACAAAGTTAAGGTCTTTGTAACTAAAGTGCAGTACCTCTTTTTGCACCGTTAACTTTACTTTAACTCGTTTTGAATGAGGTTCCGTCCATACAAAGCCAGCATCAACTAAACGTACCTGATAAAGTTATAACATAGTTATAGAATAGCTTCAATATTTTAGACATTTACAAAACGACAGCGTTTGAAAAATGTGTCGCAATCAAAATCTTTACTTCTATTCAAGCTTCTAGGAAACGATACAATACTTTAGTTAATCCTTTTAATCTCTTAAGGCATAACGCAAGCAATTCACGAGACTCTAAAACACATTGAACCCAAGTTGAAGGTGGTTGTAAGTACCTAAATTGTGATGCAGATCATAATAGTGACATTATTGAAATGATCCATAATAATAATAATACTATACTGTAAATCATTCATCTATTCTAGGAAAGTGCAGTATCCAATTTAAAAATGGGGAGGGGTATTTTTAGTTTGTTCTATAGGTAGATATCTATACATTGATTACTGTAGCCATAGATGATCATCTCTTCACGGCACCCTTCAATTCCATTTCCTATAAGATATAACTCGCTACGATTTTGAGTCAACTTAACTTACCTCAGACAGAAGCGACAAAAATACAACGTTGACTGTTTAGGAATTCCTTCTGTTATATCTACATGAGCCCTGATACAACCAACGCACATGTTTGCAGGATTGGCATCGATCAGTGTGCCACATTGGCAGCATAAACTAATAAAATCATAGACATAAACCGAAATTAACTATGAATTTTGAACGATCGAATCTTTCCAATCAAATAATTTATACTACTGATGGCAGCTTATTTCTTACATAGACATAACATACATTTTAGGAGTTGGGGTAGTTTCCGTTGCATACTCCATACTTTCTTCTTTACACTACTTGCTACGAATAAAATCACATCTCAAGACTCTTCCTTTTTAACAACTTGACGGTAAGTCTGTAATATATATTTCTATGACTGATTTGGGACACTACAGTAGGCAGCCGTATAGTACCATCATTAAATACTGTCAGACTCATAGTACAACGTCGTGCTGACATCATCATATTTTCACCCTGGTTTGTACTCTGGTACCGTGACACATTTCACGGTACTACTGCACGATTTGTATACTAGTCGGTAGTCTAATAACGTATGATTGAGTATGCATGGCATTTTAGTATGGAGTACTAAAGTCATTCATTCCTGGTTGTTGTGCAAGTGCTTATGCCAAGTTAGAAAATAATAATAATATAGCAAAGCCATCCTATTCCTCAGCTTCTTTACTAAATTAGAGTAGCAGATTTAGAAAATAATAATATAGCAAAGCCATTCTATTCCTCAGCTTCTTTACTAAATTAGAGTAGCAGATTTAGAAAATAATAATATAGCAAAGCCATTCTATTCCTCAGCTTCTTTACTAAATTAGAGTAGCAGATTTAGAAAATAATAATATAGCAAAGCCATTCTATTCCTCAGCTTCTTTACTAAATTAGAGTAGCAGATTTAGAAAATAATAATATAGCAAAGCCATTCTATTCCTCAGCTTCTTTACTAAATTAGAGTAGCAGATTTAGAAAATAATAATATAGCAAAGCCATCCTATTCCTCAGCTTCTTTACTAAATTAGAGTAGCAGATTTAGAAAATAATAATATAGCAAAGCCATTCTATTCCTCAGCTTCTTTACTAAATTAGAGTAGCAGATTTAGAAAATAATAATATAGCAAAGCCATTCTATTCCTCAGCTTCTTTACTAAATTAGAGTAGCAGATTTAGAAAATAATAATATAGCAAAGCCATTCTATTCCTCAGCTTCTTTACTAAATTAGAGTAGCAGATCGCCTTACTGCTAATTCTTCTTTTCGTAAAAGGAAATAAACAGAAATTCCCTTCAAAGAATTTTCTAGATTAAAATAAAATCGAATATTATTTCATCTAGTGCTTGCTGTTTTGAAATTTTCACGGTTCCTTTACGTATCATGAATGAATAACTCTGGTTACGAATACTCGAAATTATTTCTCTTCAGCTCAGAGTATCATAAATATCCATCTGAAAAGTATCATACTTTCTACCATGCTACAGTACAGGTGGATATTAACTTCACGTTAATATTTCACCGTAAATATTATTGCCTAGGCTTGTAAAGGTGCTATCTTAATTTAGAAGAGGATTATGGCGCCATAGTATGAGATGATAGTATATCTAAATTAAACTATTACAACATATAATGAGTAAAACCTATTAGTCATTTTCTACAAAAATTATAAGCTATAAATTCATATCAGAATTAATAGATTGGATACGGTAAAAATTTGCTTATAATTCTGATATAGCGTTAAAAATAGAAATGCGTGGACGGTATTAATTTGCTTAAACCCTAAATTACATCGAATTAAACTTTCTGCCTGAGATATCGAGCACGCGGAACTAGACTGAGCTGTACGCAAAGAGTGCTATTGTACTATAAGTTTAGAATTCTACATGCAGTAACGTGTTGTGTATCGGTGCTTTCTTGAGAAAATCTGCTGATTAGCATAGGCAAGTGAACATTTAATTACTAATGATATTTTAGTATTCGATCTTTCATTTGAAAGTTTTGTACACAGATAGATTTTCATGCAATGGTTGTTACTGCATTAAAATCGAATTATCAGATCAATCTGGTATTTCTAGAAAAGTCTTTAAGCTCCCGACACTCTAGAATTGCCTCCAGATTTCTCGACATCCTAATGAGAACGCTACAAATAAAAACACGGATAGTATAGTTCTTGGAATTTTCAAAGTATCGAATGATATTAAGCTAAGGAATGAATAAAGTAACATCCTGATTTTTTTACTACACAATTCGGAGCCATGACCAATATGAATGTGTAGATACTAACCCTTTATAGCTTATATTTATACAGGCATATTATATTCTATCGGTAATTCAATCTATTTGAACTTAATTATGCCATGTGTAGCTCTTCTATGAATAAACAGAAAAGAGCCAGCTGCAATGTAATAGGGCTATTGCTATTTCACTAAATTATATTTCAAGTTACACGGGTACTTAAGCACACCGAGGTTCTATTTTTAACAAGTAAAAATTTTATTGTACGTTTTACTCCTTATCTCTACTGCTAGTGATGAGCAACTAAGAATCGAGTCGATAAAAAATATTTGTATCGTAATACATTTTAAAATTATTAAGATTATTATTATTATATTATGCATTGTACTAGCAGTTACTACAAACTATGTTACCGTATGCAAATTGCATAATTTATACAGTTATTATAAGATCGATAGAATGGTAATCGTATAATTTACAGCATCAGGACATTAAGCTTCAATTATTTCCTTGTTGGAGCAATTATGCCTTCTAATTGAGCCTAAGGAGTTGTAATGATTAACACACAGACATTAGATGCATATTAATCGATCAATTACTAAAAAAATATAGTGACTAGATTTACGTACTTTCAACTGTTGGTTCGTTCTCTTTAAAAATTGAATCTCTTCTGTGTGTCTTTTTTCTTCTACCATTCTTCTTTCAGCTTCACGCTTTTCGATAGCTTCGCATTTTGCTTTTAGTTCGTTTACTTGTCTCTCTGAGTCTCGTTTTTCAGATTCTAATTCACTAATTTTATTTTCCATGTCAGCTTTACCTTGTTCCGCTTGTAAAGCTTTTCTCATACCGAAGGCAACACTTTATTGAAATGGTAGAATTGATTAAAAAACAAAAATTATAAGAAATCGAGTCACAGAATGTAGTTTCAACCTGCTTTCGTATAGTGTTTGATAAGCTGCAATAGTCATCCGTATTTCATCCCTAACCCTGTAATGATTAAAGGTTGTATATAAGTTTTCATCAGTGGAAAGGCATGATGATTGATTAGCTTAATAAGAGTTCAGATACTGCCTAAATGTCATTACATTACCTCAAAAGTAGAAGACCACGTTCAGCGCAGTTTATTGTAACTTGTCTTATGAGCTCATCTAAAATATTTCCCCAAAAAGTATAAAGCATAAGCTACCATTAACCGAACTATTACATGATTATTCGTCGACAATTAACTTCATTACCAAATGACTGCGAATATAGTTCTCTGCGAACAGGACATATTCCAGTCTCTCTAGCTTGCCTCTGTTGAAGCTTCTGATCTAGTTGTTCTTGTAGGTTCACTACATCGAGGCGAGTTGCTGGAGTGCTGGAAACTTGTTGGGTCCATAGTTGTCCATTATCTTGCCATTCTCTGTAAAAAAAAGTAGAGAAGTGAATATATATGGAAGGAAAAAGAATTTATAGCATTTAGAGACGGTATAGCAATAATGTAGATTTAAAGACATTTTAAGAAATTATAATATTGTCTTATATTTTATATCACATCCAGGTGACTCATTTACTGAAATCTAAGACATACTTTGGTGGTAAAATAGAGTTCAAAATTTCTTCCGTCTGTTGATTTTTTTGGGCTTCAACTGGTGGCAACTTAGATGTTTTAGGAGGCGAAGGTACAGGACCAGCGGGAGAGCCATTACCAGTAACTGTAGCACCACTCACCTTTCCTTTTTGCTATCGCATCACAAAGTAGAGATTATGTTATACATTGCGTCCCTGGCTATTCCTGCTAAAGCTTACCACTTCATCTATCACTATTCATAGACTAAATTACTAGTTTATTAATCTATTTAGGAAAATATTGCGACACTGATAGTGACACATTCATTTTTATTGAGTCAATGCGCTGTAAAAAATTGACGGTAATATTAATTTAGGGAATTAGTTTTACTATAATATTACTTGACAGTAGCGACTATCATGAAAAGTTTAAACTTTATAATTTAGTCCTGTAATAATACTATCAATACCGTTGCAAACTTTCTATAATAAATTTTATAGTTAATGCTAATTTCATGCTATGAAGAAAGTATGTTAAGAAGCTATGAAATTGGAAATATAGGGTGGCAATATAAGAGCAAAAAATGCATAGGATAAAAGAAGTAGAATTGGTTGTTAACGAAACCAAGGATGATACTATATTTGGCTAGTTATACATTTACGGTTATCGTTTATGCTAAGTGGAATAAAATGACAAATAGTGTTACAGGATCTAGTCTACCTTTGTAGCTTTTTTTTCGGTGTTTCTACTAACTAAGATTGGATTATCATATTTTAGCAAAGAGGTATTTGGAGGAACCATGGCACCAAATGCAGGTAGCTGCTGTATTGATAGAATTGAAGGTGAAATATTAAATGAAGAATAAAGTAGTAGTGTGCTGAGGCTGCGTTCGTTATGCTCTACTTTTCTCGTTAGACTTACATAACCTTTATAAACTACGTATATATATACAGTATACGAAACTATAGCTATGCAGACAACATAGCGCTAACATAGTGTACAGTGCTGCAACTGTATTTTGGATATATTCCGTTGCTATAGTGATAGATAAAAACGCACAAATACTATACGCTGCTTTATTACAGTGCGCTGCCTACTGCCAGTACAGTACAGTGTACTGTACTTTACACTACAGTGTACTGTACAGTAGGTAAAATCAGTACAGTAGTACTGTACAGACTATACTGTAGACTGTACTGTCCACTACAGCAGTTAAGCGGAAAGTGTAATATCAATACTGTACTGTACAGTGTACACTTTACAGTGTACAGTACAGTTCTCCGGCCCTCTGCCGTTGTGATTGAAATCAACGAGAAGCGTTGAAGTTTATTGGATTTATACCATTTTATTTACTTTATTCTATTTTGGAAATATCTGTTACAGACAATACTGTACACAATAATGTATTGTACAGTACAATGTACTGTACATACAGTAAGTTGGAGCTCCTGTAATTCTGTACTGTACAGTACACTTGTACAGTCGGTTTTAATAATTTTCCCCAGCATACTGTACTGTACATTGCGCTGTCACAGCCGCAGTACTGTCTGTATACGGTGTAAAGCACCCTCAAAGTGAACGGACGTACAGATAATCGCGCAGACGAAGCTTGCTACGCACAAATCGGTCTAATCACGGTCATCATTAGTATTCTTATTAATAACGCGCTGTACTTATACTGTACAGTATTTTCATTACTATTCTGCGCAGAAACAGTATCTTTGATTCATTGACCCGACGAGCACAACTGTTAAAGTAAAAACCGTACAGATTGTGTTCTCTTACTTAAAGTTGTCCCTTTTGGGCCACCGTAGTTTTTACTAGTACCATTTTTACAGTGTACAGTACTGTACAACTTTGTATGTGTCCCTTCTGGGCCAGCGTAGTACAGTACAGTATACTGTAGACTGTACAGTATGTCTAAGATATTTCAGCCGATAAATTTTAACTAGCAAAATCGATTGATGTATTATTTGTTCACTTTCCGAAATTTATTTGTTTTTGGATGTTAAAATTTATCGGCTGAAATATCTTAGACATACTGTATAGTACAGTCTGCAGTCAGGAGTCCCTGGTACGGTACAGCACGACATTACGTAATATGCTATACTCAGCATCTGCATCTACAGTACACAGGGCAAAGCTTTATACTGTACTGTACAGTACAGTACAGTGCTGTACTGTAGACCAGTGAGCTAGCTACAGTACATGTACTCTATACAGTAGTACTGTATTGTATTTACGTCAAAAAATTACTGGGAAGGTCTTTTGCCCTATCGCCAGTACAGTACAGTATAATTAGTGTTAACTTCCAATTAAACTCATCATATTTTTACAGTCGAGGAAAAAAGTAAGGTCAAGAAATAGCGAAGAGTAAAAAAAGCATTGTAATAGTTGGAATCAACACCACAATATTATTACAGACTTAAAGCTATATCCAATATCATAAGCGTTAAAAATGGGAGCTATCTGTTCTCTTGCTGGTTGTGCTGCTTCGGTACGGAGATCTGTAACATACGTAGATTGTAAAAGATATTTTCATATTTTACTTCACAGACATTGATAGAAAGTGCGGTAACATAAATATACAGTACACAATGAGTACAGGGACGATGTATGTTTTTATTTCATCTGCCGATTGCATTTTCCAGAAAATTTTTAATCTAAAAAATTTCTTTTCCTGTTATAGTTGGCTTGCTGTTGCGGTAGCGCTGCTTGCAGTTTATGTTGTTCTTCATGTCCTTCTTGCAAGAATTCAACTTCATCACGAGTCATGTACACCGTGGTTCTGATGTTATGTTTGATAATATCGTGCATCGTTTTAGCTCCTGGTCTTCAAGGTACTCTCGAGAAGGTGCGACCATATAATGTTGAATACTGATAATCGATATTATGTAATTAATTTGATTTCTTGTGGATGGCTTTCGATCTATCAATAGAATTTAGTATTTATATGATTTACGGCATATTTTTTCGTATTTCTCAATGTCCAGTACAGTAAGCTACGGACAACAGTAGTCTGTATGTGGTCGTACAGTACGTACTGTACAGTACTGTACGACGTTTGTTTTTCGTATCATGTCTCTTCATACAGTATACTGTATATTACAGTACCACATACGCCTGATGTACTGTAATTACAGAAGTACAGTCAGAAGATTAATGGCTGTTACAGTACTACGGTGAATAGACAGGTAAAATAAATTAAATGCTTTAAACAATCTTATGACTTTATATATCTAGATTCCTGGCTTTTGCTCTCATTTGACTGATTGTAACAAGTTGGTTGGATACCTAGCTGTCTATCGTGTTTGCTTCGCGTTTGCACTTTTCTATTTACTCATGTGTGTTTTGATGATCAATGTTAAAAATAGCCGGGATTCTCGATCTTCAATTCAAAATGGGTATGTTCATGGTCTTCAATTCAAATTCAGCAAAAACCTTTACGTCTGTAATCTTCATCTGACATACTTTAGGGCATGATCAGTTATTTACTAATAATCATTATTTAATAATATGATCTGCATATAAGTTCACTGTTCACGTGGTATATTTGCATTTCTAAGAAATTCGCCACACTTGAGAAGGAGTAGTGGGTTGCAAGGCACAACTACATGTTGCTAAATTCGAGTTATCTTGCGAAAATTTGCTTAATCTACATTAGATCGTATACTACACGGTACAATGCTAATTGTAGCCCTTTTTGGGGATCAATCGAGTTTGTCTTACCTGTAATTTCATTGCCATAGGTTCTGGGCTGTAAAATTCTTAATCATTGGTGGCGTTTTGATCGGTGCTTTCTTTATCCCGCGTGGTAGTTTTAGTCAGGGTGAGTATTAACTAAGTATAGAAGTTCAGCATCGATCTAAAAATCGATACAATAGACGCGTATATACAATAGCTTATTATTTGTCCGTCCATATTACAACTTAATATCTGCATGTTATCCTTTACACTTCTTAACATTTACCGTTTAACTCTTGAATCAATTCCGTATGCTACGAAATGTATTGACCAAGTCTTGCTACATGTATATATATATAGTATGGATGATATTTGGCTTAGGTGGCGCTTTCCTCTTTATCATTATCCAGCTTATTATAATGGTTGACTTTGCCCATTCTTGGAATGAATCATGGTATCGTATAGATATGACTCTATTATGCTTACTCGATATACTTTTAATAGGAATAGATCGAGAGAATTGTATTGATGTTGCTTTTCATACGACCAAAACTTTAATCCTTGATATTTACAGGGTAGGCAAGGCTGAAGAAACTGATAATAAGATTTGGTTTTATGGTAAGCGATTTTAGGCATGTTTTGACAAAATGAAACTATGTTGACTACAATTAAACCAATCTGTATTTTACATCTCATCCTGTGTAGGCTTGCTGTTCTTTACTGTCGCCATGTATTGTGCAACTATTACTGCTACAGTATTATTCTACGTGTTCTTTACCAAGGTATGAATGTAAATGCTATTATAACAAAGGATTGTGATTGTAAGAACATGTAGACGTGATATAAGGAATGTTATTTTCTATATATTGTTTCACTAGGAGAAATCTTTTTTACAATATTAGGTTTTCTTATCTATTTTATTGCATTTATTTTATAGCCTGATGGTTGTGGATTGAATAAATTCTTCGTGAGCTTCAATTTAATAGCATGCATTATCATTTCTATCATTGCAATCTTACCCAAAGTGCAAGAAGTTCAACCGCGATCAGGCCTGCTTCAATCTGCTGTTATTTCACTTTACACTACTTACTTGACTTGGTCTGCCATGTCTAATGAACCAGGTATCTAACCCTCGATATTATCGTTGATTGCAGCTGGTGGTCAAAGTAGATATGTAGAATCGTTACTGAAGCAACTTTAATTTTAAATTAGATGCGAAATGTAATCCGCAAGGCGTCACTTTGGAAGGCGGCAAATTAACTCCTCACGCAGATTTCCAAACTGTTATTGGCATTATAGTATTGTTTGTTATGGTTATTTATTCGAGGTATGGTTAATGGTATTTATTTGTATTAGTAATATGCAATTGAAGAACTGGATAGTTTTTAATATTTTATTCCTGAAATTCTTGGATGTACTATATTGACTCTGTAGTTTAAATTGTGCTTTACAGTAAAGGTTTCATTATTTCCATCATTACGTTTAATGTTACAATATCATTAAAATGACCCATTTTAGTGTGAGAAATTCGTCGGCTACAAGCGTTGGTCGATTCTCATTATCCAGTAATAAAGAAGAGGTATGGGTGGATGCTATTCTTATGGTGGACATGTGATAATTATGTTGTGATGATATTGTTTAACTTTAATATCGGTATACGCGTATTATAAATTTTAATAGACTACGGCTATACCTGAACCCTCTTCAGCTCCAAGTGGAGATGAAGAAAGTGGAAGACCTGGGCAGAAAGTATGGGACAACGAACAAGATGCTGTCGCCTATAGTTATTCCTTTTATCACTTTATGCTTGCTTTAGCTACATTTTACATAATGATGCAGTTGACCAATTGGTACAGGTAAATGGATATTTAGAGAACTTTTCAATATTCATTATACTGTACTCGATCAATTTTTAATTTTATACAAGATGCATTTCCTATTTATTAAAGATGCTATTATTTGCTTTTACCATATTAGTCCCGAAAGTGCAAGCATCGTAAGCCTTTCCAGTAATTGGTCATCAGTTTGGGTTAAGATAGCGTCGTCGTGGGTGTGTATGTTACTCTATATTTGGACATTAGTAGCACCGTTAATTTTGCCCAATCGCGATTTTTCTTAAATAACTGATGGCACCATTACGTTTATCTGTATTGTTTCTATCTTGTGATGAGCTGCAATACATGTAAGGTGTAAGTGAAAGTTAGTAATTGAGTACTTGAGTAAGTATCAGAACATTCTGAAAGGACAGCAACTGTCATGCTTACAGTTTTGTTTCATATAATACCTACCGCGGCATCTTTATGTATGACTCTGTTCTATGCAGATATTGCTCATGTTGTAATTATTTTACTGAGTACACATCGGATAGTGATTACTCTGATATAAGGGTGTACTATTGCATTTTAACATTTGCTGGAAATTTTAAGTTAAACTAAAAATTGTACACTGCTTTAGACTAGTTAACAGGCTAACTTATAGTTGCTAAAGCGTGAAATAAGATTAACGTCGGTTTGATAATGATAATCATCGATTACAAAGAATGAGCCAATAATTCATTATGGCATCCGTGTTATGCCATTTCTATTGTGTAATTGAAATTGACAGTATACTAAGTATGTAAGTATGTAATGTTTTCTCCTAGAGTATCGATCGGTAATGTAATGTTGTATTGCAGCGTGACAATTGTGTTATGCATTATCATAAATAGTTGTAAGTTATAGGGTAGGGGTAAAGGGTAATAAAAAAAAAGGCTTCAACTAATTCAAGTATAGCCAGTTGTGATTTGAAAGGTTGTTATGTTGCATGTTGTGAACAAATGTTTTACAATATATTGTAAGTTGTTATCTTTATATACCACCATGTTGAGTTATTGTTTCATCATGCGTAAGTGACGTAAGTAGGTTAATACTGCTATTTCTATGGAGGAAAATTGATTTGGAAATTTCTCTTGTGACTATCGCATGATTACTATCGTTGCTTACTTGTACAGTAAACTTTCTTATCTGAGTATGATTGATGTAGTTTATTTATTATGTAGTCGTTGTAAAGTTGCATTATTGTTAGAAAAGAGCTTGCTTATCTATGATATCAACACTGTAGTTTTATTAGTTCCACAGATATACCGTAATAATATCAAGTAGAAATGACTCTACTTGGATGGGACAGAGATTGAGAAATGGAGGAAAAAAAATGTGAAATTGGCAATGAATTTGATTGAAAATGGTAGGGCGGAACTTTGACCAAGTCATTTGTTTTCAATTGAGTCCAGTTTATACTGTATTGTGATTTAAAACAGTATGATCGAGAAGATTGGGTACGGATTCTGCTTTTTAATCTTTGGCAAATATTGAAATTGCTTTAAATGAATGTGTATATCGTATAAGAAGTAACATCGATGTTGAATATTCACTTTAGAGCGAGACCTTTTTGCAAAATGAAGTTGATGTTTTTTGTCTTGCTAGTGTGTTTACCAATGTGAAGGACAGTACAGTACGTATAGTACAGTACAGTAACACGGTCAGACTATTATTAATGCAAGGGAAAATTATTAAAATAGAAGATTATTAATGCATCATCATGCGCCATTGTCCTCTACAATATACTGTACAATACAGGCTAACGGCAGCCTACGATACTGTGGAAAAAAAAAAAAGGGCAAAATTGACAGTGAACGATCAATGCAAAAATGAAAAAGAAAGCAAGTCGCTAGAGATAGACTGATGTCTGTTTTTGTGGTGGTGAAAAACAAAAACTGTTGTTGAGAAGCTATCGTGTGTTCTGTCAAGATCGGAAAAGGCTAAACTCTTCTTTTTGATTGACTGCAGCGATATGAGTGTGGGTACAGTAAGGATTACTGGATACTATAGTAAGAATGCGCAAGATGAGTAGTCGATGGATGATGCTATAGCATCGTCCATCGACAGACTGCCGTACTCGATGTCCTTGCTGCTATCGAGTACGATAGCAAATCGATGAAAGCAAGAAGCTTTTACTTTGACCGTGACGGTGGAGTGCCGTAACAGTAGTAGGCTGGCCATCCATAGTAAGAATGCGCAAGATGAGTAGTCGATGGATGATGCTATAGCATCGTCCATCGACAGACTGCCGTACTCGATGTCCTTGCTGCCATCGAGTACGATGGCAGATCGATGAAAGCAAGAAGCTTTTACTTTGACTTTGACCGTGACAGTGGAGTGCTGTAACAGTAGTAGACTGGCCATCCATAGTAAGAATGCGCAAGATGAGTAGTCGATGGATGATTCCATCGAATTGCCATCTAACATACTGCTACATCGTCCATCGTACTCGATGTCTCAGCAAGGCCATCGAGGACGATGGCAGATCGATGAAAGCAAGAAGCTTTTACTTTGACCGTGACGGTGGGGTACCGTAACAGTAGTAGACTGGCCATCCATAGTAAGAATGCGCAAGATAAGTAGTCGATGGATGATTCCATCGAATTGCCATCTACACACTGCTACATCGTCCATCGACTATCTGCCATCGTACTCGATGTCTCAGCAAGGCCATCGAGGACGATGGCAGATCGATGAAAGCAAGAAGCTTTGACTTTGACCGTGACAGTGGAGTGCTGTAACAGTAGTAGACTGGCCATACTGTACAACCACGATTGAAGTCAACCGCGTGCAAAATGCTTGGCATTCATTAACCGGTGTGGTAGTGGGAAAAGACCGGTTTGCAAGTTTTGAAGGGGGGTCTACGCCGCGCCATCGACCGCCCCCATGGCACACTCCGTACTGGCTGTCCGTCGGTATTCCCCGCTGCAACGCTTGCCTCTCCAATACGGTACAGTACTGTCCAGGCAGTCGAGCGGCAAGTACGACTCACCCGGTCAGTGTGTCGTTGCAATCGTGTTCCATCGTCTGCCGACTGCAGGGCTGATCCAATTTTTCAACCGTTTGCCGTCAACCTCTCCTCACTGGTCATCAATTGAATCCGTCAATGACTGATCGTTTTCAGGTAAAGCAGAAGGAATCATTTCTCTTCTAGCTGATTGCATGGATGATAGAGCAAAGGGAATTGCTCATCATCCATTGGATTGACAAGGATCGAAATGCTTCTTTTCCACGCTAATCTACCGTGTCCGATACATGGCTTGATAACGATGCTTTGTACAACATGCTTTTTTTCCATCATTTTTCATCGTTTGTGGTACAGTAGGTTGTCGATGGGTGTCATGACTTTCAATCATGATATTCCATTTCAATGTGCAATGCAAGAAGTTTTTCTCATGCATTTTATCCTTTTTTTCCATCGCTTTTTCAACCATATCTACTATAGAGAAGCGTTGAATGGACTCTTGCATTTTTTTTCCCCCCTTCCAACACAATAAAAGACTTGCCATCATCAAGTCAAAGTCAAATAGATAAGAATGATCATTTACTTTACTTTACAGTCGCCATGATGAAAGATTGCTTCAAGTCTTTTCCACCAATGATCAAATCCAATCGTCTACGATTTAATATCTTTTGCACGGATAATGGGCCTAAAGTTGTAAAATTTCATGGCCCAACGTTGGAAAGGACATGAATAGAAGAGATTTGACGCTTTTCCTAACGGCACCAAGCCCGTGTTGCAAATGGAATGGATTGATTTGACACAATCCAATGCACCCTTCTTTCTCCAATCATGTCTTCTTTTCCAATCAATGTTATTCTTCAACTAGTCTAGTACGCTTGTCCATGTTCTTCATCTACACCATGATGGACATGTGGCATGTGGTCTTGTACACTTGGATGCATCGCTGATGTAAAAGAGTTCATTGAAAAGTAATGAGGATGGCAATTTAATACACACATACACATATACAGACGTTCAAAAGATTCCTTGAAATAGCCAATGCAACGGACTATAGACGCATTGCCGCAGTATTCATAGTTTGATTGAGATTGCCAAAATACAATGCAGGCTTATTTCTCTACAAAATGAAAATGGAAGAAAATGCAATTGATTTTTCTCCCTTTCAATTAGTTCAATTTCTGTACAAAATAGCCGTCATTCTAGTGACATCTTTTTACGCGTTCAATCCTTCAAGAGACAAGAACGAGATTGTCCTGACAGTATCATCATCATCATCATCATTATAAACACCGTCCAACCAAACTAGACTGCGTTCTACAATTCTTTCCTACTCTACTTTCTTCATCTACTTGCCTAAAGCGGAACGAGTGTGTTGTAATCGTTCCATTTTTTTTTACAATCCTTGCTCAATTGTGAACAATATTTTCTGATTGCAAGTTCAAACTGGACGGCCAATCCAACTATGCACTGCTGACAACTTTTATTACATGACATGATTTTAGGCTGAGAAATGGACTAATCCTATCGTAGTTTGTAAAGAAAAAGAAGCATACGCACTACCATAGGAGGTAGAACTGGGCTGCATGCGGCTGTGCCTCGTTACAGTGGGCCTATTTACCCCATCTTTTTCAACTAGGTGCAATATTATTCATGTTGTGTAGGAAATAGAGCACTTATTTTCTCGACTTGTTGTACAAGATAGTCGATAGAAATCACTGACCAAATTTCATCCAAGTTGGATTCAATGATATACAGCTGTTCTCTATAGTATCCATTTGAAGTAGGATTCAAATTTCCAATTTGGTTATTTTACCCACAGCAAACCCAATTACCAATCCAACTCATACTAGTACTACACGATATTTCCACAGTCATTCGCTGCATTCTACGTTTGTAGTATTAAGTTTGAGTAATATTGAACGCAAACGTTGTAAAAATGGAAAAATTTTTTCACTTTTGAAAATTCTACTCATAAAAATGAGATGAGCGCGCGGTAGTAGCTATACAAACTCTTGCTTACGGTACTGTATCATGCGTATTATTATTGCAGGAAAGTACGACGGTAAAATTGTATGAAATATGGCAATCATTCATTTTATTTCCTCGATCACTTTGACAGTAGTCAATACTGCAACATGAAAACTTAACCTGTCAATATTCAGCATGAAAGATTAGATAGATAGTCGTCTGCATACGTCTATGCTCAGTACTGTAGTAGAAAGCATAAAATCATGCTGAATTGGATGATAATCCTCAATTGCATTGCCAAAGTCTCCTCCATACATCCATTCCAATACATCAGACATAGATAGCCACGATAATTGAACAGCTCTTGTATGAGGATTTGGGGAAAATACGGCAAGGGAATTTTGAATGCCACTACTGCAGAGAAGTCCGTGGACCAAAAAAAAATAAAATGCCAAACTTGATTTTGAAAACTGCTCTCACTGCGTCAATCGATTGGAGTAGATGATACAAATAGATACGCTAAGCTGATCGTATATTTGAACAGTTTTGGAAAAACACTTTGGAAAGTAGACACTGCAGAGAATTCTAGCGTGTTTCTTTGTTGAAAATTCTAGGGAAAATTAGAAAACGAGTTCAGTACATTACTACTACCTACATTCATCCATGTTCTAGGAAAAAGGTTATGGTAATCAATTGATTATTGTTTCAATCGCTCGATCTTATGCCAATAGTGACAGTAGGATTTTTTTGTACTGTGAAAATGGCGGTTATCAAATTGCAATGTTCATCTATGTCGCTAAAATTTTACAAATCTTTTCACTCTTGGTCTACCGGATCACATACGTAATTCGGTGCGATGTTACAAGATGTCGCAAACTCGCGATACACCTCCCGAATTTCCTTTAGGTTGATCTATTTTTTACAGTTAAAGTGAACAAACATAGTCTTGTATCGCCTAATTCTTGTTGCAGGATGATGTTGACATCAATACAAGTATATGCAACACATTTTTTTTTTTTCCCCATGGAATACTATACCAAACCAAGAAGAAAATAGAGTACCAAAAGTGCTACGGAATAGTTCAACTTAATCATACGGTACTATTAATATCAACATCGCTTGGTTTCTCCTTCTTTATTTATTACTTGCACTTGATCGAACAGTTCTGTTCATTCTTTTTTTTTATTGGGCATCTAAAATTCGTGATATCAAGACTTGACGATATTGACTTGATAATGAAAGACTGATTAATATGATTGTTGCTGATCTTTATTAGTAGTAGCACATTAACTTGTGTTCTCCATGAAACTAGAGAATGGATTACGGTTTCGGTACTACTTTCTTTCTCTCTTGTATATAGATATATACATCAATTGATATGTTGGCCTAAATTTCCCATCTCTTATTTCACAATGGATGAGTAGTACTGTTCTATCTGTAGCCAGTGTTGTATATATATACAATTCGTATCATGAATCGAATCCCGTTCACATTTCGTTGCTGCCTTAGCAACAGAATGACATCACTACCCAAATTAGAAAATGAAGATGATTGCAGGTTTTATATTCGAGGAAAGTAAAAGCCATAAAAGAAAAATATTCAATCAATTATGTCATTCGAGATCAAGTTTCTATAAATCCAATTTACAATCCTTGCAGCTTTAGGAAAGAAATGGATGCTCATAGCAATCATCTATGATTAACTTTTCTATCACTTGCAAAATTAGGCAACATGCCAGTTTAATATAGTGTCCAATTTTATACCATAGTGACTTATTAGGATCGTCTAATTTACCATGAAATTACTATTATGAACCCTTACCAAGATTAACATTAAATATTGACATTAGTCTTAATAGAAATCATATAGTATGTTGACGTGATAATGTCTGATGCTCTTTACAGTAACTACTCCACATATGTGCATTGAATAGTTGAATGCGTCATGAAAATTGTTTCAGTATTTTACCACTGGGTTTTATTTAGTCTATGCCACTGTCAGTATTTGAATGTCAAAATGATGCGGACGCTGAATCTTTTTGCCATCGGTATCGGTGTTAGTATAAAGGGACTGTGTAATGCATAGTAGGGATGCATTTTAGAAGAAAGTTTTTGACAATATTGCTTGAGTATCAATGCTTTCTACTACTGTAAGTACATTTATTTTCGTGGTATAATTGCGACTCTATTGATTCTTTACTGTAAGAAACTTTTGTATTATGCATACTAGAAACTGGAGTCAAGTTAATAAAGGCACAGTTTAGTGCAGTGTTAATTGTTTATTGCATTGTACCCGTCTTTTCCTTTTTTTATTTATTTGGGGCATGATTTGCCATCAATTGGAATGGTATTGCTATACTTCTGCAGTCTATGGTTAAGGCTTATCTTCATATAAAGATTAAAACTGCACTAGCTTGTACTAACTGAACATGCAGTTTCAATTATCGTAAGATGAATCCGAGTTTTACTATTTTTAATCAACTGAAAAATGAAAATACACGTTATACATCCGAATATTGCAATATCCAACTGTATTCGCTTTACTATTACTATGCATTTATGTTGGTGCAATGCCTACTAGCGATATTTTTTTTTCATCAAAAGCAATAATACGATGTAATAACCATCTCTATCTTACGTATTGTAATATCGACCCTACTGCATATACTTCCATTACAAGTTTACAACCGCCATTGACTGTTGTGTCTTGAATTTCAATTTCTGATAATAAAAGTTACCGTAGTTACCTTGTAAACGTCAAATTTACTCATTTATAATATCGTTGCCGTTGATACTATTATTGTTATCGATACTTGATAAAGTAGTCACAATCCAAGTCTTGTAATGGTTGAATTGAATTGAAGATGCGCTTGATCACCATATCTTTGTCTACTAGTAACATTTTATAGAAATTATTCAATTTGATCAAGAATTTTTTATTATTGCAATTCATAAAGGTTTTTCGCTGTGGCTTTAACTCACTAACTGAGTTGTTGAAAGACAGTGGCGATTGGTGCCAAGCCCAGCACTATTAGCAGAGATCATTGTCGGGACGAATTAATTAAAATATTATCTTCCAAGGATATTCCTGCTATATTGGATAGCATTTCAATAGAGAATATCAGTATAGGAAAAGAATTCGAAAACTGTTGGTACAGCTAGAATTACTTTAATCAACACATCACCGAATGGATTAATTGGATCTTGTTTTTTGCAATATAATCGTTACTGTGAAACGTGAAATTTATTGTTAATACTTGCGGCAAAGATTCTTGGTAGAGAATCGAAGATCCCAGTAAAAACGAAATTCTTTTAGAGTTAATGACAGGTACTACGCTTACGAGTCTCAAATTTTGGCAAAGGTAATTTTCAAGCCTTGTGGAGAAATTGTGCTACACTGTTCTACCTCAATATCGAATACGTATATATGGTCTGAGTAGGATTGCAACCTTCAACTGAGCGTGCCATTTTATGTACATAATATTAGTGATAGAGTGGCAACTGTTGCTATTGGTACCCAGTCTAGGGAGAAAGAAATCATTAACGGTGTAGCAATCTCTGTAATAGTTGGCTTTGAGTATAGTGAGAGACTCCAAAAGTATAAAAAATCAATGATGTCTCGAGGTGGAATGTCTGGACCATCCATTGTTGAATTCAAGGGCATGCGATTTCTAATTACTGATCGCCCAACAACTGTCACTATACCGCAGTTTATTAAGGTAGTTAACAGCTCTAATCCAGTGCAAGTGTCGCTAGAAAAATACTCAAGTATCTAAAAATATATTTTATTGCTGTAATAACTATACCCTTATTTTTGAATTCTAGCAACTAAAAAATCATGGTGCTACTGATCTAATTCGTGTATGCGAACCGTCTTATGAAGCAAGCCTGCTAGTAGACGAGGGAATTAAAGTTACCGTAAGTGACCAATTTCACTGAGTAGAGTATGATCGGCATCACTACCGTTTGAAACTACACATTAAGCAATGCTAGTGTTGTCAATAATTAATTAATCTGTACTTTAAAAAAGTGCATCATGTGCAGTACATCTTATTCATCGTATTCGTACGTATATTCAGGATTGGCCTTTCGAGGATGGTGGTCCACCTCCTCCTAAGGTGGTACAGGAATGGTTTGACTTGTTAATTGATCGATTTGCTGAAAAACCGGGCTGCTGTGTAGCAATTCACTGTGTTGCTGGGCTTGGAAGGTGAGCACTAATGCTGGCCTACAACTAACAGATAATAAGGAGTCCTCCTCTTTTCGGATTTGGTCAATGGCACATGCTAACGGTTTAATTTTTATAGGGCTCCGGTTCTGGTTGCTCTTGCATTAATGGAAGCCGGCATGAAATACGAAGATGCTGTCAAATTTATTAGGGAGTAAGCTTTATATTTATTTTTATATCATAAATTAATAGCTGCAATACTTCATGATAGACTATTAACATTTTGTAAGTGACACAGTAATCAAGCAAAGAGATCTGTATTGAATATTATATCGATTTTAACGTGTATTTATCATTGTAATTACAAAGGAAGCGTCGTGGTGCCATTAATTCGAAACAGCTTAGTTTCTTGGAGCATTACAGACCCAAAAGACGCTTGAAGTCTGTATCGCAGCAAAATGGAGGAAGCGGTGGTTGCTGTATGCAGTAATCTTAAATCCTTGGTTTATACAACAAAATTCGTATTTGCTATTGGATACTGAAATCGTATGGCTCTCGTTAGTCCATATGGTAGCTATCTATCTTGAAATTGCCGTGTCAAATGGGACTATAATTTACGTTCACTAATTAGCTTTCAATGAAGTGTACGAGTGCAATATGCGCTTATGTATTCAAGTAATTTAAGACTTTGATGAAATATCTGCAGTGATCTGTTAACAATCGTTCGCCGACTTTGACATGTAAATTTTTGTATAAGTATCTGGTCATATCTATTAGATTCATCTTTCTTTGATATACATTTTAATTAATTTTTGAAAACCTAATTCTTAGATTAATTAATTAATTATTCAAATTAAGTTATGCTATATTTACTGGTTAGTTATTATATGATAAGTGCATAGTATTGCAACGGTACTGGCTCTCGAATTGCCAGCTAATGAATTTTAGTGAATGCTATAATATTTGTCGACGTTCTTAATGTAAAGTAACCACCTTACTGCTTGCTTGATTACTGTCAGATTTTATTGCTATTATGCGCGCATATGTTCTATCCTAGGGAATTTTTTTGTAATCCTGTACGTGATTACAATCTAAAATAACTTAATCGTAATTCATAAGTGACGGTTGTTATTTTTTTATCCTGTATGAAGATATCTTAATCATGTGTAGAACCGTAGTTGTTATGATGATAATTATGTCTAATTGTAGTTATGCACCATAGTATTTTATATATCAATAAATTTTCAACTCATAACAATAACTAGTGTATCCGAATCTAACTCTTTGGTTTTGATATAAGAGCGTATCCATATGAAAAACTTTGAATCGTAATCAGTAACACTTTGCAAGGGTATTTTTATTTGTTCTTAGTAAGGATATACGAGTAAATATTGTTAGTAATACATTCACAATTACTAAGTATGATAAACCGAAAATACTTCATATTTGAAAGAGAAATACATTGATTTGTCATCATTTCAATATCGTTACCTTTTACCAGCGATCAGAGATTCGGCATATTTATTAAGATACTGTATTACCAAAAGGTAGTGATAAAATGATATATATACAATATCGCATTTTTCCATATTAGACACTAGGCCTCGTGATGAAAAGATTGAAAGCGTTAATATCAAACGTAATACCGATACTTTAGTACGTGGAAGTTGTTTGAAGTTATTATTGAAGTAGCTATCAGAGTATAGGAATGGTCACACAGGCAACAAGCTACTATAGAACAGCATAAATAGTATGATGTAAACAATAACTACAAATGCTTTAGTATACAAAGGACAGCAAACTATCTTCAGATTGTCTTTAAATAATTAATTACTCATTGAAAATTTACACCATTTTCTGCGACGAATTTATCGTTTCCTGTTAGCAGGGTTAATCAAAAATCGTATTAAATTAAGTACGGTTATATTCACTTTACTAAAGTTAGATTTACCGCAGTATACTAAAAGTTTACAATTTTTTAGAGTGTAAAGTATACTTCTACATCATAATCAAGTATTATTATCAATTGCTAGGCAAAATTATCCAGTTTGAAATTGAAGAATCATATAAATGGATCAAAACCTGACCCAAAACCAGGAGGGGGCAGATGATCTAGATTCACCCTAAGAGTAGATAGTATATATATATTAATTGACTTATGTGAATGTACGTTAATGTACAGTACTGTGCATATAAAATACCTTCCTCTTTGCAATAAACAGACGGTCGTATCAGACATTTGCTATTAACACGGATAAAAATACTAAATCTATTTCTACTTTTTAATTGTATATACGAGTATATACTTTAATATCATCTATAAGACAGCATTACGATCTATCCAAGTGAACGATAATGAAGCAACGTTCAATTTGCACCGAAGTAATAAACTTCTAATAGAAAGTATACAAAATTTACCAACTTTTCTTATACAGTATGCGATGTAAACATCAGACTAACCCTTCTCCTCTTCTGGGGCCGTGTCCGCTAGGATCAAATCCGAAAGGACCTACTGGATCATATCTAGCTCCTGGAGGGACTGCACCCATATTTTCTGGCGGAAACCTTCGTGAACTATTGGGTGGTCTAATACCACCTGAGCGTAGAGGATCAAACAACATGCTACCTCCTCTATTTCGGGATATGAAATATTTTTACATAATTAGCATTTCAAAAACAAAGAAATGTTTAGCACTTCACTATATAACTTATGTATACACATATCGTTTGCATGCTGCCAAATAGTTACAGTGAAATTCATGCCGATAACGGATCATTACCCCATGCATGGAATTCGATCGCCATCCGGATTAAAAAATGGTTGCTGGTAACTAAGGATGTATAAGAGTATTTATATTAAAAGTTAAAATTTGTACAACCGCCAGCTATCATCGGTTATACTGTAATTATCAAGTTTCTATTCCTCAAAATACTATAATATAATACAACGGACTATAGGGTTATAAAATACTCGTAGTCTAACCTTGGACGCGGAACATGCATAGGTCCGATTCGCAATGGATCATCTTCAGGATAAATTGGAGGACGAGAAGGTGGCACTTGCCTTGTGACCGTTGTACTACCAGCGTAGCGATGTGGTACATTTCTGTATGATAACAAAGATTTTAAATAATAGAAAGAAAATCTAATTGCATGATGACTTAATGCTAAGCATTCTCGTCCCATTACCGTAGGAATGAAGGGAATTTAAAGTAGTGAAAGTACTGTTTAACAGTACACATCACTACAGTTACAAGAGGTTCTACTTGCTGTTACTACTGTATCGCAAGTATTAATTATTCAACCCTAAATACAAGGCTAAATTTCTATTTCTGCAATGACTATTTCATAATTTATCCATTTATCGCCTGTATTAATTACTTACTTAGACTGGGGTTTATTGTCAGCTTGAAGTTTTTGCGATATGAAAGTAGTTAAAATCTCCAATAGCTCTGATAATTCCTTGTATACATTTTCGCTAAGTTGATATAATGAATAAAGTGTCAATATACGCGTATATTGAGATACGCATGTAAGGTGTTCTCATTTTAATATTTTTGCTAATCAAGATGAATCAAGTATGAATCTATATTGAGCTATGAATAATAAATGCAGAAACATCATTTTCAATATCTTGCTAATAAAGATAAAATGTTAACGTATATCTATATATTGAGGTACGCAAATGCAAGACGCCATTCTTGCGAAGCTAATTAATGAACTAAGTATAATAAATGTAGGATATTCCATCATAATATCTTACTAATAAAGATGAATAAAATGCTAATACATATTGAGCTATGTATGACAGATGTAGAGTGTTTTATCTTAATGTTTTGCTAAAGAAGAGGTAAATCACAGCATCAATAAAACTAAATATTGCCTATGGATTACTATATATTGTTGTCCTGTACTGTAGATGTACATACCCTTTTGCAGTACTGAAATCTTGATCATTTTCAACATGTCGCTTCACGTCGATAGAAATATTGGCAACATCCTCTTCGGCATTCTGCAATGGAATAGTAGAAAATATACTTACTACAACAGAACTACTGCTCTTTTCCTACAGTATCATTCCTCACTAGTGTTGTACAATTGTTATTTCAACTTAAAAGTAGGAAATCTAGTTTGATGCAATAAGCGGCCATTTACCAAAGCGTTAATAGCTAAAACACGATCAATAGCCAAAGCTTTGACCAATAACTTTCGATCAGATTTATTTTTATATCGAAGAGCAAATACATTCGTTTTATTCCATTCTGATGGTAAATTATCCGTTCCTATATCCTCATTGGCGGCTGACTAGAGAAAAGATGAAAAAAAAATTGATTTCAATTGCATCATGCATTGGTAAACAACCTGACGATCTTCCACACCATCCTGACTACTCAATGCATTTAGCCTTCAAACTAACCTCATCTCCTAAACCAATACATTGAAATCCACTTGCAATGAGTGAAGCATGGAATGCAATATAAGCTGCTTCCAATGGACTCGTTATAGTCGATGAAATAAACAGTTTGTTGATGATTTTAATCGGCTCCGACATATTGGCTAGTAACGAATGGAATGTGATAGAATGACGAAGTGCTTTTGCCTTTTAACCTACATACGCAAACGAGATCATGCTGTACGATGTTTGACTACGTCAACACATAGATCAACATGCGTGTACCATAGAGGATTATTTTTTCTCTGACCTCTATGGGGCCTATACAGTTACTGTATACCAGGGACTTGATGAAGTACATGTAGTCCACTGAGTATAGTACAGTACAATAAGGTACAGTATTAATAAGGCCAGTCTTTTTTAGTACAGTACTGTACTGTAGTCTACAGTATAAAGTACTGTACCATACTGTCCTTGTTGTAGTGTATTACTATCTAGACTAGTTAATAATTAATACTAACAAATGTATTGAAAGTTGGTACTACTCTCACTTAGCATAGAGACAAGAAATTAAACACTTAGTTGGAAGTTATTGTAAAACTAACTACTAAACTCTGCCTCTCTCTTTATTGCATTGAAAAGTGGCGGCTTATATAAGTGCGCTATTCCACTTACAACGCGTTATAATTACAAGTTTTAGTATTACATCGCACAATCTAACAAATATAGCGTAGTATAGAATAGTCGTGGACAAAATACCTGCACGGCTGTACCTCCTTACGCCAAGCGCTAGGTGGATGGATACTGGGTCCCTTCCGACCCTTCGTATTATAATTATCGGCGTTGTCATCTACTGTACTTAGAATGATTACTGTATCCTTATTAATGACATGCTGTGATTATTGTGTTGCTTCCATTTAAATTGTAATTACTACGGAAGAAAATCACCAGCTAAAAGGGCTAAAAATGAAGTGATCGTAATTAAGTGACTATGAATTTATTAAATAAGCAGCTAAATTTGAAGAAATCATTTTCGTTACAGGATCGGTTATTTAAATCAGGGACAAAATAGGACACTGTACATAACAGCAATAAATGATATTGCAAAAAAACACGTACTAGTGAAATGAATATATACAGTATAAGAGACGTCCTGGATAATAACGGTTGTAAATATGAATCAGTTCATATACTGTACGTTATCCACTACTACAGTACTGGATAGTATAGTTCTGTAGGTGGATGTATCTAGTACAGTAGTCTGCAATAATTAATGGGTAAAATAACTCAAAGCTTTTTTTCTTACTAAAGCCGATTAACTCTTTTATAATTAAGCTAAGAAATACCCAGGAAAGCTTAAGCAAAATGAGCTAAGAAATAGTTTGTACGCTCTATAAAACTTTAAATTTCAACAATATCGAACATATTTGATACCGTTACGTAGTGAAAGACCTATTTCTCTCCTACTACTGTACAGTCTGTAGAAAAAATGAGGTTACCCTTATCCTATGCTATAAATCGTGGACTTGTAGATTGGTAATAAAAATAAATCGAGAGGTCCCTATACAGCTAAAATGTTGCACGTTCACGTCAAGTGAAATTTCAAAATGGCGTCTTCACACGTTCCCTACAGCAGTCCATATGTACTCATAAATAATGGAAACTGTTCTGTCACAATACGTAGCAATACTACAGTACTGACAGTATGTATATCAGGTGTACTATGTGAAAGGAAGATTACACAAATTTAAAGTTTGCATAAAGTGTATGACTACAGTATGTTAAAGATGTCTAATTACTTCTCTTAAGTGCCGAATCATTGAAAATGACACGGTGACTTTTATATCTGCGCTGTGTACAACTTCAAACAATAATAGATGGATTATGGCACTATTCTGTACTGTAGAACCAGCGAATATCGTATTAAAGTGTGTTATAAAAATATACTATACTGTACAGCAGTGGTCTGCAACATCGAATCAACCATGTCCCATCGCATTATATTCACTTCACTTCCCGTCCTATTTTGTCCCGTAGTAAGTGTGTTACAGTACATAATTTAATAGTAGTCATGTCTAGCTCGCTTTGCTGGTCTTTCCCGATGCCACATACAGTACATATATTGCACTTCAAATATAGAACTCGAATTGATTGTACTGTATTAATTGCTACTACACAAGTGTATTCATTACTCACACATGCAGTCACATAAGTGCACTGTAGTGTTTACAACAATATAGACAGCACCAATGCATGATATACCATCATATAAGGTGATTTCGTATAGAGTAAATTCAACTATATTAGTGATAAATCGCTTTCCGCATCTGCAGTATTTGAAAACTACAACAGTGGATACAGTGGATAGGATATGGATCTTGTACTTTTCGCATACAGTGTACGAATTCTATGCCATATGGTTTCCATATACTAACTGTAAAATTATATTATTCAAGAATGTATCAATGTTGGCTATCTCAATTTCATAAATATTTAAACTTTACTTTATAGCAATATCTTTTCTCGCACTTAAAAATAACATTTCAAACTTATTTATAGAATATAAGAACGGTATAAGAAGAAAGGTAAACATAAATAATAAAGATTAATTTCCTAATTCTCTGGAACGATTGCATGACTCTAAAACAGCATCGATTAGGGCCCCTCTAAATCCATTCTTCTCTAATGTATGAACCGCAGCAATAGTGGTACCACCAGGAGAACAAACTTCATCCTTCAACTAGAATGAAATAATAATATATTCTATTTCAATACACATTTACGTCAACTATGCATCTATCCAATTTAAGGACTTTTACTGATGATTCAATAAGAATGTAGTAAACAAATACTTCAAAATAAAAAATGGCTGACTAATACGAATAATTCCTGTCTTTAACATGGCATGATCAGGTGCTATTCAATACCTCAGCTGGATGTGCACCAATTTCCATTACCATTTTTCCAGCACCCTATCCAATAAACATTTATATTGCAGATATGTTATCACCTTTGGTCAATTATTCAAATTCGCTATCTGTACTTTAACTAGCAATAAGACTATTAATTTTTATTGGTCTTGTTATGATCTAGAATATAGATTATGGTATCATACACTGCCTACAAGTGAGATAACGTACCAATAGAGTCTGTGCAGCTAATTTTAAGGCTAAATGACGTGGTAAACCAGCTTTAACACCACCATCAGCCAATGCTTCTATGGCTACGAACATCTATTAATTTATGATTTAATAAATAAAGGAGTAAAATTAAAATTTACTTTAAATTTTAAAGCCTATAATCAACGACAATTGTGCCACAAATTGACTTGACATAAATTTTTAGAAGAAGTGATGCTACGAGTGTAACTTTATTTATACAGTGGATAGTGTAAAGTTTACCTAATTAGAATTTTAAATAAATATTGTGCCGAATTTGGACATCAGGAAATAGTTGTGATTATATACGAGTATGCGCGTAAGTCACTACTTTGTCCAACAGACTCATTAAAATTTAAATTAATGCTTATTGTTTTCAACTATAGTTTCAACGAGCTAGCTTAATAATAGTAACTAAACAATTCGTTAGTTTACAGATCGAAATTAGAGTAACGATTTATCTTTGTCTAATATGGTTATACGTGTACCGCGTTGATTACTCAGCTACTAAGGAGGCTTGATTTAATTAACAAAGCCTTACAAATTGCAATGATTCATTACAGCGATACACAGTATATGATACAGAAAATGCTAAGGTTGATCAATCAAAGTACGAGGTGATTTCATTTCAATATCTTACATAAGCTGGTCCACTTCCGCTAACACCAACAACGGCGTCTATAAGTGATTCCGGCACTTTTTCGCATAAGCCAACAGCTGACATTAACTTATTTACAGTTTCGGCGTCCCTAGATTGTGCATAGGTACCAAGGGAATAAGCAGAGGCTCCAGCACCGACCAAACATGGAGTATTGGGCATAACTCGTACAACTCTTGTTCCGTTCGGTAAGGGCTATAAGTAAGTAAAAGTTGGGCTCTAATTTATATGCTCCAATTCACTGTCATTTAGCTGATTAGGCTAATACAAATTGCTTCAAGTCAATCAAAAAATCAATGCATACTCAATTGCCATTCAGATTTCAAGAAAGAGATTTGTACATATATACAGTACACACATTTTAAACATCCATTCACGCAATTTTTACTGTAATAACAACTATCAATTCTAAACTCTGTTGATTCATATTCTTTAATGACATACATCTTCTATTGCCGGTATTCGTATACCAGCAGCAACGGAAATAATTAGGTTCTCGCTTCTAATAACCGGAGCGATCTCTTTCAGGACTTGTGATAGGATATTCGGCTTAACGGCAACGATTATGACGTCATTTTTGCGTACAATGTCTTTGTTATCAGTAGTAACATTGATATTATTAATTTTTTCCTAAGCAAAAGAATATAGTAGAAGGCGGTACAATGAGAACAATTAAGAAATAAAACAAACAATGCAGATTACTACTCCGACCTATAGTACTTGGCAGTACAAATCTGTTGTATATAATTGTTTAAAATAAAATGCACATGCCATTCTAAAGCATTAACTATTGCATTCAAAGTACAATGTGACGCATCCTGCTAACATGAGAAAATTATATTTTCCATGGTCAAGAGGATACATCCAGGTTTCGTTGGAAATTTAAGGATTTGATAGGCTTAGATTATTCCGAGTTATGTGGCATGGCTCGACGTACAAGTATTACACTATACTATGGTAGATGGAGATTGTAATCTACAATAGTATATGAATGTTGTTTCGTAATAGAAGAAGTGCAGTACTGTAGTGCGGTAAAGTCAAAAGCGTACTTCTGCATACCATATATGAATGCAGTATAAACAAATAAGATTTAGAACAATCCGAGATTGCATCAGAACTTTATTGTTACAGAATTGTACCGGCGTGACGTCCCTGGTGCGGTACCGCGGAGTCACCTAAATAACCCAAATCAGGTAGGGGATTGAACTTGGTTCAATGTAAAGTCTATTTTAATCACGGCTAACGCTTAGTTGATTATAATTATAATCAAGGTGGTATACCCTATTCACTTTTGCAACACTGTATCAGATTACAGCTTCATTTAGACCGCTATCGCCTTGTCAATGTTGTACTATATAATCTACTGTATTGTATAGTAAAATCATGTCAAATACAAATTTACCAGGAAAAGTGAAGTCACCACCATCGTGAGCATTAATTAAGGTATTATGTAGTATGTACAATAACCTATTAAACAAGGATTACTGTAGTCAACAGCTAGAGATATGATCCGAACACAGTCAATGGCTTATCGTTGTACCCTGCAACTACAGTACGTACAACACGTGCTAGAAAAAATTACCTTAATTCCTTGGAGCGACTCCATTGAAGGGGCACTGGCAAATAATTTGTCTACAGAAGCTACTCCTTTCAAAATTAATTAAATAAAATAAAAGGATAGATCAGTTTAATGCTGCTATCATACATAATAGTAATATTATCGATCTTTCACATTGATATTCTTTTCTGGCTTACTGTACGTGGTACGGTATCGTATTATTCAAAAGAAGCAATCCATACAAAAATGAACATCCAGTGGACACTGATACTGTACTAATAGTAAAGGAGTAGGTAATTACTATTATTTTGATGATGAAAACAGTATAATCATCCTAGACGTCCATAGAACACGTTAGAACATTGTAGGCAGTCTACCGTAAAATAGCTTTATTTCTTAATGATATTTTATTTCCAAATCAGTAAAACGTCGCAAAATCAAGCTAGCTCCCTTGATTGAATGATTATTTTATGTCAACTGAACAATGTAATGTGAAGTATGAATGCTATGCGGCGTAAAAAAAAAAAAAAAAGGAATCCATTGACAGTATAATGATTCAAATTGTTTATATATCCTTACTAGATGCGATAAATCCACTAGCAAGAGCTTGTGCCATTTTGCCAGCTCCAATGAATCCAATGGTCATGTCTTTTAAATCGGCCGGGCTTGATTGACTCATTCTTTGGCAAGCTTTTTATAGTATACGCGTAAGAAGAGAAAATTTACCTTGGATTAACAAAAGTGAAAGTTCGTGGAGTGCAATGTACTGTACACTGTACAGTACAGTAAAAAGGCGTCTACAGACTACAGTACCAGAACTACTGTCTGTACTGTACACTGTATAGCACAGTACTGTACTTGAAGGGGGAAAACGGGACCCAAAGCTGCACTTGTGTGGAACGTAGGCGATTCACGAATACAGTACATTTCGGACAGACGGACTTTTCTGATCGAAAAATGCTTACTTAATAAATACAGTACAGTACTGTATAGCAGAACTTAGTAACGGACAGATTCAACGTAATATTATTACTTACAGTAATTTAGAAAAAATTAGTCACATTTAAAATCGATCATCTCCATACTTAAAGTACTGTCATAACGAGGTGTTTGGCACAATATTTTGACGAGATGATGCACTGTATAATATATAATATGTATAGGTTGCGGCCAATGTTCGAAGTGGGCCCATATGTGGAAACACTACAAGACTAATAGAACTAATAGAGAATGGAAAATTTTCTCTGTCCAACATTACTGATATTGTATGTAGAGATCTTGATACGGATACAGTACGGTAAAACGTAGGAAGTCGGGCGAAAAGTGCCACTCGTCAGTATACTGTACAGTGTACAGTATTTAGAATACAGTACTGTACAGTATATTGTAGCAATGTACATTGTAGGGTACCGATGCAGAAAGATATACCAAATTATGCGGCTATAATGATTTGGCGTTTTTGCTTGTCTCCTACGAGAGGTAAGGTAGCGACTACAAGGAAGAAATAATCAGCTTTCCATGCATGTCTCGTAAACTGCATCTGAACTAGTTCAATGCCCATATGTATTTCTATACCTATGGTAAAAAACTTATTGTAAAGAAACTGTTCATCAGCTCATGCATGACAGAATGAAGAAGGCATCCTATTAAAAAACCAAGTACCATACACAGTACAGTATAATGCAGTCAGTACCTTACTCCACAGGTACAGGTACGTTTATACTGTACTGTACACTGTACAGTACTGTCTGTACATGACTACAAGTGTCTACAACCAGACTAAGCATTATGCATTATATCCCCGATCGTTGCAACGATTAGAGTTACTAGTCCTTGGATTAACGTAGCGATTGATAAATGAAACGAAATTTTATAAATTTTAAGTGAACTTACCGTATGAACTTTAAATAAGAAAGAAATTGAAAAGATAATGCTGTTCTAAGCACCGATTAACGTGCAGCGGCAATTAACACCCTCCTACGGCTTCAAAGCTATACGAAAATGGGATCAACACATACTATATGATGAGTGTGACACTGTCGGGTGAAAGTCACAAGTGAAAATTACGCTCGCTCTACAGTGTACAGTACTGTACAGTACTGCACAAACCCAATTGAAAGTACTGTACTGTAGCGAGTTTGGTTTGTACTGTACTCAGGGGGTGACAATTGGGTTTGTAAAGTGTGTACTGTACACTGCACAATGCAACTACTGTACAGTACAGTACTTGAGCTCTTTGAGTTAATTAATCTACAGTACTGTACTGTACGGCAATAAATATAAGACGGACGGACTTTTGATACCAATGACTAGCGATGAGACGGTAAATGTCGAAAAATTACTACTTACTATAAGTAGTATGAATTAGAGAATTGCATTGTCGGCAAATTGCCAATTTCAAAATCACTGCTTCTAATTTACATAATAGTTATAATCTTATATATAGTAATGGTTTCCCTAGTAGAATTTAGTAATAGATAACGAGATTCAATGTAATATTACTTCATTTCAGAAGAAAATCAGTCAATTCAAAATCAACCGTCTGCATATTTAAATGCTGTCATAACGAAGTGCAGTATTTGGCCATGGTCATGCACTGTTAGATATTCTGCCTTGTAGACTTGTAGTTCATGCCATGGTTAACCCATTAATGAACTGTAGGTACTAAAGACCAGCGATGACTAGGTAATGACTGGTTATACGTACACAATATAACAGAGAAGCAATTTCACCAATAAAATAGTAATAATACCCTATCAGTTTAATACAACGTACTTGCAAGCTAGTCAAAGTTAAAATTACGACTATACTGTATGATATCAATAGCATCTTTCCAATATGATGCGATGCACGCAGCACTAACAGATTAGATTCAGCTTTTACAAATGATATCTAACAAGACGCATTTCTAAATCCAATAATACAACAGACTATACATTGTCCGTATCCTGTAATAAAGTGAATAAAACCACAATAGAAATTTCAAAATTTAAGTAAGCCATCGAAGTATCGCAAATGGAGTCTGTTTTGCGAAGTTCAAAAGGGAGTAAAAAAGATTCATCACAGCCAGACTTTGAAAATTTTCACAATTCGAATTAAGCAAGATACACAGTTACACACCATAGCATTATCAGTGTATCATCTCAAATAGCAAACTAAATCATGCTAACGCTATTATCGCTTAGCAATTTATATAATCAATCATGAATCATGTAAAGCAGAAATTTCATTAATTTGAAGGAGACCGGTACTGTACCAATACATTGTATAATATTGTACAATACTGTAGATAACTTACTCGTAATACTATACGTTAAATTAAAGCTTCTACCGTACAATAATACGAAAATAATACTGCAATTTGCCAATAATCAACGATAATTTGACCAAACATCAAAAAATTTCCCATTATTCAATATAATATCCATTTTTAAGTAATTGTAATACGTAGTTAATGCAAAGCCGCTTCGGTAGTAGCTATAAACTTCGTGGTATGCTTATTTACATTCAGCTACAAAAAGCTTCTTATCCGCATTCAAAAATTATAAGACATTTAGGATCGCTAATGTACTTAAATTGATTTGATTATAAAATTATATATCGATAAATTTAAAATGCATTCATGCAACATGATAGATATTTTTCATCCAATACGAAATATTAAACAGCCCCTATATCTTATAGCACGATCGATTAAAATAGATATGCTTGGGTAACTAATTAATTAACTATGTTTATCCGCAACAAAAACTACGCATCTATTTCGCCTTTACCGCCATCTTTAAGTAAGGCAACTTTTGCAGAATTTAGGAGAGTTTTAGGATCAGAATTGTCGCTATCCAACACTTCGTAAGATTCAGATAAACTATCTAATCCTGAGCGTTTAAAACTGCCTTTAAATTTGTTATTACTATTACCTGTAGAAGTATTAATGCTATTATTATTATTATTATTGTTACTATTATTATTATTAATATTATTTATGGGAGACGCAACTTTCGAAAGAGCCGCACCGCTTGGTGAAGTAGCTGAGGCGCTTAATTTACTTGCAGCACTGAATTTTTGCGATTTAAGCAAAGTATCAGGAGCAGGCTGAACTAACATTGGTACGCCTTTTGAATTTGTATTCGAATTTAATGAAGTATCAGGAGCAGGACTTAAAATTTGCGGTAAATGTAGATTGCCTAATGCACTCATATTTCTAGCTCTTCCTGGCAAATGAAGTGACGGGCTTCGTTTACTATAGGCATCACTTGCGTCGACAGCACCAAACGATTTGCTTCTTTCGGAACGGCCATGCTTACTAACCATGTCTTCTTCGTTATTATCGAACGATAACGATGCGTTTACTTTAGCATGGTCCGCTATTCGTCTTGCTGCATGCGACGAGCGATCTTGAGTGAATGACGTCCGACGGGTAGTTTGGAGATCCGTAAATGTTTGGCTATTGTAATTCAGCTAAAAAACAAATCCTTGTTAGATAATGATACAAAAAATATTCTTGATGCACGGAAATAAACTTACTCTAGAAAGGGATCCTCTAACCATTGGGCTACTTCCGCTATCGACCTAATAAACAAATTTACACCATAGAGGTTTACAGTCTTACACTCTTACTTATATAGTTAAAGACTTTTATCTTCATTTTTTGCATCTAACTTTGCTTACCCGTAGTAAATTTGGGGTACTTGAGAATGTTTGCTTTAAAGATTTCCCGGTAGCAGCCAATTTTTCCTTCACAGCAACCTCCTACGAGATTGAAAATACTATGAAAACCCTTGAAAAGACGTTGTAAATAAAGCTATAGTGTTCTAACCTGTCTAAGCCGATCAACGGCTAAGATATTTTCAACATTAGAGACGCCTCTCGTATATTTTCTCAACATGTTACTGCTATCATCGGCATTTTCATCTTCATCACGGGTTACTTCTGTTAAATCATCCACTTCTTCGTCTTCATCTTCGATATGCTGTAAGATGAAGTAGTTTTACTATCACGTGTAGACAGCATTAAGATAAAAAGTATATTATATTATAAATACTTGGGGAATTCTTGACACCAATGTATACGTTACACCACAATTATGTCGAGGAGTCTAGTAAATTTGAAATATTATTAAAATAGTACATCAGTTACAAAATTTGAATAATTTATAACTTTTTTAATAATAGATTTAGACATTTATTACCTGTGTGAAGCGTTTGAATAACGACAAAGTGAAACCTTGTCTCTTTATAATTTTTAAACAAATTCTTTTTCTTAGCATTAATTCCAGAGGTGCCGGATGGCTCAATTTAATGACAACCTGCGATATTTATCAAGTTAAAATAAAAATAGAGAGGTTCAACATGAAGAACGATTTCTGCGATATTAGAAATATCACAGTTTATTACTACAAGTAGATTCATTAATAAAGCTTTTTGTAACTCACAGATAGGATCATATAAACTCTTTCCGAAGCCGGTGTTAAACGATTAAGGTAGATGGAGTCATGGACAGAGCTGTCCCAGGAATTGATTGTACAACACTAGTTACATTACAAAAAATATCCATTTTTGAAGGAGAAGCGATGGAAGTACTAGCTGTACTGATAAGGCTACAGTTTATTGTAGATTATATGATATGATACATAATGATCGCACATCTATCTTACCCCATTATCTTCATATCTAATAATTGGTAAATCAACGTTGGTATAACGATTTTCCCGGAAAATTGTGCATTGTGCACCAATTGCATCTATCATCTCAGGATCATTATTGACAGTTCGTAGGTCATCTATTTAGTAATAAAAATTAATTAACGCAGATACACTTGTACTGTAAGAATCATAGTAAATCATCAAAAACTAATATCCAGTGACTAGTAGAATATCTTACTGCTTAAATCCATAAATATGACTGGTATAGCATCCTCCATTCCTGGCAAAGGTTTCCTATTTAAAATAGTTTGTATTAAGACTAGCATCATTAAATCAGCTTGAACTAAAACAGCTTACCAATCCTCAGCTGGTGGAGCACCAGGGATTCCAGACCCTGGAGTTGGAACCAGGACCGCGTTACGTTCTTCTGTGAGAGCGACCCATTCGTCAATCAAGGACGTTTCTCGCAATGCTGAAGCTGGAGATTTATCTAATACACATTACGAAACGAAAATAAGAAAGAAATTAATTTATGTTTACTACGATATATACAGTACTTTTTCAATTATTTTGTATTATTACCTTTTACGCCAATTAGCGCATGTATTTGTTCATCAAGGTACTCTCGTTTCTTCATCAAACCAGCTGTCCACTTTTCCCTAAGTCTACAATATCATATTATTTAATCATTAACAGTGTCAGTAGTAGGAATAATTCCGATCATCAATTACCTAACAAGATCTTTGTCTTGAAAGCTGTCCATACTCTTTTGCAACTTTGACCTCGAACAGATACTACCCAAACTTACTGACTTTATAGACTCAATAGCCAACGGTAGGCCACCACTGTCTTTAACAGTTTTCACTTTTACGAACATACGCCTTGCGAAGCCTTGCCGCAATTGAAAAATTCCTCCGCTTAAGTTATCGGATCGAGGAAGTACTTCAACCGGGACGTATTCACCGTCATCATTAATTTCTAAAATCTCAACCCATAATTCGACTTGATGTATGTAATCATACCACCTTAATATATAAAACGAAATTATTCTTCTATTAGGGCTTCAGTTTCTATCTATGAAAAACTGTCCAAAAAGTTTTGTATCCATAGTCACTCTTTTGAGTAAATGTCTATTTAGTTCATTGCATACTTTTCCTTCAACGTCTTCGGCTTATGCTGTTCAACTTGATCCGCTAATTCATTTGACAATCCACTAAGGAAACCCGTACTGCGATGACCCCACACTTCTATTGCTAGGGAGCAGTCAGAACAATAATCCAAGAAATCATCGCTCACTTCGACCGTGAAAACCTACAAATCATAAGATCAGCAAAACGAAGCAGATGTTACTCAATCTTTGAAGGACTCAATCAGTAAAAATATAAGAAGAAAACTAGTCTTTCATCTGTCCTAGTGTACTTGATTGTAAGACATGGACTCTTATTATTAATTAACAAATCTATTGCTATTATTTTATTTGCAGCGCATTAATTTAGGTTAATGACAGCAGCATTAATCAATTCAAACTTATTATGCAAAACGTATTTTTTTGCACCTGTCATCGTACAAAAATGAACAAACCTGAGTGTTATTGAATGCAACATCACTAGTCCTTCCTGCGGTAGATTGCATCGGATTGTTTGGAGGCACAACAGTGCCAGATTTATCCCAGAAAGTATATTGACAAAATACATAGTTTGACATAGTGGATGGCAGCCCCGAGGCTGATTTAATTTTTATCTATAAATAAAAAAAGATATGTCATTTAAGTAAGCATGAAGTTACTACAATACGCCTTTATCTATTACCATGCATTGGATGGTGTCTCCAACACATAGACCATCATAAGATTCTGATTCCATATCTTGTGCCTCTTCAATAGGATGATTACTTTTAGAATAATAATAATTCAAGAAATCCTCGTCTACGTCTCCTGCATTCCCAACGCGATCTCTTCTCAGTTTTGGTTCTATTAAAATTAACCAATAATAAGCTTCTAACCTAACTATTTTTCGACAGTAATATCTAGTTAGATTTAATTATTACTAAGTAATAATAATAAGAATTATCGAACCTTCAATTCTATTGATTTCAATAGCTAAATGCCCGACAACCTTCGAAAGATATCATAAATCATTAGCGCTCACGTATTTAACATATTCAAGGGCACTGTGGTGTATTCAATATGCAACAAAACTTGCTGCTTGCTGTTATAAATAGATAGTTTTATAGATTTTTACCTCGCCTTGTTGACTGATTATAGGTGCAGAATAGTCAAGCTTAACATTGTGATGTAAGCATTCCAAAAACACGTTTGCTACACCGATCAGAGAGTGACTTTCTAGTTCATAAAATGGGTCACTACCTTGGTAAGTCTATTGATGAAAAGTTAAAGATTTTATATAGAGCGTAATAAATGTAAAAGCGTGACATTCTGATAGAATTCCAGCGCACACTGTACCTTTCCAGGCTGACCTTCGTTAACGATTTCATAAAGCTCTCTCATATCAAATATTTTATTAGCCAGTTTTTCGACGGTCCAAGCTGAACATTTAATTTGAAACAGCTAAGGATTCCAATTCATTGATCGAACAACACTCACTCAAACATTTATTAAAAATATACTCACTTTGTGTTCCTCTCCTCTTATTTCTAACTATAATTGAAACTTCACAACCGAGAACATCTCTCTGAAATAGAAATTTTTATTAAAATATTAATCTTGATACCTATTATAAAGTACCATTGTAATGCAAAATAAGACATAGGATAATATACTTCTTTATTCGGGGTAAGACTTGCTGTAGGTATCTAGAACCAACAAGAACGATAGTTTAGGGTTCTTCTAATAGATTTTAAGTGTGTATCAGTAGTCAAGGATAGATAAAAAGCATGGCATGTATTCTTATTCCTATGCTTATTACTTGTAGAGTAACTTGAAATTCAGTTCCCTTGTTTAATTCTTCGCTAAGCGTATTAGCTTCCCTAGAATTTAATAGCAGCTAGTCCGTAAACTATAATTTAAGAATTAAAATTTCTCTATCAGAAAATTAAGTCCGTACCTTGCTAGTGCCTTAGCTTCAAGAAGTTCATCTTGCAATTTCATAAGTCTTTGCTCAAAAGCGAAATCGCTACAAGAATCGAAGTTTTTAGAGGTGTACTAGTAAGTATCAAAGAATGTAAATAAAATAGTTAAGGTACCTATCTTCGTCCCAGTCCCGTTGAGATTCTTCGTTATAATTTTCGTCATCGTACACCTCTGCCCTTTCGTAACCATCATTATCTTGATTGAGAATGTTACCATTATTAGTTCGTTGTTCGTCATAAGTAACATCTGTGTTTTCTGTGCGCTGTACTTCATTATCATTTTCCTTAGAGTCATCGGTGACCTTTACTTCGTGCTTTTCATTTTTAGGCGTTGAAGAGGCCATTTGATTCCGCAATTGTTCTAACTGCTGTTCGTACATTTCCTTCTGCTTCTGTAAAGCACCTATACAAGAATTATTAAGTCTTAGATAATAATTTTCTCATGCATAAAAGTAACTACTTTAACATTATCAAAAGTAGGATAATTCGCGCTAGTTTCATTTAACGCTCATTTCAGTAATAGAAAGCTACCGTTGTGCAGTATTTAGTTAGTGAACTTAGACACTTTTAACAAACCTTGTTTCTCTTCATGATACTTTTGTTCAATTTCCTTAATCACGTTTTGGACTGGATCTAAGAAATTTTGAAATTTAATCATTGGCTAAAACAGATACGATAACTATTTTACCAAATTAGGCCATAGGGTTTCAATCGATACCAACCTACGCTTAATTCCTCCTTAAATACTTCCTTTTGCGCAAAATGATAGTCTACTATGTTCAAGTCTACGTTGTTACCGCCTACGGCTAGAAATGTAATCAAATATAGAATATTTTAAATGTCAAATAACAGTAATAGTAGCTATCGTATCGTACTGTATATGCTCTACTTACGACGTTGTCTTGTACAATTAAGTTTAAAGAAGTGATTATTTCCCCAAACAATGCGATCGCCATTATATAAGAGCATTTCCTCATTGACTATCTTACCATTTACGTAAGTTCTACGAAATAAACAATTCAATTATTTCACTTTCAACAATAAAAAGACTGTACATACTGTATCTGCATTACTTAGCATTAGGAAATGGCTTTACATATACATCGCCTTCTTTAACGTTTAGTATACAGTGCTCTGGTTGTATTCCTAAGCCGTTTAACTGTATATCCTGTAAATAAATTTATAACATCACGATTAAAAATTTAGGTACTATAGTGTTAGTACGAGACATGTAATATTATAAGAACGAAACTCTAAATCTTACACTAGAGTTTGAGTTTCCAACTGCAGTTACTTCTTTTAAATAATAGACCAACAGTTGATTTAATGAGGGATCAGCGTTAAGGTTTACCAAGTAAAATTTGCCATGTTCCAGTGCTATACCAGACGATTGAACAGATATGCCCAAGTTTTGTAGAACTTCTTGTCTTTCCTATTTTAAAAAAAAATATTTAAAAAGTTAGAGCGGTTAATTTTAGGTAACATTTGATAAGATCTCCAATACGGTACTGAAACCTGATGTATTCTTTCTGTATTTTTGAGTTTTTGCTCCCAAGTCAATGACATTTCTTTCATTAAAGTCTCGCTTTCTGCTAACTTTTCTTTCAAACCAGCAACCTATGAATGGATGCTAATTATATTATGCGTATAATAATGAGTTTATTAAAGTGTTCTAACCTCATGTGGATTACCCATCATCTCTCTCTTACTACCAGGTCCTGGTAGACCTGTGCCGCGCAATTGACTTTTTAGTCGTTCAACTTCTTCGCGCAACTCACGTATAATCTAATTAGATGCGAAAGTGAACAGCCAAGTTACACTATAAAATCCCTCTAAACTTAGACAGCTGTATTTTAATAACCTTTGCATTTGGATCCTCGTTAACCACGGCATGATTAACGATACGTTTTGCACGATCGGCGTATCTTAACGTAGATAATGTTTCATCATAATTATCCAACGCTGGGCTAAGCGTTGCTACCATAACAGTTTTACTATTGCCACCCAAATTGTCCTATATAGTATAAAAAAGGTATAGAGTTTGTTATATTACTTAAGGCACTAAGAAAGGATATACCACAATTAAAGTCACAATGCTAAAATTGTTACCTTTAGTAACCATGTAAGTACAGAATCACGATAAGGTATGAATGGCTTCTTCTTTCCTCCTTCACGTTTGCCCTCCTAGATTTCATCAATTCCTCGAATTAGTAAATATTTAATTATTGAAAGCTAAGCAATATTTCTTACCACATCCGCTAAAGCGGATATAACCAAGCCCAAAGTGGTTAATGATCTATAGGGGTGAGAAGTATTTAGTGACTGTCACTGTATCAAGTATTTATTAATCCAATGATCCTCCTAACTTGTTAATATTACTGCCTTCCTTTAACCGGTCACCAGCTGCGCCAGTTTTGGTTGCTCGTTCGCTTCCAGCCAAATCTACCAAACTCACTTTACTGACTTTTTCTCCGGAAGCCTATGATTAAAATTTCGAAATGTTTTTTCTAACTTGCTTCATATTACGATGTTTTATTAAAACTAGAGTCGATACCCCAGTAGCTTCATCACATATTATTTGGGTTAGAATTAGGTTAAACACAGCATGTGAACGACTTGATTCTGCATTCATGTTAGTCGCTGCTACAGTTCTTGATTTATTTCCTTCAATCATAAGGTTTTCTATGTCCTATAAGCAAATCAGTATGCGGTATGTATGTTTATCATGAATAACAATCTTATATAAGTAAGGATTGCAAAACAAGCATAAGAAAAATCAATACTGATAATTACCTGAAAAGAAGATACTGCTAGTTTCGATAAATTTTCAACATAAGGGCCTAAAATTTTATGTTCTCGAACTTTGAGAGGCTTTTTGTGACTGTTTAAGGTAAATGAAATAATTAAACATAAGCTTTACAATGCATTAAATATGTAATGAGATCAAATTTACGATCATTAAACTCAATGCTTCTTACTTCGCAGGATTTAATAAGTCACGAACTTTTTCATTGTAAATTTCCATATATGATACTTCAACTTTGTAAGTGTAGTCATCTTTTTCGTTCTAAAAAAAGTAAAAAAACAGGATTGCACTCGCGCATTTTGGTTATCCTTTAACTAACTTGACATTTAACACGTTAATTTGTAAAGACTCCATAGTTTAATATGAACAGCAATAATGACTACTGAAAATAATAAAGCACAAGGGTACCTGTGATATCATTTCGAATAATCGATCGCACAGCCTGGGTATGATACCTCTATCTGTATCTGTTCCCATCATAGTATATGATTTACCAGATCCTAAATGGCATCATTTAACATTAAGTAAATACACACATAATGGCAATATGCATCCTCTGCTAAAGTATGTTCATAGAATAGTTGCACATTATTATTGACAATTCGTTTCGTGAATAATGCTTTGTAGATATCTAAATCTTTAAAACTACAGTATTTCAGAAAACGCAAGTAACAGTCTTTATATATTAAACTTGAAATATATAACTTAGCGATAGTTTCAATATTGATAGTAATGATCGTAATACCTGTTTGCCCATACGCGAATATACAAGCATTGTATCCAGCAAATGCATTTTCTAGCACGCCAATACCAAGAGAATCGAATACAACTTCTTGGCCTGCAAGTTAATAATTTATTCACTTCATATATATGCAAAACTTGATCCATAAAGCAGAATAAATAATATAGAGTAGAAAGCATATCGTACTACAGTATATAGAAAACGTCAAATCGAAATTTAAAATCTTGAATAAATTATTGATCATTTTACGTCCAGGTGCATAGTACAGTATTCAATTTATCTTATCCAGTACATGCCGAATTACAACAACTTGGAGTATTATCATTACAAATTTAATAATTTGTACTTACTAGAAAATTTATTTTCCTGATCTGGATCCATGGACCAAAAGCAATAATCGAAAGCAAATATCTAAATTTAAAGTATCATGTGGAGGTAACATTTAGTTTAGTGATTCACTCTATATGAACTATAAATGCTGCTTCACTGAAGTTATAACTGAAGTACAGTTGCTGTAAGCTAATTTAAATATAAAGTGGATGAAATATTGGTGAAGTAATTTGCCAAACATAATTAGTATACTGTGAACGAATTAACTCAGTACTGTATCGTGCGTGGTACTTTTTCATACAACTGATATATCAAGGTACAGTGTAGGCGAAGTCGTCAGTCGATTATATTTATCTACAGTTAGTTCAGTAGAATAACTATCGATATGAGATAAACGCCTTTTATATCTCAGATAATGTAATTGAGTATCATCAACACGAAAAATATACAAGCATTCTAAATGATATCGTACTCCATTTTAACAGCTTGCTGCATTGCACAGTATATTACTATTATTGCTGATGCAGATGCACAGAACATAGAACAATAACTTTATTATTATAATGTGATGGAAGTAACAAGAAATAATTTTATTTTATAACAATATCTGTACTATAACACAATCTATATCCATACTCCGCATAAAATATTTTTATCTCTTATCATACCTTGGTCGGTTTCCTTTTTCACCAAATATAGAAGATATTAAAAGAAAAAAATTTAAGTTTTAGAGTAATGATTAGGCAATAGAGCTTCATCAAAGCCAGTAGCTCCGATGTACAATCCGTGGAGTGGTTAGCTTATTATATGTAACGATAAGTACAATACGGTACTATACGATGCAAATTTTTATTATTATCTGCAATAATATTGCAATGTTACGCGTATACTTCACTACAGTAAAGAATTTAAATACGGATCTGAGGTCTATCGTTGGCTTTCAACTTTAATTGTGTATAACTTCAGGGTATAGTTCATAATCTACTTAGATACTATAGTTAGATGGAGTGGTTATTTTGATTTTATTGTATCAGAAATGTATTTTTTCATGTAAAAAATACTCCTCAATGTTACGTAGTAACATTTCCCTTCGGTATACACTTTACTATATTGTATAACACTTTGAGACTCTGTCTTGACGAAGAAAATACAAGAGGTGAAAGGGACTTGATCCGAGATTTCTACACTGTCTTGTAAAATTAAGGGATGTAGCACTACCTAATACCTATAGTACACTGTTTATTAAATTAATTTAATTAAAATATGTTTTAACCCTCAAGAGTATGGTGCTGCGTATTTACTTGATGTCATTCATTAACTGAAAGCAAAAACGAGTTGTTCAAAAGATCGAAATACCATAGGCTTGAGACCTTGAAGTATACAATACAAGATGATCGTGATGTCTACTGAAGACATTATCACTCCAATTCATGTTGTCAAATGAAAAGGATTTAGCAGTAGGAAACAGCTTTCCTGCCTGCTAGTCTTAACTCTTAAAGCCTGTCAAAAACATTCAAGGGCATATTACATAAAAACTTAGTGAAGTGAAACTAAGCAAGAATTGTTCGAAAAGGCTACAATACTTTACAAGGATATCTATCATTGTGGCCTCCTATTCCACCACACTTTGTCCCTTTTCAACTACGATACTGAATACGCGCCTTTTACTTCACGGTTATTTGCAATCAGATAGTCACTGCTACTATTGGATACATTTAGACAGATGCTCCATGCTAATCCAATATTGCGAATGATCGCTGTAGACATAACAGTAAGTATGACTTATTCCAATGATACGAAAGCAAGCAACTATTAATCCAGTGAATATAGAGCATTCTATATATGTATATTAATTGGTTGCCAAACTCTATGTCAGGCGACATTTACTGCCGTCGATATTTATTGATTGATTTATTACTGTTATCACGAATTGCACCAGATTATTATCCATGTTGATTCAAATACTGGAAACGAAGAGTATGATCCATATTGTACATTGCACTACAATATAAAGTACTGTAGTCTACAGTATACGGTGTACAGTACTGTACTGCACCAGGATTTCCTTTGTCCCTAGGCCGTCCTCTTGCATTGTCCAATCCTTTAGGGTGACATACAGAAAAACAACCGCCATGGTATCATATGTTTCAAGCGTTCCAGACATGACGTTGCAACGTCAGTACTGCACTAGTGAACTGTCCTGTTGACCCAACAAGCACACGTACTACCTGAGTTCACTCGCTGTATATGTCGTACTTCATTGTTCATGAAACGACAGCAAGACGTGCTTTCAGCCTTTGAGCCAAATACGCCTTTTACTCTATTGCAGTACAGCACATTGAATGGAGGAAGAAACGAAAATAGAGGTGGAAATCTAGCGTATTTTCCAACTCATGGACAAATTGATAAACGAGAAACTATCATGTACCAAGCTGTGATGATTGTCTGCTTTACATGAAACGAACGTGTCTTTACCCAACTGATTGATAGCAATGAAAAAATTGGCTTACAGTATACAGTAAACTTGTATTTGCTCAAAGAGTGTCTGCTTCAATGTGGCCTTCATTCACTTTTTCCAAGGCTAATAACAGAAGTTGTATTTTGTACTTAATGCACTTAGGCAGAATAACTCAACTAACTACAGTACTGTCTAGTGATTGTATGGATATAAATGCAATCCATCTTATGCTATGATACATGCTGTACCATGAAGGAATGTCAAATATTTCCAGTCTAAGATGACTCCCTACCTATTAACCGCCATGACTCTCATCAATCATTCAAAGCATTACAAGTCTATATACAACGAATGCTCAATATATGTTCTATAACGAAAGTACATGAATAGGATTGTCAAAAATTAAAATACGGACATAATACGAGCATAGGTTCTAGTCAACATGTATAAAATTTACAACGCAGTGAGTCATTAAAGTGGACTAAATTTTCCCTCTCGCCCTTCCTTAATTGATAAATTAGAGGCATCAAGGCAGCGGGTGGTCTTGCTTTCTTAACATATTACAGTAATTTATTTATCTTATTTCGTTGTTACTAGCGTCAGAGCATAATCGAAGAGAAGGAAATTGATTCTTAGTGAAAGGAAGTGATCAATCATAAAGTCATGATCATAGATACCTCCGTATCTTTGTAAACGCATGCATAATGTTGAGTAGGAATTCAGAACCTATTTCTTACAAGGTAGCCGAAATCGATATCGATAGGAAAAAAAGTGAAATCGTACAGTAGCTTATTTAAGTAGGGGGGGCATTCTACTTCACTGTAAAATAGAAACCAAAACAATGTCGTGTTCACAAAGATCTACGGTCTCCATTTAACCTTATATTGTACATCTTTAATTTTTTACTTATATGTAAGTACAGTAAAGTAGCAGCCCATATCGTATTAGCATTGTCGTCTCGATTCTCTTAAGATACAATCCATGACTAACTAAAAACAATGTGCTCGTATATCGCACAAACGAGTACAGTATGTAGCTTGGAATGCGTTTACAGTACTATACTGCACTGTACACGAAATGATCATGTGTGAATGCAGTGTGCAGTTTTTGACTTAAAAACGCCCGAGACTTTGATCTGTCTACTTGTACAAGCACAATAAGTATAATTACGGAAACGCTTCCATTAAATGGCCCCAAATTTTATCATCAAATCGAATTTAAACGCACGAATTATAGGAAACTAATTAATCAATTAAGATCATCAATGTTACGTCCTCATAAAAATTCTTACAAACAAAGCAATGAATCAGTTTAAATCAAAATTTAGTTGAAGACGCAATACTGTATTGGGTAATGAAGTTCTCATTACAATCTATGACGATACCAAATGATAACTGCAATCAATATCCTACGTGCGTCCTTTATTATTCTTATTCTTATTAAATACGTTTCTTACCCTTCTGTCTGCAATAAAGTTTGATTGCTTTCCATATCAACAACGCTCACCGGATCGAGGCCTAGCTCTGCATTTGTAGACAATCATATTTATATAAAATTAAAAATCAACATAGCAAAGTATACTGGTCTGATATCATAATTTACAACACGATCAACTATAGTATTTATTCAATTAGTCCTCATTTGATACAGTATACGGATACAGTTAGGTGCACTGAAACACCTTGGCGTGATTTAAGTCTACACCAGTATATTTTACATCCTCAGATCTCTTACAACAAACTTCATCTTTACTATAATGTCCTAATACAGTTTTTAAATATCATACAAGAGTTCAATTGGACGAGTAAATATTCTGAAAATGTGTGAACTGTAAATTTATATATAAAACAACGGAAGAAATAGTGGGAAAATCGCCAACTAGAAATTGGAAGTATTGTGTCCTGGTATCAACTTTGTATACGCGTACTTCAGTCTAGAACGATATGCCGTCTAGTTCTACTCCATCGCAATATATTGTCACTGAGGGATCTGCTGTATTCATACACGTCAATGCCTTAGCTAAATGCCTTCCATCACTGTCTGAAATCTCTCAGCTCATTCAATTTAACACACACCACCAATGGTAACTACGACTACGTAGAATCTGGGCAAAGTTATAGAATAGAACACCTTGTACTTAAAGTATGTACTCAAACAATAATCCATTATAAATTACTTCATAAGCAGCAAAGCTGAGACCGATAAATAGTCAGCTTGGCTGTCAATAGTATTTAGCATTAATTATACAGTATCGCAGACATCAAAGACACCATTTTGACGACAGAGTACAGACCTAGTACAGTGTCAGTAGGAATTATTCGTAGATAATACTACTGTATGATTCAGGTTAAGATATGAGCGGCTATTTGACTTAAATAAACTTGTACCGTTTCATCAAAATGACCACACGGCACATATTGCAATTTATCGTCAAGTATGTAGGAAAGACTATTGAAGAATAAATAACGCAATGGATTGAAAAAAGGATGGATAAAGTATACTTTGGATGAACTGGTATGAAAATCCTATCACTCTTTTTCAATTATTATGACATTAAAATATGAAATACCTCTACAGTACAGTACTAGTCCTAGGGTCGATTAGGTCTATTTGTTATTTTGTTGAATCAGTGGAATGTTATGAATACGGACAATCCTATTTGTAATAGATACGGAGCACAGGATCTGATTTAACTTCATATACCATCTATCGAGCAACAAACTGACTGTATGTGTCTATGTAGTGGTAGTTTATGAAGCGATATGTAAGAAAAATAGGAATGGCAAAAGTGCCATCCTGTAACTGCTGTCAAGCCAAGTAGCAATCATCACTTACCTCTCTTATTAAAGGGTCGAACACGAACGGCTACCTGAACTTTCGACATGTTTCCCTGTGTTTAAAGTGGTCTTTCTACTGCCAATAGAAAGCGACCAGTTCTACAGCCTGTAGTGTTAAGATGGAGGAATATCGTTGCCTTCACGATTGTTGGATTACCTCTCCACTGTCGTTGTATGATACGTGGAGTTTTTCGTTTGCGGTGTGTAGACCGCAACAGCGCAAGATATCGTGTTGATGGCAATCAGCAGGAGAGAAAATCTACTCCGCTTGAATCAATATACAGCACACTCTTGTCAACTTCTACAATAGAACTACATGCAAATCATGCAGCATGATGAGTTAGTGATGACCAGAGTTTGGGAATTTTAATTAAAAATGCGAACCAGATGACTTTGAAAGACGAACGACGATAGTCAGTGATGTAATGATGACTGATTATATAACTGTAGGCTTCAAGCAGTCAAGCCCATTAACAGTCTACTCTACCTAGCGTTTCCAAGTGTGTTTTGCGGTACAATTGCCTCTTGTCTGTGGTGGTACGGCGCAGTATTAGCAAATCACGAGAATACGGTCTAGTGTCCTGAAGTACAGTGTACAGTACGCTGCGTACAGTACAATACTGTAGAATCTGCATTCTGATGTGCACGTGAACACTACGAGAGTACTGGTACCGAGTCAAGTCAAAGTGGACCGAGCAATATCGATCGTGCATAGAGATCAAGCAAGAGCAAATTGGCTGATTCTAATAATAATTATTATTTATTTATTTATTTATACTGTACAGTACTACACATGGAAAGTTTGCACAGTGCAAAAAAATGCCGTGGACAATGTATGACCATCGTTTGACCAAAGACTTGTAAGAAAAAAAGCTCGGTTATACACTATACAGGAGATACTTTGGTGAATATAGGAAGTAACTGAAAGTACCTAAGCCATAACTGTACAGAGTACATGGTGCACGACAGACTTCAACCGCTCCATTTGTTAACTCAATGTCAATAACTTTCAAACGAAAGCATATGGTACAGTACAGTACCGGAGGTACCACTCCCAGTCGACTCGCGGGTGTGTGTAGTGTATGGACGAGACTCGGTACCGTATTTCATGCAGCTGATGCTACTGACCACGTCAGCCGGTAGGCAGGTCACGTAATACAACTCAGCTGATATTAAAAGTTGCAGTGATTTTTAGACGAGATTGGTGCCACATAACTTTGCAAATGATCCTAGTTGATGTTGACTAGTCCCTTATAAGTGTCAAAATTTGAAAACACCCATCAGATTCATGCACAATTACACATCGATCACTGATATCAATGACAATGCAGTAGTGTACTGTAGAGTACAGTAAGTAAACACGATAACGTTGATCGCATTTTACAGTACTTTTTATCCTTGCCACAGTGTAATAGACTGTAGTCTACAGTACATTGTACAAGGTTCAAGTTGATCAGGAAGAACGATCCTGTACAGGATAGTGTCTGTCAAGCACTCTGTCCATGCGACGAAACACTATGGAAACAGCTTGCTTCTGACATCCAGTTTCTTGGATCTCTGTAGTACAGTGTACAGTACTGTCAGCACGAGATTTGTACTGTGCACTATACACTGTAGTACTGTACAGCACAGCTATCACTAGAGCTCAACAAAGCCTTTCGACGCGGACGTACAGACTGCTGTACATAAGATAGAATAATAATAATAATAATAATCATCACAAATTCACAATACACTGAGTACTGTACAGACTGTAATTTATTTTATTTTTTTGGGATTCATCGCTTTTTCCTGTTCAACCTGATACTTACAAATGATCCTAGTTGATGTTCACTAGTCCCTTATAAGTATCAAAATTTGAAAACACCCATCAGATTTAGCCTCTAGATTTAGGCACAATTGCACGTCGATCACAATGACAATACTGTACTGTAGATCGCATTTCACAGTACTTTGTATCCTTGCCACTGTGTAATAGACTGTAGTCTACAGTACATTGTACAAGGTTCAAGTTGATCAGCAAGAACGATCCTGTACAGGACAGTGTCTGTCAAGCACTCTGTCCATGCTACGAAACACTATGGAAACAGCTTGCTTCTGTTTGTGTCCAGTTTCTTGGATCTCTATAGTACAGTGTACAGTACTGTCAACACGAGATTTGTACTGTACGCTGTACACTGTAGTACAGCACACACTTATCACTAGAGCTCAACAAAGCCTTTCGACGCGGACGTACAGACTGTTGTACATAAGGTATGATAATAATAATAATAATCATCACAATACACTGAGTACTGTACAGACTGTAATTTCTATTTTTTTTTTTTTTTTTTGATTCATCGCTTTTTCCAGTTCAACTTGATATCAACATTGTCAGCCGAATCCCCTTTTTGGTTGTCTATCATGGTGCGTTACTATCAACATTTCTAGGATCAACTAGGACTATCGTAGAGCTAATAGACACTGTAGACTAGCTTTCAGGAGCATCAACGTCTTCAACTTGCAAATTTGGTATCAAATTGAGCTCAAGGATGCCGCGACGATCAGCTTTGTTGAAGAAGGACGTTGGTAAGAATGAACAGACTATAACAGACAAGATTCAAGCTTCATCTCCAATTCATGGGATCTCCTCTGCTGGAAGCCATAAAAGCTCACGTCCAATTCCAGCAAAGAAAATAACTTGGTTAGTTGCACATCTTGTTATCAAAGCTTCAGAAATTGCATCGATCGCAACTTAACGTATTCAAGTCGATCTTCGATATAGTCAGCACGTCGACAGTAGACTGGACGATAGACGTCTAGTAAATACGTACTGTACTCCCCCAATATTCTTGTTCCATTCAGAAATGCATATAACTACGTATAATGTTGCTGTTATGAAAGAATGGATCCATTTCAAATTTTCGAAAGCCTAAGATTAGAATGCATGATTGTGCACGTATGCCAGACACTGTAACTTATATAGACGAACGCCATGGCTCAAATTTGAGACAGTGTTTGGCAATACAAGGTGCTAAAATTCCAATCGCATGAGGATGGTAAATGATAATACGTATGGTGTTATTGCACAATGTAATGAAGGTACTAGATTTAGACGACGAAATACTCGTAGAACATCCTTCTCAAGGACAATTATATTTTCAACAAGAAGGCCAATCATCATTAGACGGATAGAATACTGTTAACTGTATATCGACAAAGATACAGGTCTTTCTTCTTGCTCCTACAGTAGAAAATACCTGAGTATATTGACATTGGTTATTGATACAATCACCACGACTTGCACATATGACCTAGCTACAATCACCAACATTAATATCCAGATATAATCTACAGTACCTATTCAACACTAAATCTAGCACAGTTATCACTTAGTCTGTTAATTAAAGCACTACTTTAATAATATAATATATGACCGTATGCATACGTCTTCAGTCGTCTTCTTACCTTCGCCGTTGACATCTACAGTATAGTAAAATATCTCTTGTCAACTTTTACACTGCAAATTGCAAGTGAATTTAATAATTAATTGTTAAATACTGCCTAACAAATAAAGATATCCTATACGCGTTAGATACACCATGTAGTTGACGGTTTTACTTTTAGATAGTACCTCAAACAATCATCCTAGCCAATTATTACATAGACCTGTAATGCAATATAGCTAAAATTATCGAAATCTTGCAATCAATTAATCTCTCTTAGGTAAAATGATATATGATATTTTACGTGTATGCAGGCTTGTACAAGTCGTAATCGAACGATCTTAATCATAACTGCAAACAGCGGCTGCCACTAAGCACCAATAGTAGACTACACTGTAACCTTTCCATTCTTTTCATTCAAAGATGACCGTTTTATGCAATACTGGATATCGTGTTATAATAAGTTATTAATCCCAAGAATAACCTGTGTCTTCTACTTCATATATTTATCATAGTTCATCTGGCAATTCCACTTTAAAACGGGGCAGCCAAAGGTTGGTGAATGCATGAACTTTTATTAGCTTATTAATAGATTTCTATATAGTCTATTCTATGCTGTAGCATAAATTGAAAAGAACCTATAATTATTCTGTAATATAGAGACTATAATTTGTCTTAAGCTATGTTCTTACCAGCATCTGCTACTTTTAAACAATCCCTTTATTCCTAGAACAACTGATACGTAATTTAGAGCTATACTTAAAGTATATAAGCTGTACATGAAAAATGCATCTTACCATTGATATAACGTTATTCCAATTTTTAAACTTCTGCTGGATCTATCTTCCTCCTTGGCTTGCACTTGCATCAAATTATTAATTTAATTCAGAAAACAAGAAAAAAACACGGTAAAATCTAGTCTAAAGGCTGAATTTTATAATCCGAGCCATACAATGCTAAATTAAACTATGGTATTACCATTACTATTCATAATTTATAACTCTATCATGCCGGTAATGTCCAGGACGTTTAATGCATTAGCTTAGCGCTACAGAGTCTCTTACATTGAATTATTCGTACTAGGAAATATACGTGTATACCTGTATGTGCTCACATATATTACTTTAATGGTATAAGCTTGTACACTTTCCCTAGTTCCTTTTTGTAGAATTAGAATATTGTTAATGGCTAACATTTTACAATTGTAAAGTGCAATACTGACCCTTTATTAATGCATCCTGGTTCAATGCAATAATATTACGGATAGTAACATCTAAGTTTTAATATATAGTGCTCATTTACTGTAGCATTACATGACAATTTTCCTAAATAAGATTACTTCCATTACTACATACAGCAGTTCCGTATTCAAACTGGCAATCACTTCAGAAAGATCTACTTGATTTATATAACGTTCACGAGATATTGATTGTACGTTACAATTATGATAGATATAACGAGTTATTATACGTAACTTCAACGTTACTTCGTGTTACATAATTTCCATCGCTGTTAGCAGCAAACGTAGAAAATTAAGAGAAGTTTCATAGTACCGCTGCGTACATTATTTTCCGTTGGCAGGTCATTACCCATTAGAGTATGGAATATATCAATCATTTTGAGCTATTATAATCTAAGAATGTGCCTCACGTACATACGAAATCGGATTTAGATGCTATACAACCCATTGATAGTTTCTATAACTTATTTGCAAATTTCATTACAATTGATTGTCAGAATGAATAGCATAAAGCTAATCGGAATACAATAAGGAATAACTATTAATTGCAGACATAATTAAATTCACTAGAGTATCAGTTTGGATCGAAAATCGTTGCAAGATCAACTAAAAAAAAATAAAAAATTGGAATGTCCGAAATGTTCTATTCTTTTCAAGACAGTTAGTGGATACATTTATCATCAGCAACGTTGTGGTCAGGTATGAAGTCATTACTTACATTACTGTATCAGCTCTCAATAACAATTTTATACTTGATATAAAATCGTAAAAATTAACAACAAAATAATTTTTTAATTTAGGAGAAACCTATCATTACATGTACACTATGTGATAAAACCTATACCTCAGAAGCCGGTTTACAGTATCATCTGAAGGTTTCTCATGGCACTGATAAGGTACAGTGGATTTGTCGAAATACCTTTATTGTCGTTTTTATAAATTAACAAATTAATTTGTCAATTTTACCATTTAATCTTAATCTCTCGTTAACTCTTTAAATATGCAAATGTTTCAGTCCTCAACCGGACTAGAAGATTTAGAAGCAGAATCTTCTGCTGTTGTTATAGGAAATAAAAAGAGAAAGTCTGCTGTAAGGTATGCTTTATTACAAATAATTATTGGTTATATTTTTATGCTTTATATGATATTGCCTTTGGAGTTGATAAAATGCAGTAAAAGCAAGTCAATTTTGCATTTAATACATAAATAGGCATGTAATGTATCTACCTGTATACTCTTGTCTTACAGTGCTGCCATCGAGTCTTTCTGATGCTGTAGTGTAAACGATCACTACTTGATGATATTAACTATGCCTAACAATAGCCATGTTAATATCGTTGCAATTCTACATAAATGTCATTTACTGTGTAATACCAATTCCATTCAGATTACTGAACGATGATCAATATTTTTGTGATGTACTGTATATCACCTAATCAATTTATAACACTATAAGATAAGTAATTAAGAATAATACGACATCAATTGATAGTATATATGATGATATTATGCGTATACAAGTCGAAATACACGTCATAACATTGTAGTAATATCCGATTCTAAATCAGATGGTAATCACACTTCGTAATAATAAGTCTAAATTGCACGTATTCATTTTATGCTTTTGAAAAATTTTGAACGTGCTAGGGCCGCGGAATTAATAATTTCAACAGCTAATGCTGACGACGATGAAGTGGAAATTGAAAGTACCCAGCTAGGTGGAAACAATAAGGTATACATATTATGCATTAATACACTACGGTCATTGGGCTATAAACATGTTTACAATTTTACGGAATTCAAAATTATGGCGATTTAAGAAAATTTTGAGAACGAACGATATATTTTTGAAATCTCAGAAAATGAAATCTTCAATACTGCTTGTTGTTAATTCTGGAATAGGATGTAGCATTAAATAAAAACACGATAAAGACTGCTCGCGTTGCCTTAAAGAAGAATGGTGCTATTAAGTGCCTTAATAAGGTTTCCAATCCTCGTTCGCTTTAATTATTGTAATTTAAGAATCTTGTATTTTAGAACTGCTTCGGTGAGTTTAGATTAATATTGATAGCGTAATTTTACACAATGTATCGATGTTAGGAGTGTAACGCGGTCTTTACTACAATTCCTGGGCTTAAATATCACCTACAGAAGTGTGGATCGGTAAATATCAAACCTGGAATATAGTTTAATATTTAATACCAAGCAAATGAGCCCTACATTTTTGTGAATTATATGAAAAATTACGCTATCCTCAGCTAGTTATTATGTTTAAATCGTATAGGATTTAATCAGATTTCAATGCAATAAATGTGACATGACATACAAATCCGAGGCAGGCTTAAAGCATCACTCTAAAACTGTTCATAAGGCAAGTTAATAGTATCGTCACCATAAACAAGAACCTTAGATTTAAAATCTAAACTTAAAGAATAATCGCAGTAAAATTTGGGATTTCATAAGGACTCAGATTATGCAATGGATGTTGCCTCAGATCGTGATAAAAGTAGTTACTTGGTCAGTGGTGCGAGAAAGAGTACCAGTAAAATAAAATTAAAGCAAGCAATGAAATTATCTCTTCCTCTAAGAGCTTTTATTCACAATAACGTTAATTGGATCAAAGAGAGGTTAGGAAAAAAGTGTAATTATTACCCACTTATTTTCTTCCGCTCATACCTTCTGTTCTTGCTTTAGTCGGCAAACTACACATTGTCAAATTACATTTACTGGCTGGAAACCTACTACAAATCATGTTCGACCTCTTACTGAAAAGTTAGATTCCGCTAATATTTGAATTTATAAAATTTAAACTTGTACTGGATACGTATTAACTTCCGATATATCAATACTTATGATCCGATGAAATAGTGAATTTGTAGGCTTTCTTCCGGACACTAAAGAATCTCCGTATTTCAAATTGAATTGCCAAAGGTCATGTGTGGAGGATCTTACAAAGTTGAAATTATTCGAATCAAAATATGTATATTCTGATGGTAATTTAAGATGATTGTTTATCTTATGCCTAATTATGTCGAGATTTTTTTAATCAATTTTTGATTACTTCCATTCTAAATGAAATTGTTTTATCTAATTTTGCATATGCAGCAAATTCGGCGGCGTTATTTGTTGGAGATCCTGTTTGGACAGTAGCTTGGTGCCCTATTCCGGGTATGTAGATTTAAATTAAATTAATACCTTTTTTGAAGGGACTTCTCATAACCTTGTTTCTAACAGATGATGCAGAACTGACAGAACAGTACGTTGCGATTAGCACTAACAAAGCACAGACCCATGTGTGTAAATATTATACTTCGATATAAATTAATCGACACGTCTGTACAACTAAGCTTCATTTAAACGTGGTACCGTTTTTATCTTGTAAGGCTCATAATATTTACAAATGTGAAACGACACGCGGGATTATACAACTTTGGAATTGTGGTAAATTACAGAAAAGGTCTGTGCCACATTAAAATATGCATATCTCTAACAATTGATAAATCTCCACGTAATTTACTATCACCTCTTACAGGCAAGACAAAATAGTACCCTATCTAGCCCTCGGTATTACGTACGACTATGGACCTATTTGGGACATGAAATGGTGCCCATCGGGGTGCTGGCAGCAACAGACTTACGAAAAATCCGATTTAGTAAGTTAAGTTAAATTCTGAACTTGTAAAAAACTAATATTATTTGGTATTAAGAATTAATATACTACTGTAAACTAAAAACTAGTCATCCAGACTTGGACTTTTAGCAATGGCATGTGGGGATGGCAAAGTTCGCGTATTAAGGCGAGTATTATACATCAATTACGATGATAATAACATTAATCTTACGTAACTTTTATTATTCATGTACCTAATACAGTGTACCTCAGCCCGCAAGTCTCCGTCAACAGCAAAAGACCAAAGAAGGTTAGTCTATACCGCACCAGCAGAAAAGTTTCAGAAGCATCAAAATGTTTGACCCTTTTAAATATTTTTTTTAACCAAAATGTAGTGATCTTTAATATCATTCCACATGCCATCTTAATACCTAAATACGATGACATTACTAATAGTGGCCAAGCAATATGCCTGGCATGGATGTCAAGCAATCAACATCGCTTCCTTGCTGCTGGCTTCGCAGATGGTTAACGCACTAAAATTTTTGATAGGAATAGTTTCATTGAAACTTTATATGTCGTAAATTTTAGTTATATTAAAACTATATAAATGTAAACCCTAGGTACAATCGCAATATGGGATCTGATGACGGAATCACGGCTATTGCTTTGTAATCATTTTAATGAATCTCAGATGACTCGATGTACGTGTACATTATGCAATAAGATGGCCTTGTATTTTAATCCTTTTTTGTTTACCTTAAGGATCTAATTATTATTATTATTGAATAGACTACTTTCCATTTCGCATTATTGCTGGACATGACAGTGTTATCCGTAGCATTGCATGGTGTCCATCGAATGGAGATTACTTTGCAACAGGTACTTAAAGATGAATTTATCTTCATACATACTATTTCTTATGTAATAGTACAGAATCTCCTATATCCTATGTACGCGTATTTTTTACTTACCATAGCTGGACACGACAGATGCATTAAAGTATGGGACTTTAGTGATTTAAATAAGCCGATACGGTCTTGGAAGAAAGGTTTCAATATAACCTTTAAAATCAGCTCAGGCTCTATTTGTTATACCTTTCGTAATATATCTATTTTTTTATCAAGGGTGGTTTACAAGTATTGTCTGGCCCCGTCATCGACGTTTTCTTTTTCTCACCGAAGAAGATTCTACTTCTGGGTACTTTCATATTTTTGTTTTAAGAAGTAAGTTTAGAATACGGTTTCATTTCTTATAATTTAAAATAGATACGGAACCGCCAATTATACAGACATTAGTAGCCGAAATGACGCCCAAATTGTGAATTTGATTAAACATAGCGGCGCTTCCCTGGTTAGTAAATGTTATATTAATAGCTTAACATGTTACTTCAATAACAACATAAGTTGTTAGGTGACTAACAAGATTAAATCCTTCTTCATTTGGTAGGCTCAGAGCTTTTCAGAGTGGTCAACTAATATCGTAAGCGGTAGTGAGTGTGGGGAGCTATACGGTTTTAATACTGCACAAGTTTTGACTAGCGGAACGATATCAACAAAATTCAATCAAAGAAGTAAATATTTCTGGGTCAGTTTGTGGTTGACTTATTTTATGAAGAAACTACCAAATACATTTTGTCGGAAAGTTAATTTGTTATTTTCAAATTTTGGCTTAGATCGTATATGAATCAAAGATAGAAAACAATACCCAATCTAACGTCTCAAATGATCAAGACTACATAATAACTTATAAAGAATATGGTTTAGTATGTTAAAGCCCGTAAAATTAATCATACAAAGTCGTTAGAGAATCGCACTGAAACGTAATAAAATTAAACTAATATAATCTATATTTCTAAGGATAAAACATCCTGGTCAAAAAGCGATTATTCAATAGCAAAACCTTCTAAATATAACCCTGTAGCAGCGTCTTCGCAAAAACCTTTACATGAAGCTATTCAAGCGGTAATCTCAGTTTATGATACCATAGAAATTAAATCACACTGATTACTCTCTTGTTTCCTACTAGAGCATTTTCGCATAAACGTAACGTCATTAAAATTGCTAATAATTATATATTCTTAATTGGATTCGTTTAACAGGTTTCTTGGAACCCAAATCGCGACTGTCATACTTGGTTGCTATCAGGTAGTAAAAGTGGTATGGTACGTCTTCACAATATTTCAGCTCTCGGAGATATCAATACTTGAAAATATTTGTTTGAATGTATTTTGAGAGTATTATTCATTATACTGTAAGTGTTAATGAAATTATTTCACTACGATACTGTTATGTAAAACAGATCGAAACTTACTATATATCTATATTTATTAGCTATATTATAAATATCATACTACATAATCACTTGGACAACTACAAATCAATGATTGCCATAAAAAATACTGTATATACGATTGTATCTTAAAAAGTTTTTTCCATATTACTGCCCATGCCATTGGTGCGGGAAATTTTATCATTTCTTGATCTCTGGTGTTATAGTACGGTAATAAAGTTTACGTGCTGTTACGCTACTGTATATTTTAATTTAAGATAATATACTGTAATCATAATTTGTCAATCATTAATGTGGGAAATTTTGTCATTTCTTGATCTCCTAATGATACAATACAGTATTAAAAGTTCACGTGGTGTCAAGCCACTGTATATTTCAGTTGAAGAGAATATACTGTAATCATAATTTGTCAATGGATTTGAATCGAACTATTGCATTACTCTGGAATATTTCCGTAAGAATCTAATAATTTAAAACTGTTATTATATCTTGTACATAAAGCATTCGTGTGATAACTGTAATCACAACTGCATTTTCGAATACTGTACAATCAAAAAACTGAAATAAAAATAATACTATGTGCTGTACAGTAAATTATATATAAACTAAAGTAAAATATGTACTACGAAATCCGAGGCTGGATGTACCTCAAAATATAATCCTTTGCTCTTTGAATCATCTCGTTTACTATTAAAAGGCGATGATTATCTAGCTTTCCTTATGCAATGATACATTACGCAAATTTCTCTTATTTTCATTTTATGTTTCGTTAACATACTGTAGAGACTGCACCGACGAAAAGTATAGATACTTAGATAGGTATAAAGTAATAACTGCAATATAATACTGCGATTCTGCATCGAAGTTGCGAAATTGTTTTGAGTTTTATATTCAAAAAGAATCAAAGACCAATTTTGTCTTAAAAGTCGTTTACTTTATTGATAGCCAAATGATTCTCACATCATCCTTGCTTAAGGTATATGTTTAATCGAATAAACCTGAAAACACAAATGCATAAGACATTAGTTAAATCAATCGAAGACAATTGAAGAAAGTAAGTTTTAATACCAAAGTAACTATTTGGAAATTGTAACAATCTCATGACACTAAATACTGTCCATCTTAACCTTAACTATATTCGTACGGGTAATCAATCGTACTGCATATCATGCTCACATACTGTATTTTATCAGTAATAAGGATATCAATCAACATTATTCATATTGAATAGTTCGGCAAGTCTGCGACTACTGACGGCGCTATACTGTACATTAGGGTACAGTGTATTATCAACTATAGTACAGTATGGCGGTAATCATATCACAGCTTTCACTGCTACACAACCCCTAGCAATATTGCACTCGTAGTCTAAAATTCTGTACAATTACAAGTAACCCTATTAACGCCATCGTGAGCGTCTTATCAACTTACCAAAGCCCATATCATCGTCAGATTCTTCTTCTTCTACTTCCTTCTCAGCTTCCTTCTCTGCTGCAGGAGCATCAGTAGCATCGCCACCTCCAGCTGCAGCGGCAGCGGGTGCTGCGGCAGCGCCGGAACCGACATTGGTAATCAAATCCTTAATATTACGACCAGCGAGTGCTTTGGCGAAAAGATTAGGCCAGTAAGGTTCGTAGTCTACTTTAGCAGCTTTCAGTAATGCTGTAATTTTATCCGCCTAAATGATACCAATACATTCAAATACAAAATCAGCTACCACATCCAAGATTCCAGACTGTATGCCACACTGTACTGTATAAATCGACATCCCTGCAAGGCTATTCAAAGTCGACAAGGAAAAAAAATACCAATTCCTTACCGTGATCTCGACCTCATCATCACTTAAGATAAGTGCACTATATACACACGCTAGTTCAGATGTTGATGCCATTTGTACTTTATGAACACTTTAACTTTTCTTCACAACAACTTTAAATGGTGTACGTCGCCGGATGGCCTTAGCTACAAGAGAACGATACACCTTCTCTAAAATGGCGCAAGAACGATATCTCAGAGAAGCTGAAAAGAAGGATTGTCACATGCGTGGAGCAATATAAAAGAGCCAATTTTTCCGATTGTCTTGTAGTCTGGGAGTCTGATGCTACGCTTGCGTACTAGGACAGCTTGCAACACGCTGCACGTAGTAGTGCGCTGGCCAAGTACAGTCACTCTGCGTCACTGGTACAATAGTACTTACTATCCAGTACTAAGGTCAGTATAGCTAAGAGCATCAAGGACTTCCTTGGTATATTCTTGTACTTTTTGGCGTCACCGTCAGACACTCAGATCCTCGTGGTATGGGGTTTAAATACTGGGGCATAAAACTGCTTTGTAGGCGCATTATGTCCTCCTATCAAATTATGGTGCAGTATAATCAGGGACATTTTCTCTTCCTTTTTTTCTCTTAAAATAGTAGAGACTCTGCAAAAAAATGTGGAGGCTAATCGTTCTCGCGATCATTCTACAGTACTGTACTGTACACTGTACTGTACAGTATGCTGTGCTTTACAGTGTACTGTACAGTGTACAGTGTATAATGTACAGTACAACTGTACTGTAGTGTACTGTACTGTAATGTACAGTACAGTACATCTGAAACCGTTCACTTCACTATACAAAATACTGTATTAAGCAGCTGCTGTCGCAGTACAGTACAGTACAGTACTGTACTACGTACTGAACCCGTTCCAATTTTGTTACCCCACAGAGTTGATAGTACTGTACAGTACAGTACAGTACTCTACAGTACAGTACTTGATACTGGTTGATACAGTATGAAGCTTTGTTTGTACTGTACGTCGAAACGCCCATACTAATTCCAGAAGAAAGCGGAACGGAACGGAATATCGTTATAGCAACAGTTCTTTAATTAATTAATTAATAAATAAGATAAAATTGAAAATAAAATTGGGCAATTTCTGTAACAACAGTTAAAAATAGTAGGACGTCTTCTTTAAATACACCTTTGTATCCCAGAAATCCTGACAACTTGGCTATACGAATTATCAATGATAGAGAGAGGATCGAATTAAAGAAAATTAATCGCATAAAATCCAATCTACAACCACAGTTTACTTAGTCCGTCATCCGTATTGAGCTAAAGTAGATAACATAACTATAACATGAATGACTAGTAATGCTGATGATATTAATTTAGCCACTTCACAGCAGTATGTCTAACAGTGAAATCAACGAAATAACTGATGACGAAGACGTACCTCTCGACTCGTTATTGCACAAGACTGTAATAAACCTGGAAAATGCCTTGCGCGAATCGGATAATTTACTGAAGGAGCGCAATGATGAAGTCAAGAAATTAAGGACCGAACTTGAAGATGTTACAATATCGCAAAGAGAACTAAAACAGAAAAACGATCACTTAACTGATTTATTATCACAAAATGCATCAAAATTAAATAATATCAAAGTAACAACAAATGACTGGCAATTAGAAATCGAAAATTTAAAAGAAGAGACTGAAGATTTAAAGGGAAGACTTAATGACACATTAAATATCAAGAAACAACTAACTTATCAAGTGGAAGAATACAGTCAATCTTGTTGTGTATTAATGAAGGAGATGGCTAGAATTCGGTCAGAAATGGACAGTACAACAGAAAATCTGGAACAACAGAATGCCAAGAACAGCAATTTAAAAGAAGCGTTATTCGATTTTTTTACTAATCAGACAGTTAACGACAATGACTCCATCGATTTACTCTTAAAGAACTGTGATTGTAATAACGAAAGTTTTAAGATTCTTAAAAAGAAATTATTCAGCGTTAGGAAATACCTCAAATCCCTGGAAAACTAAACAATATCTCTTTATTACCTATTGCACTTTTGAATTTTAGCGGGTTCCCAAAACTATACCAAGTCTTAGCATTACATTAGTTTGCTACGTTACTGCAAGTGTAATTGCCGACAGATAGGTATTACCCAAGGTAGTTAATGCACGCTATTTATTTAGTATCTGAAACGTTGATTATAATGTGCTCTCGTAGATACACTAGCGTATATAGACAGTAATTGTAGCCTGTATTTACTGGTCCTGAAAACTGCAAGCAGACATAATCATCTTAAATTTGCTATTTATGCCTTAAGTGAGTTTAGTCTTATATACTGTCCTATTGAAATCCTATTTGAATTTCTACTTAAATTTAATAGTCTATTTGCATAGTGTTTTATTCAACATAACTCACGGTCTGCAGTAAGTGTCCTTGCGCTCTGTTAGCTTAATATTAATGCATTTAATTCGTGATACAAAATGCCATTGTATTATAGATTATTAAATAACTAATAGATATATGCTATTAAGTGCCATCTTTTATGAAATTAATCCTAAAATAATTAAATAATGTTAATGCTGTAAATATCCGTATGATCTGAACTTTGATCGAATCTTATAATGTTTTTATACCTGATTTTAAATTAACAATATTATGACAATGCTTGCTAAGTTGCCTTTATTTTGACAGTATCAATAGTATGTATTTGTAATAACTTGTAATAAAATAAATGCAGAATTTGGGATGATGTATAAGTAGCCATTAATCATTGCAACTTTTACTGCATAAGAAATCGCTATGCGATAGGATGATAACATTGCAGGTACTTGTATGAAATATAAACATGTTACTATTGCTGTTATTAGTCTATACGAGAGTCGAACATGCAAAAATTTTAACAAGGAATTGAAGTAACACTAACTTGAATAGATATTTTGCTTCAAAAATCAAGTAAGCCATCATCACGTATATGATGAAAATATTTTTGTACGAATGTGCAGTTGAAAGTTTGTTAGATGTTGAATACTTTTATAAAACATATCGTGCTTCCATACATATAATAATTAATACTTTCTCTACCGTTAGAGCTACATAAAATATTAAATATAATATTAAAATGTTACACCCAAACTACAAGAACGTATACAGTATTTTGTTCTTGCAAGCTATATGAAACAGTAATTTATACAATTGATGAAATTTAAAACTTTAAGCATTACAACTTAAATATGATACAATTTTAAATATGTAGCTCAGTAATTCATAACAGCTATGCGATAGAATCATGGATATTAGTTAACTTCAATTTATGCTACTTATTTATGTATCAGTTGTCGTGTCAAACATAATTTTCATTATAATGAAATATACAAACTTCGCACATGTCCGCCGTACTATTCGCATCTTCAATCGCAAAAAAAATCTGGTAAAGTACAGCAATCTAATCAAGAATGGGCAATAATTATAATAATACTTTCTAAGAATGTGAAAACATATAACGTTACAGTTAGGTCGTAAAGGCATTGATCTGCCATACTGTTTCCCTTAATTGATCTATTACAATCTTCAATTGCTGATTCTTTTCCTTTATTCGCTGCAAAAAAGTAGAATTTGTTAATGAGTTTACATAAATACCAAGATGTATGACAGAGTGTCAACTATAATAAATGCATTAAGGTAACAGGAAGATACTGGAAGATACATGACAAAAGCAAATACTATACTACTCGTGGATTACGAAATTTAATGTACTACACCATCACGATTTCGATTTCATTTGCGCATTTCTGTTAATGATATCTTCCTATTATACTGCACCGTCTATGCCGTGGTAAAATACTAACTGTAATAATACCGTAGTGTGCAGTACAATCTATGCTTAACGATTACGATCTACATGAGAATACTGCAGTCTATACGATATCTTATACGCTTTACTGCTCATATCGTCCTTGGAATCTGCGATTACTAATCTGCAAGCCACTTATATACATGAACATCGATATTTTACTGTATGTGACATTTGTTCTCTAACTATACTGACGCAACAGATTTATAATCGCGTAAACGAAAAACTGTTTCGTATCTATGCTTATTACGCTAGGATACAATCGCATTACGTATATTATGTATCATTATTATTCATGTAACAATCCATTCAATGTCACTGCGAGGGCTGCCTAGTGAAACGACGTTGTAATTGTAATAATTTCAAGCAACACGTAATCGTCAACGCATAAGTTATTATATTTTACTTTAGGATATTAAGATACATCATGTAGTAAAAATGTTCTAAACTGCCGTCATTGCTATAAAAATTATGACATTGCAAGTAGAATGTAAGTATCCAAAACATGGCATTACATAGAGTACAGTAATACCTCCTCTAGCTCCTGACGTTCCATTGTCAATCCATCTTTATCGCTGTCACGTTGTGTTGATTTGGCCTCGTTGTTGTCACTAAATAATAATTCCTTAATCTGAATGAATGAAAAATCTGGAGATTAAACCTTGAAGGTATAGAAAGGCGAAATATTTTATCATTTAGACATGTATAGTACTTCATCATGCCGCTTGTGTACCTCTTGATCATCGATTTTTCCATTCCTATTGCAGTCTTCATAGACTAGGCGCAAACTTCGAAATAAAGCTTTGATCGAATCTAATTTCTGCTTCAACGTTTCAGTTTGCTCTAGGTGATATTGTGACTCCTTATACACCCCAATATCTGCTTCATGTAGCCATTTGAAAAGGTTAAAGCTTTCATCGCAAATTCTCTTAACAATACGACAGCCTTCAGTAGCAGCCATTTTAAATATTCCTTTGTCAGTTGACCTCACAGATCCTTCGTACAGTATTACTTACAGTGCACAGTTTATAGTCAGAAACTTCTACTACAGTACAGCGTACTGTAGATGTCTTCTGGTCTGGTCCGATTCGGTCCGGACTAGTCCAGACCGTGGTCTGCAGAATAGATTTCAAAGATACAGAACAGTACGACTGTACAGTGTACAGTACAGTACCCTAAGAATACAGTACAGGCTTTAAGCCGGTCTTCTTCTAGTGATAGGGGTAATGATCACAGGACAGCTACAGTACTTTCTACAATGGATAGCCTTGTAGCCTACAGTACAGAACTGTAGCCTACCTTGAAAGCATCAGGTACAATAAGTCCATGTTGCTGCTCCATATTTAATGCACTTGCACTTTTCATCTTTTGGGCTTAACTCGAGAGGGGAAAGGGTCCATTCTAACCTCGGTCATCTATTCTAAAATATGTAACCATTGCGTGATACATAGTTAGCCGTAGTCCTATCGACGTATGCGTTACTATCAATTTTAGAATGCATGAAACCCAATAAACGATGAAGTTAAGCTTGAGTAGGATTTGCTTTTGTTGTTCGATCATTAAATGGATGCTGCAATGGATCGGAATAAAATTAGGCTTAAGGCGGCTCTGGAAGAAGAAGACTAGCAGCGAAGAGAGCCTATTACTTGATGTGAAAGTAACTCCGACAACACCAGTAAGTACAATCAACAAAGTTTGACCCAATGATGCCTATCTCAGTAGTTCTAAAATGCAATCGATGCAGGCTTACAGTATATCGTAATCTGTAGATAATGTGCAGTAATATCCGCTAATGTGTCCAAGCTCCCTTCCACTTGTGCATCTTGCTCACTTTACAAATAAACAATCCTACTAGAAAATACATCGAGAATCCGAGCCAATTTATGCGTTAACTCTTCTCGCTTAAGTGTTCCATCTTAGCTACATCATGATAATTGTTTGTACTGAATATCAAACTGTGGATCATCGTAAAGTGCAGTGTGCTGTAAGCCTCACTGATTACAATGGTGATAGCCAACGATAATAATAAATCTGTAAACAACCATCAATCTGCTTTATACGCCAGACGATGAACTGTAAATACTTGCTAAACTAGAAATTATCGAGATACAGTACATTAATATATAATAGCCATAAGCTATAATCATAGATATTATATCATTAAAAATGTGATTACACTCCAGCTGGAGCACTCTGAAACCTACTGTACTGTACATAAAATTATAATCGTAACTATCCGTACACCATAACATTGCAATTACGAGTAGTTAGACCCTTTAGACCTTTGGCCATATTTACATAAGAACTTATACCCTCGTGTTCATCTACCCGTATTTTACCTAAAGTTCTTATCATTCTGTTAATTATCTCATGTGATAGAAATAAATACTAAGTGTATGTAACCGAATCATGTAGAAGTAAAGTGTAGTATTTAAGATTAGTACTCACTATCATTGTGCACAATAAGCTAAATAAAAAGTTGGTTATTCGTTAACATCCTACAGCTCCTTTAGTCCTAATTAAAAATGATATTGACAACTTCATTCGAGTCTTTGCTAGAGGATTTGTAATTGAAGAATACGCGTGAAACATCTTTTACTGCCGGATATACTGTAGTATCGCACGACAGGAAGCAACAAAATCGTTTGAATCGAATAATATCGTACACATATCCTAGTATGAAGGGTTCATTCTAGATCGACTGTCCTCGAATTTCGTTGGGCCCAATCATTGGAATGTTTATTTCTCGTCAATCTGATAAAAAATACCCTAAAAACTGTTCTGTTTATACTTAGAATATCACCGACTTAAAAGAGGATGAGGACGATATTGAAGGTGATACGTGGGACAGTTGGAATAATAGCTTTGGTGTAACTGTTCTTCCCAATCAAGACACAAACTTGGAAACGCTTCCAAAAACTGAAGCGGAAGAGTTACCTCATGATACCGTACAGAATAATGTAGCTGATGTAAATGAAGAGATGAATAACGCCCCCAATTTTTTCGAAGACTTGGAACCAGTTATTCAAAAGCAAGCCAAGGTATGCAAGAAATGTATAATCTACAGGCTTCTATCGTCTTATTATTATTTGAAACATGTTACAGTATATCATAGCAAAGAATGAAAACCCGCCCGTGGTAACCAATAAAATTGAGAACAAATTTGTCATAAATGATAAGATGTTGTTACCCGAGGTTAGCCAGATTTTTTCTGCCAACTTAAAGGATTCCATTCATATTTAAAATTATTGTATATGCCAATAATAAACTTTAAAATAAAAAGTAGATCATTGTTAATTAAAATGCTAGACTCCGATCGTGTATTCACTTCAGTTTATTTTTCTCAATATAGGATAGTGGACTTGGTGTATGGGACGAGAAAGGGGCTGGTTGGGAGGATGATGCAGAAGAGTTCGATTCAATTGTAGAATCTGCTGTAAAAGGTAATAAAAAAGCCCTACGCGAGAAGAGAATGATAGAAAATCAGAGGAAAAAACAAGAATTAGAAGCCAAAAAGCTACAGAAAGGAAAATCGAAGCGTCTTGCTACAAAAATGAACCAAAAAGGTGACTAAGCATCTGGAAACAATTTACTGAATTGTATAAATAGTTGTGCTATAATATTTTGATCCTATACTTTTATTAACTATCGCATGGAAACGATGTCAAAGTTTTATTGTTATTACTATTCAATTGTGCAAGTGAGATGTAACAGGTTAACAGTATCTGCCTCATCAACCATCAATTTGTTAAAATTAAATGTCAAATTTATATCAAGAACTATCAATTACTATATTATTTTATTGTAATTGAGCTATGTTGGTCTGAAATCAGGTTAGTATGTGATCATATTTTTAAACTGTCTTCATAGTTAAGGAGGTGTATATCCTATTCTGTAAAATGCATACAGATCAAGAACGTACATATCAATTTATATTGACATAACGACTACTGTGTGTACATTTATCATATAATTCATTTCATTAGATAGTCTAGGCATTTGAAAAATTATTGTTAAAATTTTCATCATTTCATCATATTGAGAATGTACTTTGTGTATGAAACCTTCCTCTGAACTACTACAGCTGTTAATGAACACTTGGTATTCAGCATTAGGCGTGATTGTTGTTTTCTTATCCTATGAATTACGTCTATAATTATTACACATTTAGGAATAAATGTTTGATATTAAGAATGAAATTATATTCTTCCGATGTTATAAATAGGTAGCTGCAATGATACATGATGCTAACAATACGTAATAACTTATAATATTGTATTGGCATTTCTGAGGCTATAATTTATTATACGTAGTACACTGTCTCCAACATCGATCGATCGATCGATGATAATTTCTCAGAACCATCTTGAAGAATATATTTTTGACTTACTAGGGTTACACCTACGTTTAGACGGCAGAACTGAACGTAGATAAAAGCATACAGTATATCTTTACACATTGGTAAATCTAACGAAATATCATTTGTAAATATAGAAATAGTACGTACCTTATAGAAATAATTTTGACAAGCTTGTTAATCGATGAATGTACTTACTGTATTGCTAATACAGTCGTCTAAATTGTAGAAATTGAGCTAAAAGTTGGAGTTATCCATTTAACATTGTAGCTAGCATTGAGAAATTAATCGATAACTACATTATTACAGAGTAAGTCGTAAGTTTAACTTGTACAAATTTCTATAGCTAATCAATTTAAGGATATTTCATTTACTAAGCGTACAAAGTGATATCAGTAACAGCAAGATATTAAAAGATCTCAACATAGGACTATCACATATCCTGCCTTGTCATTAATATTAAAATGAGAAAATATTGTAGTAGTGTATCCGTTTATTGTACGTGTATAACATACTATTCAAGGCATATAACGTTAGACATCACAATTTAGTAGTCGTCTGACAATAAATGTGCTTACATTGTAAGCTTGTACATAGCCAGGGATTACACAATCAATTTATTTTTCTCCCCTTACTTTCCTGAATTCTAACACCTAAATCGAACTATCCTGTTCTGTGTCATAGTGATCATACTTTATCAATAACATGAAAAGGAGGGAATACTGCAATGCAATTGTGTGTTTATTTTATTTCTAAACTTGATACTGCTTAAGGTATATAGGCTAATAGATCCTCCTCTGATTAGGTACTTTTAGTAATATTCTAAGTCGTGCAGATTTAGCAGCAGGAAAATGGAAATATTGCCTTTAAGCATTCAAATTCATCTTCGAAGTTATAGACTTGTACATAGCCAGGATTACTCAACCAATTTTTCTTTTATTTTCCCCTCTTTCTTCTCCTCTCGGGAATTATGACATCTTGAATGAACTGTCTACTATAATGTCTAATCAGTAACTGACAAGAAGGAAAGACTGCATTGTATGCAAGTCTTTATATGGATAAAATCATTTTTTTCCTTTACCAGCTCACAGTAAAACTGTGAGGCCTGCAGTAGCTTTCAATCTTTACTAGCAGGGAAGTTGCAACACTGCCTTCGAGTTTATTATGCAAACTGCAGACTACTTAACACTAATTCCCCTCCTCCTTCATCTTCTTAGACCATAAGAAGTCAAAAAAGATTTGGGGATAGAAGAAAGATCGACGCAGGTCTTCGCCATGACCTGCATACCTTGTTATTAGCACGGTACGGTAACTGAGGCTTACAGTAGCAGAAGCAGTAGCTTTCAATCTTTACTAGCAGGGAAGTTGCAACACTGCCTTCGAGTTTATTATGCAAGCTGCAGACTACTTAACACTAATTCCCCTCCTCCTTCATCTTCTTGGACCATAAGAAGTCAAAAAAGATTTGGGGATAGAAGAAAGATCGACGCAGGTCTTCGCCATGACCTGCATACCTTGTTATTAGCACGGTACGGTAACTGAAGTTTACAGTAGCAGAAGCAGTAGCTTTCAATCTTTACTAGCAGGGAAGTTGCAACACTGCCTTCGAGTTTATTATGCAAGCTGCAGACTACTTAACACTAATTTCCCTCCTCCTTCATCTTCTTGGACCATAAGAAGTCAAAAAAGATTTGGGGATAGAAGAAAGATCGACGCAGGTCTTCGCCATGACCTGCATACCTTGTTATTAGCACGGTACGGTATTGAAGTTTACTATGTGTAATTCAATAGCCAACCTTGACTTAGCGTACGTATTACTGTGTGACAAAACTGACGTCAGTCAAGGTCTCACGCACCCACTCGTACGTTCTCGCTAGTAGAGTGAACTCAATAGTTGAAGCTCCAACGCTGTCTTTCATTGAAGAAATTACCAGCCAAGTTATGGCCGCCATTTTCTCTCCTTTGCTGCTCCTTTTAATGGTTACTTATTTACACTGTTATGAAGCTTATAAGCCAACCATGTTAACTAGTGCAACTTTCGCTACTAGTATTCTTGAGGTACCTCACTTGGTCATGTTCTATGCGCCTTGGTAAGGGTTGTAAAAAGTAAAAGTGATTGTTCATAGTCAGTGTAAAAATTAGAAATCAACCAAATATTACAACGAAGGACTAAAGTCAAGATGAAACATGGATTATAATATTATGAAAGAGTGATTTCATATTGGTTCACAGTAGTGATACAGTTTCTCTTTCTAGTTCACAGTGTAATTTCAATCCAAAAGGATACAATTCTTTTACACGAGTTACATCAACCCCGACCTGGTCGTTGTATTACATTATACTGTACTATCAAATCTGCAGTTTATTGATAATCTAGTTCATTATAGCAACATAAAGGATTTATAAAATAGTCTCGACGCAACTCGGCGTTGCTCTTTCATTTTTGATCGAAATCTGATTTATGACAAATTGTCTAGCACTAAAGCAAAAGGCCAACAGTTTTACTTGTAGCCCAAACGACTACATGACTATTCTATTGATGATAGCAATATTGACAGTGAATAATAGAGCTCAGATTTGCCAATGAATCTATGAAACGAAAATCTCAGTGTTCATATGACAATGAATTAGAGCTAACTGTAGTCAACCACGGCTAGACTACAACGTTTTTTGGACTTTACTATTAAGGCGATGGCTACCTGATATTTACCTAATTCATAGTACAATGATTGCCAACAGTAAATATTTTTTTACATTATGATCAGTCAATACATATGGATAGTTGTATAATGCTCGAAGCATAATTACGAATGAATTCTATGACACTACAATTTATGCAATGACTATTACACTACATCAACCGGATACAAACGTGTTACAATAATACCTTCGCCCATAGCAAATATTGCTCATTACGTATCTCAAAAGGTATCCTCACTCTTATAGACTCTTCTACTTCGTAAAGTGCTGATTATCATTCCATACTCATGTAAGACCTATTTGGACGCCTTAATCCTCCTATGTAAAAGCGTTAGTACTTTGGATTGGAGAATTTTTATCAGGATGATGATAAATGTCTAAACATATGAGCGTATATACTTTTTTGACCATAGTAGTAACAAGTCTGTACGAACATATAGTACTGCTTTTACTTAGTAGCCGGGTTATTCTATTGCAATTACAATTATCACAATTTTCCTATCGTATCATCGATTACTCAGTATAGCGATTACCACGATCCTCTACGAATCTTGTAGGAACTGGAGCAGAATTTCAACGGTGATTCATGAAAATCATCTTCATTAAAACATAACCCTGAAAGTGATTGCTTACTGCTGTACATTATCATATTAATAATTTAGTATAAATATATAAGCAACACTTATACGAGTAAAGTAGTGACCTCTAATTCTGTATCTTTATGCTGTATTTATACCGGCCTAGCCCATAGCTTGGTTTAAAATATACTGATAGTCTCGTCAACTGGCTTACTATTTATGCTAAGGACGTTGTTTTTTTCGAACTATAAATTTACTAAATACTAACAGAATTATACACGTACAAATTATGTAGAATTACACGTATATTAAACTTACAGTACATATGGGAGGATATAATATTTGTACCCTTATTATGCGCTGAAGAGCTTTGCAAGAGTTTCAGATACAGAATCATCAATTTCTAATCCTTGTACCTCAACTATACTTGCGCACATTAATTAATTAATTATTATATTGTACACCTATTAAAGGGTATATTAAATATGAACTATGTATTCTACCACAGCGAGGTTATTTAAGGTGTCAATATGACTACATCACGTACCGTAGAAATATCGTCGTGTTGCTAAAAGTTAGAATGGATTACGCTTACTACTGAGTATAGTGCAGGAAAATGAAGGTCTAGCAATTCAGAGACGTTCTCTACTATACCTGTATACACTCGTATACGTAACTGTTAATAAATATTGACACTCACATGTTAGAAACTTATAGAAGTAACTAGTATAATAAACACACACTGTTCATCAAGTCAAGATATAGAAGCAAATTAGATTTCCAGTAAAGTTAGGTACAATATTACTTCAATGCTGTAGGTGTGGACATTGCCAGAGATTATTACCTATGTGGGATGTCCTATCAAACAAATATAATTCCGATGCAATTAAAGTCATCCATATCGCTAAGGTATTACTAGTTAACAACGCATGTAATGATTAAATAACAACATGATGTACAAGAAAGACTTACTATACAACAATATTAAAGTATAAATTCACAAAAAGCCTTAAATATGATATGATATGAAGATAATAATATCTAGAGTGTACAGTATTCATTTTTAAATTACAGGTGGATTGTACACAAGATACACCTCTTTGTTCCGATGAAAATGTTCTACATTATCCTACGTAAGTACGCTTAGAATACTTGACAGAGAACATAAATAAATATTTTTATAACATACTAAATAACTTTCCTTGCATGCAAATATGAACCAGGATAAAAATATATATCGGTAAATTAGTTAAGAGATTTACTGGTAAAAGAAGCGTCCAATCCTTTGCAGAATTTATTAAAATTTCATTAAATAATCCGCAAGTCGATGACGATGAAATCTCTTTAAAAGTAAGAAATTAGTATAGCTTTAGTTGCAATGTTTATACGTGAGTAAAATAACATTTATGTATTGAGCTTTTACCCCCTAATAATGTATTCAGCTAATCTAAATCAGTCTACCTTCTTGAAGCAATTATGATAGCTTTGTTTATCCTAAGGATGCTTAATTTTTATACTCTCCACTCTCTAAAATTTGTATATGTATCATAGCAAATTGGATCCGAACTGACTGGTGTACAGTTAAAAAAAGTGATTTCAACCTTTAAGATTGCATTTATAAAATTTTATGCCCCGTGGTAAGAAATAATTGGTAGTACTGCGATATCTAGAATTACCTATTTAGAATTATATAGAATCTAAATTATAATCATTTTTATGTATACAATGCATGATTATTTTATGAAGTATGACGTACTAAATACTGTATGGTACATTTTTCTTCCGCTTTAATGCTGATCGAATGCATGCTATTTATCAATTGATTTACTAAGGTGCAGTCACTGTAAAGTTCTCGCTCCAACTTGGAAAGAATTGATGGAACACTATAAACACGATAAAAACGTTTTTATTGGGAGTGTAAGTTTATCTAGATGGGCATCGTCTGATATCCTTATTGAAACTAATGCAAAATTTTATTTGAAAACTTAATAAACTAAAATTGCTCTTAGTATATTAAAATAAAGATTGTCAATTTATATTCATAGGTAAATTGTGTTACGCATATTGAAACGTGTAGAGCGGAACAGGTTAATATTCATAGAATATATTTGTTCACCCATATTTTCATAGAACTTGAGAACCGTAGATTAATACAAGCTTTGTTCACACCAAATACTAACCCTGTTATATTTACGTGGCTTTATTAAGGTAAAATCTTATCCTACTATGACAATCTATACTGGCTCTAAAGAAATTCAGAATTATCAAGGAGAAAGAAATCTAGAGAGTCTAAAGACATTTGTTGATTCTATTAAGGCTTCTACTTTGAAGCAAAACGATCAAACTGCAGATAAATCTCATGAGGAATTATAGATTAATATAAATTCATTCAAATTACCTCAGATAATTAATGTATAATGTTAAAGAACTACTAACTGATTCGTAAGAAGGTCAATCGCAAGGAATAGCACTAAATTTATACACGGCCATAAATTTTATTGTAATTATAAAATTGAATTGTATTTCACTTTAGTAGATTTTTTTTTATTTTTTATTTCTCAATTTTTTAAGATATAAAATATATATGATGTGGTACATACAGTATTTATTCATATACCACGTTCTATTTATAATTAATAATCACCTAAATTACTAATAATTTACCATCAAGGTAAATAAATCGACATAGAAGGCATTGATATAATCAACAACATATCCCTTTTGGTAACATTATTCTTGTTGGTTGTTTGTTTTATTCATAATGAAGTACGAGTTAGGTAAAATACTACAATCCATTGCATGTAGTACTATGTGTCAACGGTCTTTAAACGTAACAGTAATCCGTAATCGTTGCTTTTATATGCTTGTAGCGTTTGGGCTATGTTGACAATCAAAGCTTAAAGGACAAATTAGCGTTAGATTACTGTCACAAGCAAATCTCCGCCCTAGTATTCTATTGCAATCAGTTATGCGCAACTATAGTCCTTACATATGAGAAAGATTGTCGTTTACAGTCGTCTACATATGGCATACTGAAATTCGTATAATATCAATTCCATCACTTTCGATTTACTAGTACTATACTTATAGATATTGACTTAAATATTATCAAATTATGACTCGATTGAAACACCCGGTAACTTATATAACTAAATTAATAGCTTTAAATTATTTTATTATTAAATCAGCTTTAACCAACATGTTATTGACAACCGCAACTTTCAGCAACAATATCTCGCATATGTCGCATTTCAAAGGTACCATCCTCATTACGACTGATAACTCGTAATTTTGAAAAGGAAATAGGAGCACAACAAGCATTTGGAACATTGCCAGCTTTTTTAACAAACATCAATGTCTGAACAATAGCATGATTAGTAGCGTTCATACGACCGGTTAAAGGAAATTTACATCGACCAACACAAAAATTGTATTCGAAATTTTGTGGAGCTAAAATCGTTTTTCCATAAATCATTTTTAAGTTAACCTCATCAACAACCAATTGGCAGCGCCTTTTTTTCAATTTGCTAAGAACACTTTTCTTGGCCCTTAAATGACGTTTAATATGTGAATAGATAGGCTTAGTGAACCGCTGATCACTCGATTTGCTATAAATAAGTAAGTAAGCTGGTGATGTTGTAGATGTTAATAGACCAATTTGCGATGATGGTATAACCTCCATTTCCGTATTTCTAACGGATAGCTTAAAATGTAATATCCCGGAAAGATTTTGATAAGATTGTTGTAGGACAAGATCATGTAATTGAAAAGTTATCCAACCATTGCCTTTGCGTTTTAATTCCAATTGGCAAACCATAATTTCGTTATGATCAATAATTTGGTATATAGTCACTTGATAAGTATTATTGTCTGGCATTGATTTTATAATTTCTTGATCTCTGAATACTCTTAAATCCATACCCATCACTTCATTGCTTTTAAGATTAACTGATGGCCGAAATAATAATACTTCATCTTTACTGAAACTGGTTTTGCTGAATGATTCTAAAATAGCAAATGATACATTATAAATACTAATTACTATTCGATAGAAACGCCTTATATCATGAAGATATAAGACAAGAGGTTAACTTAGTAAGGTATCCATCTAGATATTAATTAATAAAAAAATTATGTTCAAATTTTCAATTTTAATCAACGGTAGACGATTACCAAAATATACACCGAGTCTTGTAAATTCGATGAGAACTCTAGCAAAGTTACTACGGTACATTGGTAAAATTTACCACAGACTGTATAGGTAGTTTAGCTTACTATATTTAATCCATCGTGGTAATAGTGTAGTTAACAGTCACATCAGATCATTTTTACAGCATATACTGCATATTTCTTTATGTCATATCCAGTTCCTTCTATGCTATCCTCTATTAGTGCACCTTAAAACCCGGAAATAATTTACTGATATACTAGATGCAATAAGTACTAAAATTAATATGCTGTTAATTCTCTATCATAAAGATAGCAATTTACGGCTTTTACGATCAATAGGATTTGTAAATTTATTCTTGGTAAAATGACTGAACTACTACTGATTAAGATGATTCATTTCGAATTTAATGTTGGTTACTACGGTTTTCTTGCTAATTTAGTGAAAAGGTGTGTGATTGAAATGTGCGAGGTAAATCTCAAGATTCTAAATTAATCCAAAGGGTTAAAATTAGTAAAGATCTTTTATTAAGGTTATTCTGAATATAGCGCATATTAACTATGATGTCCTTTACAGGTTAAAAGTTTTGAAAATTTTACATTTTTGCAACGATAAAAAATGGATAAAATGCGTAAGGTAAGGTATAAACTCATGATTGGCGAATATATAATGTATCAATATAAGCGGAAATAGATGTTCAGTCAACTTCACTATTATAAGATGACTAATTTATTAACAAGATGGAGGCAAGAATGTGAGAACAACGTTTTCCCTAATCCCCACTTTCTTTAATCTACTTCAGTTCCATCAACCTTACTGGGCATAACTATTCCTTATTTACCGATAAATTCAGGGTAATAATGAGTAAGCGCAATTGTCGACCATTACCGGTAAAATTTAATCGCTATTAATAGATTTAATATTGGGGTCTTAATTATATGTAGTAAACTGCTTGAGTAGCCATTATTTAAGTAACTACTTATTTTGTTCTTATTCGATTTTACGCATTTAGAATATTATTAGTGAAGACAGCGACAGGGAGAGATAGAATGGTATATGGAATTAACTTATTAAAAATATATAGTAAGGTTTAGAACTAATCAGTTTCTTAAAAATTGTAACATGAATATAACTTTGATTGTTATTTAGTATAACTTTTCTATTGGATTTCAGTAAATATCAACAGGTTTGAAAGGATCATCGCAATTAATGAAAAACTTCTTAAAATGACATTGGATTTGACATATATAAATAAAAAGAGAAGTAAACATATCAGGTAGCGTTTGTACTTTTTACGCCAATGTATAGAATATAAAATTACTCAAGTATTTATTGGTAGTACGAAGTTTTTATCAACCTTGATGATTAACCATTCTATCTTGTTAACCTATTGTATAGCGAACATTTCTACTTCCTTACCAATGTGTGGGGCGAAAATTATCCGCGACATGGAATTTTTATCACTTTTAGGATCTAACGCTTTATAATCGTAAGCGGTATTAGGATTTTGGTACATATCTTGCATAAATTGCGGCATCGATTGAAATTGATTTTGTTGCAATCGGTCAGAGAGTTGATTCGGCGATGTTAATCGGTCTAAGTTCGTATTGAATTCGTCATCATTACTGCTGATTTGATGATTTGAAATCTTATCGGAAATATCATGTTGATAAGAAAGCGTTGTTAAAATCAAGGTAATAAATATCATAAAGATTAGGAATACTGGGTTGAAATTTGCCTTCATCATCATCGGTTATTTTCACCTCGTTACTTTGATCTCCAACTTGATAGTATTACATATCGATGAAATATTTTGATCTTTTATATCCGTATAGAATCTATTGCATTATAATTGTTTTTTTTAATATTTACGTAGACGTGAGCCAAGTAATGTTCTCTCAGCTTCATACAGACGCATAAGAATCTCGTTCCCTATATAGGCTATTCTTAATAAGCCTCATCTTTGTTGTCGCTGAAAAGTAGATTAATCCCATCATCTTGTCCTATTTAGTCAACTGTTATTTTTCTAAAACTATTGTAACTATTATCATTTAAAATCAATCGCTGCAGGTGAGAAAGAAAGTGAATTAATTGCACAGTGGATATTAACTTGATTTGTCTAATCGGACAATAGCGTCTATTGTCGATCGACGTTGTTGCCGACATCAAAGTTTGTGCTTGATTGTAAATTTATATTTATTACCAAGAAAAATCTTCTTAAAAGCATTAACAATGATAACTAATCATCTTAACTGGTAGACAATTTTCCTCAATTTCAATTGTTGTCAGTACTGAACACACTAGCTGTTGCATAATGACTTTTAGTCGCAAAGGAAAATTGATGGATAGATTGATTGATCCAGACGTCCATCTATCATGAAGTGAGATTTTATTTCTAGCCTCTCTTGCTTTGCTTATTACCATATGCGGTAGCGTTCTACAGTTTAATCTCGCTTTGCTCATTACCCATATGTAATAATATTATACTGTTTAAATACATCAGTTAATATACTATACTAATAAGATCGCTAAACTGGATGGTGAAGGTTAAATAATACAATGCGGAATAAGGGATAATTGAACACTTATTTGGAAACTTTTGCTTTCTTTTAAAATAGTTTCTTCAACGATAATGAATAAAAAAGATACCATTCTACCGTGATAAGTTAGATCGGATTTATATCATGCGTTACTTTTCATCTATTCTCAAAATGTGACTTAAACAATTCAAGATTAAAGAGAATAAACTTTGTAGTATCTCCATCTTATATATCGACAAATGATGGGTACATGTTTGCAATATTGAGGTCCGTTTACGCATACTAATACGTTGGATTTAGGACAGTTCAGGATATCTTTATTCTTAACGATTTAACGGTATATGAGTTTTTAATAGTTTAAATTCAGACTTTACTTGACTTTAAATTTAAATATTGAAACTTCATAGATTAGGAAAATATGAAGTACCCTCTCTTACCTATGTAGTATCGATAAACTACTCACTCTATAATATCAAGATCAATGGAATCGGAATAATTCGTGTCGATGTAATTTTAAAGAGTGCATAATGTTTTATTTCTAAACAATTTATCCATGTCTACTAGTAACCTCAAACCAGTTAGATTTAAATTCAATTATTGCAGTATCAGTTTTATTAAGATCATCTAGATCGAGAAATAGTAAATAGCTTTACTTGCTTCTATAGCATCAATAAATGAGTGATATCTGTATGTTCTGGAATATCAAAATCAAGTTAAATAAGATTACATATGTGATATTACATTCTTAACCATTTAATACTACGTAATATCAACTTCAGTTGAGTACGGTTGATACATGAGAATTTAAATGGCTTAGATATTCTATTTCCGAACATTTTAAGAACGTATAAAACTGAAACATTTTAGGCTTGAACTTTATTGAAGTAGCTTTAATAAACAAATATCAGATGGCTTCTTGTTGGGTTGTAGAATAGCCAATACTCATATATTAAAATTGTACGTTTGTTATGTATTAATTTATATATTAATTATTCATCGATTAAATTTTTCTATATTTCTTACTTTTAGCAATCTATTAATTTTTACCTCTACTTTAATAAAAATCTCAGTCTTTACCTACACAACTGGTTCATGATAGACTCTAGGAATCGATAGAATATTTAGAATTACGTATGTTTATGAATCCTGCTCGCCAAGTGTATGCGCATGCTAGATCCTGGAATTGACGGAATGTTTAGAACTGCTACCTATGAATCCTGCTCATCAAGTGTCTATGTGTATACAACGTGATGGACTCATCACTTCAATTGAAAATAAATTAAAGTTGTCAATTTTTTATTTGGCCATATATCATTTTCCTATCATGAATTATATATTTGCATTTTCGAGTTTAGGTGAAACAAACATGGCAAAGTAATCAGTTTTATATTCCAATTAGCATCTATAGGTATGCATAAGACAATAAACCGCTAGAAACAATGCTACATATTTCAACTGGTAAAATTTGTAAAGGCGATAGGGATGCCATATGTACGGTACGGAAGAGAATACTTTTCACGCAATAACTAATGCTTACCATTTTAATCATTCGCTGAACGGATTGTAGCTGTAAGCTGTAAGTGACTAAAAGCATACAAAGGCTATTTACATCTTTCACAAATCAAGATAGGCATTAAAATACTTATTATTGCCGTGCACGTCACTGTTGTGATACCGTAGCATAAACCTTGCAAGCTACAACATGTCAAAATAGTGAATAATTCTCAGATATAAGCGTAGTTAGACGTTAGTGAAAATGTTGATCTTAACAATACCAAAAACATGATTCTGTACTTTCATTAAGCTACAATATCTATAAGGTGTAGCGTTCATTCGAAAGGTAGTTTAGTATGATACAGCAGCGGTGTTAAGAAAAGCGATAGACCTGTTCGGTTCCGTTATAATAGTACCAAAGAGCCGTAAATAGAACAACACTACTGGCTGATAATACTGGCAAGTAGGATGAACCGGAATCTTTTACATGAGTCAACATCAAGATTGTTTCACAGATTTGGAGAGTTTTATCTTTAGTTGGATCATTTTTTGGTGCAATTTTCGCAATCTAAATTTAAAATGTGAGAGCGCAATTAAAATTAAAAGTAAAGGTATACACAATGAAAATAATTACAAAAATTTAATAATGATTCCGTTTTTATTCTACTTATGTATACAGTATAGTAGTAGTGTATTAAGTAAGGTAAGTTAATCACGAACAATAATAGTTACCTCAGCTGCAAAGTCGTGAAAAATTATTTTAGCAGCATTTAAACTCACTGCACGCTTCATCATATAAACAGCTTGACCTTTGCGTAGCTTAACCACAGTCGTGAAAACATCAGGATTGTTATAGCACACTGCTAATGTACCAATAGCCATAACCTGGAGAAGAAATATGTAGTTATTACCATATTAATGTCAAGTTCGTATGTTTCCATCGTTGGATAAAATACAGACTCATTGAGTACCTGAGGAATAGCACAAAAATTAAAAACAGACTGATTTCTTAATCTGGATAAGTATTTGATGGCATCCGGTACATGATGTAACGCGTTAGTAATTAAAAAATTTAGACAACGAACGGCTTCATCCCTATTACTAGCATCTTGAAAATCTTCCAGTCGCTTTGCAAATTTTGACCAGGCCTATAAAACATTTGTAAATTTCGATACGGAAATAGTTATCGCTTTATTATTTCTAACTTAATTATATCCAAATTATTTTAACTTTGAGTATTTCAATTTAGAACAATCTTAATAGATTACTTCTTTTGGCCAAAATTTTCTCCCTTCTTGGATATCAGCTAAATAATCGCGAATAATGTTGGTCTTTTGTAAAAACAGACCCATTGAATTAGATAATGGTTCATCTTCTCCGACAATTTCATCTTCCAACTTTGACGCACTAAATATTCTGGAAAGTCCTATGCCAACTAGACCAGCTACATAATGGCAGTACTAAAATAATCCATTGAAAAAAAAAATTTAGATTCAGTAAACTTGTACTTAGTGAGTGAGTTATACCAAATTACGATTAATTATAATATTCAGTTGTATACAATTACCTCGTTCCAGTCTTCAAAAGAGTTAACGTCAGCACAATCTAAGTACTTGCACATGCCGTCGGCCATTCTTTTTGTAATTTCTTGTATAACATCTCTATAAGATTTATCTAAATTTCGAAATTCCGCAGAAATCTACCAACGAAATAGAATGGTTAATTGGTCAATTTTACGTAGCCAATTGGATGGGTGACAAGTTATTTACTTACAACTGGAAACTCTTCTAAGACAATTTTGTCAACTTCTTGACTTCTCCTATATTTCCACTCTGGGTTGTATAAATTTTCGTGTAACTCTTTCATTAAGGCCGTTTTTTCTTCAACTGGAATCGTCATATCGTCCTCGAGTGTATCCAAGGCACGTAAGACCAAATAAAATATACATATAGCATCCCTATAATTACATTTGAAATCTCAATATAATGTGCAAATGCACTTCATCAGCCATTGACTAGCAATAACTGGTTCTGTAACGTTGTAGATTTGTAGCTACAATTTGAATTAATTTATTACTAATCCACTGTATGTATATTGTAATAGCACAAAAGTATTGTAATGTTGACGAAAGTAGGTTTGTGTGTCCTTCCAATTTTGCGATAGATACTGTAGTATTTGAGTTTCCGGTGTAAAATATGGGCAATTACAGTCATAAACTGCATCGTTTTTAGTTGATAATTAATTATAGTAAAGGAGTTAATTGTACCATAACTCTTTACGTCATAATCTTAAATATATATACTGGTACGTATATATGTGATAAAGTATCCTTAAAATGATTACGTATACTTTTTCATTGAAATATCTATTTTTACCATGTGTATCTTTAAAGTATGTACGATGAAAAATATGATAATTAGCAATACTAACCTTAGTTCCCCATCAAGGGCTTGTATGACAGAAGCAAAACTACGACTTGTCATAACCAGAAATTGGTAACACCTCTTAAGAGTTGGGGACAATTTTGTCTACAACATATGAAAGGAGGTAAGAAATGATAGCAGAGTTATAATACATTATTAAATGCACTATGTAGATGTATCGTCAACTAATAATTACATATTCATGTTCGGTATAATGTTAGCAGGAAGCTTGCTACAACATTAGATAGATACATTACAAGACACAAATATGAGCAAATGATGTTAATATCTACACGATTGGCCTGAATGATGTTTTTAAGGGTATCCTGTCATTATTTGGTTATCAATTTCCATAAAGTTTTCATAAGGTATTCATAACCAATAGTGACACAAGTGTATGCTATAGATGATAAATAACGTTGATAGTAATTTATGAATGAATATTATGTACTTATAAAACGAAAGTCATCAAAAATCATAATGGTGGCTTTAAATGTGTAGTTCTACAAATGATATTGTAATACTCTTTAAGTGGCATAAAAATGATAGCTAAAGCCTCACTTTTAAATATTGTATTGTAATATATAGTATACGAGTATTAATGATAATTATTATAGAAAAGGATGCAAACTGTATCAATCGTAAGTGACTAGGGACCACAGTAAATATCTATAATCGCAGTCATATGCACATTCCTATTGCAATATTGAATTAATAATGCAAAGGAAGAATGTACTGCATTGATTGCATTGACAGTCTGTCAAAGTCTGGGTACAATCCATAGTTGCAATATACAAAAATATCCATCTCTATCAGCGATAGTCGTCATAGCATAAACAAATACAGTACAGTACTTGATGACTGTCAATTAATAAATACTTATAAATGAATTGGTAGGGTGATAACGCCGCACAAACTAGTTGATACTCGCATAATTGAATGAATTAAATGCCGTAGAAATGGTTAACCATCACCGATTCGTACTACAAATAAAAGGATACTATAATATGGCCGAATCAATTTTCAATTGTAGATCAATATACGAAATCGAAATAAAATTCGAATAGATTGTTACTTGATAAAATACTGGTATAATATAAATGTAGAATAAACAATTAAAATGGTTGATAAAAGGCCTTTTAACTAAACACATGTAGACTATACCACTAGCATAAGTTGTAGTATGTCCTGCTACAATTGTAGTTGTCTATATTATACCGTTTGCAAGATTGATAAATATTGAGAAGGTTATATATCAGAATCGTTTTTGGTATAAGAACACCAAACTCATTTTAAAGCAACAGCGAGAAATAAAATTTTGTAGGGGTATTTTTTTCCAGCGCTGTATCTACTTGTACTCTGATAGGAAATACTTTCAATGATGGAATCATGAAATTGATTATAATTGCAGCCTTGTAAAACCGAATCTATTCTATAGTACAGTAGGTACTTTCAGGGCAATCCTGATCTATAGTCTAAAATTGTGATTGGAAAAAGCGTTTTAATTATTCAACACCATGTAAATTAAATAAATTGAATTCAATTTATTCCTACACTAAAGGGAATGTAGTAGCAATGCATTAAAAGGTCCAACTGAAGTTACGATGACCTATTCAGCATCGGTAGAATATTGATTTGACGGCATACTTACTCGTACAGTCAGGGAATGACATGATTTGATCATGGAAGTGGTGCGCATACAGTATATTGAATTGATTGCATAACTTTTAATTCGATCTGTAGTGGCGAAATGTGATATAAATGGCTCATTTGGTAGTCAATATTGCATTTTCTTGATATTGTGAGAGTCAACCCTAGCTGTATACATTTCTAGTCGATCATTTAATATTACCAATTGTACGTATAAGAGTATGATAGAAACAACTGTATGCGAGTACAAAACGGAGATGGATAGTGAATCTAATTTTCAAGGCGATACAATCTTGTGTTAATAAAAAGACAAAGTACAAGCGTTGACTATACTTTGTAAGTAGAGAGGGTTCAATTTTAGTGAGGATGATGGTGGAGGATTGTTTAGCTTGAAAATATTGTGATTATCTAATTTATGTATACTAGACACCTCAACGTTCTAGGTAGAATTGGAGCTGTGTATAAAGTGGGTGTAGGAAAGATTTTTTAAAATGGGTAAAAAATGGTTATCGAAGTAAATAAAAGTAAGAGAATTGCCATTTCATCATTGCCTGATGATATTATCATGGTTGAGATTGATTCTGGCAAGCGCTATCCTGTATGCATATCATTCAGAACACGTGGAATAGATTATATTATATAATTGATAGCGGTTTACTGAATAAGCTGTTGGTAAAATAAACTTAATTGATGTGCAATATTAACGTGGTATAGCAGTCATCGGCAATAGTATATCGGCAGATTTGTAAAGTAACTCATTCATGGAGCATTGGGTTGGAATAATTTGTACTGAAGTGGTATTCTAAACAAATGAAGCGTTTCGATCATTCTTTAAGACAACAAATAATTTGAAAAATTTATTCTAATAATAGATCGATTTCATAGCATCATGGAACGCATGGACAAGGGTAAGTTAATCCCAAAAACTCTTGTTGATATCTTTAGCCATTTTCTCATCTAATTTATACTGTTTTTATGCTTGTAGTCATGTAACACTACCGAGCAGCTTAGTCTTCCCACAGCAGTTTACCGTTACGTCTTTGAACACTGGTCTAATGGTGTTCAAGCAATGAAAAGAGGCAACGATGAGCGCAAGCACAAATACAGCACTGCACGATAGATAATTTTTTTTATCTATGGATCATGCTAGCACCATATCCAATATTGTATTGTGTGTGTATACCATCACTGCATTTTGACATTCTTGTGGAGAATATGTTTCAATAAGCTATAGATGATTGATTCTATACTCCTATTTGGATGAGATCCAAGAAGAGCACGATGCACTCGCTACTAGAAAGGGGCAATTCTATGAATTGATGACGATGATGATCGGAAAGGGGCAATCCTATGAATTGATCACCATCATCATCGATTGGATATCCGTTCTTGCTCTCTTACCCAATGCTGGATTTGCACCATAAGCAATAAGCAATAGATAGGCGATTGATTCTATGCTCCTATTTGGATGAGATCCAAAAAGACCACGATGCATTCGCTACTAGAAAGGGGCAATTCTATGAATTGATGACGATGATGATCGGAAAGGGGCAATCCTATGAATTGATCATCATCATCATCGATTAGGTATCTGTTCTTGCTCTCTTACCCAATGCTGGATTTGCACCGTAAGCAATAAGCAATAGATAGACGATTGATTCTATGCTCCTACTTGGATGAGATCCAAGAAGAACACGATGCATTCGCTACTAGAAAGGGGCAATCCTATGAATTGATGATGATCATCATCGATTGGATATCCGCTCTTGCTCTCTTACCTAATGCTGGATTTACACAGTAAGCAATAAGCAATAGACAGACGATTGATTCTATACTCCTATTTGGATGAGATCCAAGAAGAACACGATGCATTCGCTACTAGAAAGGGGCAATTCTATGAATTGATGACGATGATGATGATCATCATCATCATCGATTGGATATCTGTTCTTGCTCTCTTACCCAATGCTGGATTTGCACAGTAAGCAATAAGCAATAGACAGACGATTGATTCTATACTCCTAGTTGGATGAGATCCAAGAAGAACACGATGTATTCGCTACTAGAATGGAGCAAATCCTATGAATGGATGACGATGATGATCGGAAAGGAACTATCCTATGAATTGATCATCATCATCATCGATTGGATATCCGTTCTCGCTCTCTTACCCAATGCTGGATTTGCACAGTAAGCAATAAGCAATAGACAGACGATTGATTCTATACCCCTATCTGGATGAGATCCAAGAAGAACACGATGCATTCGCTACTAGAAAGGAGCAAATGCTATGAATTGATGATGATCATTTGGATATCTGCTCATGCTCTCTTACCCAATCCTGGATTTGCACAGTTTTCATCGCTCCAAACTGGAATTGGATCAATGCAAGAAATTCGCTAGGACGAGTGATCGATTTGACTAATTCCATCTTGGCAGAAGTGGTATAAGATGAATTTCAATTTGCAGCAAGTCGTCGTCAACTTGGTTGGAAAGGTCGAGGAAGAAAAAGGAGGAGCCAAAAAAAAAACGACGATGAGTGTTGGCGAGTCGGTGATGCCAACGCCTAGTGTAGTGTATCATCCATGAGTCAGTGGGCAATACAAGTGGTAGAGGGGGTTATTGTGAATAGCCAAGGGATGACTGGGTATCCATACGGACAGTAGACTGTATCAAACATTCCTCAGTGCCGGGTCAATTCTATGAGTACAAAGTACGATACAGTGTACAGCTTGAAATGACCATGACCATAAGATCAACGGGCATAGGGTTGAAGCGCCAGCCAACGCCTGTATACTGTATCAAAATAGAGTACAGAGTAGGTCTAATCGGTGTCGAACCCACTCCCCGTGGCCTACATTTGCTTTACTACACAATGCCCATATGTTGATGAATGACGCCCACGCTATTCCATTTCTTCTCTCATTGGTTGCCCAATTTGTTCCTATTGTTATTCTTACAAAAGACTTATTGATATCGAACCAGGTTCTATTGTGTTGCCTTCGTTGATGAATTACGCCCACGCTATTCCATTTCTTCTCTCATTGGTTGCCCAATTTATTCCTATTGTTATTCTTACAAAAGACTTGTTGATATCGAACAAGGTTCCATTGTGTTACCTTCTCACCTGATCGATCAATCCTATTCTAGTCATTCAAGGATCACTTTTGAAAAGGAGAGACGGGATGGACGGACGAGCCGACGAGGTCAGCCATGTTTGTAGTAACTTTGTACAGTGCCGTGGACGTTACAGAGAGGGCGAATGGCCTTAACACAAGGCATACGATGAAATGGACAATCACTCTTTCTACAAGGTCAAATGGTTCATGTTATAGGATGCCAAGAAAGGTATGCTCATTAGCCTGATCCCCACCATTTTCCTAGAGATCTGGCGACCTTTTATTCGAGTGGAGATCAGATCAAAGAACAAAGGTTTCTTGTACCAAAAAATAGGAAAAGAGTTGTACGCAGTATAGTGTATGGATACAGAGGTAACTACACTTAAAATGACTGGTAAAGGAATCCGCTTCCTAATAGAAATATGGCCAATCCATGGACAGGACAGACAAGACTAAAACATAACCGGTACCGTGCCGTATCGCGCCGTGCCGGACCCCATTGGCATAAGCAACTTTTTGACTAGTCATTTTAATGTACGCTGTCTCTGTAACCATACACGGGACTGTCAGCTAGCCAAGGAGTGATGCACACTTACTGTACACCGTTCGGTTACAGAGGTAAAGTACAGTTAAAATGACTTGTAAAATACAGTAGTCAGGTTACTGCTAGGAATATCCGTGGCCAATCGAGGATGGATGAGACGGAAAGACTGATAATGCTGGTAAGAATTTGGGGCTGGTCATTTTACTGTACGCTATCTCTGTAATCATACATAGTACTGCAGTGTATACTGGAGTACACTGGACGGTAAAAGAGAGCTTAAATACAGTTAAAATAACTGATCCAATACCGTCATCGAGTTACTTGTAGAAGTGCGCATGACCAGACCTTCCGTTGCTATAGCAATCTGATTGCAAGTTTGTTAACAACCATACTACCAGCTAGGCCATGTCAAGTCAGTTTTGAAACTACCAGCCAACGGCCTATAAATTGGCGCTAGAACTTTGAATAGGGTATAGCTTTTCGTCAAATGCAGAAGACTGCTACGTAACATACCGTCCGGAATACCATCGTAGATGATATACGCTGTAGTGATTGGAGTAATGTTGCTCGTAAATCGTTGCCAAGGCCTTTTCCAGAACGAAACATTCCTACTGTACTCTAGATTGTATTATGTACAGTAGAGGAAAATAATAATGTAATAACTAAGGCCAATTCTATAGCAATGGATGGATATTTTACTAAAGTACCATAGCAATCGTTATCAATATAAGTAAAATCTTATTTCGTTGCCAAGTCCTTTTCTAACTGTAAATAGAAAAGAGCTCGCATTGATTGTTTACATGATCATAAATACGCTTAAAACGAGTACTTTATGGCCTTAGCTCGAAGTTAAAAGAAAGTCAACCATTAGTCAAGCTCTGGTCATATACACATTAATGATTGAAGCCTGTACATGTGTGTTTTATTGCCAAGATCTCTCCTGGTCAAGAAATATGATTCACTTCTTCTGATGCGAATATTATATGATTGATATTGTAGTCGTATTATTATAGTTGAGTCAAGAATCATTAATATACAGTACAGTATTATACAATAGATAGAATTGCGGCAAAGAGCCTCATATAGTCCAATTTCATGAAACTTTCAGGGAATTTAATGTCTGCTTGTGCTTGACATAAACTGAGATAGCAGATCATGACGATAAAATAGCAAAGATATTGAATTATTTTACGCCAATTTACGTTCACAGTACCCTCAATATTAGGATACAACTTGAATACGTAAAGATTTTTGATAAAGTCTATACTGTTATCAACCTGTAGTTCAAACCGAACATTGGATATAAATTAGTATTACGGGAGTAGATAATATAATGTTACTTGTATGCCTTGTCTTGTGCAGTATGCAACCATAGTACTAAAAATCGTAGTCAATTAATAACGTACTGACAGTTATTGGAGGCGTTGTCATCAATGGAATTTGAATTCTGTACGTTGATATTCTATAGTACGTATGCACTTAGCACAGTATACCACCTCGTACTACTGGCCATGTACAATGTGTAGTATATATACGCGTATACTCATAAAAGCAGCACTAGCGTGCACTACTATAGTCTCATATAGTTTCTTAATCGATCACAAACTTTTGATACTGATCCCTTCAAGATGGATGAAGAAATAGAAGGTAGGCTAAATTTTATCTTTCTCCGTGTTATTATAAACACAACCCGGATCAGGGGGTTCAATGAAAAATTAATCAACTCTGAGTTTTGCAATTCAATTAACGATGTACACTTTAATCCACTATAACTAACTCGTTTCATAGAGATCACGGTATAGAGATGTGAATGAAATAATCGATTGCTAGTTCGGCCATATTTTGATAGAGATATGAATAGAAATGATAAGATTGCCTTGATATTATTTGAATACATAAATTGATTGTTACAGATTACGATCCAAGTGAATTCGCTCCTTGTAGTCATTGCGGACGCACCTTTAATCCCGATGTCTTGGTAAGTAAAAGAAACGGCACGCGTAAATATAAGTTGCTATACCCGTAGATGGACCTGCTTGATGATAGTAGATTGTAGTAAACACATACTATATCCCCTGTATAACATTGTTACTCAATTTTCTCACATTAATGACCCAAATACATTCTCAAAAAGTGTTTTCAAATAAATAGCCCCAGTAACGCACTCACACTAATAATTAGATAGAATAATCACTATTCTAGCTTCCGTTTCTTGACCGATTCAACTTTTGAATTATGCTTCTCTCGTTTTATTTGGTTAATTTATTTACTATGCAGAGTATACTCAATCCATTAAGTAAAAATTAGAGTGCAGAAATGATACCCAGTCTGAGCTTACATTTCTTATAGCTTGCGCTACTATTGGTTGTAGTATCTCTATTACTTTTTATTTACTATAGTAAGATTTAATAACTACAACCGTTCATAAGATGTTATATTGGAAAGATAAGCATTTCATACAGTTCTGATTATAATCAAATATTATTGATACGTAGCATAATGAATAGCAAATAGGTAGAATTTATTAAAGTAGCTATTAATAAAATTATGGCCGTGTGGGTACACTTTATTTGATAAGTTTATTATCGACGGAAAAGGCATTAGGATAGGTATAGCAGGAAACTGAGTTAGTCTTATCTATTAAAAGTTACAGAAATTGTACAAAGTAGCCTAATTTTGATCAGTGAAAACTAATCCTTGTGTCTTACTATATTATAACAATTTAATAATTTTTATATATGTAAAATGTTAATTATCCTTCATACGACCCTATCCTAGAATAATAATTGTATACATAATGCTTTACGATATTTTAGTATGATATGAGCATTTGTTAAAAGATTGTATGACTTTTATTTGTAGAGTTTTATGGTGAGTAGATATAATCATGTATTATCGAAAATCTACAATAGTATACATTACAAACCACTTCATATCGATATATTACAGACATTCAAATTTGAGATTGACAAGCGCATACTAAATTAGAAATGTAATGCGTAACGTTTTTAGGCTCGACATGAGAAAATTTGCCAAAAATCTGCCAATAAGAAGAGGAAAGTATTTAATTCTTTTAATCAACGCATGCTTGGAACGGATATAAACAAAACTCAAGCGTTGAAAGCTTTAAAAGAAACGGATAAGAAGGTAGTAAATAGCAATATCTATTTTATACCATGATAGAATTTCATCATTTCAGACTTTGCCGAAGTGGCTTATACTGTACAGTAGATATGTGAAATTGCATGGTTGAATTGAAATAATACATTTAGCAGTAAATAAAACACGATTTAACATTCCTGTGGTCTGGAATGAGCTTATTTTATATACCTTCCAATAATTGCGCAAGTTGCTACGATTAAAAGATAATTAATACTGTTTAGCCAAGATCAATCCAAATTATTATCTATTTATAAGCTAATAATAAAAAGTATAACACTTGAAATAGAGCAATTTTTGTAATGATATTTAGACCTTAAGACTAAAATTTGGATACAGCATAAGATGAAATCGTATAATGTTAGTATCGCTATCGCGTATTCTGAATAATTCAGGATAAACCAAAGGGAGGAAACTGGAAACAAAAACATGAGGACTTTCTTAGTACCATTCGTAGTGCAAGGAAAGTAACTCAAGCAGTCAAGGAAGGCAAGCCATTACCGCCTCCACCCCCATCGAAAATTGATCCTAGTCTTGTTCAATGCCCTTATTGTCAACGGCGCTTTAATCCTGACTCAGCTGAACGCCATATTAAATTTTGTAAAGAACAATCTCAAAGAGTACCCCGTAATAGTGCAAAACAGCAGTTAAATAAGAGGACTCAGGTAACTAATTGCGTAAAGCCAATAATGTTGAAATTTTTCTTTGCAATTCAATATTTCGTTTCAATCAATTTAGTATAAACCACCTATGCCGAAAGGATCTTCAAGTAAGCAGATGTCAACTCCAATATCTGCTACGAGTAGAAATGCACTTACCTCAAGGGCGAATATAGATCAAGTTGATCGTAAGCCTTCATCCGGATCTGCTAAGAATCATGATCAATTTGCAAGTAGTTCGATACCTTCCAAGAAAACTATGACGATAGGAGGAAAGTCAACTGGATCATACGGGCTAAAAGCTCCTTCTACTGGTATTAAAAAGCCATCATATGGTGAGTCTATCATTCTTCCGTAGTAGATAAAGTGTTTCTTTGTGGTTAATGTGCGAGCTGGAATATACAACGCACGCTGGTGGATGTTTACGTATTTGTATCATTTCTTCAAAAATAAATTTCTATTTCATTTTCCATCCGTAGAAGTAGCTTATCACGCATGTAGATATCCATTAGGCTTAGTACTCAAAATAGTGTATTTTAAGATGATCGCAATTCATAATTTAATTTAATCCATCTTCATAAGGTTATCATCGTACAACTAGTGGAGACGAAAATTCAAGATCTGGCAACTCTGCAAGCAAGATCAGGTATGGACGGAGTTTCAATTTGCGCTTTTATTTTGGATATACACGTATACAATAGTTTCAGTAATAAGGGAGGTATTCAAGTAAACAGGAATAAACAAAGATATTTATCTTTCAGCCAAAACAGAACAATTCCGAAAGGTACATTTAATGGAAGTCGACAAAATAAAGATACTTATGATACTTCGACTAGTAGCGCTCTTTCACAAGCCAAACCTAAATTCTGTCACGAATGTGGTACAAAATATCCAGTTCAAAATGCAAAATTTTGCTGCGAATGTGGTGTAAAACGACTACATATAAATACTTAACAGCAATGAACGCTTCGATAGAACTGTAATTAACAATAATCTAAAAGAATCTGATTTCTCCGGAGCTAGGAACTAAACAAAATGTGATTTTAAATTAAATTGTGCTCACCAAAGGAGCAACCAATATTTTTAGCATTAAGGCTTCACTTAGTTTTATTGTTGTCTTGTTATATAAGTTACTGTTTATTTGATTATCCTGTACAATAGTTTTTTGGAGTAATAAATTTAATGAAAATTCCAAGGTATAACTTTGCCTATCTGCATCCTTTTCAGTCAGACTTTACTTCCACATCTTTCATTTCGACATCTTCCATTTTATCGGTCTATAAGTGTATTAATTATAATTATTAAAGAAATTGTTATTCATCATATCATAACTGATATTAAGCTGCGCTAGTAAATGATGTAGTATGCAAAAATTGAAAACAAATGAATTCACAATACCTTAGTATCATCATGATGATCCTCAGTAGTGAACTTGTCATGCTGCCATTTGTTGTCTTCCTCTCGATAATTGTTGGATCGACGATTGAAACGATTATCATATCGATTATCATGCTATATACGAAGGACGTGTATACAAATTACCGTATTAGAAGTAAAATAATGTACAAGAAGAGACCGACAAGTTACATCCTATCCAAACTCTGCTACTGTAGACTGTAGGTCTTTAGAATAAACCTGCTAAATCACCAACGTAGCTACTAGCCTACTACTACTAGGAGAAGGTATTTGATTTCTTGATTGGATAGTAAGGAGCTAGTTATTACAACTGTATTGAAAAGCGATAATGTTGTATCCCATCAGGGTATATGAACAGTATTTAAGAATTAGATAGAGTGATTGCGTTGCAATGCAAACATGAGATTCTTGTACGGAATCTCTACTGCAAGCGTTGCTAATTAATGGACAATAATACAATCAGAGATTAAAATCTCTAGCAAGACGATCATAAATAAGAAGGATAGATTCATGTTGAAAAAGCAAGCAGCCGATGAGGCCTTATCCTATTCCACTGTTAACATGATCAATGTATAGCCAAGTTGCTGTTTTTGGTTATTTGACTGTACAGTGGCTATCGAATATTGTGGAAACAATAGTCTATCGATCCAAGATAATTTACTGTACCTCAAAATATTGTCTGCCTCTAGGTACGTCTGTAGGATCAGCTACAAAATCTTGTCTTCGACGATCGTTGCCTCGGCGATTTCCAGTAGCACCTCTAAAGTTACTACCTCTATTATTATCTAATCTCGGCCGATCGCCATCATTGAATCTATTGCGTCTATTATCTTCTTGACCAGCGTGAAAACCGTCATAGCGACGGCCGCGACCACGTCCAAAAGGACGATCCCTTCTTTGGTAGTTGCTTCTTCTATCATCAAAGTTTCTCCTGTTGGAATATTGATGTTCGTCGTTGCCTCTTGATCCGTAATTACTACGTATAGTTGGAAAATTAGCAAACACAAGTCAATACGCTCGAATTACAAATGGATACTTTTCATCAAGTCGACGTTATTGATTGATTGTTTTTTTTTTTGATTTACAGAGCTGGTAAGCGGTAAGCCTATTCTATTAGTAGTCGATCATCATCATCGATGTTATTGAAAGAGTAAAAGGTAACAAAGTAGCCTTCATCTACAATACAATGGTCGATCGATCTTTTGCTCCAATCAAGGTGTGCATGGTAACTGTTCTTGATCATTCTAGAGATAGTGTATGATCGGCATTACGCTTACCTTCTATTTGGAAAACGATCTTTACCCCGATCCCATTCCCTCGTATTGCTTTGATTGCGTTCATAATCTCGATCACGATTAGTATCCTGATCTCGCGCTCTATCGCGGTCCCTATCCATCGGTCTCCTACGCTGGCGGTCATAGCTGTTTCGATCATCATCACGATTTCGATGATATCGATCACGATCGTGGTCACGATTTCTCCTATCCTTTCTTTCCGACATACTATACATCTACAGTCCACTATATTAGATATCAAGAGAATAATTCAGACGACTACGACCAACAGAAAGGCTAACTCTCCAACGTGGAGTATCTTTTTTTACCCTTTTTATATCATAGACCAGGAAAAGAAAAATTGTCCAGCATGCAACCAATGGTCTTCAAAGTGGTATGTGGAATCGTACTACAGGACAATTTTAGCATGCTCTACAATTTTTACCTCTTGTACAGTACTCTACGTTGTACGGTATAGTATGATCCGTATGGAGAAAGTTGAATCACCCTGATTGGTCTGCTCTGCAGATGCGGAGTGGAATCGACTTTCGCTTGTTTAATACTACTGTATTATGACTCATTCATGAGTTGATCTACTATTGACGAGTAACATGTTGCAAATATTAATGGCGTAGTGTACTATTGCAATCCAACACCGTCTTGCATAAAATTAAATTAATTAATTAAGCTAGTGGCTGATAATTATGCCCAGTGGTAGGGCACAAACTGCAGTCCTAGCACTCTTGTCAACACAGCATTGCATGGCCTACTGGACTAGAAAAAAAAAGGCGCATTTTCTTCTAGTATGCAATAATCAAGAGGAAATCCTTCAAGTCATGCTACAGTCATCACAGACTGCTACTAGACTACGGTATTGATAGCATCCTACTCTATTTGCCACTCATTGGTCTTGAACCAATTGAATGAGAAATTAGTGAATCAATTAATTGAACCAACCTTCAATTCAATGTACAGCAATTGCAAATGACATAATTTGCATTGTATACAGTTCTGTAGAAGAGTTATTTACACAAATATCCAACACAATCATACAATGCGTAGTTCTGCACATCGTATGTGGCTGTATCTTGGACCTCTAGTTACAACTTGAACTAGACGTACTGTATAACCTATCCATTTCTATGTAGATGTAGACGTAGATGTATAGCATCCGCGTATACATCTACTTATAGTAATGATAATGATAATACTCTACGTAGTATATGGTATACGGTATACTGTATAATGAATATGCTAAGGTTGCATTACTTTACAGATTTATAGATGTATAACCTATGCACTCCATGTAGATATAAGTGTAGATGTACAGTATAACCTACAATATGCACTCTATGTAGATGTAAATGTAGAAGTAGATGTATAGCATACGCGTATGCATCTACTTATATCAATGATAATGATAATACGTGGTATATACTGTACTATAGTATACGGTATACTGTATATGTTAAGGTTACATTACTTTACAGATTTGTAGATGTATAACCTATGCACTCTACTGTATGTAGACATAAATGTAGATGTACAACCTACAGTATGCACTCTATGTAGATGTATAACCTGCAGTATACGCTCTATGCAGATGTAGATGTATAGCATACGCGTATATATATATATAATGATAATGATAATACGTGGTATATGTTATACGGTATACTGCATATGTTAAGGTTGCATTACTTTACAGATTTGTAGATGTATAACCTATGCACTCTACTATATGTAGATATAGATGTAGATGCATAACCTACAGGATGAACTCTATGCAGATGTAAATGTAGATGTGTGTATAAGCTGCAGTATGCACTCTACGTAGATGTAGATGTGCAATAGATGTATAACCTACAGTATGCACTCTATAAAGATGTAGATGTATAGTATACGCGTATACACCTACTAATATCAATGATCATGATAATTAATAGATTGTATATGGTATACGGTATACTGTATATGTTAAGGTCGCATTACTGTACCTTAGAGGGACTACAGTACTAAAACAGCAAAAGATCCCCTCTTTCTTTTAGTATTAGCCTCACAGCAGGGACCTTTCCACTTGCATCGAGGCAGACAAATCTTCAAGGAATCTGGCTGCAATCAAAATTACACTTTGTCCCACATCAAGTTCAGTGCATTGCGGTTAAGAACATCTAGGTCATTTCAAAGTGACTAAACGGCGCCACCTGAGGACTGCGAGTATTATAAATCATCATCGTAGCGTTTCACCATTGTCAAGTTTTTTTTTCAATCCATCCATTACACTTACATAGTACTCGATTCTATCAACTTGGCAAGAGTAGACGTGTTGAATAATAAAGCTACGATAGTGCAAACGACAATAATCATCATGTCACAATTGCATTCGTTCTATCCTGAAATTGAGCCATACAATAATGGCTATCTAAAAGTATCTGATGTTCATCAAATCTACTACGAGCAAATCGGAAATCCTAATGGTAGACCAATCTTATATGTGTACGTATATTCATAAGCTAGGCCTAACTATTGTATCTCATCCATGAATTTTACAAATACCTATAAAATAAACTTCAAATTAAGCTTCGACTGTATTACCGTCCTTTGCCAGTACTGTGTGATTGTTCAAGTATTAATGTAAAGTGCGGTAAGGGACATAAATACCACAATCAAAAGAACACACACGGGAATCGAAATAAATGCTACAGTCAAAAGAACACACATAGGAATACCAATAGTTCTCTAGTTCACGATTCTACTGTATCGAAAAGGAGCATACGCGAGAATATCGACTATTTCTCTAGCTGATGATTCTACTACATACGCATGTACCTATCTTCAGATACTGTACTCAGATATGTCAAGCAGGCCAGGGAAAAATTGATTAATTTACAATTACTGTAATTTGTAATGGAAGAAGTAGGCCTGATGCCAAGTATAAGTATTTATTGAGCTACAGTTTTGGGACAATCAATCGTTTTATTCAGTTAATATTCATTCCAAGTTGATAGCATGAAATTATTTCAGAATGAATTAACTCGGAAAGAAGAAATTGGGGGATAGGATAAAGGCATCAGATATAATTTCATGCCCAAATTTACTATCGATTTAATGTAAACATATTTGGGTTAATGAATGATGGCTTCGGCTATATTCCGCTTAAGAATACAATTAAACGGCCCACCATCGCTATCATTAATCTAGAATTAAATAGTATAAAGCAGATCAACCAATAACAGTCGGATTTTAATATACAGGTTATGACAGTACAGATAACTTCAATGATGGATAGATGCATATAACTTAGTCTCTGCTATGGCCTCTGTAGTTCTTTGGTAGCTGAAGTATGACTCAAATATTACAGTATCTTCAAGGTGAGCAACATTATAACACTGACTTAGCTAAAAACAAAATACGACGATTGTATAAAGCTCTATTTAGTATCATTTAGTACCTAAAGGCTACAGCTGTATCGAAATGGCTTAGCCATATACAACTATTTAATCCATTATCCTCACAAAGGTTTAAAGTAATTAAAATTTCAGCAAAGACATTCAACTTATATGCTGTTCTTAACAATATTAAAATTTGCGATAATAGTAGTATACTTAAAATTTATGCACTGCACCGCTTACTGACAACATCTACACTCTTGAATTATCGTGTAGTCACGGCGGCGGAGGTACCAATGGATGTTGTGATAAAGAACGTAGATTTTTCGATCCTTCGTATTATCGAGCAATTTTGGTAGACAGAAGAGCCTTAGGCCGATCCAAACCTTTCGGTGAAATTAAGGTAAGGGACAGTATTTGTAAACATCTAACATTGTTGCTTCCGATTACATTTTTTTACTTATTTAATGAAGGATAATGACACTTGGAAAGTTGTCGAAGATTATGAAAAACTGAGAAAATTCTTAGGTATAACTTATTAAGGTGTCTAGATTTGGCTATATAGTACTACAATTGCTATCTACAGATACGAATAAAGTGATAGTAATAAAAGCAACCTCGAGTAAGAAGTAATTTATTCTGTATCTTATGGTGTAGAAATCGAAAAGTGGTTAATTTTCGGTGGCAGTTGGGGTTCAACGCTTACAATGATTTACAGCGAACTTTATCCAGATAGAGTAACTGGTCTAATTCTACGCGGTGTAACTTTAGGACAAGGGTACAAAGCATCTAACTTTATTCCTAGTTCGTCTTTTCTTGTGTAATCAAAAATTTAGTTAAGCGATATTGTTTGTAGTAGATAGCACGGGAAATGATTGGCGAATACAATTGATTATTTTATGCTTTAATTTTAATTACTGTACAAAGAAAAGACCTCCAGTGGATCTACCACGCTGGAGCCTCTAATATTCTTCCAGAATTCTTCGAGACTTACGCGAATGCAATTCCAGAGGTACTACAAACACAACTATTCTTAACTTACATAAAATGACTTGTCGTACTATCAAATGGGTCCTACAACGAATTAAGTCATAATGAAATATATGTAACCTTTAGTTGTTAACATCTTAGTTTTGTCTAATAACGATATAATCTTACGGCATTCATACATCTTAAGAGCAGATCTATTCATTATTGCACGATTGTTTTTAAACATGGTGCCTTTTATATTATGGTAATGTAGGCAGAGAGAGATGATATAGTAATGGCTTACTGGCGGCGAATAAACAGTGATGATAAAGAGGTAGCCTTTAGATCGCTTATATTTGTAATACGATCAGTTGCGGTTAATGCTTATGCTTTAAAAGAATTTGTAATAAGATTGCAACACTATCTCTACTGTATATCTGATACGATAAATTATATATCTCAGTAAAGTACTACATTTATTGGAGTAACTGCTTTTTGAATATACATTAGACTAGAATTAAATATGCGAAACTGTGGACGCATTGGGGCTGTGCACTTTCCATAATACACGATCACGAAGTTGATCTTAGTATGGGTCTCGACGATGAAGTAATCTACTTATCAGCAAGACATGACAAGTATGATAACTTTATGGTTAAGGATTATAATGAATATAATGCAGTGATAGTAAAATAATACAGTTTTTTACGTCTTTTTGTTATTACTGGAATTAACAATAAACGATGTATACGTTGTGATAACACCATTACTATTATAATTAATGGAATCATCATATGAGGACTAACATGAGTATTACGTATTCGTGGTATCAAAAATAGCAGGCAATAACCTAAGTTTAAAAAAATTATTATAGTCACTTTGCTGCCAACCGAGGATTTTTTAGCCCTGACAAGGAGAATTATGTGCTAAAGCATATCCATAAAATTCGTCATATACCTTGCATCATTGTCCATGGACGGTATGATGTCATATGTCCAGTTCAGCGAGCTTGGGATTTGCACAAGGTTGTATCTATATTAAGTAGAATCGATACATAATTTACACATTTTAACTTACTGTTATCTGAGATGTTCAAATTTGTTGTAAAGCGTCAAATAACATAATATCTTTTAACTATAATAACATGATTTTTTCCAGAATTGGCCAGAGGCAGATTTACGAATTATCCGTAACGCAGGACATACTATTAATGATATTCCATTGGCCTCTGCTCTTATCGCAGCTATCAAGGAATTCCAGCAAAAAGGTTATTGATTCAACATGATGACAATTTAAAAGTCATATCGATCGCTGCTGTAATTATTTATAATTATATAAACCAAAATTATATACAAGTTAACATTAACCAAAAATGGAGAAATATTTTTGCGTACTTATGAAGCCCTTTCTGATAATATGTTATATTTGTAGTAATTCTATAGCAGCTTTACTTTTATTAAAGTCTAATAGATAATTAATCTAATTATTGGGTTCTGTTTATGGTATATCAGATGAGGATACTAATTATATTCACATAAAAAACCAAAAACCGAGCAAATTTTAATTTCAATTCAAAACTAACTGACTTTAAGTTGCATGATAATGATGGATACAAGAAATTATCGATATCAAGTTTGCAATATTTAATACCTAATATTAATTTTCTTATTCATATTTTATTTGCATATCATAATGAATTTTCTGATTAAATAAAAATGCAATTCAACTTATAGGCGTACACGTACAATATTAATACCTTCAATTCTACTAATTTAGATAATTTATGCTATATTTGATATTAATTAATTTTATCGTAATAGTACCGTAAGACAGAGAATTTATGTCTGAGTTATAGAATTATGATATAGGCATTGATTTATACAATACCACAATTTTATTCCTTTACCAATTTACCGCTTCGTAATTGATATTTAAAGTAAAGTATAACTGAAAACATACTTCATGCGAGGAGCTAATATTAATGATATAAACATAGGTGAGTGTATTAATTACATCACATGTAATCATTTGTAATAACATTAATATGTACATTTCAGATCACTAATCTCTTCACTGAAGCAAGTATAGCAATACGTTTTGTTGTTATAGGTTTTGTACGGCGTAAGATTTGCTTATAAGCTTACTATATGTTACTTAAATGCAACAAGATGCAGTAGTACATGTACGGTATCGTACTACGGAATGGACAAACTGTACATTTGCTATAATTTCGTATCCAATGGTTAACATTCTCCAAGCATCACTAATATCAATAGAAAATTGATATATTACAATATTCTAAACTAAATCTTAGAGGTAAGCCTGAGGCAATATGCACTCAATCCAGATATTTTCTTATTTACCACCAAGTCGTCCATAACTTTGGTTAATTATAATAATGATTAATTTAAACATTTTACAGCGATTGTATTGGCAAGATTAATTGGCATCTAGTTACATTTTTGGAATGACATCTTTTTGAAATAAAATCAATATTAATACTTATGAAATAGAGAATAGCATATATACTAGATTTAAGTTTCCGAGGTGCATGAATTGTTTGGGCTATATCCGGTAGCTTGATATAAATTTTACATGGCTATTTATGTAACTGAAACCATGGGAGCAACTCTGCTAACATCTTGGTACTTAGTAACAAAGAAAGCAAATCCACTAGCTAATCCAAACGCGATGCTAAATGAATTAAATGAGAAATTAGCCATATTAGAACAATTAATGTTGGAATGATAATCGTATACCCAAGGCATATTACCAAACAATGTTTTCTGTATTATGAGTCATTTTGAAAAGCACTACCGACAAAAGAGTCATTGGGACCTGGTAGTTCATATGAAGAGTTAAGGAGAATATTATTAAGTATGGGTAATTTGATTCATTTGCTAGATATTTTTAACCTTATTTATAGTGCTGATAATGCCAACTGTAGTTGTATTTGTTTCATTTAATACCCATATACTTGTTACGCTCAGCATTGTCCCAAATATCCCACTAGATTTGAAAAATAAACGGTAAATGTAAGTAGGATTAACTAAGTGGATTCTTTAAAGCTATGTAGTGAAAAATTTTTAGTCAATTGTATTAGCTAACTGCACTGGTTTACCTAAGAAAGCAGCCAAAATAAAATCTACCAAAATAAATAGCAGGAAATTTAATAACTTCATATATTTGTCCTACAATACGGTTAATATCAAAAAATTGAACAGAATTTGATTAGATCTCTGTATGTCGCTCACGAATTCAACCTTTACAGTAGTATTTGTGAACCTGTTATAAAGCTTGAAGGGAGAAGAACTGCAACACTGTTAGGGTTAAGCAAGGAAAGTCATTAAAAATATGAAATCTAGCGGCTAGGGTAAAAATTGAAACATCACATAAGCAATTCTTACGTAAATACAAAATTTAAAAATAATTTGGCAAATTCATTCAATTTGATCTCATCTTGCTTGGCCTGTGCATATAAAGTATACAATCCAGCGCAAAAGCAGTGAAACTCCATCCATGCATATCCCATGTCATCAAACTGTAAAAGCCCAAAGGTCACTATTGTGAAACACTGTCGCCCAGTTTAATTATTTGTAGCATTTATTAAAGGATACATCGATTTATAGAATTTATTGTTCAATTAATAGTAGTGTGTTTATTTAAAGATTTGGTAACTACTAAAAACTTTAATGCCTCTCAAAGGTGTGGATCATATTATCACTTACCTGAGAATCAGTGTGTCCAACCATTACAGCTGAAAATACTACTATAATTGCACTATAAAATTAAAGTTATTTAGTAATTTTACTTGAAACAATTAACGATGATTAGTAAGCCAGATTACAAAGTATTACCAAACTTGAGTGGCAAACGTTGGAACCTATAGATAAGATTGCATTGCAGTGTTAATCGTTCGAGATTGAGGTGAAAACTTAAATTGAAAGGCCAATAAATTTGTACCTTTTTATGGATTACCCAATCTCCGCAAGCTATTAATACGTATACAACATTATATACAATTATCCATACAGGAAGGATCTATATAAAATCAGTCAACAGTTTCAACAGCACGATAAGATAATATTGAGTTGACAATATTTGATAAGTCCTATTCTTAAAGACATTAATCATATCTATTAATGCATACAGTCATTGAAAGTGATCTTGAACCAGAATACGCCATACACACAAATAAAATCATAGCAGGTAGCCATTGAATAACTGCTTTCCTAAGTAAATCATGCCACAAGAAATACATCGTTTGTGCAATAAGATATATAGATTTCCTTGCTTAACAGTAAAATTGATTCCAATGAAATTTATATATCATTTAAAAGATATAATAATGCGTACAATATCGTTTTAATAAATTCTACCATCATCCAATGTGATATTTGTTAATAGTAGTATAATAAAAATCTGCCAGTGATGGATATAATATCTCTTAAGAGAATTTATTTGAATATTGGCGCTATCGTAAATGTACTTTTACGAAATTGTTACACTTAGTCTAGTACTGTTATTAAATGCGGTTTGAGAGCCGTATTATTTCTGAGTAAAATAGCAAACTCCTAGGAACAAAGTGAATAGAACCATTCAAATATTGCATATGACTATCAGAATGATACTGTTTTATGGGTTCCCATGTAGGGTATGCAAGAAAATTTTACATATGACATTATATGCGTATTGTAACAAAGGTAGTATACAAGAGAAAGTTATAGTATTTGTAATAGCCATCCAGCATACCTATCAATATTGCCAAGGTCTATATAACCCATTCTTGCAAGTAGTTTGAAAAGACAGACACCGACTGCCGTTTGCCAGCTAATAGTTGAATATAATTATATAGTAAAACAATTCGATGCGACATAGAAAGAATCAGAAATTGGGAAGCAATAAATACTTTTAAATAATTTCTATATTAAGATATGTTTGATATATTTAACAAAAAGCATACGTATCTATCAATAAATAATAGTTTTGGCGACATTTATCTCTGTTATTCCCATTCGGCAATATGTTAAAACAATTAATCATAAAGTAGGATGTCTAGAATACATCGTCTGTAACTAAAATCTACAGTGATATGCTTGTGATTATTTCAGTAAAACTGACTCTCAGTTATTGGTTATTTACAAGCAATTTAGCTTACTCGTGATGGTCTATGGTATACAATTGGTAACAAGAAGTAATCTATACTGTATGGCAAGATATTGTGTCTATAATTTCAGTGTAGATACTAACCAGTTTATCTGGGATCATTTATGTTACAGTATATCGAACTTCTTATTTTGATCATTTTACTTTAGGATGCTAGGACTACTATACCTTAAGAATATGGTTGGAAAAGTAAATCCAATCACGGATAGAACATACTAAAATAGAGAAAGGCAAGAAAGAGGTGATTGGATTGCAAATAGTCAAATCAGATATTGAAGGCATAGCAGAATTTGTTATTTTTAAGCACGCACATTGTCAATTTAATTTTATCGTTAAATGTAGATAAGTTTATCTTAATTATTGCGCTGCTATGTATTAGATGATCATTCTTATAATTTATTACTCGTAAAGCTATCCAATTAGGCAATCATTATCACAAAGGAATCATTTATTCAGTTTAGCAATCATCGATAACTGAATTCGAATTGTACCCATAGAACAGTAATGGTTATAAACTGTTGTAATAATGCTGGTAATGGTCCATATTTTCTCGCATATGGAAGAACTTACAGAACTACACCATCGTGCAATTTCTGTAAACTAACTTTCACATACATTCCAATACGTACATATATTACGTCTATCAACATCAAAAAATCATCTTTTATTTGCAAGAGTTGATGTAACGAATAGTACAGAGTAAACGTTGTAGGAATGTTGTGGACTCGACTACTGTGTAAAATTGTACCCAGTTTATAACAGAAAATGGTATTCATAGATTTTATAGTATGGAAATTTAAGGTATCCGTATGACGATATCACCACATAATTCAAGTTTACTGTACAGTAGCGTATCTTAAAGTTTGATGTTATTTATTCGACAGTATTTCAATAAGCGGTTGAATGGTATACAACTACTGTAGAGTATAAGAAGCGTAAGGTCAACAACGAATGGACGACATTCTATGGATGCAAGATTATTTTCGGTACCATACATAGAAGATTATCAATCCTAAGCCAATTTATAAAATGGCAGGCAACTACGTAGCCTAAAATGGTTTGCCATAGTGGTTTTAACCCTTGTTGTTGATGTTATATACTGTAGATATAAATGAATGGTATTAGAGTGAGTGATGCAGCGAAGTGCTTTTCTTACTCAATGACAGTAGGTTATTTTTGAGTTCGCTACACGCATTCTTCTATAGTATCAATATATCCATACATTAAAGTATTCTATCATAACAGACATGTCATGAATCAATTCATGAAGAATAAATTGAGAAATTTTACAGGCTCAGGTCGTCAAGTTGATGTTGGCTTGGATACCAAGAGCGAAACTAAAGCGAAACGTTTCTTGTCTAGCCTACTCTACTTTACCTTATTGACGAATGTTGTTGCAACACTAAAAATGCAATAATTAACAAAGAGTAAAACTAATTTCCATGACTTTCTTTTCTCGCCAATTTCTTCCTTGCCCATTTTGAAGTCTTAAAGCAATAAACTTCATCTATTTCAGGTTAGAATCTTCAAGCATTGCGCCATATTTTGAAGATACATTGCTATAAGCCATTTGCAGTATGGTGAATGGCGACAGGTGGGACTTGACTGGTGGTAGTACCACCTGATACGGTACACTGACTACAGCTATGGTACAGTACAGTACAGTACTGGAAAACTGTAACGGTATCAATGGTACAGTACCGTACAGTGTACAGTGTACAGTTCGACGGAGTTGTGTGAATGTATTGTACACTGTAGTCGGAAGAAAACCGGTTTCCTTCCAGTGGTCCGTTACTGCACTGTACTGTACAGTACTGTACTGACTACTACTGGAAGCCTTTACGAATTACCATAGTACTGTACGGCCATAGAGGTACTAAAAGTACTCTACTATACTACAGAATTGAAGGTATTCATCCAACTTTTCCATGCAATTTATTCAAAATTGATGGTATTAATTAGGATAGCAGTTTAAATTGACAGTGGCTACCGAGTCTAGAGTGATCGTACTAATGCAATCGTGTTACAAAAATGTCTATATGATATTATTATGTTTAGCTGCTTCATGGCAGCACGGCGATCGTTCCATGATGTGTGCTATCGTCTTGCGAGATTGCATTTCGTATGTGATCAATAACATTTGCATGCCATAATAAATCAATTAATATTGGTAAAATATTCCGTTGATATAGCATCTATTTGATAAAATATGTGCCCATCATGGAATCGGCATTACTATGGAATAATCTTGTAATTATCATAACACAAGCTGAAATAATTCTCATTTTTTATTGTGATAAGGTATTCTATCGGTGAAATGAGACGATCACTCGGCCATGTTTCAATCATGCTATAGCGTATAGCGTATATAAAATTGTTTTATTAATTATTTTAATGAATTAATTACTGACAGAAAACACCAAAGGTGTACATCATAAAATGATACTCTGTATAGTACGCATACTGTACAATATTGTCGAAAAATGTTATTAAAGATGCATCGATGATATATTGACAATATCCATTTATACTATATACAGATCTAGAGATACTATAATATTATATATAAAATCATTAAACATATATCAAAGATGACACATTGACATCATAAATAAATAAATCAAAATCAATATAACATAGAAATATTGCCGGCAGTATACTGTATATGTTATATAAATTATGCTCTACAGTACAACATGATATCGTGACATATATTATATCATATATAAAATCATGGTGTATCTAGTGACCTAAAAATGGAGCATTTAATATGTACCATGAATATCACGTATTGCCACTAAAGTAAAACTACTTTGAGTTGGGTAGATCAGCTATTCAAGCAAGCTTATAAATACCCTACAGCCTGAAGGGTTATCATCCCTACTCGGAAACTTGGATGAAGGAGCAGTAAGATCAGCAGCAAAATCAGCAATTTCACATATAGAACAAAAGTACAAAAATGTTCATTGCACGCATAATTTTACAGTATCAATCCTACTGTCAACCGATCAACATCGTTGGCATACAGTATGTACAGTATATACAGAAAATACAAAAATTTGTGGATATATAAGCCAGGCTCAAAAATTGATCATGAGTAGAAATTTCTTTATAGGTTGAATGGTTGGTCCGTTGGTAGGGTATGATCCAATGATTCTAATCTTTAATTTATTCTGGAAATATCTCGTCATTTCGACATCGAGCTTTAATTTTTAAGCACTGATAAAGAAAAAGCATCATTATGATATTTGAAGAGATCATGTATGGTCTAAAGAACGATGCACAATTCTTATAGAGATTTAAAAAATTTGTACATACATTTCGTTGAAGTACTGTACATCTTCCTAATAGCTAAACTGAAGAGGTGACTTAGGTATACTCACATTTTTTCTACTAAAAATCGCTTGTTCTATCCAGAGTAATTCTGTAGCTAGTTCACGACGTAACTTTAGAAGGCTATTCATATCTTTCGGATACTTATCTAGTATAAAAATAGTTTCAAATACTGTCAACCGTGCAGTCTATTATCAATAAGCGCTGCTTAAATTTTCGAAAACAGCATTATTCCTTACTAACCATACTCCACATTTTCCCTTCGATTTATATATGACATATTACCAATCATATCCCAGGAATCGTTAATAGAAGCAATATTTATTTTATTATCTTGTGTTGGCACCAACGTTGGAGTTGGTACTTTAAAGTCATTGTTAGGATTTATCATCGGATCATTACTCTCTAGATCTGGATTGTTGACCACATTTCTGTTATGATTAGCATCGTTGTTATATGCCTTTTCATTTTCAACATTAGGAATCCTATCTTGATCTTCCATCGCTTGGGGTGCGTCATCTTCATTTCTACCTATAGGAATTTTGAACGAAATTTACAAAAATTTTTCCTTACAAATGGAAAATAATTGCAGTACATTAAAAATTCAAAGTCATTTAAGTAAAAGCCTTACTATACCTTTAGGGATTGAATTATCGCATGGATGACAATCGGATGAAATCTGACTTTCGGTGTTGGATAATATCTCTTTGTTACCATTATTATTATTATTATTTGCAACATCATCTTCTTTCGGCTCCTCATCATTCGCTGAATCAAGCGATGTTTCAGGTGTGAGCTCACCACGTTCTTTGGATTCCGTGTATAGGATATTTGTTGTCATTGTTTCATCGTTGTTATCTCCATCTTTATGTTCCTTTTCTTTTATGTTAGATAGGGTAACGCTCTCCAATTTAGTATCACTCTCGGAACTTGCATTGTTGCTCGAAGACTCTTTGATTAAAATACTAGTTTTAGTCGTGCTATCTGCTTCTGGAATAACATCAAAATCTTTTAATTTCTCCGAATTAGCATCGTCTGGAGAACTGCCAGGACTAGACCCTTCTGATAATAGTGTATCATTGTTTTCTTTTTCTCCCTTCACTTTTGAATTTACGTATATGTTTAGCAGATCATTTTCCTCTTCAAGATCGTCTGTTAAGACAGTAGTGATTAATTAGAAATGTTATATTTATTTACCCCCTGTTTTTATATTAAGCAACAGCTATGTAAAAAGTCTTACCAGTGATATCATTATCAATAGTTGATAATTTATTTGTTAGATTGCTATCGTCATGGCTATTGGTTACAGGCAAAAGTTTACTGCAAGGCAGGAGAAATGTAAGATGCAATATACGAGCATACAATCATAAACATAGACACTGTATTGCTTCCAGTCATATACATATACGATAAGGGTAAAGTGATACGTAAAAGTAATCTGGTAGTAAGAACTAACAACAGTATTTCAAATTTTATGTAGTTCATTATCTGACCTCGAATCTGTCGATTTTTTGGAATGAAATAATGGATTACATGGTAAGTTAGATTTTGTCCAAGTTATAGCAACATATCCGGAATCAAGATCGGTTGTTATGTCCTCCAATTCGCGGCGAACATGTTGTAATTTTTTTCTCACGCGGTATGAACGAAAAGCAGCCTATAAAAAGGGAGATATACACTTCTAATTCAATAATTAATACAGTACAGTATGTGTCAATATTACATAGAATGTAAACGTACGTACACATACATGTTTACAAAAATTGTCAAAGTATTGATTTAGCTTTGACCGAGATAGTAGCACAGTTCACAAAAAGTCGTACAGCAGTTGGTCTTATGATTTCAAAATGTCGATCAATGCTTAGTAAAGCTAAAGTTTATCCCTATGAGACCCCCTTCTATGTGTTATCATGATACTGTTTATTAGTTCACGCCTACAGTATAGGTTCATAGCCTTTAATCGTGGTCAATATGCTAAGTATGTTATGTACAACATCAACAAGAATGATTCGATCCACGGGTTACACATGGGCTATAAAAGTGATATTTAAGGGAGATGACATCTACTAGCTAAAAGTTTCATTTTAGTTTGTTTCAAGTTCATAAGCTATAGAATACTACGGTGCTCGCTAGTTCTCCTAGTTTGCTTGCAGCATCTTGTTGAACTTTAGGCATGTTTTATGTATTTTACTAAACGTCAATTTCAACCATGTTGCAAATAACCAATTCCTAATATGTAAGTCTACTATCGTAATAGATGACAACTGTGTCATTTCACTGTATAATAACATTAATAGATTGCTTGCCTGGATTCTTATGGCAGCCTTCGATGGATCAATATGCGAAGCCATTTTGGTTGTTTTGATGCTTCTTGCCGCCGAATTGAATCTTTGAATCTGTGGACCGTAGCGTACAGTACAAAACTCTACAGTCTATAGTACTGTACTGTATTGTACCATGGACGGAAGATTTGTCAGTAGCTGCCATGTTGATTTTGTTCAGTATGGTGTATGGTTGCAGTGAAAAAGCAAAGAGAGATGACCATGAAGATAGGCAATTTCTGACTTCTAGTGTGCTCGCTGCAAAAATCAAGACCGACATATCGAGAGCGATGATTTTACAGCAGTGCTAGTAGCCTAGCAGCATGATCATTTCTTCCCCATTAATAATATAATTAGTGAACGGTAGATTGTAGATTGATCCAGTGCTTACCATGTCTGCTAAACTATTACGTAAATTTAATCAGATCATGCAACAATGGCCGATCGATAAGACCAAACCTGGTAGAGATTTAGCAGTTGTTTTACGTGATCGTATTGGTCAAGATTTGCAAAATGATAAGGTTAGAATGCTAAATCAACATCGCCGTACTCGATCTACTGGACTGATCGACTATTGCGATGCAAACGCGTTATATTAATTTGTATGTTGATAGATAAGAGTATATACTGTATCTGATGAATCTATTTCAACTGCTAATCCTATTACAACGTAGAAAGTGTGTTTGCTGATATTCCAGTAGGTTTGTCAATTGCATAAAATCAATTGTACTTACTACAACATCATAGCAATCTTATTGATTAGCTCAGTACAGAAAACGACTCTTCTTAAATCCATTCAGGATGGAAGTACTGTTGCAGTTTGCAATGGATTTGCAGGGATTGAAATAAATTTTAATTAACATCCTGTCCTACCAGTATTGTCCTAATAATAGACTTGATCTAATATGCCGTTTCTCTTTAGCTGAAAAATCCATTGCAAGTCATCAACAACTTAACCCGTCTAAATTCTAATTACTACTATCAAAAGGTAAAAATGAGTATGAATTCAATTAAATATAATATAAACGCATCGTGATAAATAGCTACATCAGTTTCAATGTTAACATTAAGGCAATATTCACCAGTATTACTACCAAGACTGAGTTTTTAATTCCAGAAAAGTAATTATCATTGTTATTACTATACGTATACCACATTCCTTGTATTTGAACTCATTTTTATACCTATTTCATAACATTTACTACAATAGTTGAAGCAATAAGGTTAACATACGAATATACATTGAGGAAATGGTCTAGTTAAAAAATGATCTAATGTTATATATTGATTATGTTTAGTATCGTAGGAAGAAAAATACTAGTTTCACCGGTAATTTAACCAAAGAATATTCATATTTATTATCAACAGGTATGACGCACATAGAAGTATACAATAATAAACTCATTTTAATTTCATAGATATGTATTAGAGCAGAACCTTTGCATCGACTGTATATAGTATCGATCTAGAACTTTGACATAGTTTAAAGAGTGTTGTCGCTGCCATATCGTCCTGATTCTATTACTTACATAGCATGCACATATGCTGGCTATGCTAGTATGCTATATACAAAATAGAAGCTTATGAGAACATGCTAGTAATAGGTGCTGCCTGACTGGCAATGATGGATGTGTATATATATATATTTTTTTGGTAGTATAATTATATAATTAATTCTTATTTGTCAAACTTTAATTCTATTAAATCAGAAAATCAAGAAAAAATCGCTAAAAAAAAGAAGGGATTTTTAGGAAGATTCTTTCAAGACAAGAAGGAATAACATGCCTAATTACTACTTATCCATTTGTATTGAATCAATAAAGCTAAAATTTTCATTTGTGACAAGAAAAATTGCTGTTATAATTTTACCTAAAATATGGTTTTGCATTTCTTGATACATAAAAATTTGCGTTTCCAAGGCCATGTTAAACACCTGCTTTTATACAGTACACTCATAACTATCTTTAAGTGACTAATTTCTGGTAGTATATTTCCTAGCGGACTTTATTCTCCATATATTACAATAGATGCCATGTATAAACTATAAAAGTGTGCTTCACTTAAATTAAAGTACATAGAATTAGGGTAATAGGGCAAATTATAAATCTACATAATAAAATGTAAACGAAGAGCAGAAATTATTTTCCGATTGAGTTATGGTATACTGCTATATGCTAGGCAAAGATAAATACGTATATACGTAATTCTTGTATATACATTAATGGTTACGATTAAAAGGACATACACATATACATGCAAACTTAGAGATTAAATTAAACTCATTCGCGAAATGACAGACCTTTAATATAGATGATAAAATTAAATACAGTTTCTTCTTTATTTCATGAAGAATATTACAACGTTAAATCCAAACGGATTTATAGTTAATACAACATTAAATAATTATGAAGTAGCGATTGCTGTTTCTCATCTTATAGCGATACATCTAAAAGAAATTTTATATCGTATACGTATATAGCGGTATTCTTCTGTATTTTACAGATACAAATAAAAAAAATGGATCTCATTGAATGACGTTAAGACACTGCTTATTATCTACAACGTATACGGGCACCGATAATTATATATAAGCAACCGTTTTGCCACGACAGTGTCTTAGTTTATAGCCTTTTAAAACAGGAGATAAGTTGGAAATATATTCACTCTAGTACAACGGCACTGTAAACCGGTTTATCTTATAGAGCAAGCTACAACACCAACAATGACGAAGATAGAAATCAGATATAGTCCATATAAATATTATCGCATATACGCTTTAGATTTACGTCAAATTTTGTGCACTGTTATTACTGCACAATAAAGTGAACTATACAGTAGTAACCGATAGTACTATCGGAAAAGATTTTCCACTACAACACTGTTAGTACTACAACTCGTAGATCGGTCAATATAGCCAAATCAAGCGAGTACTAAGTTTATATTATTATGAGTGTACATAAAAGATCGTTACTAATTATTACAAGTTTATCATCATGTTTAGCAAATAAAATTGTTAAGCAAATAACTTTATGAACGTTCAACCAAATACAGAAGATAGAATTACTTTCTACGAAACCAATGCAATTCTCGAAATACGAGGGTAAATTGCAGCTACTGTGCTTGTAGCCTCAACTAACAGCCTATAAGGATGAAAATCGTTTCCCTCATTCAAGCAATGAATTCCCTCTTGGATGTTAAAATACCTCCATCATAATAAAAGTGCTATAAAATTGTAATGCAAGTATTATATTGAATAACTTGCTTAAAAAATTACCGAATCAAAGTATTATCCGTGTACTTAAGAGATCTCTAAGACTGCCATCCTACAACTCTACCAACAAGATAGATCGATAAATGGCTACCGAAAATTAAAATCTAACTACGCACAATAGCGTAATTTTTTAAGTATGATACAGAAAAAGTATTATTAACATTTTAACTAAAGGCAATAATAATTATGGTCAATCAATTTTTAATATTCCTTTATTCAAATATAATTAAAATCGCCTATCTCTGCCACCACGATTCCTCCGATGATATGTTGCAATAGCTCTAGGCCATCTATTACGGTCGATCATTTCAGGATAGGGAGGACGACGATCGAAATTTGGATGAAAATTAGGTCCCATCCTTCCACCATGATATTCAGGATGCTGTGCAGCACGATGAGGCACAAAATCGTGATACCGATGTGGAACAAAGGATTCTCGCCATTGTGGATGAGGTGGTCTAAATTGGTTGTTATCTATCATACTATAATGATCGGAAGGATGGTGATATTCGTTATCAACAGGTCTAAAGTCTTCATTCATGTATTGTCGTCCTCTATCTGAAAAATCTGAACGCATACCACCCTCATCATAACTTGTATAATCTGTTTGTTCATTGCGATTCCAAATTTCTTCTTGGCTAGGCAAACTTCGTTCGTTTATTAACTCATTTCCTAAATTACGTAATTCGTTATCACTACTTGGCCTATTTAGTTCAAAAGTATTTGAGCTTTGACTTTCAATTTCGCTAGGTACATTTATTTTCACTTCCGATGGGTAACTGATAGGTGGTGGGGATGCGACTTCATCATCGTCTAGTTCCCTTTCCTTGTTAGCCATTTCATCGTATTCATCGTCATATGGTAATGCAGCACCTGGATCATAAGGTTCATCATCATCATCATCATCATCAGCATCAGCATCAGCATCATCATTTACTGATGAAATGCCCCTACTACTTGTCTGGATATTAGTAGGCGAAGTAGATATGTTCTGTACAGGATCCCTTTTGTGACTAATGATCATGGCAAGCATACATCGCTCACATTGCAATATACCTACATTACAAATTAGCGTTATTCAGTTTAATAGATTATAAAGATGTAATGAAACGATAATTACATCAGAATGAAAAATCAAACTTACTGGAATCTAGAAGTCCTTTAAAACTTCCTGGTAGCGGACAATTGGAGGTAACAGGAATTAAGTACATATCCTTTACAATTTTCGGACAATTACCAATAACTGCACATCGGCTCTTTGTACTTAGATACGAATGCAATGAAATATAGCCAGCAAGCTCATCGCTGTTAATAGTTTTTATACGCAACACAAAGATATCCTATAGAAAGAAAATATTTCGAAATCACTAAAATCATTCACAACAGATATGACAAAGATATAAAACTAGGAAAAGTATATAAAATAATACTTTAGAATACAACTGAGAGATTTCTTCATAGTAGTTCCACATTGTAGCCAGAGATAGTCTTCCATGAACCATCAGAGTAGAAGGTAATAGCTAGAAATTTGCAATAAACATACATTCAGAGGTGTGATAGCCATGTATCTTTTAAGAATTTGCTTACTACAGGTGCAAATTTACACCATAAATATGTATTAAATGTATCATCCATTTCTTTGTGGTTACCTCTATTACGTCTTCACTTAAACCATGAGCAATGTATGCCGAAGCCGTAAACTCTGCGATACCTGGCATGGAAATCATACCAGACCATACAATATCACTATTTAGTATTGACTGATCTTCACTTCCGTCCCTGTTGAGGATATAGGAATAAAAAAGATGAAACCGGCAATCTTACAATAAACTAATGTTAACATAGCCAGTTTATCACTGTGAGCCAAAAGTAAATCATCTAATTACAAGTGAAAAAGTAGCAGTTAAATTTACTGAATAATACTAACAGTTTCATATATTCTTCATTGCCATCATTGTAGAAGATATCATTATCGTCATTATCATCATGTTCTTGATTTATTTCTGTCATGGCTGTAAGATTCCTATAGTTTCGTTTAAATAATTTTGAAGTATCATTAAAAGTGCCTACAGTACTCACTGTTAATTAATTAAGAAATCACTCACATGTCGCTAAAAGATGGGCCAGAAATATCTGATTCTATTGATTTCACTGTATTAATTCGAACTTCATGCTTTGGTTTTATCCGACCGATGCATATCTTGCAGTCAACATCGAAGACATGTTTGTCGTGATTAACTGTAGTATCAATTTTATTGTCACTATCACTGTTTGATGAAGCTCTTATCGGCTCTGTAGGCTAAAATAGCAAATATACTTTAAGTATGGGATATTCAACAGTCTCCAATTGGGCTGAAGTACGATAGTCAATGTATACTACGAAATGTGTAACCATTACGTTGCCTCAATACTATCATCCGCGTACTAAAAATATTACTGCATATAGCGGAATGATCGTCCTTTACCTCAGATGGAGCAAATTTCTCATCGTTTACGACGAATTCCCCCTATCATATACGTAAAATAATTAAATTTAAAACTGGTGACAAGTAAAATTTTATAATATCTAACTACCTTATGATTTTTCTTTAGTACGGTAACAACATTTTCCGTTTGTGCCAGTTTGATCATCTCAATATTCTAAATAATAATAACATAAAATACAGGAATTATATAGTACTGATATCGTAGAGTTATCACTGATAAACATTTTATGACTACATGTATACTTTTTTGGTTTCCTTTTCTCTCCACTGAGCAAGTTCTTTATTTGCTAGTTCTTCAGAGGTCATCCTGACAAGCTTAGAAGGCGATATATCACCGTGCAAAATCCGCTCGACCAAAGCCTGTACCAAAAATATGAGTTACTTTTCTACTTAATGTTATAAGTATTACAGCGAAAGTGATAATAGTACTCAGAATGAATATTACCTTATTTTTTTCGTCCTTCAAATTAAACGATAGACTTCTATACTTGTTTTTATAGCGAGACCCAGTGTCATTAAACAAATTAAATAATTGTTCCTCGATATCTTTCGACAGTTTACTGACGACACTCATTTGGATAGCAATTTTTTCCGCAACCTTTGACAAAATATCTCGGAAAGCTTTGTAGATGTTTTCCCTGACAGGACTATCGTAATGCAGCTCCCCTGTAGTTTTCACAGATTTCCTCCCTATTATGTATGATATGTGTACATTTTTAACAACTTATAGTTAAATCCTACAATTAGATAACGTCTAAATTATTTGTTACACAAATAGTTCTCGGATATTTCAGATAACATAACCGAATTAAAAAATTCAATTAAAATATCAGTTGACTAACCACCGTCACGTAAATCTTTTTTTCCCTTGACTCTGTTATCTTTAGGATCAGTTATAGTTTTTGTAATTACTTGATCTTGCTTTGCGTATTTTCCCTTAACTTGATCATTTTTAGAGTCTACTTTAGGTTTTGCAATTGTTTGATCAGATTTCGTATGCTTTATCTGAACTTGATCGCTTTGAGATTCCGCTTTAGACTTTATATTTGTCTGCTGGGATTTTGCCGGTTTTTTCTTAATCTGATCATTTTCGGAATCCGCTTTAAATTTCACCAATTTTCTCTTAACTTGATTCTTGTCAATATTGGCTTCAGATTTTATGATTGCTTGATCGGATCTTACTGTTTTTTTCTTAACTTGGTCATTTTCGTATTCCACTTTCGATTTTGTGATCGCTTGATCGGATCTTATCAGTTTTTTCTTAACTTGGTCATTTTCGCATTCCACTTTAGATTTTGCAATTACATGATCGGATTTTGTTTGTTTACTCTTAACTTGATCATTTCCGGATTTCACCTTAGACTTAGCAGTAACTTGATCTGAAGCTGTTTGCATTCCCTTGACCTGATCACTTTCGGTATCCATCCTAACTTTTGTAACTACATGATCAAGTTTTGTCTGTTCTTTAGGCTGATCACTTTTGAAATTTACCTTAGGTCTCGTACTAGCTTGTCTAACTTTTTTTATATGTTTCTCAATAACTTGATCATTTTCGGAATCCATCTTAGATAATGTTGTCAGTTGATCAACTTTCTCTTCTTCAGCTTGACTCTTTATCTATAAGGAGATTATTGTAATATGGCTATTATAGTATCCAGTAAGATCGGTAACTACAATTTTTGCGACATGATGTTACTACTGCCACTAGAGTTGTTTCCAATTGACGACAATAATTAAAGTAGTATTCTCATTTATAAATTTTATTAAAAGTTCTGGAGAATGTCTTCTTACCTTAGTTGGCTTGTGGTTATCAGAAATACTCTTTCTTTTGTTACTTTTCCGATTCCTCATACTTGTAACGAAATTAGGACAAGAAACAATGAAGGATATTTAATGATATCGAACATAAATACGAATTATACTACCTATGTCAATATACTCGTATTAGGGATTGACTCTTTAAGAATCAGAGTTGCTTAAACGGTATGCAAAGACTACATAAGCGTCACGAAGCTATAAAGTGATAATGACGTTTTTATAGCAATGTATATATAGATCTTATGAAAATCAATTGTAATACAAACATAAACAAAAAGCAAATTTTTATTAACTTAGTAGACGTATGCGATAATACAGTAATCTTTATAAAATTGACAGCATATAATGTAAGGTATCTGAGATCGTAGCGAATGGATAACTGTATTGGTTGCTGACTAACCTTGATCTTAATTCTGTCTGTTCAGGTTCATCGATCTTTTCTATTACCGTTGGAACTGGTTGAATTTGTTCCGTTGGCTATTTAACAGGTGAAAAGAAAGAATAATTGTAATGTATTATTGTAGAAAATGATGTGTAATCAAGTACAGTAGCAGATGGATGATCTTTTCCTACCTTATCATGAGCAAGTTTTGGCAACTCATCATCTGTACTCTTACTTATGTCTTGGTTAGGAATATCTTGAGAGGCCTGATCATCTTTTCGCGATACTGAAATTTAAATCATAGGTTATTGATGTAGAATCGCTTGATCTTGAAATTGGGGTATTTATTACAATATCATTTTTACATTCGAAAATATCGCTAATGTTTTGTATAAGTTAGTCGAATACTAAAGCGTCATCAAAACTTTAACTAATTTGGTTACAGACTGACTATAAACGACTTTACTTCTCAGTATGTTAGTATGATATAGTGTACGTGCTGGTAGGTATTCGTAGACGATTTTATACGATATTGGATGATGAAGGTAGCAATGCAAATATGAGCTAATCATGCTTAAAGTAAAATATACAGTAAATGTACGATGATTTGGCTGTTATCCTCATCAATTTACAACATATTCGATAACAAAGGATGTAGACCAGTACTAGCAAAGGAGCTTAACATCTACTCAATAATAGGAATATACTGTCTTTCGAGTAGTCCTTGTTGGTTTAATTATAACATTAGCTATCCTTTTCATCCTCCTCGCATGGCATGTAAAATTACCCATTTGACTAAAACATGCTTTGCCATTTTTCCATTACCGAATGAGATATGGCTATGACAAAGTTTACCATTTTTAATACAGCCAATCCATCGATAAATTAAAAATAATATAATTTTCGTATTAATTCATTCTAGACGGCGATGGATAAGGTATTACCTTGGATTGGAAGGGGATCAACTTGGTTTGATGTTTGGAGACACTTTGTACAAATAAAGTCTTCTTTCTGTTCTTCCATGATGCGAGCTTTTGCAGCATTAATGCCAACACATGAGCCATGATACCATTCTTCGCATCGATCGCAACAAATCATAAATCTATTTTAAAATAGTTAATGGATACAATATCTTTAAGTAATTATCTAACTCCTAGTTTATCATTGTATCATTACTCCAATATCTTGATCATGCATGATATCAACAGTACTGTACAGTACTGTATATTGGTTTGTTTTCCTTTTCTTTCATTTAAATCTCCTGTATGAACATAACAAGGGATTGTTTTCTATGCTTAACTATTAAGGTGTAAGTGTATGTATCTAAACTTTGCTGAATGTTGATAACGATTATTGTATTGGATCGTATGGATATTGATAAACTTCTTGTTAATGATACTGTCATCATAACGAACAGTAATAATAAATAATATCATGTTAATCTCGATGGGTTTCTCCTTCCACATGTATCATGACTCTTTGCAGTGTGGAAAAGAGCCACCAAATGACTATAGACTATCATAGATCGATTAAAACTAGATTTGATACCTTCGATTATGTGGTTTCTGACAGATACAGTATAAATGTTGTTGAGCATGATTTGAAGATGATTTATCAGCATTTGTAGTATTGATTTGAGCTTGTTTTGCAATCATGGTAGGTGTTGGATTACTGTTGTTATCGATCGCTGGATCAAGGCTTGTCTCTCCTGTAGAGCAATTATGGCTTGATGAGTGAGCTTTCAGCTCGGCATCTGCATCCATTTTCCTTTTTCGTCGAGTACCATAGCTATGACCTTGCTTTACACTATTGTCATTACTATTACTGTTGTTTGAAATCATGCTTGGTTGCTTGGATTGATTGTTAATGTTGCTATCTTGACTATTTGTAGTCTGTTGGCCAACATTTTTCTTCTTTTGGTTGTCCACCTTGCTACCACTGCGTGTGCGTAGGCTCATGAATAGACTGATCGCTCAGTTTGTCGATTGAAACTATTTCGAAATTTTCGATATGGTTACAATCTTGTCTGCATCGATGGATAGAAACTTCCTATCGAGTCTTAACAGTGTAATTTCCAATTAAAGACAACTTGATATCGTAAATTTTTAGGTAGAAAAGATCCAATCACTAACTGTATGCAAAATGCTTCCAACGGCCAGGCCAGGTAACCGGTTAAAGCTTCCAAGTCAACATGGACCTGTCTTGACTGGACAACTTCTTGAGTGAGGAGGCAGCCAGGTGGCGCAATATTGAAGTATTTCACTAGCTTGTCAGCTATGGATTACGACATAGGATTGCAGACTCTGCTGACACAACTCAGTGGATGACAACTCATGCGGATGCGTGGTCACGACGACGCTGTAGTGTACATACAGGTCATACTCGTTGTGGGTCACCCGGTACCGCCTGACTCATACTAGCAGGTCACCCTATGGAGTAGCTCGATCCACGCTCAAAATGTTGGACTGGTATGGAAGGAGTAGAATGTCGCAGACATATCGCCACGCTACAGGAAACGTAGTGAAAAGCCAAGATGCTCTCTGGCACAATGCAATCGGCTAGTGTAGTCTACAGTACAACCGCGGGAAAACTAGAACAATGCCTATACTAAACTCTACAGTACAGTACGTACAGTACAGTATATCCAGCACAGTACTACAGTACTGTATACTGTACAGTATACTGTAGTACTGTACAGTACAGTACAGTACAGTACAGTACTGTACACTGTACAGTACAGTACTTTACCGTACTGTGTACTGTACAATGGGTGACGTGAGACCTCAGGCTAGACCTGGTCCGGTCCGGCCCACTTGCTCATGCCTAAATCAGGATAACCCCCAACTCGCCCCAAGTGGGCAATCAAGCTCAATTTCTTCACACGCTAACATTAAACATTATATTATATTATCAACAACGCTGGCTGTGTCACTGAAGTCCACTAACTAGCTAGAGAATAATCTCTGACGATATACTGTATGAATGAGATGATTTCTTGATTACTTTCGTCGTTGCAATACAAAATGATATGATACATTTATTGTATTTGTAATTTAAACGCTTGACCGACTACATTAAAGGTACAGTAAAATGGATCGGATTCGGTGCTAATCGCAGTACCAATCGGGCAGTCACTACTTATATTACTCCTAAGAATCAGCAAGAACATGACTGTCATTGCAACTGAGTCAGTAGCAACACCGATCAAGTTGAAGTTTATATTCAATCTTACTGTACTGTATAACTCAGTGATAAACTGTCATCAGTACAATCATGGGCCATCACTCATAAATAATGAAGGTTAACATTTTAAGGAGTAAAGCAGGTATGTGCTGCAACGGTCTACGGTTGTTGTCGACCTGTCTGTCAGGTAATTTTACGTTGTATAGTACTGTATACTGTATACTTTCAGTAGTAGAGGACAGTAGAATGACCAGAAAATGAGAAACTTGTACCTTTTTTGGATCCAACTGTTCACATCCTTCTTTCCTTCCTGCTGAGTATCTTACGTCCAGCCGTCCATTCAGTCCAGTCGACGGTACATACTGTACTGCTTTCTACTGTAGACTGTAGTCTTCACATTTCTTTACCGCAAGGCTAGGACAATGGCGTTCTCCTCGATCGACTGGAGAAGCGCCATGGAAACATTAAAAAAGTTTAGAGAAGACAACGTTCGAGCCAGTGATGATGTCGTAGAATTAGGAGAACACTTAATTACAAACTATCGAAGTAAATTGGGAAAGGAAAGTAAGTGAGCCATGCCAACTATCTTAATTATAGCCATAGTACTTCGTACTCTTTATGCCGACCGTACTGTACTGTATAGTACAGAACGCGTCTTGACTACTGTCACTACTGTAATGTATCTTGGTGGGCTGAATGGGTGCTTTATTTGCATCGCTTATTGACTTAAAAAGCTCATAAAGAATAAGAAAAATAACCCATACAGACGCTATAGCATCAATTTCATCTCTGATTTGAAACCTAGTCTTGTCAAATAAAAGTCACAACGATCGATCATGGATACAGGACAAGAGACGAGCGCAGTATCAAGCAGCGCTAACTGAAAGCGCTGATACAACTTCTTGTTTGCTCGATGAGTCGGTTGAGTGCATAAGTTGCTGCAGTACAATTCAACGGTAGAATAAATGAACATCTCTCTTATCGATCAATCGGATATAGATTACTATTAGATGCACACAATCTAGACTAGAGATAGAGCGAAATAGTGTATAGGTCGAGGCAGTATCTTTACATAGCTTTGTACCGGTTGATGACGTCAATTGATAAGAACTACCCCGACCTTAATACGTAGTAATGCACATCGTCTAAATTTTAGAAAACTTTAAATTAATTGACTACTACTGTGATTAGAATTTCTGTCAGGAAATAAATAACTTGCTGTAGCCATTATCGAATAATAATTATTATTATCCACCTCCAGTAATAGTACGGTACATTTATTGGTAATGCAAATATCTTTTAAGTGTGTTGCACATCTCTAATATGAATTATTCCATTGATACATTCAACATACTACATGGACTCTTAGTTTGGAACATTTACGAACAAGTATTTATTGCCGCGTTAGACTGTGGGAGAGAAGATTTAGCTGAGGTATGTAACCTATTAGAATATTTCACAAGTGCATTTACTTCTGACTATGACGATTCGATCGATTAACTAGATCATTGCTAAAATCTACTCTTAGGTATGTTTAGAAGCTTTGCAACGGCAATTTCCAAAAAGTACCCGTGTATATAAACTTGAAGCCATGGCACTAGAGGCAACTGGAAAGTACGTACTATATAGCAGTGACTGACAAGTGCATACCATCTTTACAGTATAAAACTGTTATTTGTGTATAATAAATACACATAAATTCGAATATGTAAATGCATGCTAATGTATTCGAGTGTAATGTCTAAAATAAATTCTGAATAGTTTATCTAGCCCCAGGATCATTATTGATATAACTTTCTATCGATATCATTTAGTTTTAAGGAGGCAGAAGAAGTATACTTGAAATGTTTATCCCGTGATAAAGCAAACGCGGTAGGTTTATTTAAGATATCATATTTGTATGATTTGTGTAAAATATGACACCTAATGAATTTGCATTGCATAGTACTTAATACGATTGCATACTGTACATTGATATTATAATTGTTACAAGTTATGTCGATATTTATTTAGTAACAGCTACGATAAAAATATAATTCTGATGTCACTGCAACTTTAGCCGGCAAGAAAAAGACTGGTAGCTATATACAAAGCCATTGGAGATCAAGCCTCCGCTATTGCACATCTTAATTATTACCTGGAATCGTGAGTATTGATAATGTGTACTAAGCGTTACTTGCAAAAAAGTCATATACATTAAATTAGTCATGAACTATAAAGCCTTATTATTATAATTTTTCAGTTTTATGACTGATCAAGAAGCTTGGATGGAGTTGGCTGACTTGTATATAAGCCTTATGGAGTAAGTTTGCATCGTATTGGTTACTGATTATAGAAAAATTTCTTATAATATTGCACGTTATGTAAAAATTATTTTTCAATCGGAAATAATTTTAGTTATTCCAAGGCAGCCTTTTGTATGGAAGAACTCATCCTTACGAGTCCTTATAATCACTATTATTATCAAAGATGTGCAGAGGTATTTGCATGATACTTCAAAATTTGTCTATTTTAGCGTGCCGTAGCAAGATGTTATAAATTTGGTTGATGGAAAAATAACTCTTTTTTCTATCTTTCAGATTTATTATACTATGAATGGAATCGAAAACATAGAATCGGCAAGGAAGTATTTCGCTCAGTCGTTGAAATTGAATAGTAAAAATATGAGATCTCTGTATGGATTTTTCATGGTAATTTTTGAAGTATTTCGGTATATTACAATATATATATATATATGTATACCCTAGGAATAGCTTTACTGCAACGTGGATAAATTCAGTTTGTAAAATTACTTGGTATATAGGCTTCGTCTCAATTACTACAATCACAGAAAATTAGCAGTAAATCCAAAAAAGATAATTCTAGATATGCTGCATGGGCATCTGCGCAAATCATGGAAAAATATCAGGTAGAAAAATGGCCTTCAATTGCCAATGACATACCTTCGTTATGATATTTTTGTATAGTAATGTGCTCCTTTATCGGATTATTCTGCTGTAGGAATTGAAATCGCAGTCTGTAACAGTTGAAAATTTAGGTGCCGTATTAGACTCCTTGACGTTATAACGACGTTTGGATTGAATTCTTTTTATGAGATGTAAATTTATTTATATTTCCTCTCTTAAAGTTAAATTTCTCACATTGAATTCGAAATATTGTATTGGCGTTACTATTTAGACTTGACAATGTAGTATGCACGATGTTACGATTTATGTATCATGATAGACAACAATTTTAAATCCTTAATTGATATAAAGTGGATTAGAGACTGAATAACGCATTTAATCTGTATCAGATGGTGTTTCATCTATAGGAATTAATTGCACGTTACACATACAGTATATACATGTGCATTATATATATTGGCCTATGTACATGTCGTAATTTTCAATCTGTGATGCATGCCATGCTTCTATTGTACTAAATCCCTGGAAACTATTATAGTTAAAATTTCTCTAGTAAATATCGCTTGTTGTAATTCATCCTACCTACCTTCGACAGCGTTAATAATTATTTTTGTATTTGTAGTAAACTTAATGTGCTCTAAATGGTTACAAGATACTCCCGAAAGTTACTTTGGACACTAAATTCACTTCGACTTAGAAGAAGACTTTTACAAAAATTTTTATATTTTTGTTTGGAAGGAGGCATTAAATACAGTACTGTACATTATTGCAAACGGCTATCATAAAACGAGTTTAATAATAGTAATATACTCATTTACGTTAATTCATTGACCTTCATTTTACGCAAAAATATCACTTGATTAGTCAATGGCGATACGGCTAATATCATGGGAAACATAAGTCAAATCCAGTCTGTTTCTTTGTATGATACCTAACAGAGGAATAATTTCTTAGAGCTGGAATTTTCATTAATGCTGAAAATTTGCAATCGTATTCTTTCCTATAGATATAGTATAGGCGTATGTGTTACACATATTTATTTGTTATTACAGAAATGAGTAAAAAGCGTCCTATAGTTGGAACTAAAGATTATTTACTACGGTACATAATATAAAATCCCACGGTATAAATGAGGTTGATTTATTACCTGCAGTTCATACTTAAACCGATAAAGTCATTAATTAGAAAGTAAAATATATCTGTGCTTCACCAATAATTTATTCGTTACATTGTTAAAACACAGTATTAACTTGCTTTATTAACTTCATTCCATTGCTGATAAAGACTACCTAACTAAATCTTTGATCAATCATTAGAATCAGCCACTTTTCTTGCCTTTTACTTGTCATGCTTTAAAATAAGTTTATCTTGCCGTACCTCATAAGCTTCAATCTCCTTAAAACGGCAATAACTGTCTTAATAAAGTCTGAACTTGATCTGAAGTTGTTCTTCATGTAAACGTTTGGAGATCAACGTAGTCTATCAGGGTTACTTTCAAACCATGTTTATAAACATCATAAAAAGATATTAACAATTTCCATTGAACCTTAGAATCAATTTTATGCTGTGATGCTAGAAGACTGTTCATAAAAAAGTTGTTGTATATCAACATAATTACTTCTGCTAAACACAGACTTGACTTATATACTGTATTGAGTTCACTCCATGAACCGTTACTCTGCCAGTTCCTTACAGCAATAAACTCGTTAATCATCACAATAGAACTTCATCGTACTAGAGATCTTTAATAAAGTTAAACAAACTTGAAATGTGCTGATCCCGTGATTTCTTTCGTCTTTATTTCATCGCTTTCTATAGATACGTCCAACGATTCAGTAAAGCTTAATAAATCAGTTTACTATATCAACAATATCAACATTTTTTACAATATAAACATTTTCTGAGTAGCCTCTTGTTATAGCCAACTTATTGTAATTTAAAATAAAAATCCCTAAAAGAATCTTGAAGCCTTTGCAAATTTGCTTCCGTATGATCGGTGATTGAGTCCTAGATATGTCAAAAATAGGTATAACAAGTCATAATTTCATGATATCTACATGTAATATCAGTAATATGCGTTTTTCAAAGAATAGTAGTCAGATCCTAACATTATGAAAGGTTTTTGTTTTTTCCATCGTTATTAGTCGTCGAGCAATATTGGAATTTAAAACTTGCTCGGAGTTGGACGTAACAGTCAGACAGGGATGTTTAGGGATCAATTCATCGGTGTAGCTACATCCAGTATACAGAGGTATACTGTTTCAGATAATATTTAAGTATAGAAAATTGTGACGGTAAAGATATATAAGTACCTAGGTCGATGGAACGGTAACCAAAAAACCAGCCGTCCGTACATTCGCAAATGTTTGGCAGCAAAAGATAATAAATCTTTATAAACTTTCGATAAATTGTATTGACTAGTCTTTGCAAAAGCACTATAATAAATAATTAAAATAGTGTATTTTATAAGTCGATTCTTGGTTGAATAGTATTATTTTTATAGTCATTCTCATAGTACCCATCACTCTTGGATAGGACTTTCCGCGCTCCTTCTCTGATTCCATACGGAGCTATCAGAAATTAAAAGTGATTTTTTAGTTTACATTTAAATTTACTGTTAAGATAAAATACCAGAGTACTAAAAATCCTTACGATCAGTCACAATGGCATCGAAGTGCAAACCATCTTTCCATGCTGGTTTGGCTGCATCTAAAACCATAACATCTACAAAATTTGACTGTAGTTTATATTGGCAATAGTTCGCATAGACGTTCTCATCCGGTCCTAAAGAGTTATATAAAAGTCATCAAATAAGCTTTAAAGGGAAGTTATTAAATATTAACAGTGATGCGACGTAATACATGGATTGATACCTCTAAACTTCGGTCCTTTAGCTCTTGATGAACGACCTCTCCCGTGAAGTATATTGGGATCAATATCAGCACCAAGTGTAAAAGCACCAAAATGAGCACAAGCTAAAGTTATGCTACCTAATAAAGAGCACTATTATAAGCTGAAGCATTTCATAATAATTTAAAAATACACAAGTATGCGGATTGCATTATCTGATTGGTAATAGAGAGCTAAATTATTACAGGTATTAAACTATTGATACAGACATATTGAAAGATAAGCAATAAAGCGTAGGCCCTTACCAGTCCCAACAAAAGGATCATATATTAGGGATCCTGGGCGAACCTAAGTTATTTACTTGCAGTAGTTAGTGACTGATAGGACAGTGTAGTAATTTCAAAACGTGATTTTAATAATACTTGCCAAAGCTTGATTCGCCATAAGGAAGCATAATTCTGCTGACATAGATGTGTTACCAATATATTTTCTTTCAGTAACTTTATAGTTTCGTAGTATATCTCGTTGGCCGAAACCAATCTGCATTGTCAAAAGAATTTTGCTATGAACATCACGCATTGCTAGAATATAATACATGTCGTAAAATGTATTCTAAACCGAAGTAGTATTCCACGCGTATTATTAATCTAATATCATTCATTAAGAATAAATTACGATAATGTTGTAAAGACAACAATACTTACTAAACGACCAAAAAATAATCTAGAAGGCTGTTCTCGTGGCTGATTACAGTCATCTCCAAAATCTTGCAATAAATAAAAGGTAAAGTCAGGCTGTTTTAGCTTCACAGAACCACCAAATGGCAAAAAATCTAGTTTCTGCAGATTGAAAGTAAATATTCACATAAATTATTAATTAATTGCTTCATCAATTTTGATGAATTATTAAATAAATAGCTATACTCTAAAAGTCTAAATGAATGTGGTTATGCACATTAAATTATATCATACCATAAGTAAGTCCTTTTGCTGGGAAAAAGGAACTTTCTTATTAAATGATTCTATCCTGATACTAAAGGTGTAATCGTCCTTATAGAACCGCGTCTGATCATATTACATAAAGACAATACAAAAAAATTTGCATTAAAAGAGTAAAAATTGCATTTGATAGATAAAGTATCTAATCGTGATATCGTTGTTAGTTAGACAAAGATATTTCTTATAAAATTACAAAGTGTATAAAGTGGTTATCAATTTAAGGCTTTCTATTCATTTTCTAGCGAATATCGATGAATACATTAAGGTAGATATAGCACTATTATCGCTGTAGAAAAAAGCCAAATGGAAGGTATGTGATGTTATATGCGCTAAAGATATGTTCCAACAAATTTTTCTTACCAGCTTCTCTTCGGATAAATTTTTTAATTGAGTAAATAAATCTGTATACGTAGTGCTTTGCGCCCACACATCGATAATTGATCTAATTCATTATAAAGAAATATTATGAGTAACTAAGTGTAAATATTAGAGCGTGGATTATTTTTTACTTTTCACAGTGTAATTGCAGAAAAGATACTACTACTAAATGACATTATTGATGAACGCTTTACATACAAGCAACTTCGAGAGAGAACTCTTATTGATGCTAATTTTACCTTATTAAGACTGATCTACTTAAAATTTTGACAGCGGACTCTTCATCAGGCAGACCAATGCGAACAAAAGGATTCTAGACGAGCAAAGGAATTACAGTTTACAACAAAAACAGTATTGCCAAAGATGTCATTCATTTGCATTGAGATAAAGTAGTATACTATTATGGGTAATGACATTTATTTTTATAACAGGTTCTTAATTTGTTATATACTAGCAATTGCTAATGTTATAATTTACCGGATCGAATTTAAACATCCAGCACGTAATATTTAACAATACTTGCAGTCTTTTATCATGAATGATATACTCATAAGTATCAAATATTGTTCATCATGCTTTTAAGTATACGACTTGTACATCATGGATTACATCTGTTACATTTATTAGTTAGTCTATATAACTAAATTTGCCTCATAAATTACATCTCAAGGTTGCTTTACTAAGATTTACCCAATCATTACTAAATCTAGTTTTATATAGTTTTACAGAATTTAAATTGCTATTTTGCGTTACCTGATCTGAATAATTAGCAGTGTCCACACGTAAATCGACATTTAACAGTTTTGCGATGGAGTATAATTCCTAAACAATATTTAAATATGTGTTTAGTAAATGATTATACTCGTATATATACATGCAATGTAACATTGATTTTATTTTAAGGTAACGTAACAGTTAATTAATTTATATTAATTACGTTAATTTTAGCGAAAAATAGCTACTTTACGATAGCATCTTTGGGGGCTATTTAGACAATTCTTGACGTAAGGTGCATTATACGTATATTGTCATTAATCATTTGATAAGTTTAAAATTGTTGCACTATTAACGTACAGTACAGTATATCCATGCGGTATTATATTATCATTGACGTAACATAAACCTGTTTCTAGTTTTCAATTTGCAGTATGATTGGTAACATAGAGGTAAGTAAGAATATTAGTGATGAGCTAAAGGATACAATAATTACACCATGGAGGTACAAAGGCTAGTACAATCATGGTATAATATTATAACATTGAAGAGCTACTATATTCCAGTACTCCATTCTGCAGCTTGTAGATACGTCTTTCTACAACCTCAATGAACTTACAGCTAATCGAAAATTGACATTTTCTTGTGCATAGTAACACAAATATCGGAAAACCTTCAATCTCTCCATCTGCAAAAGGCTGCCATCCAAGTATCCCTTCGCAACAACTGACCGCATCAAAATTCAGTCGGATGGACCAACGGACCCCTTTAGGCTTCTATCCGTCTGTCCTGTAGTGTACTCATAACTACTACTTTAACTGGGAGATACATCTGGTAGTCCATGCTGGCACACCACTGCGTCAGCAATTAGTAATAACAGTTTAGTTTGTATATTATTAATAGACTTAATGTGTATATTATGATTGTACTCGATTTTGAACTGTCAAAAAGAAAGAGAGAGGAACGCAATATGATCATTTAGCAATCAACTACATACTACTGGCATGCAATCGTAGACACTAGACTGTAGACTGCCATGCAAATGAACTGCTAGTAGTAGTAGAGGTGCCAACTATCAGATTTGATATAATATTATCATGATAATAATATCCAGTGTAGTCTTGATACTGTACTATTAAGATATTATCAAGATCAAGATACTAGCAGGATATTCTTGAGACAATGTACACTTTTAGTACTAGAAGTACAGTCCATTCTAGTGAAAGGTTAAAAGCTCTTCGATAAATTACGACTATGAATCATGGACTACGCTAGCAATTTCTAGTCCATACTACAGTATGTCCGATCAGTCAGTCACATGACTATCATAAGCACGGTATTCGAGCAAAAGTGATGTCACTATAGCAGTAGTATACAGTCAAAAAACTACAAAATGGCATAGAGGAATCCCTAGTGTTACCAAATTAAAATCAACTATGTAAGTGACATTATTTACTGCACTGCACACAGTTCCATACCATACTACCAAAGTAAGGCCAAAGGCAACAAAAATCGACTTTCGCCTCTTCATCATTACAGTCTATCCTGACCGTTGCTAGAACAACATGAAGGCAAGTCTAATCGTCATCACCTTGTTTGCAGTTTTCAGCGCACAAGGCGCTTACTTTCCCAATCATCAACCCTTGTCGCAAGATTTGATCGACTATGTCAATCTAGTGAGTACAAGCTGGAAAGCTGGTACCAATTTTGCTGGTTTACCAGTATCTTATGTCAAGTACTTATGTGGTGCTTTGGAAGATCCTAACCACTTTCAACTCCCTATCCACGTCCATGAAGACACCAGCGATTTACCAAAATCCTTCGATTCACGAGACAAATGGAGAATGTGCCCTAGTATCAGGGAGATTCGAGACCAAGGTTCTTGTGGTAGCTGTTGGGTAAGTCTTCAATCTATTGTCGTTTCTTTGACTAGCGAATATTGCAGCTGTCAATATGATTACAAATAGACCATATCAAAGGATCGATAGGGACGTCATGTAAACGCTACATCACTGTACAAACAAAAAATGACGGTGTCTATCCACTCTTCATTTTGACCCTTTTTACTTCTGCATTCACCAATATTAGCACGATGATGATTTTTTCTTATAGTATTCTTTTCAAATCTGTGCCATGCATTAAATATACAGACATGAAGATCTCTGTATACAGTTCAAGCGCTACAATCATAGCTTTTTATACTTTGGAGCAAATAAGTAAATTATGTAAATTAGAACGTTGAAAAAGTTCTTTTCTTCATGGCCGAGTAATGAACAGCATACAAGTGATACAACAATGCTGTATCATGCCACTTTCGAGAAAATGAGATATCTTTACGCCAATAGCCTCGAAGTAGAATATTTAAAGTGTTGCAATATCATCATTACTGATACCTTTTCCATCCTTAGTTTCGTCATTTTTATTGTTGTCCGTGCAGTGCACACTCTTTTGCAAAATTTTTCTTATGGATATCGGAAAACCTGAATTGGAAGTAACACCTGAAACCGTATTCTAGAATCCTATTGAACTAAATACTGTAGTCTAACGCGTAAATAACTTTTATCTATCACAAGCCGATTTTAGAGATTGTGGTAAATAGTATCAGTAACATTGCTATCTTTACGGAAATACTCTATGTTTAGTATCTGAGAGCTATCGACGTAGAAGAACAAGAAAAAAGAGTCATTACACGTAAATGCGATCCCTTCTTTCTTTTTATTTTCGTTTGTGTGCATTGTAGATCATATACAGTGGTAGTTTCCATGACCATAGACTGTAGCATTCATAAATTTTAAGAAATATTTAGAGCGATTGAAAATTTTCTAGGATTTTTCGATTATCTGTTATATTAGTGATACTGTACAGTTCTGCCGTTATATGACAAAAGGAAGCAAGGTCAATTTTTTCGAAAATTGAGTTTTTTGTTTATGATTAATTATAACTACTTGTTAAGGTGTGATCTAACTACCTGCAGATAATCATTTTAGCAGCATAGCTACAATATGTATATACTGTATATAGGCGTATTAAAGGTTGTTGAGTTCAATGATTATACCAGTACAGTATAATAATATGAGTCTGACCATTTCAACATATAGTCTTTTGGTGCTGTTGAATCCATCACTGACCGAATCTGTATCCACTCTAATGGAAAAGTTAAAGTACATATTTCCGCTGAAGATTTAATGACCTGTTGCACCAGCTGCGGTATGGGGTAAGTTGAAATATGTTCGTAACCTAACATTTGTATCGGATAAGCGTAGCGCTTCAATTTAAACGACTTCTAAATGCTATTCCTACTATTAACTAGCTATATTACAATACTCATCTTACAGTATAATATAGTGGGTAACCATGCCCTTTCCCTACGATATATCCTTCAACTATAAGAATCCCTTCAATATTCCTAATTTATGTCAGCAATCTTAATCACTTTCCAAAAACAATTACATTTAAGTGCTTCGATTTATAACTATTGTCTCTCAAGTTAATTTGATAATTCATTAATTACTGGCAATCAGTTTTTATACACTTCGATGAAATATCTTTCGTAACATATGCGGTTATGCACTTTAATTTTTCCTTGTTGTATTACATGTATCAACTCATAAATAACACGACTGTTGCAACCTACCCACAATTGCCCAGCTATATGTCGAACTTTGAAAGTTACTTTTTCATATCATATTACGTATTAACAATGTTAATGAACTGAATGATGATTGTTTATTAACTATTTTATGACCAATAATATAAACTATCTTATCTAGTTATGCAGTCATATATTGATATTTTCGGTACCAGCAAAACCATAATTACAATTTTACAAAGACAAAAGTCATCATTGTATAGTACAAGTATTTCTTGGCGAGGGGAAATATTATTTCGTCCTTTACGAATAAGACTTTTCTACTCTGTATTTTGATTCGTGGTAGCGTTACATCTTCGTGTAGAACTTACGGCCATCACAACTCAATTTTATATTTACACATTGCAGTGTTTGTCTTGCATGTATCACTGGGAAAAGATCACTATTGTTACGCTATTTATGTACCCATTAAAGTCAGATAATTTATGACCCGATGTAATTCTACAGGAATCAACAATAGTAACATTTAGCAAGTATTTACAATTTATTCATAATATCGTATATTACATCCTATTCTTCTTTCTAAATTACTAACTGTTTCTTATGGATACTTTTAATGATCATATTACCCTTCAAAATTGTTATCATGTCCCAGTTTTATGTGTTTATACGAGTATATATATGATAACGTCATTTTATTTCTCTAGATGTAACGGTGGATTCCTTCCTCAAGCTTGGTAAGTTTCGCACACGCTTGATAGCTTTTTATCGATTTTTCAGAAATAGAGTGAATAATTATAATTGTACAACATAGACTCTAGAATCTGCAAGTATTTAATGCTATAATGGCAAGATTATAAATTTACTTTAAAAGACTTGAACTGAATGTTATCTACATCGGTTCTATTACTACGCATTCATCATACAGGCATTACTGGGTTAACAATGGTATCGTTACTGGTGGTCAGTACCACAGTCACAAAGGCTGCCAACCATATGAAATTCCCAAATGCGAACATCACGTAAAAGGCCCATTTAAGGCATGTGGAAAAGAATTGCCAACTCCAAAATGCTCACAAAAATGCCAACCCGGCTATAATAAGACCTTTAATCAGGACAAACACTTTGGTAAGAAATCCTATTCTATCACTAACAATATTCAGCAAATTCAGAAAGAAATCATGATGAACGGTCCAGTTGAAGCTGCATTTACCGTCTACGCAGACTTCCCAAGTTACAAGAGCGGTTAGTTACTACCTTTTAATTTAAATCTTAAAATTTATTCTATGATACTAGCCTACTTAAAGCTTAGATCTTAGACAGTAGTAAGTTTCATCTTCCTATTACAATGTTATCATAATAGGTGTTTATCAGCATACCACCGGTGGTCCATTAGGTGGCCATGCTGTAAAAATCCTTGGATGGGGTACTGAAAATAATACTCCTTACTGGTAAATTATTTTCTATCATACTATCCTTACCCATGTTCCCAGTGTTAAAATACTTTTATTGGTAATAGAATTTACAAAATTTTACAGTATCAAATATTTTACTCCTTAAATTATATCTTGTATAGGCTTATTGCTAACTCTTGGAATCCAACATGGGGAGATAAAGGTATATTTAATTTGTTATTTTGTTTAATTTTAACAATATGTAGTTCCGTTTCATTGAAATATTTCTTTAACTTATTATTAAAGGGTACTTTAAGATCATCCGAGGCAAGGACGAATGCGGAATTGAATCCAGCATTGTAGCCGGCATGCCAAAATACTAAGATAATTACTTGATTTTGCAGTAGTCAATTTTAATTTTATCATGGTGTAATTGTAGATTTGTAGTTATAAAACTGCAATTTGGGCATGTATGTACTTGATATTTAGCAAGAAATAAAATTTATAGTCTTTAATTTGTTTGCCTTTTCGAGTTTCTGATACGTTACTAAAATTGAATACATTCACTTGATATTAGCTCGATGTCACTAAAATCGTATTACATAAGGCGAAAGTATACAGATAAGATTTATTCTCTAAATGCTCACCAAAATGAGCTGATACTTTACAATCATTTTGAAAAGTATATGGTTATACGTTACTTCAGTATACAAACAGAAAACCGAAATTCTTGTATTGAATATTATTTTTGCAGGTTTTATACAGACATATAAGTTAATCGTTGTTTACGGAATAATAGCAAGAGACTAAATTATGATTGAGTTTCCTCGTGATCTACATTTTGTCTCATCTCCTGCAATTTAAAAATATCAATATCTTCGGCATTTGACGTCTGGATATAAACCTACAGAGGGAGAAATTAATTATATTAATGAATGAAACTAATGGTACAAAATAAGAGGCTATTAGGAGGATATATATTCAAGTGTTCTAACCATCTGTAAAAATTCTTCTTCGCTGTTAGCAGAAATATTCAATTCCGTAACGAAATTAAAAATCTCCATAGGAGTTTTGACATCATTTGTTAGTCGTTGCTCAAAAAATCGGGAAATATTTCTACAATCCCGGAGCAAGAATTCTGCCCATTTAGGATGAGATCTATCAACGGCTTGACTGACGTCAATAATCCAAATTTTACTTTCGTGCCATAGAATATTATATTCGCTTAGATCGGCATGAATTAACTTTGCCTTGTGATACATGGTTTTCATTGCCTAAATATTAAAAAAGACATTAACACAAAGATACTATGATTAAATCTAGACACTAATTGGGAAAACTTGTCAATGTATTAACTTATTATAAATACTCATTATGGAATTGAATTATTCTACCGAATGATCGACCACTTAATACTAAGAAATTATATATACGTTTTACAGCAGAGTCTGCTATATCTACAAAAATAGTGAAATATAACCCACAAACTGAAGTCTACACGTAGCGATTACAGGTAGCTGCAGAAACGAAGTTAATAATTTTAAGCACTTTTACCTGCAAGCACTGGTTGTAAGCGGCAGTGATATCGGAGTAAGACAATTTAGCGTCTTTCAACTTCGGCGCAGGTTTCTGATTAAGACCAATGAAACTCATTACTAATACGTGCTTTCGTAGCAAAAGTGGTTGAGGGCAATGGATGGAAGCTGCTTGTAGTCTACAAATAGTTGATCAGTAACAAAAACTATTTAATCTAGCATAATCATTCCGTCTTATACATAAACTTTTGATCGTTCAACTAACCTGTGTAAATTATGTGTTTCTTTCTCTGCCCATAACCGAACAATTTTCCGAGGATTTTGTTTACTAAATCTATCCTTAAATCTGTAATCATCTTTAATGTATTCGTCGCGATTCTTGAATTCGTTTAACGTTGTCTTATATACTTTGATGGCACATTCGGCGGGCAGATCTATCTTTTCAAGTCTGTCAACAATTCAATTTTAACAAGTTATCAATAAGCATGAATTGATAAGATCTAAGAATTCGTTCAAAAATTTATCAGTATGATGAAATCAATCTTTCAAGAAAGCGTATATATCTAAACTGTAAACCCCGGATTCACTTACTGTCCTCCCGTTGCATAAAATACGCAAGCTTCTTTACCAGTACTAAAACATCCTCCAACATTCTCCAAAGTACCATTATTAACTAACTTGTATATTAGTAAACGGGTTTTTTCGTCTAGTGCTTGCTCCTATTAAATTTTGAATCAAGTGTTACCAATGGACTAATATACATGATTCGCTGCTATGCTTTTATTATGTTCCATTTGTATACAATTATGTAATTAATTTTCCTTATCTTACATGAGTTGAATGTTCCTTCTTTTCATGAAGTCGATGACTTTGACGATCTTCACGGAATGAATGTTGTTTTAAAGAGTTGTAGACATGATTAGGTATCTTGACTTCAGTTGATGCATCATTTAAATCACCGCATCGAAAATTTGGAGGAAACTGTAGACGAAAAATACGAACACATATAAAATTAGCTTGAACCTTGATACAGGATATTCATTAATAAATTATTGTATTAATGCTTTTAAAGTACGAAAAGCGACATCCAAATACTTTAAGCGATTTCACTATTTTGAGAGCATTTTTAAATTTTAGAGTGATCGACCGTATGTTTGCTATAGGTTACAAAAATTTCCATCTAGGGTACTCTAAAAACATCCTTATGTTATTAGGAAAACTTTAATTTAATATTTTACGCTTACTTGTAGTGTACTTTTATAAATTTCAATAGCATAGAAAACAACGAAAGCATAGTACAGTATCGACTGTACATGAATCGATTCGAAACTTACTTTACTTTCCATGCTTTTAGTATTCTTCCGACAGCAGATATCGTAGTCATGCTTGGTTGTGATTGTATTCTTTTTTGGCAGCTTTGTATCAGTCTTGTCCTCGTTATCGTTGTACGTTTCATCAGTAGCAGTGGTATCTAGCAAAGATAGGGATCACCGAAAAAGTCACTTTATGCTACCGATAGAAATATGTAAGCATATGAAATACAACTATAAAGAGTACTACTCAATTGTGACAATCGAATAAGCCTATTCACGTGTAGTTCTACTGTACTTTTAACTTTTATTTGATATTCACGTAAATGGATACGATATTATACGCGTATTTACAAATACAATAACAAGTCGTAAAATAGGTTTAATAGCATACATCATTAAAATACAGATTATGATATGCATTTTGGAGTTATAACCGAACTCGCATATACTGCATGGGTATAGTATTTAACTTAAACCAGTAGACGTTTTAAAGCTAATAGACTACTAACATGGAAGGTTTTTTTTTTATTAAAGGAAATACGCAAAATAACAATTGCGATTGTTAGTTCATTCTTTTGCTATCAATACTATCATTGTCTTACCTACTATTAGGCCAGCATCACAGTAATATTCCTTATCCAGAGGATGCATACAGCGATAGTTATCATATGATATGGTAACTATGGCAAGATAAATTATGAAAACAATTTAAAACGCATACCTTTACTGACAAGTTATGATAAGTAAGTTGAAGCATGATTAATAAAAGGTTTTGAAAGAATAGTCTTAGCCTTAGAATACTGTACAACGTGTGACAATCATCGATATAATCAGGGTCTATATAGTAAAAACGCTAGTTTCTAACAACGCAATTTTTTTGACCAAACACAGTACAGTATTTAGATTGTTATCATTAAAGTAGCAGTTCATGTTATCAATGTAAACTGCCTATTTCTACCATCCTAGAATAGAGTAACAGTTTCACATCTGTAAAGAATTTGGATAAAGCTACGATGAAGGAGAATCGTTCTCCTTCTTGTATTTAGATTGTTGTCATTAAAGTAGGATGTCAGGCTGCTTTTAAAACTGTTGTACAGTATAGAGTGTTTATGTCATATACTATAGATACAGTACAGGGGGGGCCGTTCCCAATACTGATACTGTACAGTGTACAGTCAGTATATCCTATCAAGACAGTCGTATGCAATTTTCCACTGGTCTATCACTCTTGACTTACCTTTTCCATTATTTCCATTCATCTTTCTTTCCTCTAGCTCTAAACTTTGATCATATTCGAAATCGTACTGATTTTGTAGCATCTGGGCTAAAATATGATCACTCTCACAAGTAGGATTGACTTGGTCGACAAGATTGATGTTTCCATGTTGAAATTGGGTTGGATTATCTTCCCCTCGTTGTAATACTCTAGCTAGCTCTTCATCCATCACATTTTGTAATGAACAGTCTTGTGAGGGGCTTGGTAAAGGTTGGTTTTTAAACCAAGGATTCTTAACGGCATCATTTGCTGCCATTGGTCAAATTATTCTCCACTCGGCAAAGGATAGTAAGAGAGACCAGAAAGTTTAGGAAATGCCCTTTGGTCTTGCATACTAAGAGTACTTATAGAGAGTAGCAAAGGCTAGCAAAGCGATCATTCCTCATTACTGTGTATCATACAGTAGACAAGCGTACAGTCATAACACTGTCGTCCAAAGAGCCCATCGTCGTCTACATTCATTGAAAAAGTGTTGACTGGGCAGAAATTTCTTTGAAGCCAAGCTTACAGTATCATCTGGTCCGGACCGGACCGGACCAGACCGTCAGTCAGCGTACCATTATTACAGTACAGTACTGTACTCAGTTACTGGGGTAGTGTCAGTGATACAGACTGACAGATAGCTGCCAAATTTTGTTGCATCAGCAAAAAGTGATCCATCATCGGTGATGTCATGATTGATTTATTTCATGATATCAATAAATGTCATTTGCGCACGCTCACTCTCTTACGACTGGACTGGACCGGACACTGGACAGTGAGTGGACTAGTGGATAGTGGAGACTAGAGACCCTTTCATAAGAGAGTCTACAGTGGACACTACTGTATCCGCAGATGGACGGACTTTTCATACCATTTCAGACCGTAAATGTCCAAAAATACTGACTCAGTATGGATTTTCCCAGTCTGTTTTGTAAATCACTGGTATTAATTTGAAGAAGATGAATGACCTAAAGTGACTGCTGCAAGCAAAGCTTAGTAACAGCCAATGGAGTACAATGTAATATTCATTCATTTCGAAAAAATCAGTCAATCTAGAATCGACTGTCTGCATACCAAGTGTTTGACACAATTTGTTAACCCGAGTTGGCCAAATGCCTGTCCGTTCAAAGGAGTGTCCACCTTCGAGTCCTAGGCCGGGTCGGGCTATTCTGTAGTAGTGTACAATACTGGACTGTTGTAGTCTTGTCACTGTACAGTACAGCGAATTGACTACACAGTCTGTACAGTGTGAGGGAGGACGGGCTCATATGTAGGATTTTAGTGAAAGTGAATGCATAAGAATTGGGCGATCTTATAACACATTTTATATCAGTCGATAAAGAGAATGAGTTGATCTACAAGGATCCGTTGTCAGAATTACTGTACAACGTCAATTTTTTGGTAAATGACGTTTCAAGGCAAACCGTTCTTTCCAAAACTACAGTACAGTAAGCAATATGTCCATACTACTGTCCGTACACTACTGTCATGAACAGTATTAGTACAGTTCCAATTCAAGTTTGGAGGTCTTGATAGTCTTGTCTACAGTACAGTGTACAGTACAATACATACAATACTGTACTGTAAGTTAGTCTGGTCTGTCGTCTACTGTACTGTACTGTACAGTGTACAGTACTAAACAGAAAGAGACCGGACAAGCTAGCCACTGAAAAACTGACACGTCGTTGAGGTTGGTACTGTAGTAAATCGACTTGGTACTGTAAGTAGAAGTTAAAACTAGGCATGCTCAATGTACAGTACCGTAGTGACTGAGTGTACACTCACTGTACAGCACAGAGCATGTGGACTACAGGGCACAGTACTACACATTCTACAAGTACCGGACACTATACTCTACTCACTTGATTCATTCTGTTTATAAACGACTGCAACTTCTTGACGTCTAACTTGTGTATCAGCTCGCTCGCTGACACGACCACACAGCAAGCCCGTGAAGAGCAGTACAGTACTATACTCCACGGTCTCGAGAGAGTATCCATTCACTGACTGGCTGCAAGCAGTCTGCCAAGAGGCAACATTGCATCAATATTTGCTTCGTCAATCACACTTTCTGGCCATTTGGAAAGTGCGCTCCAACATTACCTTGTAGTGTATCCATTGGTCAACTGGACACTTGTATACTCCACTCTAGCCAAAATACATCCACTATTTTCCACTCTTGGCTACAATTGCACGCCTACTTTTCGGACTTTACCGCAATAGTAACAAAATGGCCGAGAATGATGACATGGAGGCGAACGAGACAGGTACGATCAGACGAAAAACCAATTCAATCTTGTACAGTATAATAATCAAATGGACAGGATAGATGGATTAATTCATCATGTTGTTGAAATGGTACAATCTTGTGCATGGTAATACCATAATCGAAGTCATACCCTAGGCTGTTTAGTAATTAACGCTGATTAATTCATCGATACGGTAATCAATAATCAAATAAATCCTCAATGCCAAACTCTATTGACAGCTTCCAAAATGCGAAAATTACGACCACCTAATCGGAAAAAATTCAATGACGATATCGAACTACTAAAGGAGGAAATTAAGGAAAAAGAAAAGCGAATTGTATGTACTGATGCCGCTACCACATTTCTAATTTAGACAACATCGAATTGATAGGCTTGAATGATAAAACAACTCTCCTTTTGTATGGGTATAGAAATCGATCGTCAAGCCTCTTCCGCAAACCAGTTCTGAATCTACTGCAAAGAAGGATAAATTGATTAATGAACTTGCAGAGATTCGCAATGAAAAGCAAAACATCGTCGATAGAAGAAGAAGCACAGATGAAGAGCTGAAAGCCCTTAATAAGCAAGTGGCTGAAAAGGTATGGCGATCAAGTTGTAACAACGACTGTCGATTCACCCTTATTAATAATCTGCAATTCATAATCTGTGTGTATCGCTTACAAGTCTTAGCGACTGTAGTGCTAGAGGCCATGCTATCAAAAGAAAGCATTCTTACTAATTGTCTACAGTCTATTCGAGAAATCATCAAGCTGTATGTCAAATGGTAGCCAAAACGATAGCACAAGCCATAACGCAAGTAACCTACTCTACAGTATAATGGTAGTAGATTACTGCTGGACTGGTACTACCCTACCCCATAATATACTACTGTATTATACAAATCACCCAGTGGTCTTCTTATTTTACACCATTGTACAGTACTGTATGATACACCTAGAATTGTACAAACAACATGTTTGCATAACTTACTCTTAATTTAAGCCTAGTATCTATCCACAAGAAGAATTATTTTCAGGTACTTGATTGATCTATGCTTTCTTTTCCTTGACCTAGAATAATAATATTACAAGGCTGTTAGCCGGATTACATCATTACAAATCTCAAGAATCGATTGATGATGCTATCAAGTTAGTACTTTCTTTCTAGAATTTTAAAATGCTATGCCTAATCTTTGCAAATGGGCAACTTATGAATTTAACCTGTCTGCCTTGGGTTATACATTAAGAGCTATATTACATGATTTTTAATAGAATTTGTTGTTGATTTGCCCTTTTCAAGTACTTACTAGGATTTTGTAGCGTAACATGACACCTCACAATTATACAATACTACAGTACTAATCCATTAGTAAATACACATTAATCAAATTTTGAATATGAAAATAGTATCGGAGCGCGTATAATACGTAAAATATAGCATACATGACGACAACAATTATAACAGAACAATCAACGTTAGACATTTCTTTATAAACCGAAAAATAGAGTATAATCCTTCTTAACTTGATTCAGAAATCAAGCATTTTACACACTATGCTATCGGAACGACTAGTATCACTTTGTATTTCATTTTAACAATGTTCAAATTTATACAATACACTTGTAGACATTATACGAATAAATGTACATTAAGGGTTAGAGTTAGCCTAATTATTTTTCCTTGTAGGAAGCTTGAATTTCAATTGCAAGTACAGCGTCTATCATTGAAGGAAGAAAAGCATTTAGTAGCTACAATTGATGCGATGAAAAGATCCAAAAAGACTTTAAAGTAGGTTTTAATGTTCTGCTCATTTTTTACAATACATTGAGTTTCTATCACGGTGAACCTATCAGCTCTGCTCTCTTGAATTAGCATTGGATCATAGTTGATCTATGCCAATAAATATATATACATATATATATAGTCAGCCCATTCATTATACACTATATTTGCTACTGAACTTGCACCATCATTTTACAAGGTTGTAAGCGATTACTTACCACATTTTATAACCACTTGACAGGACTTATAATTTATCTCAGCAAGCACTTAATGAGGATCGAGATAAAGTGAAACAGATTAGGCAAGCTAAAGATGTAAGTAAAATCGAAACCATAACATTTTAATATCATTACAGTGATTGTTATTTAGTAAGGCAATGCTTCAGATAGATAGATAGATAGATTTAAACAAGAGTCACTACATACGAACTGTGATTTGTAAATATTTAGGTAGAACAGTGGTTACTCAATGTACATCGAACTAATGAGTTATTAACAAAATAATGACTCAATATTATCATTAAAAATCAGTAATTAAACATGGTATTGATCTAACTCAGGCGTGCAGTAAAGAAATCTCTGAGCTAAAAGCAAAAGAAGATAAAATAAAAGAGACAATCTCATCTTTAAAGATACAAAACGATGATGCGAGAATAAAAGCTCGTGAAAAGTATGCTGAAAAAGATAGCTTACGAAAAGGTACTCTTAAAAATTTGCTATTACATGATAGCTATATTTGACATCATTTACTAACAGTTGAAATAGCATTTACTACTTTTGGCTATAATGAATAAACGATTTGTACTTGTCATAAATTATCTATATTATTATTCCTCATCTAAAGATGGCTTATTCTTTCAGAAATTGATGACCTATATAATAAGAAACGAGAGTTAACCGCAAATTTTTACAAAGAACTCAATATGTACAATAAGCAATCTAGAGAAATGATGAAACGTAGTAAAGATGAACGAAGTAAAAGGAAAGAAGAAAGAGAACTTGCAAGACAACTAGCAATGTATGCACGGAATATAATTTGCTATATATTTAAATAGAAATGAATAACATCGATCAAATAGACACAAATATTATTTTTGCTTAAAGTATATTTTTAAGAGATAACCTCTTTGGTACATAAAGATGTGTAAATAATTTCTTTTCAGTAAGGAGTATGAAAATTCTCTTTTACCGTTCGAGAACGAAATCACGACATGTAGCTCCCTTATAACTTATTTACAAAGAACTGGTAGTTCGGTCGATGTACGCTCGCAAGATGATGTTAACGATGCTGCTGGTAAGACTATTTATCCGACTATTTTGTACTATATTACGGCTATCGAATAGAAATTTACAAAGTTGTTCAATAAATCGTTCCATGGCATGAATGAATTGACTTTTACTCATGCTACAGGACCAAAAGAAGATAAAATTAGTAATTCTGAATATCCAGATGGAGTCTTCATTAGCAAAAAATCTGATGATGATGAAGAATTTATGACTGTTACTAAGAAATCAAATAAAAAAAGGGCAAGAAAAAATCGAAAAGTAGCTAATACAAAAGTAAGTTGCAGTGATAGATGCAGCTATAGTATGGTACATAACGTAATAAAAAGGCAAGTTTGGGTAACGCATTATCTTTAATTTAAATGTACTGCACAGAGATTAAATCATCACACGGAAGTTTTTGAGCAATTTCTGTCTCTAAGCCTCCATGCACCTGCAACAACTGCAGAAATACCTCAATTAATGGAAACTTTGCAAGGAAAGCTAGTATGTCTATTTGTAAATAAATAATTTTCGAAACTACAGCAAATTAATAATAATTATAGCAGATGTTGGGTGTTTTATCTGTCTTAAGTATCTGACGTACCAATATTGCATGTTTTGTACTATAAGAAACATTATAAATCAGAACAAGACGCTGAAATTGCTAAAAGAGAAATCGCTAAAACTGAAGAAAATAATGAAAATGGCTACACCGACCATGATGATACGCCAATATCAGACACCATAGAGACTGATACGTTAAGTGTGGAGGCAGATCTAGATAATGAAGCCAATAAATCTGAAAACGAATTAAACACCGAAGATTAACGTTGCAGAATGCAACGAAATATCCTGTATATCGATTCTACACGCGTTTAGTGTCGTACTGTATTCTATATGATAACATTATAGTCGTCTTCATGTTACATATCCTCGCAATAATACTTAAAGTATATACAGTACGATACTCTCGGAAGCTTTTCGCGATGTCATAGACAATTAATCGCGTAACTGTTATTATAGATTTAAATGTATACCATTTTGTACATACAGTTGCATGGATCTAAAACTGGGTTCTATACTTTATTTACCCCTAAACTAATTAATTATGAAAAGACTTTCTCAAACTGTGATTATCGTAAATGTTCTAGCACTGCCCTGCATTTATAGAATTGTGATATAATAGAAAAGAATGAAAATTGTAAAAGAACTTGTATATCTACAAGAGATCTAGATTCTACATTCCGTCTTAAGGTACTGTATTTTTAAGGCTATTACTTTAGCTATTTTACTTTCTGTGAACGATTACATTTTCTATAGGATGCAGTATTACTGCCTTAACGAATTAATAAGACATAGTGGTCATAGACTTATATATACATACATGTCTGTATTTACATTATATCGTATTATAATTTCATTCATTTATATTTTTTGAAGTGTTTTGATAGCCTATTCGAGATTACTTATTTTAATGAATAAATATATTCAATAAACTAGCCTTAAGCTTTGACCTTTTTTAATAATATATCACATGCTGATATACCATATAGACACACAATTAATTTATCATATATATTTTATTAAAAGCACGGCGTTAAAACAGCAACGGTCAAATGTTAAATTTAATATATTATCCTCTATGAATGGCCCGAAAGTAGTGAACTAAATAACTTTTTTTGAAAATTCGCTTCAAAATAGTAGGATTGTTACATCTGTAGACCGCATTAGTAAGCACATACAAATTCTTGAAATCTGATCTACAGTTGAAATATTGGAGCTTTCTATTATAAGTTTATAAAGTCAATTTATGGATCAATTAACAACCAATACAATAAACAATTGGTAATTTACCAAGATCTTGACAACTTTCATACAGTATCAACTGAGTGTAACTTAATTCTAGAGTATACCTATTATTATTATATTACATCGCGGATACAAAGTTAACAGTCGAAAATGCAAATAATAAAACGCAATAAATTTCTGACATGTACGTTGTATACATATAACGTGAAAATACTTCATTCCTTTTCGAATGATACAACCTCTTATCCGTTAAAAACTACAATTAAAATATTTTACAATATTCAATAGAATCGTGACCCGATAGAAATAATCATTATCTATGAACGGATTTAACAGAAATAACTTTATCGCTTATTGATAGCTATATCACCGTAAATTTCTGATTGTTTAACATTTACAACACTCTGCTTTGCTAGTAATAACAGGGTATAAAATTTGACAGCAGCCTGCTTTTTGTTACTTTTCTTACAAATTTCAAAGAAAGTTGCTTTACGATTTTCGGCTTCAATTTTCGTTATGCTTTCCAGAAAGCGCTGTCTTCGCTGTTGCCACCTACGGTCATTATTGATATGTATAGTTGTTACTATAAAGCTTACACTGACTTACAGTACTAATACGACTTTTAGTAGTTTAATAATTTTGAAGGATAATCCAATCGCAGTGTTTAGATCTTATCAATATAGTGTTACTGTTACTATAATAAGCATGTTCTATTTAAGCAAAGCATTATTTAGTAATACAACAATAAACAACAAGTGTAATATCATATCACGTTGCGTTACCAATCTTATCGTACCATATGTAATAAAAGAGCACATGTCATTCGTAGGAATATGATCATACCTATGATTTTCAGTAAGTGCCGCGCCGTCTTGACTTGTAAACTCTGGCTCTAATGAGACATTGAGATCAACTTCAGGCATTTCATCAACTTTAGATTCCATCAGAGGCTCTTTGCTAACATCTTCTTCAGGTATGTACGCGTCACCTTCGTCGAAATTAAGTTGCTCATCGTTTATTGCAGTTTCATCATTTTCGTTAGCAGTCGGATCCAAAACTAATAAATAACAAAGGTTGTAGATATATATTACCTCAGCGTAGTGAGCATAAATCATCAGGAATATAAGCTATTTTATGCTATACTCAATTGCATTATTAACTGATAAATGGCTCAATTTCTAGTTTAAATTTTGAAGATTGACGGCATCTCCAGCGTAACAAAGCCCTAGCAAGTTACTACCGTAATTAAAAGCCATAAAGATATCAATTCTTACCAATCTTTTCATAGTCATCCTCCATTCTAGGAGATGGAATAGAAATGTCATGCTCACGTAACAACTCCCTATCATCTCCCATGTGATTCCTGGGATGTAAGGATAAATTCAGGGCGTAACATTCATGTATGGGGGATTGAAATAGACGTTTTATATCAAGGGTCCCTTTCCAAAGTAGTGCTTTCTTAGTAGCAGGCTCAATAGGATAGTTGTGGACAATATCTGAGGAATCCTTTAATTGATCTTCAAAAAATTTCTTTGATAGCTTCAGTTTAGTATCTACGATCAACTTTCTTTTTCGTCTAATACGATTATTAATTTTTTGTTGTGTCATATCCAAAGGTTCCAATACGAACTGGTCCTGATCATTTCGTATCAATGTTGTATCATCAGCAATACCAGTCTTGCCCATTTGATCGATGCTATTTAAGGTGATATCAACAGGAGTAACTAATGCATCTTTTTCTTCTTCTTCTAGTCGTTTCTCATCAATATCACCGAATGCATTATCATCATTATCAAACAAATTAGCAGCTTCTATATCCATACCAAAGCCTTCACCTTCCAAGAATTCATTGTCTAATCCAACACTATCCTTGCCGACTGATTTATCATCTAGTAAATGTTTACTTTGTAGGCTTCTGCTCTCATCTAATACGCCGACTGGTTGATTTTTGTCATACAATGAAGATTCCTCTTCAGCATGACGTAAAATTTCTCTCTCTTGTTCATCATCCATAGGCATTTCACCAAAGCCATCTTCACCAGCAAAGATTACTGAAGCTTGACCAAAATCATCTTTCATGGTGATTTCCTCGGCACGAGATTGATTAATGTTGGGTAATTGTATTTCTAAATCGAAGCTACAATGCAATTATAATAAGTAAAAGATGTCAACTCAGGCAAAGGCTTCCCTTGTAAGAATCATCGAACATAAGTGTGTGAAGGCGTAGAAATTTGTTGTTTCTAAACTATTACGAACTTAATCAACTAGGGAATAAACCATAATTAAAAATAATAATATAGGATCTCCCATCATTACATCTACAACTACAGACAGTGCGAGTTGCTCGTCATAATACACTGATACGAGGCATACACCTATATAAAATATATGCAACACCATAGTGTACAGTATATATACACACGATTAAGTACAAATTTCCAATAAAAAAGTTTCAATAAATTTGATTTTAATTTGTAAACCCCATGATACATGATTAGTAAAAAAAACAACTATACTGTATAATTTACGAGCAACTTACAATGACTAACAGTATCGAGCCGGAGTCTATTAAATATACGTAGTTTACTGAAATGTACACGGAGTAATAATTACTGTATGTAATTACTTTTATCCTACAGTTCAGTTACGTTTACTCGTGCGTGTCTAGTTTCTGAATTTCTTATTATCAGTCATTATACTATAATTATGAGCAGATCGACGGGTATACTGTATGCATTAAGTCCTCTTCTTATTGCAGCGATACATGACAGTTCTATGATATTATTAAAAGTAATTTGTATCTTCTTTAGGGTCTTATTTATTGGAAATGGCTAAAAATTGGCATAGTAGTGTAGTAATTGAAAATTTGCGACACAATAACTGGACTCTTAAAAAAGATTTTTCCATCTCTAGCCATGGATAGCATATCGATGAAAAGCACAAAGCACTACAGTAAAGTGTAAAATAGAGAGTAAGTTTAAAATTACGTCTGGAGTAATTATAGTATTTACAGTGTTAAATTGATTATAAATTAACACTATGTACACACAGTAAAGAGTGCACGAGCAAAGGAATTTCAAGTACGTTACTGCAATGGCAATATGATCCACGCATCACAGGTATGATTGGCATTTACAGTATTAAGTATCAATGATGACAATGTGGAAAATATTTCATCACTCAACGAGATCAATATCGCATTAATTAAAGTGCATCTACTTTGTACAACATTGAAATTCCTCGTCTAACAAACTCATTCATTGATACATGATTAATTAATCGATTCATATAAGTTAACATATCTAACTAATATTTACAATTTGTTTCCCTTGATTACAGAATACAGTAGTTATCCGCGTGAAAAGTTACAACAAGGCAATCTCGCTATTGGCCGTCAAAGACTGAAATCATAGCAATGGAAATATCTACAATAACGTCGACTAGTATCAAATCAATAGAAACCAAAGGTGAAACTATCGTACAGTAGATTGCTTCATGTTAGAAATTGAATTTAGTCAGTGAATTGAAATGGTGTGTCGAATAACACGACCATTTTATCTATCTATCTGTAATTCCTCCAGTACTGTATCAGTCGACATGGATTGATAAAAATGATGATGATGTCGTAAGTATGTTATCTAGTGGCAATTGTAGATTAAATTCGATTTATTTTCAAACTACAAAATGATTGAATATGGTAAGAATAGGGTGAGATTTTCTTCATACTGTATTGAGTATTTTCAACAGAAAATGGCAGTTGTAATGTGTAGTGGGGATATTTTCAACATTTGGAGAAAAGTTGACTGATTGCATCCATTTTTTTTTTTTAAATCGAGTCTAGCCTAATTTTAAGTTTATTCTTATCCGTTGTAGCTATTCGTGTTATCCGATTAAAGATGAACTGTTGTACCTTTGATTGCCATCTAAAAGGTTGAAATCATGGAAAACTTCAGGTAAGGTCACAGCGTTGGCAGCTGCTTCTTCACTATCCTTTGGTAAATCGACGTTAACACCTGGCCTAAAGGCCATTTTAATCTTGACAAATGCATCGCTACAATCGGTCAATAAGTACTTGGCTTTGCGTGAATAGATACGTACTACACCTAGCAAGAGATGACCACTTGTTCTGAGTGCCATCTTGACTTGAGGTGATTTAATACTATCTACAGATGATTTGACATCCGCTTCGTAAATTTGAGCTTTGGTTAACTTCTTATCCCAATGAGCAGCTAACCATACCTTGGCCAAAGGGCCTTTCTTAGATAAGATTAAATGAGCATAAAACATGATTTACAGTACTTTCCTCTCTATTCTCTTCAGTATATCGATACACTCGTCGATAGGAATCGTATAGATTCAATTAGAAACTACAAGACTTGATGTCTCCAATCGATATTGGCTTAAATCAATGCGATAATTTAGCTCCCCGACGTTTTGGATTTGCTTTTTGCGCCTTCTTCTCCTTCTCAGGCAAAACTTCCAACTGTGGCGTTTTCTTGCAAACGCCACAGGGTTGACAGGGGGTGACGCTCGAGCAACCAGCAGTCGTTCGACCTGGAGTACTGTCAGTCTGAAGCCTAGAGTCCACTGTAGCAGTTCATGATGTTGAAGGCATACTGTACAATTAACTGTACTGTAGGTGCTACAGTCTGTACACTCCACAAGTTGACCTTGTACTGTAGCCAACTTTGCCTTTGTTTAGTTCTTATTTCGTAGGTGCTATATAAAACAGAAATTCAACTACGCATTGGAAATGTTCAACTAATACACTATCGTTTGAATTACTTTTTACATGATTTGATCAATACTAGAGTATTTTGGAACGAAAAAGATCACGTTGTGGAAATACCGTTTCTTTCAAAGTACATTGTACTGTAATCAAGCGATCTACTACTGCTTTCCCGCTTCCAAATTTCCATACTATCACGTGATGACGCGCTTCCACTTGATAGTGAAAACAAGACAATGGGCATCTGCCTGAACCCATCTTGGTCGTCGCTGTCTAGCGTTCTAATACTGCTGTAGTCACTAGTTAGTCGAATAAGAAGTAGAAGCATGATCATCTTCTTCATCAGTGGATCCTAAACCTTATCCTACAGACGGTAAACCAACCAACCTAGCAGTTCATTTGGACAGCAATGGTGTACAGTGTGCACTTATGAACTTGCCGACATACTTTACTATATACGAGGCAGCAAGGACAGTAGTACATCCGTGTGTATCATCAATGTTGTCATTTTGAACACGGCTTTTGCGCCAAAGTTACCATTATCATCACCGGTGAGTGGAATAATAATCTCACTGGTATACTCTACAGTACATACTGTAGAGTGTGTACTAACTAGACAGTACTAGAAATGTTTATGGTCTGGTGACTCTGGTCTAATGCCTGGATAGACGATAGTTAGTGGCCTTTTATTAATAATAATAAATAAACTTTCCGACATGAAACACTACCGTAAAGGCAAATTTAAAACTTCAAGCTATTGTCCGTCTGTCTCCCCATCATGCTGTTTGCTTTCGATCTTTTTGCTTTACAGGATATACAGTACAATACAGACCGGTATTACGACGTGACTTGTAAAATGGCTGGAGCGACCGAATATGCAACAGCGACTTATCGTTTGTATTAGAAACTTGAAAGAAACACAATTATGCAATACTGCGATAAAAAGTAATCAAAATATCAAGAGCCAATGGCTCAAAGTTGTATTGATCTATCTGCTTGGAATTAGAGCCAAATTTAAACTACATTTCTTCACAATTCAAAGACATACTGTACAGTACAGTACAGTACTGTGCTGTATAGTGTACAATCTAAAGGGTCTCGACTGTACAGTGTACACTATACGCCGTACAGTACTGTATAATAGAGATGAACATCTTTTAGAGGGCTTGCCACGCCCCTGTAAGAGTGGTCTATCACAGTACTACAGTATAGAAGACCACTATTCCAGGGGCGTGGCGTGAACTGGACTTAAAATCGTAAGGAAATGGATAATGAATTACCTTGAATTTTCTCCGAAACGAGATTAATGGAGGGGGTAATCAGAATATTTTACTGCATTGCCACACTTTGCAGTGTACCCTTTTATTGCTTACAGTATATTAATTATGGGCAGTTTTTGTTCTCTATCTTATTCTTTTCTCAGACACATTAAATTCTTGGACGATTATACTTACTGTATGAATACGACAATAGAAACAACCATTCAAGTTGCTCAAGAATAAACAGGAGTGCCATTACTTTTGAATCGAGTAGCTCAATCTGGATACGTACTAAGAGAAGAAGAGCGATTGGATCGATGTAATCAGCTACTCTATATTATTCCTACATACTCTTATTATAGTCGTTACGTTACATTGTACCAGTATATTTGGTTAGTGTCCAATAAATAACCGATTCGTGCTTGCGCTGCGGCAGTACTGTATGATCGAACCCCTTTAATTAAGCTGATCTAATTGTACAGTATTCTTCATTTCGCCCTTTCTATCCTGTGCGTTTGTGGGGCCAGTTTCTCCTATTGCTGTGAAACCTGTGCTTCAACATAGACTACTAAAAGTGAGATTATTCGTAAAAGTCCATCATTTTACTGTACCGTCCGGGTCAATGCTACAAAATTATATAAAAGTTAAAGTGGTCACTACGTGGTTATTGCATCCGTATAATCCGATCTGCTTTGAACCTGTCAGTGTAACCAATACAAGTACTCTTTTTATAATGTTGGCTATTGACGAGTATATCTGCAACAGACAAGAATTTTTCATAGATATACCGTAATATCAAAAGAGCAAAGAGTAACCCCTCCATGTACATTCATTACCAGCTATCTTCAAGTATCTACGCTGTGATAATATGTTCACGTGCTGCAATAATATACATCTATAATTTATGATTACAAACGTTTAATTGCGCGTAATCCACCAAGCTGCAAGCTTCCCAAGTAAGTACTGTATAACTGTTTTACTAAGGAAGAAGATCCTCGTCTATTTTATTGCATTATAGCAACTTGAACTGCGAAAACATAAATCTTCTGAGAGCCTTGCATAGTAGATAGAAACTCAAAATCGCAAATTATGAACGCACAAAAAGCCCATCCTTCTCATCTACAGGACAGTATATTCAATGACCCATTGTATATTATTACAATTTTCAAATTGTTTTGTTGAACGACAATAGTCACACTTTGTAGGCGTACAGCATTGATCGTATTCACTATTAGCTTTATTATTCTTCCCTACGGTAGTAGCGAAGAACTTCGTCCTATTTCGCCTACAAATGCTTTACAAGCTATTTCTACGGATCAAAATTGATTAATATCCTTTTATCGTAATATTAGTACAATTCATTTCGATTTCTTGATTCAACGGTAGTAACAGTTTCATAATTTATAAATTAATCATGTTTTGGAAGACCGTATCTACCACTCTTCTGCCAACGATGATCAATATTGATACACCACTACAACAGCGTATAGGATTTAGCATGATCAACAACAATTCAATTAAAAATATTGGACTACATCAACTTGCATAAATAACACGTTTTAATCTGTTACAATATATTTTGAGTCATAGATTAGCCCCCCCCCCCAAAAAAAAGGCTATAGTCAGTTACTGACTATTTCTTCATCAATAATTTGACGTCTTTATAACATAGAACTGATCTATTTATGACCGTTGTCACCGATTTCCTTAAATACATAACTCACATACTCGTATACTGTATATATACGTACATACAAACTACTGCTAGATAAATTGAAGCTTTCAAAAAGGAATTATATTGCTCGTCTTACATTAGGTACTCTACTACAATCCAAGAAAGTGAATTTATGTGAACTAGACACAGAAAAGTCTCATTCTATGACATTGATGATGAAAATTAATTAATTATATTACTTTTTTAACAACACTACACTTATTCTCGTATATTAGCATATTCTGTGTACAATTTATTTACTAATTCTGGCATTCATTGATGATATCATGTGACAATATTATTTGCCAATTATGCCTATTCCATTATCGTCATCTGAACAGATCCTATTTTAGAATATTGGTCGGTTAGAATGAAGCCTAGGGAAAAATAATAAAAACATATATTGTCCCAACTCACCGAATTAATACCCACGTTATGTGCTATACCGTCATCTTTGCATACTATTCAATCAACCTTTGTTATACCTTCTCGTATGCGGTAACATTCGCTTTTTCTTCGTATCTATTTACTAGTCAACTGTTACTAAGCTGAAAATAAGAATAAATTTATCTACACTTATTCCATGCAGCAGGGCTGTCTTATCTTTCTATCTATGCTAAATTCATTTTAAAGATCAATTTTCTCACTATACACATATAGCGATACATTTTTACCCCATGTTCTGCTCTCGCAGCACTAAAGAATAAAGCATATTCATCAATCTACACAATTTCGGTTTTATCATCTTTCGTGTGAAACTATTCTTACTATGTTTATTTCATCAATGTGCCTCTTGTTAATATAATAAATCAATTTTAAAGATTAATTTTCACGCTATACTCGTATAGTGATGTATTTTACGCCACACTCTATTCTCATAACGCTTAAGAACGAAGCATGTTCACCAATCTACACAATTTCAGCTTTATTATCTTTCGTGTGAAACTATTCTTACTATATTTCGCCATCAATGTACTTCCTATTAGTGTGGTAAATCAATTTTAAAGATCACTTTCTCACTATACTCGTATAGTAATGCCATGCCCGATTATCACAGCGCTAAGGAACGTAGCACGTTCATCAATCTACACAATTTCGATTTTCCTATCTTTCATGTGAAACTATTCTTACTATGTTTAGTCATCAATGTACTTCCTATTGCAATCTGTATTATAAAAATATTTCTGATACTCAATATAACCCTACCTAAACTATCGTTGTTAGACAGAAAAAAGAGATCAATAAACTAAAATTCACCTAATCAGTAATGTTTACCAGCTGTATTTTTGTTATTAAACAACTCCAATAACATGACATGTTTCATCATTAACCTTGCCTTGCTCTACTACGATACATACGAAAGCACTTCCAATGTTGAAATTTATCCCTAATTAACAAAGTATCGTTACTGGATGCGATCGGGGATGAATAAAGTAATTTAAATTGCTCATATTATACGGCAAATCTTCTAACTTAAATATTAAAGGCTTTTAAGCGTTTTAACGTAACGTTGGATTATTCATCACTGGATACACTTAAGTCAAGCCCACTGTATCTATAGATTCTACGCTATCATCTACTTCAACATATTTTTTAAGAGTTTCATCATTATCAATACCTTAACTATCCGATAAAGATATTTCTGATCTTTAAATATCAAAAATTTATATACAATCATTACTGGAGAAATGATGAATCAGTTGATTGTAGATAATTTATACTATGTCCAAGCAATAATACATCGTACTATGTTTCATCATTCATCTACTATATTCCCTATCTCATCCCTTATGTACAGTAGGTAATAAAGATTGCTCTAGCGTATCCAAGTAAACCCAGAGTACTATCCTTACTGAAGCAATGGCGATGAATAAATTATGAATATACATAATCGATTAACAATTTGTTAAAAAGTATACCGATCATACTAGTAGCACAATGAGATAATTAGATTGGATAAATAACAATACAAAATTCTATTGCTTAAGCGCAATAAATTTTGTATTGTCTCATGTGTATATTATTATTATTATCCAGCCCATTTAAGTAATTTCAATCTTGAGCTCAATGTCTCGGCCTGATTACCATAGTATTTGATAAGTTAAATTTCTCCATTGGCCCAATTCTATACTCAACATACAGTAGTATTTGTATTTTATAACAAAGAGTTAATGTCGTCATGATACTATTCTATGAATAGAACTTAAAGGAAAAACTTCATTTTAATGTCTCGAACTTAATCAGTTATTCCTAGCTATTGGCTAGTTGATTCTCTTGGATACTGTTAGAGGTATACAGTATAACATACAGCACAGAAAAAATAACACGCATAGATTAGAATAAAATACAGACCTTTAAAATATCGCCCAATTACTTCCGATTAATAATACAATTTCAACAACGTCGCATTGGACATTATTGGCAAAGAGAGTTCATCAATTTCAAGCAGTTCAACCTATAACCACGATATTGTCCCTAATTTTTAATTCGCTTCCTTCTCCTATATTTTTAGATAACATCCCACTACTATTGACGGCTAGTTTTTCTTTATTCCATTTTTTGTTGTTGGCCTCAACCTATTGGTCGTTACTCCATAAATCCGTTTTCAATAAACTCAACTAAAACCGTTATAACTTATATAAGATAGATATTTTGGGGGATATAAGAAATAACAACATCCATTTTATAGAAACTGACTATCGTAAATTGGTATGGGAGAACTTGACATATTTTAAAAAGGTAAGTTGAAAAATATATGTTAAAATAAATAACCACATCAATGTCATAAAATTCTCAAGGAAATGAATAGATAGCCTCTAAGATCATATCTTGGGTTTCAAGTAAAAATCTAAGATAGATATTATTATCACAGCCATCACGTACCATTCGTAAAAATTCCAGATACATATATTAAGTTAGTAAAAGTAATAACCAACATTTTAGAAAAATGATAAGTAGAAAATTATAATGTACAACTTCTTTCTATGATATGTTAGTAACTTTAAAATATTTTTTGTATCGATGTGTGTAACTTATACCACAATATAGGAAAGTATTGTATTCCAAAACTGATAATTTCTCTTTCTTACTGTAATTTCTTCTAGTAATTAATTTGTTAATAGGTTGATAGCCTAGACTCAATTTTCTTCTATAACTTGATTGTTTCATTTTTTCGTCTTACTATCTCTCTTCTTCTATCATCCTCTGTCTTAAGGTTCAAATTGCATTCATTGAGACGATTGACCTTAGACACCAAGTCTACTTTATTATCCAAGTCTAATTTTTTTTCTACACAAAATTAACGTGCTATGTTCAATTCAATCAGCGTTAACATCTACTATTTTTTTGAGTAGTCTTGATTCTTATGCCTTATAATTTATGTCGTCTAACATTATTAGCGTTGCTTAACAACTTGATTTTGTTAACCTAGTAACAAGGAGATATTTTTATATTTCTCAGGACTAATAAACTGTCTTCAACCATCATCTTCAACAACAATAAAAAAAAATAGCTAAATTGAAATAGCAGGACCAAAATAAATAATACTAATTACAACAACAAGATCATTACCTTTAACGATTGTGGTCGTCTACCAATCAAGACATCATCAGGAAAGAAAAAATTAGAAACTACATTCCCAACATTAATAAAACGATTCATTATTTCCAGAGTCAAGGACAAATTTTTAAGAATTTTATATTAACTGACTGCCTAACGACGTAATCCACCATGAGTACTCCAATCAAGCCAATGCACACCGATTTAAGTTATAATGAAACTGAATTAACAACTTCCAATGTTCAAGTCGACGTTAAAAATTCATCCAGTAATAATAGCAGTCATGTCGTCGGTATTGCTAGAAAATCAACCGACTTTGACACAGCTACTAATCAACACAATAATCATACACTCAATACCCAATTAACTAAACGGAATTATCGCCATCGTTTTATAGGCTGCAGTATTCCTAACTTGTTAAACTTACGCTTTGAATCCAAGTTATTAGAAAGTATTTATCAACGTTATTTTTCACGTCAAAAGATGCAATCGTTAGAAATCCTAATGGCACTAACATTTTTAGTCAATGTTGGCCTATTTATATTATATGTTGTCTATGCAGTTAATAGTACAACTGAACGATTAAAAAATATACGAGCAAATCAACTAGCTATTACTGGTAGTTTCGCTTTGTGCAATGTTATTACACTAATACTAATGAAAAGTAAAGTCTTAAATAACACTATTTTATCATTTATACCCCATTTACTTTGGGCATTAATATTCGGTCAATTATTTGCCAACTTATATGCAAGTAATATCCCCATCTCTCCGTCTGATTACATTGGATTTCAAATATTTTTTACCTTTACTCTTTATACCATGTTACCATTGCGATTAAGTTGGTGCATCATTTTGAATGCGGCAACAGCTATTAGCCATATCTTGATCTTGGCTCTATCATCACGAATCAATTTAACCGATATGGGCTCACAGGTAAGCGAAAAAATAAAAGTGTATGATAAAGTTTTGTATTATAGAAGTCGTTACTTTGCAATACCTGCACTGACAGTAGATAGGATGGAAACTATCTTGAACTGTCTAAGGTTTTTCTTTCAATATAATCTATATCATGATCGTCAGTATAGCCATTCAATATCACCAAGATTGCATTTACTGTCTATCGCTTTTTCAACCGTATATACGTCTAGCGAATAAGATTAACATTGGGAAACATTAGGAAAGTATTTTTTATTTTGCTTACTTGTTTCCAATCTTACTTTAATCATTTCCATTCCTTCTCAAATACAACAAAAATAAGATTTTCTAAGTCGGTGAAAATTAGTCACTCATTTATCGTATAGCTATCGAGTGGGACGATATGCGTCTATTATCCGTATAATCTGACAATTTTTCTTTTTCTTTCCGTAATATTGCACTCTAATATCATTTATTTTTTTCCCTTCTATCCTAATTTTTCCATCATCCATTTTACTGTCTTGACAGTCTATTTCTTTTTTAATCTATGAAAGATCTTGAATAATAAGTAGAGAAATATCACCGTATCAATGGCTGAAACGTTTAATATAGAAAGAATTTTTAATGTCTAGAATTAATAACAGGCTAATCTTTTCAGTCTAAAATTTAAAATAGACTTCTATTCTCGTCTGTATGAATAAAGTATAATGTAATAATAGATTATAGCGCCAGAATCAAGTTCAGTATGTTATTCTATCACTTGAAGACTATTAAAAGAATCAAAAGAGTTATTATCGATAGAAACTGAATTAATACAATAATTTAAATACGTGATAAATTCACAGTTGATTTAAAGAACAATTTTAAAATGATTACTGAGATATTATTAGTGTTAAACGAAAAATTTACTATTGACAAGAAAATATCTGTGATCTGTGACATGGAAGTAGAGAACAGATAGAATGCATCATACGTTAGTCAGCATGTATTTTTATCAAATTTCATATCCTAAACTACTGCAATGACTATGCTACTGTATCCTCGGCTATATATCAATCTAATATCATTGATCTAAGACGCACTTAACGAGATATTATCCATAATTCTATTTTACAACAGATCAAACTATCATCAAGTATTCATAGCAGAACGAAATAAGATGCTAGTACACTATTTTCGACTATCATACCATATTGATCATCATTTTTATATTTACAAATAAAAATATCGCAACTACAACAGATCATAAAATATTCAGTAATTCTTATACGTATAATAGGACGACAGTATGATGATACTGCATTAATTTTCAAGTTCATCCTAAGGGTCATAATTACTTTCGAAACGGAAGTAACTTATATATAATTCAGAGTCATTTTTGTCATGGAAATAAGGCGCAAAATTATGAACATCATAGTATTTCAGAACGGAGTCAATTAAACAGCCAATAGAACACGTTGGAATAGATATATCGTTTACTCTCATTATAGTCTAATAAATGCTTAAAAACTGTACTACTGTATAGAGCAACAACAACATAATGATATTCTTTAGATAGGCTAAAATGAATTCTGTAAGTACTATCCACACCTACAAGTTACAATAGACGATGTGCCATTTACATCAGGGTAAAATGGGATACTTCGTAATAACGCATTGTTTATTCATAATCGATTAATCTTCTTATAATTCGAAATAAATGCATGTAAGTAAAGCAGTATATTTATACGTTGTATAATATACTCATATAGTATCCATAATTTGAGGGAAATATTGCAAATTATCATTAAATGGCACCATAAATCATAGCCATCCATATTTCGAAATTGAAATACATACCGTACTGTAGTCAATGAAGTGCTACTCAAACAGGGCGAAAATTGGATACTATTAGAGTATCCTATTTATCTATGGTATCTATATCTAGCTACACGAAAATACGAGTACTACACATACTGTTATAAATTATTCAATACTCATGGTATGTGTATATAAGTTGCTATTAAATTGCTTAATCCATTATAGCGATCCATCTTATATCTATATCGAAATATAATGTATATAACCATAATAAGTCACATAATATTTAAATAGAGCCAACGAATATGTTAACTTAACATTCTTTATTAGTTATATGATGACTAGCAAAGTGGATATTAGTGCGTTATATTTTAATGGAGAGGGGCATCAAATCACAGTTACATTGAATCGTAGAAGTAATATGCGCTAACCCTACGCTATGTAAGAGTTTAGTAGCTACGACGACGTAGTTCAACTATAATCAGAATTGGGCAAATGAGGATGATGACTCACCATTTCTAATTGATCACACCAGTCATTTATCTAAGTGAAAAAAGAAGATTATAACCCAGTGCATTCAGGATGGGACAAATAAAAGATGGCGAAAAACTATTCTTGAATTATTCACTTCAGTCTTTCTTTGTTTCGAAACAGTAATGCACAGTACCGCGATAGACTATGTAGGATTTAAATTGACGCGATTAGACTGATTCCTACAATGTTAATTTGATACTGTCTGTCATTTAAACCTCTATCATGTTACTAAGAAACTAGAAATGCCATATTTTAGAGTGAACCAACAGTAAAATTGATCTTTACATTGGAAAGAATATTATTAAATACAAAGTAAAAATTCTACTTACTGATATCCTATTTTCTATTTGTATTAATTTGTTATTAGTAAAGCTAATTTAGAATGATGATATTATGCATAAATAAAGAAAATCTGCCTAAGGAACGGGCGCAATTAATAGGAGGGAGGACGATTTCGCTCCTTCATAATAAACACTTTTAATTGTGTCAATTTACTACAAACACCAATAACAATTTAACTGATTTAAAGATCATGTTTGCCATTTCTGTCAATTTTACATAAAACTATTAGTGTCATTTTATACGTTAATAATATTGGCGAAGAGAATAACCTACGTGTACATTCAGGAAGGAACTATCAATCGAAAATAACGATTAAATTCGTTTATAATTATATCTTTCGATTTCTATCAATTTATGTAGTGTATAACTTAGTGCTGCTATGTGTTATAACATTGATAGTATCAAAAATGGTATCAAATTATATTACTGACATTGGCTGTAACATTTTTTAATACTACATTAGAATATTAATGATACTAGCATAAGCTAAATTCCTAATACTTATAATGACTAAGCCATATACAATCAGTAACTGCATCGCTCCTTACATAAAAATAGAAAATAATTAATTTTTACCTCATTTTCATAAGGCGAAGTAGATCGTTAACAAATTTGATGGCATAACTATTATAGATTAGAAGAAAATTGACTATTTAATAAGAAAATACATCAATAGAGAATTATAACCAACTAGCAAGATAATCATTCATTCTAAAGGTAGCTGCGATTAGTTTTAAGAGGAAAGATCATTTTTATTAAGTTTACTTGAGATAGATTTTTATACCAAAACTGAATATCCTATAAGAAAAAATGATGACTGTAACTATATTAATATATAGATTATTTTAATGTATTCTATGCGTTACCGTTACATAGGTAGTCGATACATTAATAAATTAATTGCATGTTCTATTCTGATCAACGGCCAGTCAAAGATCTATTGCTGGTAACTCGATAGAAAGATTGAAAGTGTCTTTTTTCAGATACATCCTTAAGAGTTATGTGGATGATATTGCTAATAGTTGAGATTAAGTAGTAACACAGTACCATATGATCTATGATAAAATTCTATTTACTAATATTCTATCTAAGAAGTAGCAGATATAGCTTACGTGTATTCTATCCGCCCAACAGAAAAGTCTACAAGGAAGTTAAAGAATACATTACGGTATTATCTTTAGGAATATACTAAAGATATAGATACAAAAACAGTGTAAAAGTTCGAATGTATACCATGGACCGAAAAAATATTCTTACAACTTCAGCTAATATCTATTTAGTATCTTAACTTGTAATGGAATCCTTATAGATGTCTAGTCATTACTAATAACTGATTTTGAAATTATTTCATGAATAAAGTATTCTGTAAAGAATTAGTTTAATTCTTTTCTATGCTATTTACAACAATGATATACTAATTTATGAGAGTAATATTAAACGGATAACAGTAGCTCAGCAAAATTTTCTCTAAACTTCTAAAAGCTTATCAGTCAGAATAGGAATAATATGCTATCAAGCCTCATCATTAATTCCACTCTATTTACCCTTTGCAATTTCCACTATCAATTTTGTTATACTTAGTATCAATTCTCAGTCTATATCACATTAGCTTTCTTATTCTAATACCTTATTAAAATGTCTACAAAACCAGATTTAATACTTGACATTGTTACATTATTAAGGCAGTCAAATTCTATTTTATTTATCCTTTATAATTTCCATTATCAATTTTGGATGCTAGTAGTAATTTCCAGTCCATACAGCTTTATTTTTCTTATTCTAATACCCGATAAAAAAAACCATAAAACCAAATTTAATACTTGACATCCTCATATAATCAACGTAATCAGTAGTACCTAGACTAAGTATCGATAATATTAAACTAACGGAGTAATGAGAAAAATCGTATCAGTCAATTATTTAATTATATAGTTTAATATCGAAAACTGTTATTCTATTAAATAATATCGAATTAACTTAATGATGGGGAAATCATTTCAATTTCATTTTTTCTTTCCTAATTTAATGTCCGTCTTGGGTAGCAAAATGATTAACAATATCAAATGCCCTAATGGATTATGTAATTGATTAACCTTGCCCAATAAATGGTTAAGTTCCTCTTAAGATAGTTCTACTCAATAGCTAACTGAACTCATACGTTGGCCAATCTCCTTCCGCTTCATAATTGGGAATACACGCTAAATGGTCCTTTGATTAACATATAAAGATTACAGAAGAGGAAATTAATATAAAGAATATATAAATGGAAAGTATCATTAGTGATTACTGCCGTTTCATTATAAAGTATAATAGCATCATTCCATAATACTCATCAGTTGTAATAATGAAAGGCTTCTTCATCAATAAAAATGTCTACAGTATTGATAATGCGCTCACTATATTATGATCACTCAAGCAGATTTTAAAATTGTTTTTAAACCGCTAAAGTCACAGTTTCCATCTCACGATAACTAATTAAATTAAATTAGAACAGGTATGGTATGATAAATGTCTGTATATGATTAGCTATACTAGAGTACTGTCCTGGTTGTTTCCTACCTAACGTTAAAAGTGAAGAATAAGTAATTTAATATAAGTAATGGAGGCTAACTGAAAAAAAAGCATCTTTCTTCTTTTCTTGCTACTGATCTTGGACCTGGATTAAAGAAACAACGAATTCTTTCTTTGCTATTTTCGACCTAATTTATAATTTTTTAATAATATAATTGGTTAATGCCCTACGAGACATTAGATACCTTCTTTAACTTTTAACTACCCTTCTAATTTTAGTTTCTCCTGCAGCTGTATTAGAATTTCAATTTCTATACAGAAACGAATCAGACTCATCGATATGATGATCTTTATTAATTTAAACTAATAATTCTTCCTTTCCTTAAGTATCCATTTTAATGGTGGCTTCTTGGTTTTTGGATAAAGTAATTCATCGTCATGATTGCCATTGACCAGTTGACCACATAGTATTTTCATATATTGAACAAGCCTGTCCGGAGTAATCAATCTTTTTGTAGATACAGACTTAGAAAGATAAGTTTTAGCTTTGTTAGTGATAGAAAGACTTATCATTTGCCTACTAGCAGCACCAAGAGAAACTAAACCGTGATTCTGTCATTATTTCCATCCTAACTTTTCTATGCAATTTTCAATTAAAAATTGGATGACAGTCATTAGTTCATAGCCTTACTCTACAAATAGTGCAATATTCACCACGTTAATGATAGAAAACATGATTGCCATGTTTGAAATTATCTCTTTCCCTTTACTCTCTCAGAAAACCAGCTACTGTGATCATTTCTGCTGTGATCCTCAATAATAATTTATTATCATTGATCATTTCATTAACTACAACTTACTTCTATTTTACAAGTGAGAACCAATGATGACCGTGCAGAAAAAATTCAAAAGCGACAAACTCTCTACGTTTATTTAAATGTATATTCTGATATTTAGTGCCGTATATTTCTCATTCATGTTGGCATTTGTAATTTTTCCTTCATTCACCCTTCCAATGAGTAGAATATCCAAAATTGAAACAAGATGGAAAGAATCTAAAAGCAAAAACCAACCGAGATTGCTTTATTAAGCATTTTAAATATGACGTCAGCTGTGTTTTAATGCGATATGTTAATTTACTTTTAATTATTTCATGAATAGGCTTTTTTCTTAAATTATATAAAATAGAGTGGGATTGACAATACTGTAGAGAGTTCAAAAATTCGAGGATGACCAAGAATCCGATATAAATGCTATCGATTAACGTAATTCAATATGAGCAATTAAACTTCTTCTTCTATTCACTAGTACATTATACTAGCAGTATAAACTCTACAGCAAATTCTAAATTCTATAGTAATTTCTGATTGAAAATAATTCGAATTAATGTGGCATTTAATGTTAATGTCTCCATTAAATTATGGCTAAAGCTGACATACGCGTATCTATATTGTAACTACAGAGTAGTGGAGTCAATACAAAATAACACTGGCCACGATGAAGATCTTGGTTTCTTCTATAATACTAAATAGGTTTTCATTCATGGTTATCACGTATAATACTCCTCATCTATTAATTATTAGCTTGTTAGAATGATCAAATGTTAATACGACACAATTTTATTTTATTAATGATACTTAAAATCATACTCTTCATTCCCTTAAATTGATTTCCATAGAACATTGCTTAATAGAATGATTCAAAGCTACTAAAATTTTAATTTAATACTTGCCTTGAATGTTTTCCGGCCCCGTCGGCTTATTTAGTCGATTTTGCCATGATTAAAATCTGATATTGGCTAAAATTTAAGTTGTTATTTCTAATCAATGCGCAAACTATACATAGATACGGCGAGTATAAAATATCATTACAGTCTTACCACATTTTCTACTTTAAAAAATGATTCGTTTATTCTATTTTCCAGCTGATTTTGATGTAAACCAAATTAGACATGAATGAAGAATATCAATTATTAAAATACTTTTGAGTAAATTATTAACATAAGCTTAATTTGCCTGCTATTTGATAGCTTATCATGGAGATAAGTACAATTCCGATTTCAACCCTGCTTCAATTTTTACTGCAATACCAACTCTAAATATCTTACTCACAGATAGTCAATTTCATTATTTACAGCAATCTCTTTTTTTCTATTCCTCCATCATTAGCTCGATAGAAAAAGTAAAGATATGCGCTGATATAATCTTACTACAATTACTCCATTTAAAATAATTTCTTCATTCTCAATCAATTTCGGCATGGATTACATTTGTTTTCGATAAGTTAAAATATACAGGCGCAAGTCATTTATTTATGTTATTCATAGTATGTTATTTTTCAATATTAACTTGACTGGGGAAAAAAATTGAAAACTATTTCAATGTATCTTTTAATAGTCTTATCTTTTCCTTCCTCTTATCTAACCTATTTAATTTACTGATTTAAACAATGAGATATGAAACGGTGATGTTTCAAACGTAAACTCTATTCTATAATATTAATTTAGCAAATTTTATCAAATATATTAAGCAAATAGAACTGACTGCAATGACTTAATGCTGTTACTTTGTTTATCTTTCCTTGATCAACCACTAAATGGTTGAAGTTTATATCCAAGGTATCCAATTTATTTCCTTTGTGTTACAATTTAGAACTGGTGGAGTGCAATTTAATAAGTAATTCGGGTACCTCTTTATTCTTTCTAGCATATGTTGAGATTTCACAGTTTTGACATCATTTTATAGTTCAAGATTGTCACTTTGATGATAAAAATTAATTCAATACATACCACAAAATGATAAATTAGTTCGCTATAATCTTGATATCGAAGTAACATAAGAGTATGTAAAGCCATTTGGACTGACTGTGTTCTCTGAGTCAATTTATATTATGAATTTCTTAGCTATAATTTAGAGAATAGGATTGAGTCGGGCACCTTAAGGGTATTATGAAGAAATGAGAGTATCTAGGACCATTATAATAGATTACAAATTATGTAGAAACTTAAAATTTAAGCATTATGATAATATTAGAGCAAATAAATATTAAGATAGGGCACAAATTGGGAATCAATCTTCACTTAAACATGACGATAATATAAAACATTTTGCGTGGTTAAAATAGATTGCCAACTCTGGATAAATCTACTAGCTAAACAATATAACGGTATAAATATATTAGAGTGTTATGATAGGCTCTAAACTTTGAATAAATCTGATCTAAACACTAACTTGTGGCATTTTTTCTCGTATTAATATATACTAGATTCGACTTCTTTCATTATTATGATTGGATTTTAATTGTGATATATTTTAATTTAATGAAAGTCATAGCTTAGCCTATTATTGAAGATACTGTTACAACTTTACAATGGAGTAAATTTTCGATCAATGTTTTGCGCATACGTATGTATACCAATAATGTTAGTATTTATGCACTAATCTGAAAACGCTTTTAAGATGTTATCAATACTTATTTTGACATACTGAATACTTAGTAAAAGCATTTAAATCCAACCAACAAGTTACAATTTACTGATAGGCAAACAAGGTCTAACTGTGATGTAATACTATGATGAGACTGTTCATAAATTTTCCGATTATGTCAAACAATCGTTTTAACTTACATTATCGACTACTTGTTATGATCGATTCTGCTAATATCGATTTGTTTATGTTTTTTATTGCGTCTGTTTTAATTTGCTAAGGTTATAATCAACTAGAATATTGTCTTTTACAGTTATTAACGCAGTAAATTTTGATACTATTATCAATTTAGCTGACCTAATATCAATTTTTCGTACCATTTAATAACACATTTCATCCATCCATACGTATAGCATTTATAATGAAAACAGTAACTAATAGAACCGTAACCAACGAGTGACTTATAGAATACCATGACATTGGTGATTGGCCATTAATAATTTGGATTTACTTATTAATTCAATTTAGTATATATCAATTAGAAACAGTATTTTCATATGGTTTAGTCTTTCAGCAATGCTTTTGCTAGGTAAATTAACGTCACATGGAAAGTCAATTTAATTTTCCAGATGCCGAATTTAGAAATCAATTATTCTATTTTACATTAGTCATTATTGACTACTAAGTATCATAATATCCGACATCAATTTGTTTCAGTAAATTTCAGTTAATTGGTATACTTTCATTTTTTCCTTTCATAAATGTCATCTTTAAGTAGATTATTAATTCGTATAGTTTTAATTTACAGCAGTCACCATCTTTATCACTATCAATGACCACATCAGATAAAGTAACATTAGTCATGATTGGATAGTGTCAGCTTATTCATATTCCGTCCTATATATTTGCATAACCTTTTACTAGAAAACAATCATTCTATTCAGCTCATTTTGATCAACGTTATTGACCGTAAAGTTACACTAGTCCAAATAGGTTAGTGTTAACTTGTTCATATTCTGTTTCATATCTTTGCATGACATTTCACTAGAAAACAACCATTCTATATAGTTTATTTTGATCATCATCATCCACTATGAAGTAACGCAATATCTATCCTCAATTTAATTTAACAAATATCAATTAACTTATTTAGTTCTTACATTCTATTTACACGGAATTCCTACATTGAAGTAGAATTCTGCTTGGTATTATTTATTATTATCGATTACACTAACAGAAATAACGTCATAGCTATCATTCAATTTAGCAAATATCAATTGGAAAACAATGATTGTCTATAGTTTTGCTCGAATTTTCACCTTTCTAAACTAATATCATAGTCTTTGTCAATCCCTTTATCGTCCATTTTGTTTTCCACGTTCTCTCCATTTTTAATTATTAAGAAATATTCCATTGAGTCTAGTAATGATATCGATTAATTGTATTAATTTTATTTGTTTTATTCTTGTTAACTGCTGCTGCTACTTTGACATAATAACCGATACTGCAATCATCATTGAGAAAGATTTTTAATCCATACCTAACTTCTTTCTAATTTGATGCAACATTTAATAATCGGAGAACCGATCTAATTCTCTTCATTAATAATTGTAACTTGTTTAGCTTACGGCCAACATCGTCCTCATCATCGGATCCAATGTCATTGGCCTCATTATCTTTAGTGTATCAGATCAGAAACAACGTCTTGCCTTCTTAGATACACGAATGTCTATGGAAGCTAAAGTTAAAATGGAAGCACAGTCAAAACAGCAGGTGTGTTGTAATCTTTTTTATTTTAATAGATGAAATGTTTCTTTGAACAATAAAAATTGACGTATCGAATTGTATCTAAACATTTTCAATTGTTGAATGATAGTATTGATATTGGAGAATATTGTTTCTAATTGAATGATATAATCAATTCAATGTATAAGTAATTAAGTCGAGATAGAATTAATTAATATTATTGTAGTGTCAGCAATAATACTATTTTAAAGCTGTAATTAAGACTTGTTTACAGAATTACTATAATTTGATGTCTATTGATGAAAACTCTCTTCTATCAATATTACCAAATCAATATCAATTTTTCGATTGATTACTACTTATTTCTTCGTTTCTAGTTAGGAGAAGTCAATAGCTAGAGTAATAGTCACTGATAATATCAGAAAGGCTATGATATATTTCTGACTTTGATAAATTGTACTTTTACACGTGATCAATTCCATATTGCTTTAAACCAGCTATTAATGTAATACTTTTTAACTGATAAGTAAAGTATTTTCAACACACAGTATTATTATAATTATAATTCATAAATTTTAATAATCATTTCTTTATTCTATCAATTGATGTTGATATAACCACTTTCCAATAAACACATCATTATATATACACCTTTTCTATTTTATCAAATACTGTAATTTTTGGATATTATGAAATAGCTCCATTTTAATTTAAAAAGAAAGTTTATTCGTATTATAAATATTTATGTTCTGGAAATAAGATTTTCTGTACTGACTTGTATACGGGTAGTTAAATCACGTGGATACGCCTATTTTGCATATAATTTTTCCGAGTTAGTAGAGAATAATATTTTAATTGATAAATTGCTGATTTAGGAGCGTCTTTTAACATCTGTATTACCGCGTTACATCGCTATGGAAATACAAGGGAATATGAATTCATCTTCAAAAGTTGGTATGACAGAGAAACAGTTTAGCCACTTTTATATTCAACGCTACGAAAATATAAGGTATTGGCATGATTTACGAAGATATATTTGAAAAACTAATCATACTGTACTAGCAACACTATCAATTTTCGTTTAACCGCTAAAATAATAGATATTATTCAAAACTCTTTCAGGATATTAATTTTTTGATATCAGGAACACCTTTTTCTTTCATTTACGATTTTAGTGTTTGTTATACACCATTCATCATTTCGATTAGTTGTATAGTAGCTAGCAAAAAACATGATGTAGTTATTATGGTCTACTAAATTATAATTGCCAGCAAAGGCAGGGAGAACAATAACACTTACAGAATAAAGCTTAAAGTTTACAAATTCTATCTTTTGCGATGATTTCTACCATTCATATACATTAGCTTAGTTGGCTGATAAATTTGCAGATCTAAGTACAATGCATATAATTAGCTAAGTTTTAGTTAAAACTGTATCGTCTGTTGTTGACAGAACATATCGACTTTACATTTTATCTATTTGTAATTTTATCTGTTTTGGTATATTAATCGATTATAAATGAAATATTAGTCCCATTTTCTGAGATTTAGATATAACGATAATTGGCTAGAGTAATCATTTTGGTCTAGGAAGATATACGTATATTTAGAAGATATCAATAACTAGTTCTTGTTGTAAATAAATTGTAAAGATACAGCATTACGTACCATTAGTAATCACCTTGACTCTGAGCATAATCCATATTTAATCATTATTGATCATTCTTCTGTCCGCGATATTTCTATTTACTAAATATCGATAGAATTGCTAACAAAAATTTTAACTTTCATACTGAATTTATAATCTTAATTATAGTATACTATTTGCTGATATTGTTGGCTTTACGAAATTGTCCTCAACTTTCACCGCTCAACAATTAGTACAGACACTCAATGAATTATTCGGTAGTTTTGATGAAAAAGCTGAGGTTGGTAATGATTCTAAGACGAATGTATAATTTTAGTTGTATTTAATAGGTATATTGCTGCTAAAGTACTTTATAGCGATAGGTTTATGCTAGTATTGTGCTATCGAATAGTATTCTATTATATCATTTTTATAACTCACAGCATCATCTATAAACTATTCGTAAAATATTAAATGATATCAATATGGGTATATAGGAAAATCACTGCCTGCGGATTAAAATTTTGGGCGATTGTTATTACTGCATTTGTGGCGTACCCGATCCACGACCAGATCATGCACAACTAACAGTTGAAATGGGAGTAGCTATGATTCGTGTTATAGCGTAAGTCAATATGGATTAAAATTTGAGAGAATGGGTTAAGAAAGCATGCAGTTACTAGATTTACAATATCGATATAATTATTTAGATTAGATAAAACCATAGAATATCAATCATATCAATATTTTCTTTTTTGATTACAGAGATGTAAGAAAGAAAACTGGTGTATCATCGTTAGATATGAGAGTTGGAATTCATTCTGGTGCCGGATTATGCGGTGTTATGGGTAGAAGAAAGTGGCAATTCGACGTCTGGTCTTCTGATGTAACATTAGCTAATAATATGGAAGCTGGGGGTATTCCAGGGTAAATAAATAACGTGCATTAATACAATATCAGCAACGATATTTTAGTTTTATAATCTAATAATCCATCTTATCAAATTTTAAAACAATAAGTTTTTCTATCTTTTCTACCCTCGAGACGATCAAATTAACTTCAATCTATCATTACATGCATTTTTTCAGGCGTATTCACATAACGGATACTACTTACAAACATTTAAAAGATGATTACGAAGTTGAGGATGGCAATGGAGGTAGTAGAAGTGAATATCTCCGCCAAAGGAATATTCATACCTATTTAATTAAGAGAAGAAAGCATACAAGAGTAAGCATACAATATCGTTTGAATTATTATAGTACTAAATTTAGGAATGTGTATTTGTATGGATTTAGGAGGAAACAAAGGGAGTAAGATCAGCATAAATTTGGATAGTCGTCATAAATGTCACTGTTATAACGCGATAATCCCTTTACTAAATGATTTCTAATAAATTAGATAACTGATGATTTGACATACTATATCTCAATGGATAGATAGGATCATAGTATTAGTTTTATTTTGTACTTATTAAAAATCATACTTTTACAGAATAAGCAATGTAATACAGAAAATTTAAAGTTAGATGGAAGTTCCAGTAAAAGTGGCAATGGCTCTAACGCTCACCATACGTAAGTTTAACTCTTCAGCTTAGATTAGAACTCAAGCGCAAATACAATAATATACTTAATGCTTTGTTTATAATTATTAATCTAGAGAAGAGATAGATTATGAAGACAAGCTAACTAAGATGTTGGATGAAGACTTACAGAATCGAGATCTGGATAAGTAAGATTATTTTTTACTTCGATATTTAAAATATCGATTTCATATTTGCTGTCATTATTCACATTAGAAAATGAGGATCGAACTGAATAATTTAAGTAAATTACAGCATTTCATTTCACGATTATAAATATCTTGTTACGTACAATGTTATAGTGGAGAAATTTCGAATCCGTTAACATTACGATTTAAAGTCACAGAAACCGAAAGGAACTATAACTGTGAAAAAGAAAATATGGGTTTCACTTTATTAATTGCTTGTTATATCGTACAAGTAACCTGTTTTATTGTTAGCGCTATTATCCTACCAATGTAAGAAAATATGTAGTTATTAGGCTATGAATTTCGATTTATCCTTCATTTAACTGTCTATTTATTAGATTTGACATTATAAATTGACTAGTCTAGTTTTAAACAATGGTTATAAGTTAATAACGCATAAATCGGCAGTTACGGTAATATTATTATCAACATCGATAGTATAGGTATAATTTCCTCAAATTTAAGTATGTTTAGAAAATAATGGTTTATTGGTAGCTCTCTGAGTTACATCGTTATAATTCACTTTTATATCTTGGAATATAGAACGCTAACAAGAACAATTCTTTTTGCTATTGGCTCTGCAATAAACATATTTTTGGTTATAGTTACTGCCGCGTCAAATTATCGAAAGGTAAATTAATGCTTTATAATTAATTTTGATGTAGGTGGTTGAAGGCATCTATTATCCACTTATATGAAAATCTGTATCTTAATTTGAGAATTTCGCCTTACTATTAGTGTTTATTGGTATATAATATCGAAAACAGGCAATTTCTGTTTATAAGATTTCACTTACTTTATGAAGGTATATTTATCAATAAGTTTATTTTTGGAAATGTTATCGCAGAAATTTTATCGATGGTTGGTTAACTTATCGGTATATATTGAAAATCGTAAAATCCTATCGGCACTCCTTGCTGCTTTACCAGCAGTTATTATATTTATAGCCGAACTGACAGAAATCGTAAGTTTGGGATAATACTTCTTATTCCTAGATATCGAATTAAATTATTTATTCTTTTCTGCGATTCTATAGCTTGATATTTTAGGTTTAATATTCTGACTTATTATGAATTTTATTGCAATTGTACTATTTTCTAATTAGATTCAATGTAATACGGTAGCTGTCGAATTTAACAACGCCAATAACTGCTATTTTAACAATAGCCAATTTTACACACAAAATCATATTTGCAAGCATCCTGTTGTAAGTCTAGACTTAATGATAGATTACTTCATGCTACTATAAATTAGCTATATTTACCGGTTATTGTTAGCCACTCGACTCCTAGGATTAATAGTACTGATGTTAATTAAAAATACATTCGGATAGATGTAATGGAATTCATTGGTGTAAGACATTTATTTCGTCAATACTCAGATAAATGGCCCATTTTAGGCTATGTCCTACTTCTTGCTATCCTGCTAATGATTGCTAAAATTTAGTATAGTTTAATCCCATAAATTAGTTTTGGAATAGATAAATTAATGAGATAGTTGAAATAGAAAGTAATCATAACACGAGTGATAGATATAACGGCTAAAGTAATAAATTTTCCATTACTTGTAACAAGCAACTTTTAATGAAGTTATGGCTATATTTCATTAATCTGTACCGAATTCTATATATGTTAATATTTTAATTTTTGACATTTCATAATTCTATCTTATATAGTATACGATGTACAACATGATTATGCTGTTGATGGTGGTTTCAGCGCTAATTCAACTAAGCTATGAATTTAAACTAGTCCTTTTGACGCTCATTACTGCCGCTTCAATTATTGTTGTTATGATACCCGTTCAGAACGCTTTTACATGCTACGACACTATCGTTTATAATTCTAGTTATGGGTAAGTCAGACTAAAAATAGGCTCAATTTTCTTATGATATTATCAAAATATAATTTATAGAATTTGTTTAGATGCATACAAATATAATGTAGAATAAATGTATTCATGGTGCAAACACGATAGAAAGGAGAAACTTAATTAAAAATACGTATTAAGTAATTTGTAGGCAGTAGATTTCTGCTTGTGTTAGTTACAGTAACCACAGAGTTGTTATTATTATTTGTCATTAATTATCTTTTGACAACTTTATGAGAAAGTGATAGCAGTAATCATATGTTTTATAAAGTTGCATAAGTTGTGAAATTGGCTGTTACGGCAGTTGGTTGAAAGAGCAGTTTTAGCTACGGCTCGAGCGATATTTCATTAGCGACAGCTGGGAGTACAAAGTACCTTGCTTGATAAATTAAAATTTATCTTACAATTTCCTTTCCTTTCACTATCGTTATGTAAAGTAGAACGGATCCTACCTTAGCTTTAAAGTAGTTACGATGATCATAATATGCGAAATATTATAGTCTATATATTTATATATATATTGAACTTTAAACATTCTAGAAATCAATGTTAATTATAATTCGTTTATTCTATTCACGCCTGCGGTTATAGGTTATATGCTGATTATATACAAATCAATTATTTATCAACATTTAATATTGGAGTTGCCTTGATCGTTTTAGTATGTAGTACAAGACAGGTAATGGAAATAAAATCGAAATTTTCGTCTAGATATTTACTTTTAGTCGTTGATGTTATAGATATTATTAAATCCAAATGTAGTCGTCAAGCGTAAATGTACTATCGGCTACATTTATTAACGCTCAATATTTTACATTATAGATGGAAATTACAGCTCGAATATTGTTTCTATGGAAAAAAGAGGTTAACTAAAAATGCGATCTTAGAATTTTTGTTTTCGTTGTTATTGTTTATTTATATATTCAGGGTCATAAATGGAGAATTTTACTTCATTATATAGGCCATAGAAAAGAAAGATGGAGTCGAAGAATTACAGCGTCGTAACGAGCTATTGGTTCAAAATATTTTGCCACTTCATGTAGCTAAACATTTCTTAACCCGTCAAGGAGTTAGTACCAATATTTACGAATTACATATCGGTTATTTTAAACTTTAACTTATAATTAATATTTTAACATATATGATAGCAAAAGTATACTAAAATCAGATTAGTAATTACCAATTTTGATCTTAAATTGTGAATAGGAGATTTATAATGAATCCCATAACGAAATCGGCGTTATGTTTGCGTCCATACCTAATTTTCAAGATTTCTATTCTGAAGATGAAATTAACGTACAAGGAAAGGAATGTCTCCGTTTCTTAAATGAAGTGATTATCGATTTTGATAACGTAAGGAAATAAAGTCTTATCCGAACTCAACGAAATATTAAAATCTTAAAAAAAATAGATACTTGTATCAATTTGGTACCTTTTTATCGGCTCTTTATTAAAATATTATTGTTTACTATA